ACCCTAACCCTAACCCTAACCCTAAGTACGTAACTCCTATCTCGGTCGTACTACGTCGAGATACCCGTAAGCGTCCGCTTACTATAATCCAATTATTCGTACTTCGGGCATCTACTCGTAATACGCTCTACTTGGTAAAACCTAACTTACTACTAAGTTAGGGAGAAATCCTTTATTGCTTTAGCTCGAGAAGCCGGAGTATTACCGCTATAAGAGCTACAATAGGATACCTAGTATTGTAATATCCTTATGCAAGATAGGTAGCTATTTAAGGAAGTAGATAGTTCTTATACTAGTTCTAAGGAAATCGCTCCGTTAAGTCTACCTACTACTCTCAATCCCGAAAAGTCTTATATAGACTAATCACGCCTCTCTTGAGCATCTCTAGTTTGCTTGAAGATCCGAGTAACCCCTCTAGTAGGGCGATAAGCGATCTGCTCCGCTGCCCTTAACCCATCCCAATATTGGCGGATCCTGTCTAGTCGTCTACTAGTTCCACCCCTAGACTTAGTCCTTAGACACCACGTGTAGATCGCTGATCAGAATGATAGTGTGTTTTGACAACGGTATGTGGATTAGGGCTCCGCTTGCCGATTGATAGCCGCCTGAAATGTAGTGCCTCTTAAAGAGGAGCCTTCCCTCGAACAGTTCGTGCAATACACCTATCGACCTCTGCCCTCCACTTCACCACCACGCAACTCGTCCGTATCTATCGACTAAGCCTCGTCATGGCGCACTCTGCGTCAAAGCCGAAGAATGGCTTTGTAATAAGCCTCAAGAGATTCTTCGGCTTCTCAAAAGGATACAATCTGGTTGTGGGTGCGTCAGTTGTTTAGAAGATCCTCTGCTGCAATATCACTGACAGAGATGTAGCCTTTATTGCCCTGGGATACCTCATGGGCTTCACCCTGGCTCGCCTGCAGTACTTCTCCTACTATGGCATCTTCTGCAGCGACGGCTCGGCCAACTCTGCGGCGCCCGGCGAATGTTACCCTACCTCTCCGATCCATACAAGACGGGAATGATGCTCCATCTGTTCTGCATCCTCCCAGCAACCTTCCTCGTTTGCTTCCAGTTTATTCCGATAATCTGACACAAGGTGATCCTCTTCCACCGGATCAACGGTTATGTGATCATCACGCTTTCCTTGATCTCGAGTGCGGGAGCCATCATTGTTGCTCCTCATGCATTCGGTAGGTCCAGCATGCCCCGGGAGGACTTCACAGCGCTGACGATGATCAGGCGGTGACATGGCAACGAGGACGTACGTTGGCGCTCTGGTCGTATCCATCACTGTCGCATACCTCTTCGCCTACATCAACATCAAGCGACTGCAGATCGACCAGCATCGGGCTTGGATGATACGGGCATGGGGTCAAGTACGAACCGCTGTCCCGTCCTTCTTTCTGTGTCTTGACTGACAGTCGTTAGTTCGCCACCATCATCACTCTCCGGATCATCATGATCATCTCCGCGCAGATTGTCTTCGGCATGCACAATCTCGCGGTAGTACGCCCTTGCGCACAAATCGACTGGACGGAGGGAAGCCGGGCGCGGACGTTGCAGCTCTGCCCCGAGTGTGAGGCTTTTTACGCAGGAGACGAGACTGCTTAAGCCATTGTGCAGCCCGATTTCGCGAGCAACGATCCGATGAAGGTCGTGGCCGCCATGAGCGTTTCGTTTGGCTCAGCTGGGTGGATTGCAATATGGTTACACATAATCGCCGTTGAGGGTTACGTATGTTGCCCAACTATTCTTGCCCTCTTTAATGAACGATGCTGATTGCTTCGTCCAGCTTTGCCTTACACCAGCCGAGGGCGAGCGCCTGCGCCAGGTCTCCTTCGAACGCCAGCTCGAGCGAGGCTTCAAGCATCCTGGCAGCGCTGGATTGGTACCAGAGCGATTGGGAGATGCCTCGCCATACGTGCCTTCCCACAGCTACTCGCCGCCATCGGAGCAGTCGAAGGTGTCGTCTACTTAGGAGCGTGCGGTGCGATGCATGTAGCTTAGGAGAAGTATTGGTGACGGGGCCAATGTGCTGTGAGGTGTGGCTCTGCGGGTTAGTTTGTCGCGAGGTGGTGTTGAGGTGAATGTGAGGTAGATATGAATCCAACAGACAGAGAGTTTGAGGTGAAGATTGGAAGCCTTCAGGCGATCCCATCAGCTCGGCGCCATTTCTCGTCATGTCGATAGGTCGTCTGAGCAATGGGTCCAAAATCTTGCCTTCCTGAGGTGTAGGTGAGGAAGGCTGCGGACGGCGAGAAGCAACATCGTCCTGGGCACCGTAACACTGTCTTCCGAGCAAGGGAGTACCCCTGAAGTACATGATCTTGTCAACAGGTTGTAAGGTGAGGTAGGTGGATAGTGAAACAGGAGTTTAGATTTGAATAAGTAGCTCGTTTTCGTTCAACGACACCTGATCGATTACTCTAAGAGCCCCCCTCATGGCTCCCGAGCGGGCCTTACATATCTGAAGAACCCCGAACCACACCGCTGATGCCTTTGTCGCAACAGAGGACGGAGATCGAGTTGTTGTATACCTTCCCGTGAGCAGAGTGAAGCGCAACGATGCCGCCCACGACTACACCGATCATTGACACCACCACCATCCTCTCCCTCCTCTCCACCCTTCTCATTCTCGGCACCGCATACCTCGCCTCCTATCACTTCCTCCCCTCCTCCGCCTCTACAAAGACCCGTGTGCTCTTCGTACGACTGCGTCCAATTTCTGAGCCATCCAAACAACACCACTAACCACATCCGCAGATCTGGCACGCCTTCGACTCCCTCATCCACGCCCTCCTCGAAGGATCCTTCCTCTACAACTGTTTCTTCACCTACACCACCACTACCCCTGTCTGGTCGTCCAGCTCCTCTGTCTCCGCCTACCTCCCCCCCAACATCTACTTCCTCGGCCACAAAAACCGCCTGTACGGCTCAGAATATGGCACGAACCCCTTCGCGGCTCTCTGGCGCGTCTACGCTCAAGCAGACGCTCGTTGGGGTGGGAGCGACCTCACGGTCATTAGTCTCGAGCTCTTGACCGTCTTCATCGGCGCCCCGTTGGCGGCTTGGATATGCTATTGCTTGGCCAAGCAGAGGAAAGATGCATGGTTTTGGATGATACTATTGGCGACTGGAGAGCTATACGGAGGGTTCATGACATTCGCACCAGAGTGGCTGAGCGGGAGTCCGAACTTGGACACTGGCAATTGGATGTACCTTTGGGTGTATCTGGTATTCTTCAATACGTTGTGGGTGTGGATACCGCTGTGGATACTGTACGAGGGCTACGGAAAGATCCCCGGGACAGCTGGAGCGGCTGGGAAGGGCGGCAGTGGGAAGAAGAGAAGATAGCGTGCATCAAACGTACGGTGTCCCGGCGGAGAGAAGATGCGGTGGAGGCGAGTAAAGCCTGGAAGAGAGTACTGAGGAGCTACTATATGCCCCGGCCTGCGGTTGTAGTAAGTATTAGGCCACTTGCAAGGTCAATTTCCATCACAGTCCTCGCATCAACGTCCTCCTTCACATCATGGCCATCAAGAGCATCAAGCCTAATGCCAGACGCCGCATGCAGTATTTCTACAGATGCATCGCAGCCAGCCCCGCAGCCACTACCAGCAAGCCAACGGCAATAGCACTACATGTGAACGTCAGTATTGCGCAGATGAACGGGCTTCAACTTGCGATCGATACTCACAGCGCCACTCCTTCTCCGCCGACCAGATCCGTCAGGCGGTTAACCAAATTCTTCGGCTCCTCCGCCAACTCACTGATGAGTCTCTCTTTCGCGATGAAGTCCGAGAATGTCCTCTTCGGCTCGAAGTCATCGTCCTCGGGCTCTTCGTCCGTCATTGGCGGTGTGATTGGAGCATCGCCCTCTCGCAACGGGTCCATCTCTTCTCCATCTTCTTCTTCACGCTCGTATTCCTCTTCCTCCACCTCACGGATCCTCTCCAGTTCCTCCTCTGCTTCTTCATCAACGCTCGGAAGCGATCGAGTTGAAGCCGATGAGTTGGTGAGCGCTTGCGACAGTGGAGAGCTCAGGCTATGATCGGATGTCTCGTCCGCTGGGAGCGATGTCGAGGTCCGATGGATGGTCTCGAGGATGCCTGCGTGATCAGTAGGGAACTTTTCGAGGGACGGATCGTGTGGGTCTGCTTCTTGTGGGATGTGTGGGATGCTAGCGACGTGAGAAGCCGCAGTTGGTTTTGCCGCAGTTGGTTTTGCCACCGAACCCAGGTCATTGCGGACTGGAATGGATTCATGTCGAAAAAGAGGCGCATGTTCGTGCTCTGCTGAGCTCGGGCGGAGGGTTTCGTGTCGCAGGAGCGGAGACGTGTGGATTAGGTCGGCTTCTTCATCGCTGGCGCGGCCAAGGTCGTCCTCGCTGTCGGCATAGGTACTAGTGTATGAGCTGAGAGGGTTTTTTGACTCCAAGTCAGGTGTCTGTTCCGATTGTGAGCCTAGAGGGACGGCAAAAGTCTCATGCTTCATCAGTGGTGCTGGCGGAGGGGCCTCGTGGTGAACGGGCGGAGCAACAGCAGGGGTGTGTTCTTTGTACTGCGGAAGTGAGATTGCAGAAGCCGCCACTGGAGTCGCGTGCTTGCTTTCCACCCGGTCTTCCTTTGTGTGGTCAGTACCAGGGGGCTGCATTTTGAAAGGTTCAGGCTTCACGACCAGCAGATTGTTCTTGTTGCCAAAACCATCGTCCACAGTCGGCTTGCGCTCATCAAACACCCACCAGTCTCCGGGGCCCAGGCGAAACTTGTACTGGTAGTCGCCCTCCTCCACATCGAACGCTTTGGTGAACTTGATGCTGCCATCTGCGGTCTTCTCCTGCTGCATCTCCACGGCCTCCCATTGCGGCTCGCTCAGACTGGTGAAGACATACACCGGCGACTGCAGACCAGGCGATGAGTACTCGACGTTGACACACTGCTTCATGGCTTCGACGCCGGGCGTTCTGGGGCGATCGGGTCTTGCAGGTCCGATCCAGGAGGGTCGCAACTTGGCCGGTGGCCGTACAACTGGTTTTGGGGCGGCCGGTGGAGTGTCCAAGATTGAGTCAATAGTGTGAGCTAGAGCTGGTACAGTCTTCTGCACGGCAGTGGTGGCGTTAGTTGTGCCCTGAGAAATGGCCTGAGATAGCGGCGTTGAGGATTTGGCCGCCGGGGAAGGGCTGCGGGAGTCGGAGGGAGGGGATTTGCTGTTGCTCTTGGTGAATGGGAACATGCTTGCGTGGGGTCATGTAGGGTTTGCTCGAGGTGTAGGATAGGTGGTGGTGCGGATGACGGTGATGCAGCATGAAATGTGTGCTCACCTCGTCAATGCGTGATTTCGTTTTGGTCAGCGAGGGGTGAGGTGTTTCTTTTCGAGATAGCAAGAGCAACTGCGGTGCATTTCTCCTGGGAAGTGGCTACAGCTAATGAAGCAAGAGCATGCCACGCAATGGTAAAAGAGGAAGGAGCATGGCAGGTAAGAGGAGCGTACAACACCCACCAGGGCACACGGAGATGTTGTGTCTGTGTATGATGAACGCAGGATGCCACCTTCACACCGTCCCCAAGCAACTTAACCCTCACGCAGCGGGAGAAGAGACGTATAGTAAACGGCGAGACTGGCGCTGCGGTGAGTCTCCGCCAACACTGGTGCAAATGTTGAGATGTCCATGTGCAGTAGTGCCCTGCATCTCACTCAGCCCTCGTCTCACCTTCGGCCGGGAGGCCATGGTGAGGTGTTCACACGCCCAGACACGCATCGTCGGTCTTGCTGTACGATGGACAGTGTCAAACGCCAACTTCCGTACTGGGGATGAACATGAACATGTCGTGGGAATAAAGTGAGAGGCCGGCCTCAACTGCGGAGCAATGGTACCTCCAAGGCTCGAGGATGATTGGATGACCGGCTACATCACCTTTGCTTAGGAATCGAAACATTTCAATCAAATATCGAAACATAGAATACCACCTTGCGAGGGAACATACCACCTTGCGAGGTACATACAGCTGGGCGACGATGAGCATTCCCAAGACGGTCGGCTGGCTCGCGCGCAGCATCCCACGGGCGAGCAGGAAGACGAACCCACGAGTCCGCCATATCCCCCTCCCCCAGCCGTCGAGATGCCTGCACAACCAGACGAAGAAGTCGGCGCAAGCAGCTCCCCAACCACGACAAGAGCCGGCCTTCTCTGGCTCATCCAACCCGCAGTTGTCGTTTCCATGCCTTGACAATGCTGAAGACCGCACTCGCGAGCTCACAGGACGACGATCACTGTCAGGACCAGAGCCAACGTACACGACCGGCGAGCATCAAACCTTCCACTCTGCCGAGCCACTGCTGCTGGACTGGGGAGGCGTACTGCCCTCCTTCGACATCGCATGGGAAGCATGGGGTACCTTGAACGCGGACAAGAGCAATGCCATCCTTCTACACACCGGGCTTTCGGCTAGCAGTCATGCTCACAGCACAGAAGCCAACAAGAAGCCCGGCTGGTGGGAGAAGTTCATAGGGCCGGGTGCACCATTGGACACGAATAAGTACTTCGTCATCTGCACGAACGTGTTGGGCGGATGCTACGGCTCGACTGGACCCAGCAGCAGGGACCCGATCAGTGGCAAGATCTATGCGACCAGCTTTCCCATCTTGACGCTGTCGGATATGGTGCGCGCTCAGTTCAGGCTGATGGACTTCATGGGAATTGACAAGCTGTATGCAAGCGTGGGCTGCAGCATGGGAGGTATGCAATCGCTTGCACTGGGCATCCTGGACACTGAGAGGGTGGGGCGGATCGTATCGGTATCAGGCTGTGCCAGGAGTCACCCATACAGCATCGCGATGCGTCATACTCAGCGCCAAGTTCTCATGAATGACCCAGCTTGGTCTCAAACCCGCGGCAACTTCTACGAGACCATGCCGCCCCACCAAGGCATGAAGCTCGCTCGCCAAATTGCTACCATCACTTACCGGTCGGGTCCGGAATGGGAGAAACGGTTCGGTCGGGCCCGAGCGGACCCGAGTAAACCGCCTGCGCTGTGTCCGGACTTTTTGATCGAGACTTATCTGGACCATGCGGGCGAGAAGTGGTGTCTGGAGTACGATGCCAACAGTCTTCTCTACATCAGCAAGGCCATGGATCTCTTTGACCTGGGTCGGACGCTTCAAGATGCTACTGCACAGCGGAGGCGAGACAATGTCGGCAGACTTGGCGATCAACTCCAGCGCCAGTCGTTGGATGAGATGTGCTCCCTCACGCTGCCCGAACAGCCGTACGAAGAGCAGGAGTCGAGCGCAGACATCATGGCTGCAGCAAGCAAGCCTGGGGGCCAACCTATGTCTAGCGGGCCACCTCCAGAAGATCTCGTTAAAGGTCTTGCTCCGCTCCGCGATGTTCCGACGCTTGTGCTGGGGGTGGCATCTGATATCCTGTTCCCGGCATGGCAGCAAAGAGAGATCGCAGAGACGTTACGCAAGGGTGGGAATCGGAGTGTAACGCATGTGGAGTTGGGTGAGGATAGGTCGCTGTTTGGACATGACACTTTCCTCTTGGATTTGGAGGGCGTCGGTGGGGAGATACACCAATTCCTAGGATGAACGCCGGAGCTGGGACTTCAGATGCAAGCGAATTCTCCGCCTCGGGACGAGTGAGAGGCCATGTCCAGAAACCGAAAGCCAGCGAGCTTCAGATCTAGACTCGGAAGTGTTTGAGACTGGATCTCGCCCGACGTTGCCACGAACTTACTCATGTTCGGGAGTCACTTCATCGCATGCTCTGCATCAGGACCAAGAAAGTACGCATCCATGTACGCGCGTATACGTACTTCGACAAATGCACAACCAACCGCGCGCACAACGTGGCTTTGCGACTGCGATTGCGACTGCGACTTCGGATCAGCGCTTTCGTTAGGTCAGCTCACAGCGGCCAGTTTATACCCTCTCACACAATCGCTGGTCGGATGGTCGAGGCGTCGTAGAAAGTGCTCGCCCAATGTGCTCAGCTGAGCTTGTCACGCGCAAGATCGAGGACCAAGCTGTCTGATGTGAGACATCCCTTCCACAATCCCATACTCTCAACATAAGCATGGTCGTCTGGAGTGCTTGCGAATCACGAACACTCGGTGCTCGACCCTATCTCGTCGCAACAACATGTGCCCGATGCGGCATGGGTACGGTTACTAGATACACAAATGGCCCCAAGGTCTACTCGCGAACCCGAGATCCCTTCATACGTACATCTTATGGCTCAGATGACGGAAGCACACCTCGCTCTGTCTCGCTCTTTCGGTTGCCACAGTCATTCCCAAACGGTCGGTAAGTAGAATACACATGTATGCTTAAGTTCTGGTTGGAGACATGGCTTGCTTCATTTCGCATTTCTTCCTTTGCTTCAACTCTTAACAGTATGAGTACATCAATCCCGTCCGTTGAATCAGCCACGGCCACGACCGCAACTCCAATTCCGCCGCCGCACTCAAGATTGCCTACACTCCCAGCAGAACTCCTCTTCCTCATACTCGCCCACCTACCCACCTCCGCCCGCATCTCTCTCGCCCTGACCTCCAGATTGCTCCGCCAGTTGGTTTCATCCGCGCCAAAGACTGACCTCGCCAACCTTTCGTGCTGCGAACGCCTTGCCATATCTCGCACCCTCTCCGAACCCCTGCTCCTTCGCTCATGCAAGAGACGCTGCGTGCTTTGCGGTGCCGTCCAAGCGACCTCTTTCTTCCACGACGAGCGAACGCCAATTTGTGCATGGCACGACGGATGGTTCATGGCGTTGCGAGATCCGCCTGGAATCGGATGGGATGTCAGAGAGATCTTGCTGAAAGTGCAACGGCTGGGGAGCGCATGTTGGGTTAAGGTTGGGAGAAGATATTGCGCCCACGCGCAGGAGGTGGTAGGATGGTCTGTCGACGACTGCAGATGTGGCTGTCAAAGCTGTGGCCATTTCGATGTTCGGTGTTTTGTGCGCATCGGCCCTGGGGCGGAAGAGGTGATGAGGTGGAAGTTGAGCACTGACGCGGCTGCGGTTGTGGAGGAGAAGCCATTGAGCAACGCCTTGTCGCCGGGTTCGGCCAAGTCCTGGTCTAGCATCGAGACGGTGCAGCGTAGCCCGCCGAGAACGTCCGAAGTCAAAGTACCAGTGGTTCGTTTCGGAGAACTCCAGCCTTGATGGATAGCATCTGAAGCAGCACGCCGCTGCTCCTACCCTTCAGCGTTTGGGATCCGTCTGGACCATGACCGTCACCGCGTCACCAACGTCAACCAGCTCCTCATCCGCCGTCCGTTCTCTCAGCCCACAAGCATATCTCCTCACGCTATTAGCCAATAACACCTCCGCCAAAGTCGACAAGCCCAGCACGGCCACAGCTACACCATGCAAGAAGCGGAACCGCAGCCCGCAATCATCACTAGTATTGCTGTGCTCACGCCCTTCACAGTGGTCACGGTACGTGTTTCGCAGCACCCATTCAAGCAAAGCGAAGCGCCAGAGGGCGGAGAAGGCGGCGTCGAGGAAGAGGAGGTAGCTGAAGTTGCGAGTAAGAATTGGACGGCTCTACAGGCCGCGTCAGTACCTTGCCAGCATTCTACGTTAAAAGGAAGCAGCTTACAGCAACAACGGCGATCAATCCAAAGTATCCGACCACGCATGCCGCCCATGAGTAAATCCACAAGGTTGCGGCGACACCGGCGCGGTCGAGAGGGACATAGTTGGCTAAAATGGCGAGGGACAGATGGTAGACGAAGGAAAACGAGGCTGCTATCAGAGGGACGGTTTTGCTGCGACAGCCGAACGATCAGCCCAAGCACGTGAGAAGGCAAACAGTCATTAGTCATACGAACCTTGGCCTGCAGATGGCGGCTTCGACCTGGTGGAATGATGTCTTCTCCATCTTTGCCAAAATGAAATTGCTGCGCACTCGGTCTTCGTAGGTGTAAGAGATATTTACGAGCGAAAGAGAGGAAGATGTGTGTGATGAGTGATGCCTTGGAGTGCGAGGCTGCCGTAAGCGCCGCTGCTGTACAGTAATGCGTCTTCCGGTCATATCCGGCGTTATGCACGGAGTGTCCTTCGCTCCGGCGCCCGAACGCGAGTATGCCTGACTCTTTTTGCCTTTTGCAGCTGGGATTTGGCGAGCCTCTCTCACCGAGCTTTGCGGCAGCGGGGTGAAGACTCAGCTGACTTGTGGTTCGACCGTTCATCATTCTGTGGCACGTTTCTGACGTGTCATCTTTCAGGTCTTCGAATGCCGCCTATTGGCCATCATGCGACATGCGTATCCGCGAACCCGCTTCTTGGTCGTACTGAAGACTGCCCAAACAGTCCACTCGTCCACACCCAAGACCAAAGAGTAAGGCGCGGTGGCAGGGCTCGAGATGGCCTTCAAAGGCGAACGCAACACACCCAGCCATACCTTGCAATACCATATCGCGAATGTTGTAGACGCAATGCGCTGCAGCATCTCAAGTCGTGAACAGCGTGTCCTCCTCTCGCAGATATTCGCCCACGTCTGCCTGCCTGAATGTGACGATGCCCGTCGGATCTAGCCTTCTCGCCTCTGCTGTCGATCGGGCAGTGACTCCAAAGCCCTGCGTTCTTCAGTCAGCTCTACCACCCACTCAATATCGAAGCCGTTCAACCCACCAACGGCGTATCATTCATGCTCATGACCACCACTCCTTGATGCTCCGGCACGTCCTCGCTCCACCTCCCCACATGCGCCTTTACAACGTGTCCTCCGTAGAGAAACGGCATCTCGCCGTTCGGCTTGACCCACACCTTGTAGCGCGCATGCGGCGCGATCACATCCAGTGCTGTGATGTGTAGCCGGAACTTTCCCGTCTTCGTGAACTTGCCCAGGCATGTCCCGAGCGAGAGTAAGCTGTCGCGCGCGACGGAGGTGGCAAGGTTGGCCAGAGATTCGCGCACGTAGTATACTCGGTCCTTCTGCACGCGGAAGACGTAGCGGTCGGGGGACTTGTTGGCGGCGGCGGTGGAGGCGGTGTCGGTGAGGAGGGCGTTGAGCGAGCGGCCGGTGTAGTTGGCCAGCTTCTCGAACAGCGTCTTCGTCTCCGTGTCTGTGAGGGGCCGCATCTTGTCGAGCGTGTCTTGGGGGTGCTGTCGTCGGTGTCGGTTCACATCAATCGATCGCAAGAAATTCTAGACTTTCTCTGCAAGCCGAAGATGGGCCGAAAGTTCAAAACCACCACTTTCTTTTTCACTACGACCTTTCTGTTTCGCATACCACTTTCATGCCAACGATCGCAAAAGACGACAATGGCAGTGGAACGAGCGACGAAGAGACGCCGTTTGAGCCCGCCGGTAGAGGAAGTGCCCGGCTTTGCCAAGGTCGATTTGGAGCAGGACTACCAGCAACGCCTCCGGAAGAAGCAGCAGAAGTCCAAGGACAAGGACCGACTGCCGGTGAAGAAGGAGGCAGCTTGGGTGGGCGATGAACGACATCAAGCCGCGGATGAGGCGCCCAGCGAGAGCGAGCAGGACGAGGACGAAGAGGAGGCAAAAGACAGCGGTGTAGCAGACGTCCAACCCAAGCGCAAAGTCAAGCCCAGGCCGACGCTGCCTCCCAAAGAAGAGATCAGGCAGGCAAAGGAGGAGCTGGCGCGCATAGCTGGACTGGTCAGTGAGAGTCCGGAGGAGCATGTTGGCCAACTAGGCGCTTTGGCGGAACTCTCAGAATCCGAGAACATCACAGTGAAGAAGCTGGCCTTGGGTACGCAGTTGGCCGTCTACAAGGACATCGTGCCTGGCTACCGCATCCGGCCGCTCTCCAAGGACGACCTGCAGGCTAAACTATCCAAGGACGTGCGAAAGCTACGGAACTTCGAACAGGGCTTGCTTGGTGGCTACAAGGACTATGTGCACATGCTCGACCGGCTGGCCAAGAACGACAAGGGCTCAACCGACCCAAGTTTGGTGTCTGTTGCCATATCCTGCGTGCGTGCTCTGCTGGCCAACGTGGCTCACTTCAACTGCCGGAATGAGCTCATTGGTATCCTGGTACGAAAGCTCTCCGGCCGAACGGTGGACGCAGATTTTGTCAAGTGTCGGGAAGCGATGGAGCAGCTATTCCGTGACGATGATGAGGGCCATGCGTCGCTTGAGGCCGTCAAGCAGCTTACGATAATGATGAAGGAGAAGAACTACCGGACCGATGAGGCTGTGCTGAACACATTCCTGCATCTACGACTGCTGAGTGAGTTCGCGCACAAGGCGTCCACGAACAAGGTGGATAAGGATGAGGACGAGGATGACTCGAAGGGCAAGAAGCAGAAAAGGCCGAAAAAGGAGTTCCGGACAAAGCGAGAGCGCAAGGTCATGAAGGAGCGGAAGGAGGTCGAGAAGGAGATGAAGGAGGCGGATGCTACTGTCAGCTACGAAGAGCGAGACAAGAACCAAGCAGAAACACTGAAGCTGGTTTTCGTGGCTTATTTTCGCATCTTGAAAGCACGGAAGCAGCATCTGATGGGCGCTGTGCTCGAAGGTTTAGCCAAGTATGCCCATCTCATCAACCAGGACTTCTTCGGCGACATCCTCGAAGCTCTTAAAGACCTCATCAATGACGCCGAAAACAATGAGACGTCAGTTGAAGACGACGATACCCCCACGAACAGGAACATCTCCCGCGAATCCCTCCTCTGCATCATCACCGCCTTTGCTCTCCTCCAGGGCCAGACCGACGTTGTCAAGAGCGCCAACACCCTCCACCTTGATCTCAACTTCTTCATCACTCACCTCTACCGCAATCTCCTGCCGCTTTCTATGGACTCGGACGTCGAGCTGAGCTCGAAGCCTTCCCATCTTGAAGATCCCAACGGCCTCCCTGTCCCCACCACAACATCCAAGGACACCCGCGTCAATGTATCCACCACCACTGTCCTCCTGCTCCGATCCTTGCAGTCTGCGCTGCTTCCTGCGAACGCCACCACACGGTCTGTTCCCCCAACCCGCGTCGCGGCGTTCGTCAAGCAACTGCATACTGCTGCTCTACATCTTCCACAGAAATCTGCGGTCGCAGTCATGGGGCTCTTGAATCAGGTTGCGAAGATACATGGCAAGAAAATCGCAGCCCTGTGGTTTACCGAGGAGCGAAAGGGAGATGGCGTGTTCGATGCGTTGGGTCCAGAGGTGGAAGCGAGTAATCCTTTCGCTGGCACTGTCTGGGAAGGAGAGCTGCTGAAGTTGCATTTCGACCCGAGAGTGAGGGAAGGGGTGAAAGGGGTCGAGGGACATATCGTGGAGGCGAGATGAAACCTTTCCTAGAAGAGTTTGACGAGATCAGAGAGCTAAAGGATGGCACCAACCAGGGCGTAGAAAAGACTTGACAATCTTTGAGCAAACACGCTACCGAAAAACTACACCTCAGTCCCTCAGGCTTTCCAACACATGCGTCCCAGAGCTTGCAACACCAGTGTAACCTGCAAAGTCCTTGCCGTCTTTCTCCCACTCGGCCAGAATCATCGGAATCTCGTCCTCCCTCAAACTCTCGAACACGCCTTTCTCCGTTGCTTCCCACCCCATCTTCCGCAACCTCTCCGCCCGGCTTCGACTGTTTGCTCCTACCGTTGTCGGCGTATACGGCCCAAACAGATCGCCATACAATTCCTTTGGCGGATTCCTAGGCTCCGGACTTTCAATCTTCCCGGCCGCATGCAAGGCTTTGCCAATCTCAGCGGCGCCTTCACCCCAAGTCATCTCAGTCCCACTGTCGCAGAAGAAGTAAGGATTTTCAAGCACCTCCTCACCAGACGTGGCGGATAGCCAGTTGAGGATGACCATGTATGCGCGCACGAGGTCTTGCACGTGAATGCTGCACCTGATGGACACACCCTTCCCAATCACAGGCGCATAGCCGTGCTTCAGCGCAAAGCGCGTCATTGTTGGAAGCTGGATGGTCAGGCGGGGGATACGCCGACCCACGCCGTAGATGAGTGGAGGCAGGATGATGACGATTTTGGCCTTGGAGCCGATCTCCTTACGACCGCGGAGGATAGCCAGATCGATTTCGCGGTGCGGCGCTGTGTCCGGGACGCTGGCATCAATGTCGCCGGGGTCGAGATCGGTGTAGATTTTGTCACTGGCGTACATGCCCTTGGAGTTATCCACGAGCTCGCTGGTTCCGGAGGTGTGGAGGAACGTCGTCGACAGTCCTTTGTCGGCTCGTTGACGGATGCCGTCCAACACTGCTTCGACTGAGGGCAGGTGGTCTGCGGTGGCGGCATGAATCACGATGGGCACTTCGGCGGTGTGCTTGGTGATCATGTCTTTGTCGTCGAGGGTGCCGATGATGGTCTTGACGTTGGCGCCAAACTCGCGAAGTTGAGCTGCGTGCGATTCACGACGGGCCATTGTTGTGACATGGTAGCCATCTGCGTGGAGGAGCTCAAGGAGATCCGCACCGATGAGGCCGGGGCCGATGAGGAAGACGTTCTTGCCGTTGTCTGTAGTCATTGTGGTGTTGATGCTTGCAATGGTCCCAAAGCCTCCGACTGATACCAATGACCTTTTGAGTTGCAAATCAGTGTCGTTGGACTCCAAACATATCGACGTCCCGTTCCCCGCATCAGTTGACCAGTCGTCGGTTATAGCGACATGGCGGCAGTTGAAAGCCGCCATTGCATTTCAAGAAGCATGAAGATTGAATACATCGAACGCCATCGTAAACATACATTCGTCCGACAGTGGATCACTTTCACAAGCATACACTTCACCTCACTCGTATGCCACTCAGGTACCTTGAGTTCCTCATCAACCACCCTCCAACCACAGCAGCCGTGCTCACGGCTCCCAACACCATCAACGTGCGATCACTCACACTCGTCTCCTCCTTCACTCTCCCGACATGCAATTTGCCCTTCTTCCTCGCAATCTCAGTTCCGCTCCCTTCGACAACGTAGTCCTCATAGTTGACATCCGCCAACTGCTCCTGGTAATCAATGACAGTCCTGGACCAGTTGTTCGTGATGATGCCGTTTTCGTTCTTGTACCAAGAGTTGCAATTCGGATCGTTGAAAGATGAGCGCAAAAGCTCCTCTTGTAGGCGTGTGTTGTATTCTTTGACCTTCTCTACTTTGGGGGCGAGGCTAAGCGCTTTACCCTGTCGGCGAGCGTCAAGGACTGGTTTGATCAGACCGTTGATGTAGCGAGATTGTGACTCAATCATCAAGATAATGCCTGCGAGATGCTAAATCAGTACAGAGGCAAGGGTGATTGATGGATTTGCAGGCTTACTGTTGTGTCCGAGATTCGTGTTTGGGCCGTACAGCATGCCGAAATTGGGCATATCTTTCACGACAGTCCCGTTGTAGGCTTGTGCCCCATCCTTCCAGATATCTCTAATCGAGCGGCCATTCTTGCCGTACATCTGGATCGGATGCATGAAGTCAACCGTCTTGAAGCCCGTTGCGCACACAAGAAGGTCGAACTCTGGCTCTACATCCACGACATCCCCGTCATCGCCCTTCACTTTCACGTTGCTCCCGCTGATACTGTCAATGGATCTGGTCTCAAGATCCACGTTCGGCAATCCGAGAGCCGGCAGGTAGTCGTCCGTAATGATGATCCGCTTGCATCCCGGATTGTAGTTCGGCGTCAACTTCTCCCAGAGGTCCTTCCGGTTCGGCAGCTCAGCTTCGAGCTTCTGCTGATGTGCTGTGCGACATAGCTGCGCGAGATCGGAGTTACCATCGATGATGGCATCGTAGAAGGATTCGCGGTAGTCCATCTGCCCTGCTCGCTTTCGCCATCGGATTGGCGGGACGTATTTGTAGATAGTCTGCCACATGGGCGAGACGGGCTGGTCCATGCGCGGGAAGATCCAGTTCGGGGTGCGTTGAAAGATAGTAACGTGTTTGGCGACTTTGATGATCTCCGGAACGATCTGAGCGCTCGTACACCCGTTACCCAGCATGGCGACCCTCTTGTCCTTCAGATCGTAGCTCCAATCCCACCTCGCAGAATGCATGGTCTTGCCCTCGAAAGTATCCACACCAGGAATGTCCGGCCATCTCGGCTGATTGAGTTGACCAACGGCACTGACCAAGAAGTCACTCTTGATCGTGTACTCTGGGTTGAACTCAGCATCCTTGCTGCCACTTGCAACGGTGACCCTCGTCTTCCATTTCATCTCCTCGCCGTCCCATGTAGCGTCTTCGACTGTAGAATTGAACCTCACATGCTGATACAGATTGTACTCTTGTGCCACGCTAACGAGATATCGCAGAATCTCCTCTTGCCCAGGATATTCCCTTGTCCAGGCGGAGTTCTGCGCAAACGAGTAGGAGTACAGCATGCTCCAGACATCGCAGCAGCATCCTGGATATTTATTGTCGTTCCACGTGCCTCCCAGACCAGCGGACTTCTCCAGGATCACGAAGTTGCGACAGTTGTTACGTTTGACGAGATCAATGGCGGTGCACATCCCACTGATGCCAGCTCCGATAATGACGACGGCGGCATTGCTGTGGTTGATGTTGCCGATAGGAACTTCGGGGTAGGGTTTGTCGCCCGCCATGGTGGAGCGCCTGTGATGGAGCAGAATGGAATGGGTAACGGTCGACGGTCGAGGAGGATAGTGGACAGGACGAGAGAACGAAAAGAGCTCGAGGAAGAGGACGACGTGTCGTGCATATCTTTCGGTCCCAGACCTCGGGCCAGCAAACTTACCTGGTTCGAGACCCACCACTGTAGGGCTGTTGATGCGGGATATGCGGGCGAAAGGCGACGGACAGAGATGTGATTTGTGATCCGATGCGAGGATGTGCCTGACTCGCGAAGTGCGGGGATATTGCGGAGATCGATTCATGATGGTGGAGGTGGATGATTGCCAGGAGATTGACCAACAGCCTGCCAGAATTGACTTGATGGGCCGACGAGCTTGAAGTTGGTCTCTGACAGAATGTATAGTAACTCGAATGGTATTCCTGGCCGCCCCTATGGATCGAATGCTTCATCAAAAGCCCTGCTGTCGATGCCACTTCTCCTCCCACCCAGGGAAGAACGGCGATTCGTCCAGAGTCTGCGGCTCCCAGTCCTTCTCAATCAAACCATTATCTATCTGCTCCCGCTCGTATTGCTCCAACGCTGGAATGACGACATGCTCGGTATGCCATGTACTCTTGTACTCCATTATACTGCGCTTCCCCTCCTTGAGCACCTTCAAGATCAAGCTTGGGATATACGGCTCGTTTCGAAATTCAGTGACTGGCGTGAAGAGCCCCTTGAAGTTAAAGACAACAGCGCCACTCAACGGTAGTCTTCGCAGCGTTTGCCAGTCCACACGGAGATGCACCCGGTCGACCGTGAGCTCTGGATTCTGTTCTTCTCTGTGTGCCTCTTGCGGGTCACCCGGCGGCATGTACAACGGTTGGTCCACTTCGAGTCCCCAAGATCCGCGTTGTATTGCTCGGTCGGTTGGCTTCTTTGCGAAGTAGCGGTCCATCGAGAATTGCATCTTCTCCTTGTACTCCGGCACCGGTGAGTGGATCTCTGACAGTTTCAGCCCGATCTTGCTACCCAGGTTCCAGCCGAGCGAAGACATGATGATGCCGGCGCGGAAGCTGTAGATGCCTGTCAGTGGATCGCGGACCATGATGGCGAAGTCTTCTGGAACGTGCTGCAATAGTACATGCAAGGGCTCAGTCGCGTTGAGATCTGTTTGTGTGTCGAGGATGCCATTGTGGAAGACGAGCTGCACCCTGTCGAGACGGAAATGCTGCGGGTACCGGGCGCAAAGGAACTGCACCACCATCTCCATCAACTCTTTGCAGGCTAACTCGGAACCTGGCAAGGCCCGAATGACCGAGTCGCCATATTGCTGGAACAGCTGCTGTCTCTGTTCGATCACTGAAACATAGTTTTTGTCCAACTCCAGCCAGAAGTCATGGTCAAGCTTGGACAGAGACATTGTCTGATGATAAGGCCATCTGTAAGGCCGGTATGGCCTGGGCATCGCCGTATCGATGTTGAAGGCTTCGTATGCTGTGGGAAGAGGTATGCCGGAGAGAGAGGCATAGTCTGGAAAGTCGCCCAGCCGCTTGATCTCAGCGACCGAGTAGCCTGTCGGTGTGGTGCGATCGAGCAGCTCGTCGCTGTTGGAGACAGCTTTGTCTGGCACAGGCTTGCTATAGTCTGGCGACAATTTGCTGAGCTCAAGACCAGTAGCTCCGGATCCTTTCAGAGCATCTGAGGGTAGATCGGCAAGCGCTAGTCGGCGGTGCGGTGGGAAGACGTCTGCGTATTGTGGCTGTGAGGTATTTCTGACTGGTCTCTGTTTTTCATGTGGCGTGATCAATCGCGGCGGCGTGAGGGACACGCTTGCCTTTTGTTTAGACGTTTGGAAACGATCTAGGAGTATTGCTCGACGTCCAGGGATGACTGCGACGAAGAAAACCGATGCGATCAGGAATGCTGAAAGAAACAATAGGAGTAGAACTTCCATACTCTCGGCGAGTGACAGGCCGTACGTTAATGAGCTTGAGTTTGTCGGTCGTTATGGAGTGTGCAAGATGTAGGAGAATAGAAGAAGATAGCACTGCAAGAGATAAGGTTGCCCGCTGGAGCTTGAGCAACAGCTTGCACCGATCAGCTGTGCGATCGCACACAACGTACATAAGCTCCGTCGGTCGGTAAGGAACGTCCATCGTGCACAAGTATCAGTATCGTTGTGAATGCTGGATTGTCTTCGTACAGTTGCAGCCATCTGCTCACCCGTGCATTGAAATCCTTCTTCATTCCTGAACACCCCGCTTTCATGCCGCGTCCTCCATGCTCTCGTCCTCGCCTTCATATTTTGGCAGACCATTCCGCCGATTGTATGCATTCAGGATGCCCTTGTCAGCGAAGCTCGTCGCCGGCTCCCATGTCATGTCGCGATAGCCCTTCCACTTGACCTGATAGAGCATCACAGGCTTCTTGCCCAGACCCGGAGGGTGCGTGCGTGGGTCGGAGAGGTGATGAGCGGTGATGCGCTCAACTTCGTACTCAGGCGCCGGATCTGTGGCACTTACTTTCTGCGAAGCGCCACTGGGCTTTCCAGCATTCATGGTCTTCGACGGCGATAGAGAGCGGTTCGGCAGTGCAACGCTATCCTTCTCCTTGCTTGTGCCGCTGTCGCTCAATTCCAGAGGTAGCCCAGCTCGTTTGCGGTAAGCGTTCACAACACCCAAGTCGCCGAAGCTGTCTATGGGCTCCCTGTCCCGGGCATTAGCAAAGTCATCGTTGAAGTGGTCGTGATAAGGAGTCGCACCAAGTCGGCTGCGCAAAGCCATGCCATTTCACCTGATACAAGATGACAGGCTTCTTCCCAAGCTCCGTAGGGTGGGTCTTCGGATCTGAGAAGCTGTGGCCGAGTATCTTGTCTACCAGCCACTCTTCCTCGCTCTCCTCTTCGGGTTCATCGGCCTGCGAGGCAGAAGGGTTCATGATAGATGTCTTGACAGGGCTGGTGCTAAGTTGCGAAACCTCAGACTTGACAGCCGTTGCCATGGCTTGCGGGGCGGCTTCACCTTCGGAGGAGGTTGCTGTCGCGGAAGCTGAAAGCCCAGGCTTGAGCATATTCATTTTCCGGCCAGATGAAGGTGGTTTCTGGAACGACTTGAGGACGCTACTGCGAGCGCGGCCATCCACATCAGCCTCGTCTTCTGAAGAGAGTAATTCGACGACCTCGCGCTTGCTGGGGGTGGGTTTGGTAGCGGGAAGCTGTGTGGTGAATGAGGCAGCGATCTCCGCATTCGTGAGAGCTGGAGTCGTGGATCTTGATGTCTCGCTCTCAGTCTCGAGCTTTTGCCGCTTGGCTCCTGGCTCGTCATCTATGATACTCAGCTTGCGGAAGGAAGGCGACGGAGCTGCTCGCTCGCTCGGCGCATCAGGGTCAAACTTCCATCCGAGCGGCATGAGTTCGCCGGTCAAAGGGTGTCGTCGCCGCCTTGGTCGCTTCCGCCAGGAGTCTGATTCACCAGGAAGAGGGGCCAGAGGCAGCAGCTCGCCAGTGACTGGATCTCGCTTTCGACGGCGGCGCTTTGGAAGCTCCTCATACTGGGCAGCAGATCGTTCGCTAGGGTGGTGGGATGAAACGGGAGGTGCTGGAGGCGCCATAGCTCCTTGATCACGAACATCATCGCCCTCCTCCGTGCTGGGTCCAGTCGTGGCGCGCGGCGGCTTCTTGAGGTAGAACTGCGTGTACGTTGGGCGCTTCCTTCCATGCTTCCCAAATGCTTCTTCCTCACCGCCACTCTCTTGGTCAGTGTCGGTTTCAGACTGGTAGATCACGACGCCTTTCCTCTTCGCATGTTCCTTCTTGCGTGCTACAGATTCTTGCTCCAGTCGTTCCTTTTCGGCGTCTAAGAGCTTCAGCACAACCCGTTCCTGCTCGAATTCGTGATTTTCATACTCCTCAAGATCCAAAGCTGAGACGTAGTCCAGCACCTCTTCAACGCCGACATCTTTGATCGGGACTTCACCTATCTTGAGAGTGTATTTGACGCCATTGCTGTCTACCGTGCGGCCGATGATCCGGGCGTGCTCTGGAGCCTCCTCAGACGGCTTGACGGGCAGTGGCTCGTCTCCGTATACTCTACCGCGTGACGATGATTTAACGGATGCTTTGCCTTTCGATGCGGTGCCGTTCGTGATTGGCCGACTGGGCACTGGAATCTCGACACTCGCCTGAGGTGGCATTTTGGCTATTCATTCGCGACAGTCTCATGCGTGAGATCGAAAGCGTAGCCAACGCATCTGATGTTTTTCGTGTGTTGGTAAACTGGTGAACAGGGGCCAAGAGGCAGAGGTCTGGCGTTGTGATCTGGAAGAGAAGGCTGCTTCTGAAAGTAATTTAGATCCAAAGCTTAAATATCAAGGAGGCGAACAACCTACATGAACTGTCTTCTGCTCGTGTCCTCCCTGACATCAGATCATTACACGACCGAGTGGCATAGCCTGGCGGATGGTCTTCATTCATCTCGCGAACTCAATCTGATACGAATCCTATATTGAGTACGGGTAGGTGCTACTTGATGATGACTTGCACGGCAAGCGTCTGTCAAGACCCGACGCTTCAGGATCCAGCACCTCACACCACGTATAGCTCTTCTCAGTGGGAAGCAGACCTTTCTTCTCTGAGTCTAGATACTCGCATTCTCTCTACCTGACGCCTTCGATTCAATTTTCTACTGAAGTCCACATAGCTATGGCTCAACAATCACCACCTCGCCCTATCCGGGCCTGCATCTTCGACATGGACGGTCTCCTGATCAACACGGAAGACCTCATCACAGTCAGCATCAACACCATCCTCCACGCGCATGGCAAACCCTCCATACCGGGCCATATCAGGGCGCAACTTCAAGGTCTCCATCTCCGCGAAGCAAGCAAGATCCTACTGGAGTGGTCACAGCTACCCCTTACGTATGAGGAGTACCAATCTCAGTTATCGGCGCAGCACCAGAAGACGTTTCCTACCGCACGTCCATTGCCAGGTGTGGTTGGCCTACTGGACCAATTGGCACAGTGTGAGAACGTAGAGCTGGCGCTGGCAACGAGTTCTGGGCGTAGCAAGTTTGAGCTCAAGACTTCTCATCTGCACGGTTTGTTCCGCCAGTTTCCTCCGGACTCTCAAGTCTTGGGCGACGACTCGCGGCTGGGTCCTAACAAGGGGAAGCCAGAGCCGGACATCTACTTATTGGCGCTGGACACCATCAATCAGAGGCTAAGCGCCCAAGGCAAAGCAATGATTACCCCAACGGAGTGCTTGGTGTTTGAAGATTCTGTGGCAGGTGTGCAGTCTGGTCGTCGAGCTGGCATGCAGGTCGTTTGGTGTCCACATTCTGACATCCGTGTCGAGTACCAGGGGAGGGAGGAAGAGGTTCTGAGGGGCGAGAACTTAGCAATGAGCGGCGCTCCAGAAGTCCCGTTCAAGGCTCGCAAGAAGAGGAACGACGGCAGATCGTTGTGGAGCGAAGATGGTTGGGCGCGTCTCTTGACAACGCTGGAAGACTTTGATTGTCGTGAATACAGCATCGTATTGTGACCTCTCTCCACCGTGACGCGTCTGCTCAATCCCAACATCGTTCTTGCTCCACAACAGCCTTACAGCACTGTAGCATGTGAAAGCATGTGCCAAACCCACGAAGACGATACGGACATCGGGCTCCAATTCTTTCGTCTTCGACCGAGAAAGTGCCACGTTGCGGATGGAGGATTGGCTTTTTCTTTGCTTTCCAGAAAACTTCTGCCGGCGCCTTCCCGCCAATTGATCTTCAGGCACCTTCGCAAGCGCACGCCACGGACCGACTTCCCGGAGGCAGGGGGCAAGGGTGACCCTGAATGCTGCGATGTGACGGGCGTCATTGGTCTCGCTTTCCACCTCGTCCTGCTCCAACACACCTCCGTCTGCACGCCCGCTGACTGTCCAACGAACACAATGCGAGTCTGACAGCGCCACGGACCTATCTCCTGCATTAGCTACTCTACTGCCACCCACACCGCCGCTATCTGGACTGCCTTGGCGCACGTGAAGTCGGACTGGAGGCGACCTCGCAGACATGGACCCTTCACTCGCACAACCAGACCACACGTCGTCCATCGGCCAGCTGAGTGCCCAGTTTGCCGACCAGAAGAGGGCGAAGAGTCCACCGCTCGCTTTCGAACCCACCTCCAACGACTCCCTCGCTGCACCCATCCACCCCGACAGCAATATCCCTTCGCCCAAGCGAGGAGCAACCAGCAGCATGGGTCGGTTCAGTCCATCGCGGCAGAGTGGTGAGCAGGGAGAGTCCCGGAACATCATCGACCAGCAGACGCTGGTTATCAACAGGCTGCATGAGGCCTTTGCCGAGGAGAGGAAGATGTGGGATCTGGAGAGGACGAGGCTGTACAATCGCATCGCCAATCTCGAGACGCTGCTGTTGAGAGCTGGTGGTAGCTATAGGTATGTTCAGGCCTTGAACGGGCAGCGCGAAGACACATAATCTGATCTGCCCTTTACTACAGCCCAGCCAAGTCGCCAATACTCTCTCCTCTCGGTGTAGATATGACTTCACCCTCGACGAGAGCAACGAGCGGTTCCAACAGGCTACCTAGCATCGCCGAGGATGAGAACAGCGACCCGTTGTCAGCGAGGCGAGACGGCGTACCGCAGTCTATCGATCTACCCACAATCACCAACGACTCCTTTGACCGCCGGAGCTCTGTCAACTTCGCAGAAGCCACACCGACATCCGTCAAAGTCGAAGAAATCCCCACCTCGCCCGCTCCTACCAACCAAACGCTATCCCCACCGCCTTTCAGTTACCGCGTGGAAGCCGGCCACACTCCTCTCAGAGGTCCACGTCCAGCCACTCCACCCCCAAAGAACAGCATGTCGATGGACGGCATCGACGACACACCGACGCGCAACAACACCCACATCAACACCCTGCTCACCCAAAGCAACGACGATGATTCGGGCAAAGGACTCACTGGGCCACTGAATATGCCAGAGCTGCCACATGTCCCTAGCGAGGCCAACTTCACCTTTGACATGCTTTCGAAGAGGTTGGAGCAGATCGAGCAGCACCCTGAGCAGTCCGAAGCGAAGCCGTTCGTGTTCAAACAACCCAGCCCAGGCTTGGCGTCTCCGGCAGAAGACGAGTATGAGTTCAGCCCGAAAACTGTCGATCCGTAAGCTGTCTACTTCTCCACATGATAAACGTATTGCTAACCACTCTCACGTAGACACGCACATGAGCGTCCATCAGCACCACCCGCCACTCGTGCCTTCGCACCGCAAGACTCCAGCATGTCCGAGATACCTTCCAACGCCCTCTCGAAGCAGACAAGTCACGATGATCAAGTACAGGCAGAGTTCGAGAGCGGCGGCATCAAGTTGAAGAAGAAGCCGAGTGTCAACTTTGGCGCACCATTCGGGCAGCTGGGCGGTTTCGGCTCGAGAAAACAGTCGTAGCGTGGCGGCCGGCCGCCTGCGGTGGGATAAAAGCCTTGGACATGGGAGTTGATGGGCGTCGCATTCATTGGAACAGCATACTTTCATTTGTCGTTTGCATTGCATTGGACGGTGAAGGGAGGACAGAGTCAAAAGCGAAGCATGGTGCGCTGGGCGCAAGATCAGGGGCATACGGGTATGGGAGGCATAGCGCTCCAGTGAGCAGAAGATACCCATTACATTGGCCAGAGTGCCTTGAGGCGTATTAGAGGTATTCCGTAGTGGGTACGAGATGTTGCACATCAGCCGTTTAGCGTCTTTCTTCTCTCCTTGTTTGTCATTCGATCATCTTCAACACTGCCGTTGGCAGCAGCACCACTCAAGAACAAGGTTGAAGTTGATTCGCTATGACCGGACTGCCGCTAATGGATGTTCATCAAAATTGCCCCGACGCAAGGGAACAGCACAGTCAGGAGTTCACATCTAATTCGCTACACGAAAGACAACGCTACCGCATGTTGCATCAAAACCACACGACGCAAGGGATACATGTACATTGGTAGACAGCCAAGCCCAGGGATAACCTCCCTCTCTCGTTCCAAAACCCTCCACCAAGAATTCTGCAACCACTGTATCTGCACCCACTCTACACGGCAACACCCCTCCACATGCCAGGAACGCGTCTCATCAACAAACTGGCTCGCAGCACAAAAGGGCCCCTTTGCCCGCCATCCGGCTCGGAACCTTTGTCAAGGACCGAGTAGTGGGGGAATGCTGCAAGGTACGAGTTTTAGATCCGCAACGGCGACGGCGAGATGCTCACATCGAGGTGTACCTGCAGCGAGTGACAGGTCGACTCCTATCTCTGCGGTGGGGGGCAGGGGGTGGGAGAAGTGATAAGTACTGCTTTTTCCCGCGAGTTGAGGAACGGTTTCTTCTGCTTCAAACAGCTGTGCTGTGGTGATTCGGAATCTGACTTTCGCTCTCTTCCATATCATATCAACACTCGCTGAGCCGACACTAATTATCGAGCAGCGCTCTTCCGAACCCCTGCCACCAAATTAATACACCAAGAACCACCACCATGCGTACCTTCCTGCAAACCCTGCTGCTGGCAGCCCTCCTCAGCCTCGTCGCCAATGTCCTCGCCATCCCCGTCCCCATGAGCGACGACGAGATCCAACGCCGCTGGTCCCGCGGCGAATCAGAGGTATGCTGCTCGCCCCACGGGCCGGGCTGCTACATGCTCGCCTGGTTCCGTAGCCTGGCCGCCGTCAGGCGGGAGCAGGACGCCGGGGTAATGCTCTCTGTGCGAGACAGCCATGCATCACCTTCTTTCCTTATCTTTCTGCGGCTCGTAATGTGCTGTGCTGACTTGTCATATCAGCAATCGATCCACGCGGCTCAATCGTACCGAGACGCCACACCGGCTTGGGCGGTGCTCGACCGCAGCAGCGAGGACAGCAAGTTCACATACGCCACCGATGAGCGCACGATGGCCTCGCACATGGGATACCAGAAGAGGGAGGCACCGATGACGCCGCAATTGCTGGCCAAGATGAAGGCCTTCGTGAAGACCTTCTACCGGAACAGGGGTGAGAAGGCGCCCGTTGCGAGGAGTGAGCGGGATGGCATGGCGCCGGTGTTGAAGCCGAGAGGAGGGTGGAAGTACGCTTTCAGAGCTTGAGCCGGTCTCTTTGATGTTCTGTATGAGGCGTCGCGGGGTTTGGGAATGGCGCATAGGGGTCGCTGTTGGGTTTCGTGGGTATAGATCTGACGGCCATTTGGTGTATGAAGCAATGATATTACGGTCGAAGCAATCCTTGGTTCAGGTCTTGTTTGTAGGATCCAGTATGGTTTTGAGGGCACCTTATCGTTCAATCGCCGGCCATGCTCTCATCACTTCGAGCGGCTGCTTCTGGTGTGGCCTCCCTGCTACTGGCGCGATCTCCATTCCGTGGGTCAACATCTCCATCCATTGAGCCATCCCCATCGCCACTCGTTTTATCAGACTCAGCGTTCCCGCCGCCTTCTGAGCCCTCGCCATCCAGCTCCTCCAACTCTTCACCCAACGCGCTCTCCCTTGGCTCTATTATCCCCTCGTCCTCCAGAAAGGTCCTCGGATTCAGCTTCGGCAGTGTAGTCGCACACACCCGACTCTTTTGTAGCAGGTCATCCACGAACTCATCCACATGCGTCAGCGACCAGCCCTCCCTCGTGCGCCGCCTGATCTTTCTGAAGTCCGCCAGCAGAGGTTCAAGCGTCGTGTACACATCCTCCCCCTTCTCATATGTCAACCGTACGTAGAAGGCTGCGAGTAGTCTCAAGTACTTGAACTCTTCCCCAGCCTTTCCCAGATAGAACTCGATGATCTCGCGCTCTGGCGTGATCTGTAGAAGCTTGAACGCCAAGCACAGAAATGGTGTCGGTCTCTGCCCAACGCCAAAGGTACCGCCGATGCATGTCAGCTCAACAGCGCGGTCCAGGAGGGTGGCAGCGTTGAGGCCGAAGCACTGTTCTTTCCAGTAGTAGCTGTCCACGACGCGGTCTCGGACGGCCTTTTCGAAGAGTTTGAGCGGGTTGTCGTTATGGATCAAAGGTCCAGTGTAGCCGCGCTCGTCGAGATGGCGGCGGGCGTCTGCTTGGTGGGCCATGTCGACTTTACTGGGCGGGTGTTTGGCGACTCATTTTTCGTCGTGTCTTTGGCACGCTCTCACATATGAAGCTGCCGAATTCAAGATCAAGATCTTTTGCGATAAGATTGTTGCCATGACGATTATCTCGATCTGCCAAGAATACCGGACATCGACGGCGACGACGACGATCAATGCGACACACATTTTAGACACCGCAATGGAGAGGAGATGGGTCGAATATTGTTGACTCAGAGTCAGGCCACCGTCGTCTTGACATTCGGGCTAAGTACGCAAGTTCTGGACTACAACACTTCTTACGTCCAACTAACAACAATCTAGTCGCCATCTTCACGCTCCTCCTCTTCCTCGCCGGCTATGTGCACCAACAGCAGACGGTCACTGGCCTGCAAACAGCATTGAAGCCTCGACTTCCAAAGCCACCGCCATCCGCTGCGACTATCGACAACAAAGAACACGCGCAGCAGCCGCTGTATCATCCTTCTCGCATTCTCGGCAGCAGAAGCAAGAATGGCGGTCACATTGCATACACAGACTTCACAGCATCCACGCAGGATGAGGCAGCGAAGATCAACTGGTCCCGTCTTGCCCACGTTCAGATTGTGCGGAACCATCATGACATGTGCAATGCGATCATGGTGCTTGCGGACTTGCATCGACTGAAGAGTCCGGCGCGGAGAGTCTTGATGTTCCCTCAGGCATGGGCGACGGAGAAGAAGGCGGGGAGAGGCGACGTCAGTGATCCGTTCCTGGACATCAGCAGACGATTGATGAAGGTCGCTGCGCGGAGATATGGCGTGGAGTTACGGCCGATTAGCCCATTTCTCCAAGTTGGTGAAGAGCAGAGCTCGTACTCGCTGGCGAGTGCGTTTGCTTTTACAGAATTTGACCGCGTTATGACTATCGAGACGCCTGGACTGATTCTGGACGCCGAACCACTGGATGCGATCCTAGCGTTCACGGAGCCGGCTCCCTTCGCCATGCTCCACGATACTGTAGATGAGGATGGGGTTCACGAAGACGACATTTTTCTCATGCAGCCATCCAATGAGATCTATCAGGCTCTCAGAGACACGCTGGCAGACCAATCTTCCTTCAACGACACACTTTTACCTGCGACCTTCCCAGACCCTCTTCTGATCTCCACCTCGTCGCCATCGCAGACACTCATCCGCTCCATCGGTCTGCTTCACGACGCTCCGATCACCTCATCGAGTTCTTCAGAGCCATCGTTTAACGCTACAGCCTTCCTATCAGAAGTGGCCTACATGCGCTTCTCAGACCCCAAGCTTCCAGGTCCAGAGTACGAGGTTCCATGGGCACGGAAGGTCGCTGCACGACCAAAGAACAAGGATGCGGATTGGACATGGACGAAGCTCTATGGCGAGTTTGAGATGAAGAGGATGGAGGTGTGTGGATTGGGGCTGGAGGTATGGCGGCAATGATGCATCTACGATGGATTGAAGTCAACGAAGTCCTGCACATACTGTACAGATTAAAAGACCAATGCCCGGACGGATTGATCTGATCAGGACTGTCGTGATGCACTCCGCCGCTTGAACGTCGAGGGTACGATCTCCAGATTCCGGCAGAAGTACTCAAGGCTCGAGGTAGGCAAGGTAGACAAGGTCTAAGAGAGCACGAGTCTCGAGCGACCGAGGACAACTGTGATGAAATCAGGTGGGGATCACGGTCCCATGATGTGTGAGTCAGACAATGACCAGTGTTCAGCCAAGAGCTCACCAGAAGCACGGGTAAAGATATGTGCAGGTCCGCAAGACCCATATTTTATTACATGGAGTATCCAGACTACCAAGAAAAGCCCCTCTTCACAATTTCAACATCTCATGTCACCACTCAAACAACAACCAGTCCGTCGTAAGGCAGTGCCTCTCACAATCGCTAGATCCGAACGGAGACACCGCTTAAGCGTAGAAGTACTGCACGACGCACTATGGAGAACATTAGCTGATAGACTCGGAGCGAGCTGGCATTTTGGACTTACGCCAGAGGGAGCAGCGGCGACAGACGACGAGGCAGATGGAGCAGCGTAGGAGCTGGAAGGAGCAGCGGAAGCCGAAGGGGCTAGGTAGCCGCTGGAAACCGGGGCGGCAGAGCTCGCTGGGCTTCCGCCGGACACACCGCTTGGGATGGCGTAGGAGCTTGCCGGGGCAGCAGACGAAGCGGGAGCACTGCTGAAGACTGGCGCGGCGGAGCTTGCTGGGGAGCCGCTGGCAATACCACTATAAGCAGCGGAAGCAGAAGCCACAGGAGCGGAAGCAACAGCTGATTCAGAGTTCGAGGCACCACCAGAAGCAGAGCCACCAACGGTAACGCTGGCGGTACCGGCGCCGGAGAACGCCTCAACAGCCATGACTTGGAAGTTGAAGTCGCTGTTGCCGAATCCAAACTTTGCCCAGGCCTGGAAGTGGTTGGCCATGGTCACAGTCCCGCTGGTGCGCTGAGACTGGCGGACAGACCAGTACTGAGTGAAGGTGCTGGTGCCAGTGATGGAAGGCTGGTTCGTGCGGGTGTCGGTGCACATGGTGTAGGTGCCGCCGTCGGACTCTATGGTGCCTTGGCTGGTGGCGCCGCTGCCGGAGCAGGGGTCGTAGGAGCCGTAGGACTCGACGACGTAGTATTCGGCTTGGGGCTCGTTGACCCAGCCGTAGACGGCGAGGTAGCTGCCGGAGCCAGACGCGCTGTAGGTGGCATCGTAGGTGATGTCACGAGCAGTGCCGGTGGTCCAACCGAGACCTGCACACAGCGTTAATCGATGTTCTCGTGGACATATTGAAGCCACCCACCAACAACGAAGTCGCCCGGGTTGTTCCAGTTGGCGCTGTAGGTGCCCGCGCTCTCGTCGTAGTCGAAAGCGGCGAGGTCGCCGTTGTAGTTCTGGACGTAGTCCAAGGCGTCCTGAGCAAAGACAGTGGAGGCTGCGGCGCCAGCCAGCAGAGCGTTGGTGAAGGAGCGCATTTTTCTTTGATGGGAAGGTGCTGTTGAGTAACGACTGTGAAGGAGGGCTGAAAATGTGCAATAGGTTCTGAACGAATGACAATCTGTACCTGACAGATGGAATGAGAGAATGTGGAAGTTGGTGGTAGACTGGACTGGCTAATAAGAAAGACAAGAGGCGAAGAGAGTACAAGACTCTATATACATTGCTTGGACCTGGAACGCGGTCTGGGCGTGGTGGTTACGTCCATCACGATGAAACTGTTGACGGCTGAGCTCGAGACGACAAGGAGACGGGTAAATGGGTGATGTTGTACACATAGGGAAAAAGGCGGTCGCGTAGAGTAAAAGTAAGATGGAAGAGCTGGGGTTCTTCGTTTCAAGGGAACGCCCAGCTTCAAATATATTGATGACCTCAGGCTGTCTTGGATATTCTAGGCTATCACGGCTAGGTGTCTGCGGCGAACCCAACGAAAAAGTAGCCTTGATAGCCTGACCAAGGCTGTTCCACAGCATGTGGACCTTCACCTCCTGCATCAGCTTCGGTCGCCTCTATCGCCGACAAACGGATGGTACTCTCCGATCCCTCGGTTGCAGCCGAGATGATGACACGACAGCCACCGTTGTTGAGCTCTTTTTTGCCGTTCTTGCACGGTTCTCCGGGATCGCACCTGGAGCATAACAGGAGTGGTATACTCACCTGGCTGCCAGCGGATCTTGGAGACGAGGACAGAGAAAGTGTCTCCAGCAAGGGTTATCCATCAGAGTCTCGCTTTGGCAGTCTTCAACTCATTTGCTGCTCGAAGTCTCAGCTCCCTCCGCAAGATCTTCCCACTGGCAGACTTGGGCACCTCGTCCAACCAAGCTAATCCGCCTCGCAACTGCTTATGCGATGACAGATGCTCTCTAACAAAGGCTTTGATCTCGTCCTCACTTGCGTCCATACCTGGCTTGACCACCACGTACGCCCGTGGGACCTCGTTCTCAGCATCTCTAGGATCCGGCACTCCAATGACTGCGGCATCGATCAGGCTCGGGTGAGATACAAGCAGAGCTTCCAGCTCAGCGGGAGCAACCTGCAGACCCTTGTACTTGATGAGCTCCTTCTTGCGATCGACGATATATACGAGTCCGTTCTTGGAGACACCAATGTCGCCGGTCCTGTAAAAGCCATCCACGAAAGAGTCGCGATTGGCGTCCGGTCGGTTGTGGTAGCCCTGGCAGACAATGGGTCCCCCAACGAGGACCTCACCTGGCTGCCCGGCTTGCACGTCCCGGTCTTGCTCATCAAGAAATCTCAACCTAGTATTCGGGAAGGCAGCGCCAACGCTGAACGTCGTGTCGGAGACATCCCAGTCCAAACCCGTGATGCTACCAGTCGTTTCGCTTGTACCCCAAAATTGTGATATTATCGTCCGGCTTCGTCCAAGCTTTCTGCTTACTTCCTTTCCCAGCTCCAAACCCATCGGAGCAGCACCTGTTGCTGCTACTTTCAGCGAGTCGAAGTGGTCGGTCACATTAGGCGACTTCGCAACAGAAAGCCAAATTGGAGGTACGCTGAACTGGACCGTAATCCTGTATCTCTTCTGATACTCTATGAAGCTGTCAAAGTCGTACTTTCGCATCCAGTAAGTTGTACCGCCCATGTAGAATGGGTTCAGGGTATACCACGCGATGCCAGCAACGTGGGCCATCGGAAGATGAGCGATAGTGCTGAAGTGAAATGGCTCGTTGGGTCTCTCCCGTGCAATGCGATCTAAGTACCTCTTGCTAACGTTCATGCAGCAAACGTTGCAGGCTACGAGGTTGAGATGCGATATCCGAACTCCCTTTGGCAGCCCCGTCGTGCCCGAGGAATAGATGATGCATGCCGTAGTTCTGTCTTGCTCCTCCCGATTGTTGATGTGGCACCGGTCCAGCATTGGGCCTGCTTGAAGGTCAAGAGCAGGTTTCCGGTTGGAGGACTGGATCAGATTCCAGCGCTTTGGTGTCTTCGAATCGATGATCAGAATGCGATTCTGAGGGATGCCGCATTGTCTCGCTGCCTCAATCGTGTTCTGTTCGAACTCTTCCGAGCAGAAGAGCAGCTTTGCATCCGAATCTTTGATCTGTCTTGCCAGCTCTCCGACAGTGAAGGCGGTCGATGCTCCCGAGAAAATCCCACCTGCATTGACCACGGAGTAGAACAACACGGGAAGGAATGGACTACCAGAGCTGGTGCATAGAACAACGTCCTCCCCAGAACCTGAGGATCCAATGCCGTAGTCATGTCGAAGCACATGTGCTGTGCGTTTGGAGATGCCTCGGGCTTCGGCCTTGATGACACTGTTGGATGGGTTTGCTGCATCGACATGGAGTTGTGTATCTTCCTTTGCTCTGGCGCACCAGTCTGATGCTTAACATTGTCAGTAACTGAATGCTAACGTGATTGCCTGCTTAACCAACCAAACAAGAATGTCAAAATATCTAGGCTGGGTAGTTCAAGGTTTTCTTCTGGCTCGTATACTTTCATCTTAAAGCAGTGGTATCCTGCCGGCACGGATGATCAGCCAGTTCTCGATTCTGGGACTTTGTTCACGGACTGTCCACGGTGTTTTGACAAAACTATTCGAGGACCTTGGTTAACCCAGACCCCGCATTGCGTGGAGTACTTCAGCATGGGACACGAGCAAGCGAGGGCCAGTGATAGTGGCTCACCAGATCAGAGCGAGAGTCGTGAAGCAACTTGTCACAGACAAGAAGGGCTTGCTCACGAGCGTCACGTGGTCTTTTCGGATGCATTTCGGTCCCGGAGAAGGCTGCCAGGTATGCCAGCTGAGCCGCTTCCACTTTGCCTCGCTTGACAAGATGACGGGCTGTGGACCAGCAACGAGCGGCCACCGAAGAATGGCGATGTCTGATAATGTCGGTTGGTCATACAGGCTTTACATATGCAGGTACATACAGGTGTTGACCAAGCAGCTGGGTAACGCCATTGCGGCGGCCAACAATCTTCTCCAAGCGAACTCGTTGAATCGCTGAGCTCCAAGATTGCCATGCTTTGACGGGATGGTGCTAATACGTTCGTTCATCTCTCAGAATCAAGACTTTGGCTGTTTGGGTGCCTCGCACATTACATGTACGTGTGAGCTTCAGCTGCTCAGAACTTCGACAATGTTCCTCACAGCCATCGAATGAGCAGTGCCGTTGGCTGCGGCGCAAACCGCAGGTGGGTCGCCTAGCAAGGCTGGAGTTGTAGGGCGCCGTGCTCGAGTATGAGGTAGGTCCATAAGCAGTCTCCGCAACAGCTCACGTTAGCCATCTCTCGGACGGACCTGGCGATGATCTTTTCCGATTCACCCTGTATCGGCTCATCCTGGTGCAGGTGTCGCTCCAGTATGCACTTCCCCATACTGCTCAATATTGCCAAACTCTGTCGGAAAGTCAAACAGGGCAGAGAGCATCGGGTTCGACGGCCAAGGGCTGCCGATACCAAGGTCCAAATTGCCGTTCGGATCGAAGTCCAGCCAATCCAGCCCTTGCACTTCGTTGTTACTCCGAGAGCTTCCATTTGCCGATGGCGCTTGCGGTGTAGCTGTAGACAACTTCTCGAATAGATCCATCACCCACGAAGCAGCGTCCCAGTTGTCGTACACGCTGCGCAGAGCCATCATGCAGTTGCTGAGCGTAGACCGGCCAAGCTGAGCGACAGTGGGCTGTGGGCTCCTCAGCTGGGTGTAGGATGCCACGCCGGCGAGAAAGAGAGCCTGGAAAGTTTCGTGGGGATAGTTTAGGAACTGAGACCGGACAACGATTGAAGACGCCACCGTGGAGATACGCTGTGCTGCCTGCTCCATGACCATGGCCGAGCCCGTCGCATCGTTTTGCTGAGATCCGAGATGAGCGAGGATGAGGTGATGATCATGAAGCATTGACAGGGTTGGAGTGAACATGTTGTCCGGCGATGCCGCAAGGCCCCAGTCCAATGCAGGAGGAAGCTCTCTTCTCCAATTGAGGATGCTGGTCTGCAGGACGTCTGAGGAATTCTTCATTCGTCCTGGTAGCCACCTGGTGTACACAATCTGACGGAGGATGAGGGAGAGCTTCGCCACGCTAATCTGATACAGTCCGTAGACATTGCTCGGTGCGTAGCCAACACTGCCGTGCCCAGGTGTGTAGTCTTCAAAGTCCTCGACAGTCAGCATCTCGACATCCCCCATGTCCGTGTTGATACGAAAGGGCCGTCCCAATAAAGTCGAGCAGAACGCATCACGTATCATCAATGCCCACCAGAGTCGCTTCAGTAATGCTGCGTCTTTAGGGTGCATGTTGGTGTTTCGTAGCGACCGGTGAATGCCGAGTGTCTCTGCCAAAGTCACGCCGGTGCTGATCCAGGTGTAGAAGTTCCAGTAAGTGTTCGGAGCACCACCCCAGAAGCTGAGCATGAAAACGCTCTGTAGGATTACAATCTTGTTACTCTCATAGCCAGTATCGAAAAGTGCCTTCGCTTTCCTGTAGAACGAGAAGCGGGCCTGTCGTCGGCCAGTGTAGCCAGCGCGGTGCAATATAGACTCAGGACAGAAAGTAGCAGCAACAAAGCAGCTGGACTGCAGCAACAGCCACGGCAGTGAGTCATTTTCGTACTGCTTGATGAACTCGTCTCTGTTTATTATTGGATAGAGTGGAAAGACGATGTCAAGGAAGGTGGATATGAGCGCATTGTAGGCGGCCCGGTCAGGATAGTCGAAAGCCTTCTTCGACAGTAGACAATTCATGTCCTCTGGGAGTAGGTGGGTCGGATGCGCTCGATCTGGAGTCGTTCCTGGAGTCGTCGAGTTCTCCTCAAGTGAAGGCCCAGGGTGGTGTAGTCTTAGGCTGCCGCCATCCTGCAAGTCTTCAAGCACGAGCGCGAGCGGGAAAGACTCGCCCAAGTAGGTGATTGAGCATTTGTCGACGAGATTACGTTCGCCTTGCTGACGACTGTCGAGGAAGTGACTGAACATCGATGACCAGGAAACGTCGCGATAAGCAGACCGGCCGGGCGTCGCACTGCTGTCTACCGCTGGGCTAACTCCCTGGTCTGCCGGACCTTCGTGGTGTCCTGGCACAGAGCGTGGGTTCTGGTCGTCCTGGGGACTGTGATTGTCGGCCACGACAGGTCCAGCACTATCGTTGCCGTTGGCTGACGAGTGGCCATCCTCGCTAGCCTGGGCTTCGTTTCGTCTGGTATTCGCAGCACGAAGCTTGATTGCATCGCGAGAGTACCTCTATAGGCTTACATTAGCACTGTCTTCATCTGACGATAAGATAAACCTACTCCTCGCCGCGAGGCCGTCAAACGGCACTCTACCGACCCATTCCTACGACATCGGCTGCAAGGCTGTCCCACGCTGGTCACATCGCACTTGACGCGTTTGTTATTGCAGCGCTCACACGCCTTGGAGGCTCTCACCCGGCCTTCGGCATCTGGAGCCATCAAAATGTCAAAGCATTCAAGCGTGCTGTCGGCGGGTAACAGAAGCACGTTTGCCAGTGCTCGCTTCGAGAATTTGCCTCAGTCCGGCTAGAGTTCTAAGCATACAACCGGTAACCGCGCTGGCTTGTCTTTCCCCTGTCAACCTACTCCTCCGCAGCGTCATCAAAACTGATCACGACGTTCTCCCGCCGCCACGATCAGCGAGACGCCGCGAGATAGACCCAGGCATGACGCCATTGAGGTAGGAGCGAGCCCCATCTCAGGTGAACCAGACTTGCTGGTTGCGGACGACGCGGCTCTGAGCTCAACCCTCGGAGCCCACTGTCTGTGAACTCAATCTGCCTCACAGAAAGAGAGAGAACTATCTGTCGTAAGCAGACGCACTCAATCGATATTTAGACCGGCGACAGACGACTTGAGAGAATTTCCATCACGTTTCTCAGCATATCCAACTTCTCCCGGTTCTGCGAAGTGCTCCAACAACGAGAATGGCACCAAAAATCTTCATGTGAGTGTTTCGCCACTAAATGAGAAGACAAGGTCATGCTAATTGTTCGTAGCACTGGCGTTACGGGCTACATTGCCGGGGATGCCCTTTATGCACTGTCCCATGCCCACCCAGAGTTCGAATATTCTGCTCTGATCAGAACGCAAGAAAAGGCGGATGCTGTGAAGAAGGCGTATCCCGAGCTTCGGGTTGTGCTCGGCGGCCTGGACGACTCGGAACTTCTCAAGCAGGAGGCAGCCAAAGCCAATGTGGTGCTTCGTAAGTTCTGACATTCGTCCTTGTCGGGCATGAATGCTAATCTTTCAGATGCCGCGGACGCCTCCGACCATGAAGGCGCTGCCAAAGCTATCATTGCTGGTCTACTCGAGGGCCACAGCAAGGAGAACCCAGGCTACTGGCTGCATACTGGTGGCACAGGTATTCTCTGCTGGGAGGACATGCGCAACGGTACGCTAGGCGAGTGGTCTGAGAAGGAGTACAACGATTGGACAGGCGTGGACGACCTCACCAACTTGCCGGACGACGCTTTCCACCGTAACGTCGACAAAGTTGTGTTGGAAGCCGGTACCAAACACGGTGACATGATCAAGACAGCCTTGGTCTGCCCTCCAACAATTTATGGTAAGCAGTGCGACCCGAGCTTATGATGTGGCCACAGCTAATTTAAGATTAGGAAACGGCCGTGGCCCAATTTCTGGACGTGGTCGCCAGGTCTACGAGTTGACAAAGTTCATCCTGTCTTCCCAATTTGTTCCAATCATCGGAAAGGGCAAGGCGAGGTGGAACAACGTGCACGTTGCGGATCTCGCCAATGTCTATGTTCTGCTCACAGAAGCCGCGGTGGCTGGAAAATCAGACGATGGGCTTTGGGGCTCGAAAGGTTACTACCTCACTGAAAATGGCGAGCACATCTGGAGCGATGTTGCCCGCAGCATAGGCAAGCAAGCAGAATCTGCCGGCGAGGTCAGCAAAGGTCTCGAAGAACGTGCTCTTTCGCGAGACGCTGCAATTGAGCAAGCCGGCTTTGAGGCCATCAGCTGGGGGTTCAATTCACGAGGAAAGGCAGAACGGGCACGTAAGCTGCTGGAGTGGAAGCCTACAGGGCGGTCGATCGAGGATGAGATACCGGAGATGATCCGGATAGAGAAGGAGAGATTGAAGTCTTCCAAGTAATGCTTATGTATACTACGTAGGTTACGTATGCCAGCGTTGCTCCGCTTCGGCTATGCAAAGTACCTCACATGTACACCTTTCGTTCAGCCATGGCATTGACATTGACATTCTCGGCCTATTGCTTTAAACCGTTTTTCGAATGTTATATACTTTGCTTGTCTGGTCCGTCGTTATACCTGTTCATTCCCAGACACAATGCGAGCTCTTCGGTTTCACGATGCGCTGGACCTCCGCATGGACGACGTCGAGCGTCCGTAATCCATCTCCAATCCCTCTTTCCACATCTCTCAGCATACTGACACATATTACAGGCAATGCAACATCGATGAAGTCAGATTAAAGGTCGCATACTGCGGGATTTGTGGAACAGATTCACATGAATACCAAGCTGGACCGATTCTCTGCCCAAGCAAAGAACATGGGAACCTCATCTCAGGAGCCAAACTGCCACAGGTTCTTGGCCATGAGTTCAGCGGGACCGTCACAGAGGTCGGAGACAGCGTCAAAGGCGTCCAAGTCGGACAACGTGTCACTGTGAATCCTGCCATGGACGATCGCCATTACGGCCTAGAGACCTGCGAGGTCTGCCAGTCGGGACGGCCCAATGTCTGCATGAACTCGACCTTCTACGGCATCAGCGCCCAAGGAGGCGGTTTCGCTGAAGAGATTGTGGTCAAGCCATGCTCACTTTTCCCATTGCCGGACAATGTATCCCTCAAGCTGGCGGCTCTTGTGGAGCCGTTGTCAGTGTCAACTCATATGGTGCGGATCTCTGGTTTTCGAAGAGGACAAGACGCTTTGGTGCTCGGCGCTGGACCGATAGGAAGTGCTCTGGTGTTCATGCTCAAGGAAGCAGGTGCTCGTCGGGTCTTCGTGAGCGAGACCATAGAATTAAGAGCCGCTCGAGCGAAACAGGCTGGAGCGGACCGAATCATCCACCCATTGGAAGAGGATGTTCTCAAGGTACTGAAGCAAGAAATGCCTAACGGAGTCGACGTAGCTTTTGAGGCGTGCGGTCTGCAATCGACACTGGACACCGCCATAGCCGCCGTAAAACCTGGAGGATGCATCTTCAACGTCGCCGTTCATGAGCGCCCCATCACCATCGATATGAACCTACTTACACTCAAGGAGAGGAGGCTTATGGCTGGCAACGCTTACACGGCAGAAGATTTTCGAAAAGTAGTGGATGTGTTGAGCGTGAAGGGCAAGGAGGTTGAGAGCTTCATTACCAAAGTGGTGCCGCTTCAGGACGCAATCGCTGGCGGCTTCGAAGAGCTGGTCAAGAACCGCAGCAAGCATAACAAGATCCTGGTTGAACTGAGTCCAGAGTAGTTGTTTGCTCGTCTCGCGGAAACGCAATGGCCATCAGACCTGATTGTGCCTGTTGTCGCACAGGTTTACCGACCAGCCTGACTGAAGCAGTATTCGACTGTCTCGACCACATCTTCATCTCACCAAAGTATGCATGCTGTGTGCATAACACTCAGCGCCCCTCTCGGGCAATTGTTCGCCGAAATGAAATCGTCCGGAAGAACTCTTTACCATAGACTACCATATAGCCGCGATCTGCAGTGGTTGCATGCCTGAGCCGAGTGACGATCGTGAACACCAGCACCAGATCTCTCGTCGATCGAAGTCAACGCCCAAGCACGAGTCGCGCACTACAACGAGATGCGGAGATCGACTGGGGCATGCTGGGGTAGTGTATGCCACGCGGAGAATGCCTTGTCCACGTTGTCGGTATGATAAGCGACGTTTGATGACTTGGAGGCGTTCCCTTCTATCGATCTGACAACTGTTACTCCTTCCTTTCATCTCACTATTTGCCTGCCTTACTCGAAGGTAAAAGTTGCTCACCACGATGGCCTTCCACCCAACGGGAGGATTGCTCCTCTTCTGGATCACGGCATCATGTTCTTTAGGATTTATGCTGTTCGGTAAGTCAATGCAACCTTCCTCGAGACTTGAGCAATGTCAAAGATAACATACCGCAGGCTACGATCAAGGCGTTTTTGGAGGCTTGCTATCCAACCCGACCTTCTTAGATCGATTTAACCACCCGGGCGCCACCTTGCAGGGCCAAATTGTCTCGACGTACACCATCGGATGCATCATCGGCTCCGTAATCATCATTCCGACTGGTGACATGCTCGGACGACGAAGGGCGACGATATTCGGGTGCACAGTCGTCGCAATCGGAGGGATACTGCAGGCTTCAGCGTTCACCCTTCCACATATGATCGTCGGACGGATTGTTTCTGGTATCGGCATCGGCATCAACACAACGACTCTCCCCATATGGCAGAGCGAGACGTGCATGCGACCGTCGCTGCGTGGGAGACTTGTCGCGATTGAGTTGACGACCTTGGTCTTTGGTTTTGTTTTGACGAACTGGATGTCAGTACCTCCCTCCTTACGAACAGTAACTGTTGATGCTGACTTATCCATCACCAGGAACTTCGGCTTCACGTACGTCTCGCACAGCGAGGTATCATGGCGCTTTCCTCTAGCGTTTCAATCCTTCCTTGCAATCGGCACAGCAGGGATTACTCCATTCGTTGTCGAGTCGCCTCGCTGGCTCTGCTTGAAGGACCGCGAGGATGATGCCAGGGTTGTAATCGCCCGACTGTTGGCCAAACCGGTCGAACACGAGGATGTGCGAGAGGCATTGGAGATCATGCTCGATACTCTGGCACGCGAGAAGGAGGAGTACAAGGCCGGATGGAAGGAGCTGTTGCATAATGGCAAGCAGCAGACCTTCCGACGGGTCCTTCTCGGGATGGGGACGAATTACTTCCAGCAGATGGGTGAGTGCCAGTCGATAGGAGCTTCAGAAGAGCCCATGAAGCCCCGAGAGCGCACCCGACACTGACAATCGCTCGCAGGTGGCGTGAACGTCGTGGCCTACTATCTCCCAGTCGTCCTGGAACGGTCTTTCGGCTTCACTCCCCGGTTGGCCCTCATCCTCTCCGCCTGCGACAGCATGCAGTGGATGTTTTGGGGGGGCATGGCCATCTACTGCATCGAGAAGTTCGGTCGGAAAACGATGATGATGTTCGGTGCACTGGGCTGCAGTCTCTGCTTCATCGTCATTGCCGCCGGTCTTGGTGTGGGTACAAAGGCATCGAACGGTGTTGCGGTGGCCTTCATCTTCCTCTTCTACTTCTTCTTCGGGCAGAGCTTCATGGCGATCGGCTTCTTGTATCCATCGGAGATCAACAGCAACATGAGCAGGAACCGGGGGGCGGCGATCGCTATGATTACGAACTGGTGCGGCAATTACATTGTTGTCTCCATCACGCCAACTGGTAAGTTAAAGGAGCTTCGAGGCTTGTCTGTGACTTTTCAGCTGATCTTAGAACAGGCATCGAAAACCTTGCTTGGAAGTTCTATATCATCTTCGCAGCGCTGAACCTTTCCTTTGCACCAATCATCTGGTTCTTCTATCTCGAGACTGCTGGTTTATCGCTGGACGAGATCGATCGGGTCTTCGAGATTGCGCACGCGCCTGGCGTCAAGATGGGCTACAAAGAAGCCACTCGACTGGCAAAGGAGGAGTTTGAGGCAGAGAGGCTGCGGATCCATGATGGGAAGCAGGTGAACCGCGAGAAGGAGCCCTCGGAGGATGCACATTTTGTTGAGTCGGTGTGATGGCTCCAGAAGTTGTCTACCGCACCGACGATAGACATCAGAGCGTGTATATCTGTACCCTGTTGTATCCATGCTCTCCCAAGCCACCTGTGGTCAGCGCCTGCTGTGCCGGCTTCGAAGCGCCGGGAGTTGTAAGCGCCCATGGTGCGGTATGTAGACTTGTTGTTCCTCTCTGCCTCGCACACGTTATGGAGAAATGAGAGAATGGAAAACAGCTTCCCTACTTCCATTGTAGCATCGAGACACAGGTCTTACCGATGTTTTCTTGGTATGGTGCATTCGGCACCTTTGTCGGATGGTATGCAGCTGGTGGCAAGAATGAAGTCTGGCAGGCCTACCTGACCTTCGCTCACGGAATCACAACAGTGATCGAAGACCCGGAAACGGAGCTTATCGACAGACTCATCTCGTTCTTTATTGCAACTACAGTCTCAAGTCTTTCTGGCGGATATGCCCTTGCTTACGTTGAAGAAAGAATCGGCCACAGTGGTCCTGACTGCGAGGTCTGGCAGACTATCTTTCTAGCTTGGGTGGCTGTGGTGTTTGGTTGTCTGATACGCTGGAACGGGAGAGGGCCGCATACCGCATACAACCTCGCTGACTCGACTGTGTGTTGGAGTTGTAGACGGGCTGGCCAGGAGTCGACCAACCGACGGCTTGAAGACAGACGGCTCGCGTGGGGACGGAGTTGGCTCTCGCTCACCAGGAGCTCACGACAGATAGCCCTGCTCTGGCGGACATGGTAGCTGTTCGATGGTCGAGGTTGATCGAGGGACGATTAGATGGACTGGAGAGAAGCCCGGCTCGATTGGGCTTAGCGTGGACGAAAAGTGAAGATGAAGACCACACCTCACACCGTCCTGACCACTTCCCCCTCCAATCCACAATGCAGCGAGAGCGCAACTTGGCACCGGACTGGATACTGCGCGAAGCACTGAGCGTACAGCATCAAGCCAACTCGACGTGGAAGGCGCCGGGTCAAGAGCAGGAGCACAATTCCAGCATGGCTTCCAACTCGGCTTCCAATGGCTCCGGCGGGCTCACCCTGACCATCCTGGGCTGTGGCACCATGGGCATTGCCATCCTCGGCGGCATCATGGACTCGCTGGCAACGCAGCACCCGCAGGATCATGTCAGCATTCCCACGAAGAGCGTGTCTGGGACAAGTACCCCGGCCGAGCCAACACCAGAAAGGCTGCCTACAGTCTTCAATGCGTGCGTGCGGCGACATGAGAGCGCAAAGAGGATCAAGGCAGAACTGGGCCGCTATCCCGCCTTCGAATCGCTCACAATCTACGAGAACGACAACCTGGGCCCAGTGCAGGAAGCAGACGTGATTCTCCTCGCCTGCAAGCCTCACATGGTCGCCGATATCTTCTCCTCGAACGATATGAAAGAGGCTTGCGCCGGCAAACTCCTCATCTCCATCTGTGCCGGCGTGACGACCGATCAAGTCCAGGCCAATCTCGGCTCCAGCCGGGACAGCTGCACCGTTGTCCGTACCATGCCCAACACCGCGGCAGCCGTTCGAGAGAGCATGACCGTCATCGCTACTTCGAACCCTCCTCTGTCACCTCAGACAAGCCACCTCATCACCTGGATCTTCACACGCATCGGCCGTGTGGTTCATCTCCCACCCAGCACCATGGACGCTAGTACCGCCCTTTGCGGCTCGGGACCTGCCTTCGTCGCCTTGTTCTTGGAGTCACTCGTTGCTGGCGGTGTTGCAATGGGCCTGCCGCGTGAAGAAGCCTACACAATGGCAGCGCAGACAATGCGAGGGACGACGGGCTTGGTCCTGCAAGGAGAGCACCCAGCGATTCTGAAGGACAAAGTGAGCACGCCAGGTGGCTGCACGATTGGAGGATTGCTGGTGTTGGAAGAAGGGAGTGTAAGAGGAACGGTGGCAAAGGCTGTCAGAGAGGCTACTGTTGTTGCTAGTCAGCTTGGTCAGGGCCGAAGTGGTGTGAACGGCACGAGGTTCAATTGAGCTGGATTTACGGGAAGACGAGACAAAAACCCAGGGCCAGCTGCGTTTACAGGGACGAGGCCGCGGCCATCTCAATCGACCGCCCAGACACCCACATCGACCATAGGAATGCCAATCGTAAGGTCGCCAGTGATTCCCTCGCATGCACCTGAACGCTTGGAACTATGCACGATGTAACGGCGTCTGTGCATGAACATCTCTCCATGCCAGAGACATCCTTGGTATGCGGGCCATCTACACCACAGCTTTAAAAACTCTCTCATCATCCGGCTTATCCAGTCTCTCGAGCTCTACACCATGGTTTTCTCTGCAAAGGCAGGCGCCTTTCTAGGACCGGCGACTCTTTGCAACACAAGTCTCGTTCACCATCATGAAGGGACGAGTCAATACCACCGAGCGGACTGACCTCACCGGGCCGACCAGGCCGACCGAGCCTAAGGAGCCTGCCGGAGGCGAGGGATGTGAATACTGGGCCATGGCCTGAGGACGGGAGCACACCGCGCTCCTTTTACAACATTGCTTGTCGTGATGCTGAGACCCGTGAGGAGTTGAATGGAGACTGGTCGATTTGCTGGCTGATCGACTTCAACGAGGCTTGATCTGTCGACGTGCTTTGTTTATATTCGAATGCTGACATGTCGACTGCTAGGTCAATGTCCTGGGACTAAGAATGCGATGTCTCGGACGAACAAAAAGTCATGGACGTCATGCTGTTGGGCCGAGCAGCGTCACGGGCGTCTACGTAGGTTACGAGATTTGTACACTCTTTAAGAGCATAGATAGACGTTAACGACACGCTTTGCTCGTCGCCGGACTTCAAACATTCCGTACAGCGGTCAGCAACCTTACCGAGCCTCGTATTGTGGAGTAAAGAAAGCTTGCGGCGGCTTGTCAGCCTTAAAGTGTACCGCCTGTGAATGCTGGCTGAAATTTTGTACGACGATCGATCGACTGACCACCGGGTATTCTCCCCAAATTGGCTGCATTGCCCGACGTGCAGGAACCTCAGCTCTCAACATCACCGGCCGCTTAACATGGAAATGCGTCTGGATCTACATGTAAACATGGACCTGAGTAGTGGCAGAAATGTATATCAATACCTTCATGAGGACCGATCTCGACGTGCCAAGCAACAAACTGAGTGTTCATCATGGTTGGCGTTGCTGGTCGTAGCAAAGGATGCAACACCTGCAAGAGACGACGCATCAAGTGCGACGAACGACGGCCTAAATGCGCTCGCTGTTTGAAGGCTGGCTACAAATGTGCAGGTGTGATCGTCGAGAGTGCTGCATGGCGCCCAGCCGTTTCTTATCATGCAAGCTAACGCCCGTGACAAGGCTATGATCGACCGCTACAGGTGGTATTGTCAACTCCACACGCTGCTGCTGAGGGCAAAGCAAAGTCATCTGGAAAGCACACACCGGGACCGCTACTGCATGATCAGCAGGAGCCGAACGCTTCTCTCATTCTCGCCCCCTTCTTGCCTCTGCCCTCAAAACTGAAGGATGACCTACAATTCGCGTTCGTGTTCCAGCACTTGGTCTGGAGCTCATATGCCTCTCCGTGGTTGCAGCTCTCTGCGTCAGGACGACTGACCGCCTTGGCCCACGAAGCAGCGCTGGCCTTCTCCCAAAGCGCCTTCGGGAGGCATCACAGACTGCGTGAGATCGAGCTCTCCAGCGCCGCCAGATATGGCCGTGCACTGAAGCAGTTACAGACTAGCCTCCAGAAATGCAATGCTTCAGAGACGGCAGATCTGCTGGTGCCGGTCCTGATCCTGCTGATGCACTCCTGTTCTCTGTACACCACAGAAGAGTCACAGGTCCACGTACGCGGCATTCATGATCTACTCCGCAGCTGTGGACCGAAACCGTTCCAGCAAGAGCCGCTCCGAGCTGCCCTGTCATCGACTCGTGCAACATTGGTCACACTCGCCCTGATCGATAAGCGGAGATTGTTTCTTGAGGATGCCCGCTGGAGGGAGGTCCCGTGGTCCTTAGCTCCGGTTGAAAAGCCCGCTGCCGAGGAGCTCGTTGATATGTTGGTGTTCTTGCCGGGCCTGACACAAGATGTGGAGTATCAGAGCCGGACTACGAGCGATCTGTTAACAACTCACCTCACTGAGCGTCTGGTGGAAATATTCCAGGTGCTGTTCCGATGGAGATGGGCATGGAACTCTCGCTACCCGCTGGCTGCGTGGGAGGAGGAGAGGCAGGCACCGGCAGTGGCTGGCTGGAAGCCTGCTTATCCTGGCATCTCTTCACGCCTCCTTCGATTTGCTTCACCGGAGAGAGCTTCGGATGTCCTGCTTTACAACACTATCCTCATCATGGTCTTGGGACTTCTGCGACAGCTGTCTTCGTGGGTCGAGGTTGAATTAGCTATCAAGCGGGCCATTGCGAATACGCAGCCAGTGGAAGCTTTTGCACGAAATACTGCCCTTAACATGCCCACCGCAGGAATCACTGCATGCACAGCGGCGATGGAGATAGCGAGGGCCTTCGATTACCACCTGCAACCTCAGCGCATCCAGACTCCAGCTCTGTACTGGCTTTTCCCGCTTGGTCTGGCGAAACGAACCCTTTTCGCGGACTCTGCTTGGAGGGCGTTTATTGATCACATGATGGAGACTTCCCGCAGGACTCGTGGATATGGCAGTGAGATAATGGGTGGCGCAGGCTTTGGGTCTTACATCCTTCGCAATTGCGAAATGGGTTTGATCTGATAGACAGATTTATGAGCTGCCAGACTTCATCGCAGCACTTCAGCCCATTGTTCAGATCCCACAATCTACATGTTGCTAAGCATCCACCTAGCCTTTACGCACGATATACTTTACCACCAGACCGTCATGTGGAACATCTATCCGCTCCATTATACTCTACCGGCTCGTGCGCATCTTTTGGTGGTCTCCGCCTTCCACACCGACCGATGTGAAGCTCAAGGTCATCCTGCTTGGGATAACTTGGCCCAGTGATGACCAGAAGTCAAAAGTTAACTTCACCACGATCAGGATCTAAGGATGGCAGCAGCTTCGCTATGCTCAAAGTCCCACCTTGTGGATGGTGGGCGGTTGAGCGCAGATTCCGTAGGCGAGCTCGTCTGTCAAGCCCACCTCCGGGAGGATTTAGTGGACGAGCCTAGGACACAACGCATGTATTTGACCGGCTGCCGGCGAGCGTTTTGCGGCCACCAGCGCCATCTTGCCACCTCAGCTTGAGCTCCGCCCTTTATTGCGAGGACAAAGCGAGCTCTTACACACGTCAAATGGGACTTGCTCCTCCCTAGTGATGGTAGAGTGTTCGCGCTTATTCGTACATGCATCAATCTAAATTACTATACTCAAACATTACTACATACAGACGCAAATTATGGCTTCGACAACTGCTCCTTTCGGAAAAACTTGAAGCCCAAGACATTGACCAACAGTTGGCAAAACAGCGCCACCCAAAACCAGGCGTTCCCCAGGCCATCCAGAATATTGAGCGCGAGGTTAGGGAACACTGGACCCGGACCAAGATTGTCCGGTGCAAACCCTCTCGCGGCCATCGTCACTATTGAGCCCAGGGCCTGTGCTAGAATAAGCACAAAGGAGATGTGGAACCTCGTCAAGGTGTGCAGCATGATCATGCCGAAGCCGACATTCTGCAGCGAATCCATCACCCCGAGCCAGAGCCAGAGCGAGCGACCGGCGATGGCGGATCCGATTGCCCCACCCGCCCAGGGGACGTATAAACCGACGCCCGAGACACCCCAGAGCATCTGGCACCAGCGAGGCGCGCCGAGACCCATTGCGAAGATGGACATGAGCCATGAGTGGCGCTTGCTGAGAACCGCGGCATAGTGGAGCACGCCAGCCCAGACGACCACAAAGAACAGTAGGACGAGAAGAGCCACGCTCCAGATGGGTAGGTGCTGTGAAGACCAAAGGTACAGCCAGTTGCGGCCGTAGGGTGCCGAGAGGAAGAAATTCTGCATGACCTGCGAAGCGAGATATTAGCATCGACCACCTAGCCATTTGCGCATGGCTGCATGTATTGAGGGGTTGCCGGACGTACCACCATGATGAAGAACCACAGCACGATCTTGCGACGGAAGACGCCGGACAGAAACCCTGGTACGTAGCCTGGCTTCTGTCGATAGTACTCTGGCAGTCCAAAGAATAGCGTGAGCCCTATGCTCCACATGAGGACAGCGATAAGGACGCCAAGAGTGGTGGTAAGAGCGGGACTGGAGACCACAAGACTTGTGTTTGCGCCGGCGTCGTTCAACTTGGCTTGCGAGGCGCCCCAGCACCACAGGAAGGATATGTATAATTGCTGCAGATGATGTCAGACACCGCTCCCTGCCGTTGCTGCTAGGAGGACATACCTGAGTGCCTTGTATGATTGAAGCACGGAAGACCCACGATCTCACCGGGGCTCCGCCTTGGTCTCCGAAGTTGAGCGCGAAGAACAACGATCCGCTAGACGACGCCGCGGCATAGAGTCCGGCGGCGACTTGTTGAATCCAGTTCTTGCCTTGGATTCCATTCACAAACGGTGCCATGCCGATCAGGAAGAAGGCGAGCCCAAAAAAGACAAAGGGAAGCGAGAGGACCCAGATCGACTTGAGTGTTCTGTAGACGGCCCTGTAGGTGACGAGTCAGCTTCGAACGTGGCACGCTTGACTTGCATATCTCACCACCATGCCGCCGACGTGACCAGGTAGATGGTTGCTATGATGTAAAGCTTTGTCGCGGTTTCTCCCACCTGGCCCGTCAAGAGTGTAATTTGATATGAGTTGGCGGAAATCACTTGTCCCTAACGTGCTGTCAGCTTGGATTCACCCGCAAAGAGCCCTCATATTCGGCATCGTCTCATGCGACGTCGACGGGGAGGAGCAACTTACCAATGCCAGGAGCAGCGAGTACAGCGGCCAGTCTCCCAACCGACGCAACGCAAGTTTTCTTATCCCAGTCGGCGGCTTGTAGTCGTCTGGGAGCAAAAACTGCTGCCCTGTTTCTTCATCGGAGTCGTCTGCGTCGTCGGTAGGGTCATGCACGAGTGGCGATACCGTCACACCGGGGCCAGTCTTGTCCCTGAAGATGGATCCGACCGGTGTGCTCGTTTTGCCCATTTTGGCACCACGGAGACGGTTGAACCAGTCCTTTTCACTCTTCGTGATGAACTTTTCGATCGTTGTGTCGTACGTGTTTCGCCCATCGAGATCTTGTAGTTGCCGCGCAAAAGCTGTCTCGTAGTCCTGCCTGGGGTCTGTGAAAAACGGGTCAACCTTCTGCAGGCGGAAATCCTTCTTCTCTCCCACCACCAGGTCGTTACTGAGCATGGGAGGGCGGAGCAGGGCTGGACTGTGCGGAGCTGGGTTGTGCATATCTCGGGGTGTTGAATCTCCGCTCGCATGGCCAGACCTGGTGATGGGCTGGTAGCTGGAAGAAGGCCGTGAGGGAGACGCAGTGGTCGGTGCATTGTCTGAAGGCATCAAAGTGCTCCGCACGGACGGAGGCCGAGACGCAAGGATCCCAGGTGTTGATGGGCGACTGAGCTCGATGCCATCGTGGAAGTGATCTCGGAGTTCCATCCCTTCGGGGCTGTCTGATAAGACCGACAGACGACCCTGCCCGTCAATGTAGTCTTCCTCACCTCCGAAAGCTCTGCCAATGAAGTCGTTGCCTGGAAAGTACTGAAGAGCCTCGCCAATGCTATCGGTATCGGTATCTTCATCGGCCACGTCCGGGCCCGTTTGAGCACCAGGGCCGAATCGAGTCCCCGCGCTCAGAGGTAGGAAGGCGCTCCAGTCGGGCAGTGGTGGAGTATTGGGCCTGGTTGAAGCGGGCGACGAGATCGGAGTCGCGTGCCTGGCGGAAACCGTGGGAGTCTCCGCGCCGTTGAACCCGTCCCGAGGTGAAAAACTGCTCCGAACGGTTTGGTGAGCCCCATAGGATGGTGTCGTGGTTCCGGACGGCTGAACTTCGCTGCTGGGGCCATCCTCTATTCCCAGGCCGACCGGTTGTGCTCCTGCAGGAGCAGACACATGCTTGCTCAACCTCTTACGCGTCTGCTTCGGCTTCTTCGCATGCTTCTGATGTCGCTTGATCGCGGTGCTCTGCAACGTTTCCAGGTCTTGGACCCATTGCGCCACCGGGAAGCGCTGACGACTGCTTCTCGCTCGGAGAATCGCGCGTGTTTCAACCTTTGAAGCCAAGGCGTTGTCGATGGCTCCCTTGAACTGCTGGAGAAGATGGGCACTGCTGGTACTCTCAATGGTGTACCACCAGCCAGGCATCTGGCCCAACCCACCTACTCTTGCACCAACCCCAATGGCACCTTTACGCCCGAACTCCACAGCCACCAGTCCAAACGGCTCATCTCGTGAAGGTATCAGGGCGAACTCGGCCCCGGAGAACACACAAGGTGGGAGAGCGGTGAATTTGGGGTTCGAGTACACCCTGCCCGGATACTTTTTCATCATCCTTTCAAGCTTGATGGCGGCAAACTTGCCGTAAAGGTCGATGACTGGTCCGACACATATCAACTGCGTCTTGGGGTGCTTCTCGAGAATGGCCGGAAACACATCGGCGATGAGGTCTACACCCTTTTGCATGGACCAGCGGCCGACAAAAACGAACAGTTCAGCAGAACCGTCCACATCGAGACCGGCCCATCTCTGTGCCTCCTCTCTTGTGGCCGCCCGGCCGGCCTCGTACTCAGGGTCGACAGTAGCTTCCTCGGCCAGGGCTGTAGCGTCACCCTGAGCCCACGCTGCAATGTCGCTCGGATCAGGGTTCGGAAGGGCGCCAATGCGGGACAAACGCCAGAAGATGGGATAGCGTGCGTAGGAACGCTTTCCGTACTTCGTCGACACTCCGACCGCGCCAAAGCCGTTCTGATGCTCACGAAGGTAACTCGCGCCCGCGTGCAAAAGGTTGAAGACTTCGCCGAATTGCACATACTCCCGTACGACTTCGGGACTAAGATTGTACACCTTGCAGACCTCATCTCGTTCTTTCCCGGTTCGCATTGGCCAGAGCCCTTGGAATTCTGCATTGTGCAGCGATAGCGCACAGGGTAAGGTATCTGGGAGAAGATACAACGGAGCGGCGGCGCCATGGTAATCGTTGATATGATAGATGTCCGGTCGATACCTCTTAATGGATTCGGCGATGCATTGGTTCCAGGCTGAGTAGTAGATGGCTGACTCGATGTCGTCCATTCGAGGCGGGTAGGGTTCGGCCTTTGTCTGCTTGCGAAAGACTGGTGCATCCAGTAGGATAAAGGTGATGTTGCGCAATACGTGTGTCTGCACCCGTACATGATAGGAATTCCCCAGAATCGTGATCTGTATTGGTTCCGCGAGCTCGTCTTCTTGGGGTTCAGGGTAGTCGACCTCCCCTACGCACGGCACGACCCACAGGAGGTTGTGGTGGGTCAGATGTTTCCCCATGAGCTGCGCCATGACACCTAGGCCGCCGATCTTGATCTTGATGCCCCAGTCCTCAATGTCGTATTCCATGGTGGCGATGAGCACATTACGCCGAGTTGGTGGTGTCATTTCCACGGTAACCATAGGTCGCCTGACAGTAGCACCAAAAACAGTTGCGGCGTTGCCTTCTGCTGTATCCGATCCACTTGGCTGATGATGCTTGCGTGTTTGGAATAGCTCTGAACCCCGATTCACCCAGCGTTCGGCCTTCTCGACGAGCCCGTCCCCGGAGGTCCCTCCTTCGACAGATTGGAATCGAGTGCGCTTCCTGCTGAAAATGGACGACAGTCTCGCTTTCTTTTCATTCACTCCGAATTCGTTGAACTTGACCGCGTAGAATGAGCCCAGATAAGTCCATGTTGCACCAGCGGCAGTAGCCAGAGGGATCAAGCCAAGGAGGAAATAGAGCACGAGCTGAATCCATCTGGAACCCGTGGGGACTGCGACGTAGCGAAGGTCACTGTCGTTGAGCTCGAACTTGTAAGCAAGGGAGGGCGACGGAGGAGGGTCGGTGAGGTTGACCATGTTCGTCACCAACGACTGAGGCGGCACTCTATCGAGGACGTGATCTAAAGACAGTCAGCTCACTTCTTCACGGCGAGACATACCAACATACCACCGTCCAGATCCCCATACACCCGGGTACGGTCGGGCTGGCCATCCGGATTGATACCCCAGGCATTGACAAGAATCTGAGCGGGCCATTCCAGCAGGACATCTATACTCCAGGTCGAGTTTGCACCAAGCTCCATCTGGTTCTGGAGCCCAGCATCGTATCCAAACTGGTTGAAGGGTCCATCGATCCAAAGATTGGGAAAGGTTCTCGGTCGACTCCAATCGAGATCTCCGTGTTGATAATGGGCACTCGAGCCAGCCTTGCGACTCCAGTACTGAACGATAACATGTTCCCCATCCCATGCCTGGGCCGAGGTGCCAGACCACACTCGAGGGGCCAATTTGCTGTCTCCCTCGGAGTACGTATTCCAGTCGCTGTAAGACGTGCCGAAGTTCAGCGAGTAACGCCAAAGATCTGCTCCTGCAGCGTTGTGCGACACGTAGAGACTCCTAATTAACTACAGTTAGCGATGTAACACGTAGACAGCGACAGAGAAGACAACGTACCCGTCAGATTTTTTGGAGAGCAGAGACCTGCTGTAGTTCGCAGTGTGGGGGAAGATCATCGGATTGTCGAAGTCGCCTACTCGGAACAACACACTGTCCGCCGCGCCAGTGGAATCCCCGTCACTGCTGGAGGCGTTGTTGATGGAGATCTGGTGAATGCCGTGATGCACGTTGTGCAGGTCAACATCGTAGGTGAAGGCAGTAGCGGCTTCTCCAACCCATCGCGTCGTAGTGTTGGTAGTTGAGCAAACGACGCTGTCGAGATCGAGTGCGGCATCACTTGAGTGGGTGGTCGTCGAGGTGATCCGTATACTCTGCGATATGGAATCGCAGTCCATCCCGACAGAGAACCCAAACGACACATGCACTGTGTCTCCATTGTCAACCGCAGACCACAAGCGGTAGTCGTGCCCTGGAAAGAATTCTGTCAAGACCGGCCGAGGTTTGATGAACTTTTTCGTTGGCACCAGAGCCTTGTAGCCCCAAGCGTCCATTGCAATCTTTGTCAAGCATCCATTTGGCTTAGTTGAGCCATCGAATCCCAACGTGAAAGGTCCTGCCTCCAGCGTATATTCTTCGTAGGGTGCAAAGAGGTTTCTCACGGTGGTACCTTTGACAAAGGGTGATACAAGGCTGTCATTTTTGCTGCAATCGAAATGGTGCTCCACTGTACGATTGTCATTCGAGTACAGTAGCCACACGCTTTGGTCGCCTTCGGCAGTTTCGGTCAGATTCTGCACCCCGGACCAGGAAGATCGAAGGACAGACCACATGCCAGTCTCGGTAGGTGTTCCGTTGCTGCCCGGTAGGTAGATGTTGTGGGTATGGTTCGAAAGCTGTTGGAGATAGTACCCGTCGTTCAACACTGGATACGACTCGCGCATCTCAAACATGCGTTTGATGATGTTTCGCATGGGGTGCGAAGGATCACGGTGATCAAGACTGATATTGTCGTCCTCACACCCGTACAATGCAGCATCGACAGGGAAGTTGGCATATTTGACTGACCCAACTTTGTAACATCCGTGCAACTGCCATGCCAGCGAGGACGTTATTGGAGCTCGGCCTGCCACAGCGTCAGCTTTGAATTTCTTCGAGGCGCTTATGGATGGAGTTCTTACCGAACACGTAGTTCGCTGCAGTACTTTCCAGAACATAGTTCGCTTGCTCTTCGCCCCAAGCCAAGCACGGGATCCCCGGTAACATGAGGGTGACGATGAAAAGACCCAGAAGGTTTTTCTCCGTCCCGTTGACGATACCGGGCCAGCGAAAGACCTATAAGAAGATTAGCAGACCGAAGATGAGAGGCATGATCGGGGGTGAGCTCTTACATCATGATTCACAACGCCAAACATACAAGAGGGGGGTCAGCAAATGTGTTTTGGCTTGTCTATCCCAAGGGGATAATACTCACTGGCGTGGATCGAACTCGCCGGTATACGCATTGGTCATATCATTAGTTTGAAGCAGCGCTGAAGCACCAAAGTGTTAGCGCATTGCATGTGAAACCAACCACATTACCTGCAAGACTTGGAATTTGTCCGGGAAGGAGAAGGGAAGGAAGGCATACCATTCCAGGTCTCCACAAAGTTGACCGGCGGATCTCCCTCAGCAGCGAAGGTGCCATCCATGCCAAGAAACCTCGTCAAAGCGCGATAGACAGTATAATGGAACGCGCCACCGTCTAGGGCGCTATTGTCGAGATCGCGGATGTACTCCCTGTTGTGACCGTCGGAACTGACCACTTTCGTGAGATTGTCCTCGGCCATACCGGGCTCCATGCCACGGCCGATGTAGATGGCGCCGAAGCTGTTGCCGGAGACGATCTCGCCGGGGATGTAGAAGTTGTCCTTGTTGTAGCGCTTTGCGCATTGCCGGATGTGATTGCTCCAAGCACCTAGGGGTTTCTGTCAGCTGTATTGGACGGGCGTGGCTGCATGTAAAGCTACTCCGGGTCTGACCTTGTGCATCAATAGTGACCTGTAATGCTTTGTCTATTCGGAACCCGTCGATGTCCAGCATAGCAATTGTCATGCAGCTGAAATGTTTGATCTTCGCGAGTACGCTGGGTCTCCATTCTCGTAGTCGGTCCTGGACGAAGGCGAACTTCGAAAGCTGTCGTTCGTATTCCTGGTAGTTACCGAAAGAAGCAACCTCCCCGTACTATAAGATAGTGTCAGTTCTTCCATCTAGGAGGGCGAGTCGCGGAAGGGAGGATGTTAGTGACAGTAGGGTCGTACCTGATCGAATTCGCTATCGCGACAGCCGACGAAGTAATCGGTGAGGTTGGTCATCCTGTGGCCGCTGTCATCCCAAAATCTAGGATAATCGCAGGAAGCGAGCTCGTCGTCGCTTTGTTGGAAATCGTGGTATCGCATTTCAGACTTCCATACGACGTTGTGCTCTTCTGGGTCGAAGGGGGTTGACTCGTTCAAGTATCCCTCGACTAGTGTTGCCATGCGATCAGCTACACCGGCGACAATGTGGGAGAGCGGCGCGACTTACACCCCATCAAGTCTCCGAGTGTCGCGAAAGTATTGTCCATCACAACATACATCTTGCGTCGGTGCATCTCAGCGATGAGATTCCTCCAAGCAGCGATTGTTCCGAGATGGCGATCCAACAACGTTAGGTCAAGGACGCTGTAGCCGTCCGCGCCCCAAGGCATATTCATCTTGAAAGAGAGGTCAGCGTATTCCTCGGATATCGGAAAGGTTCCTGCCTGTAGGATGAACGCACGAATGGAGAGCCAATGATGTATATAGACCTGATTCCCATGCCTTGCAAGTAGTCAAGCGTATCTTGAAGCCCTTTGACATCGCCGCCATTTCTAAGCGAAGTGGATAGGATGTCGTGTTCGAATTGCGTTCCATTTGCGTTGTCGTTTGAGGGGTCCCTGTGTTGCGTTGGCATTAGATCGTCCAGCATCTTGAAGTGTACGGGGCACCCACCCATTAACGAAGCGATCGATGAAAAGACTGTACATTGGCATGCGCCAGTTGGGCGGAGAGGGGAAGAATTCATGGTCGGCCCACTCGCCCCAGTAGTCAAGGGGATCTGTAGCCGTTTGGTTCTGATTGAGGTTGAAAGCCGCTTGTTCTGCATCGTACTTGAGAGCCTTGGTGATTGCAGCAAGCGCAATGAAGACAAACAACCCAAAGGGTATGGTAACCATGGCCGGCTACACTTAGCCAACAATGCTCGTAAGGCTTTCCAGTGCAGGCGCTCGAAAACAAAGCGCGTAACTCAAGGAAAGATGGAGCCAGAGCTTCCACACGCGAGATGGTGCCCTTGAAAAAGAATGACGAGAGAGCGTACAGGCGACAAAGTCGAGGGTGCGGGTCGTTTCGGTGAAAAGAAAGGAATAAAGTCCCTACCTCCTAAGGGAAAGCATCCCGCAACTCTCACACGGTGAGGTCCATCCAATGCCATGGCGACGTCGTCATGGCATGGCTGCAGGGTAATTCTGGAGCAGATGATACTGACTGCCATTCATAGAAGCGTTGGGAACGGCATGCTTATTGTCGTCCTGCTTTCGAGCCGACAGCCTTGCTCGTTCCGATACATGCGTCGCCATGGCATGTCTGCAGGGTAATTTTGGAGCATATGATGCTGATTGCCGTTCACAGAAGCGTTGGGAGCGACATGCATGTTGCCGTCCTGGTTTCGAGCCGTCAGCCCTACTCATCTCGATACATGCGTCGCCATGGCATGTCTGCAGGATAAATTTGGAAGCAGATGATGCCGATTGCCATCCACAGAAGCGTTGGGAGCGGCATGCACGTCGTCGTCCCTGTTTCGAGGCGCCAGCCTTGCTCGTCGTGATATATGGGGCCAGCCTGGCAGTCTCGACGAATAAGGAAGGGTCAGTCTTATCGGGGCGCGGAGACAGAGGCGAGGAGTCGCGATTGTAAGCCGGACGAGCATGGAATCAGGACCACTGGCCGCAGATGGCAGCCAGCGAGGCGCGAGGCTGACAGGACCCAGGCCCAGGAGCCAGGATCCCGCATCGGCATCGCCACGTGCGGCGGACGACACAGGCCAGCAAAAGCTTTCACAGCAGCTGCCCTGCAGCTAGGGACGCTGGAACGGCAGAGTGTCGTCCAAAAGGAGCGTTTCTGACGTCGAGGTCGATCCTTCAGGCAATCCAGTGGCGCAAGAGGCTGCATGAGATGCCCTGTCCGACAGTGATAGGCGCCTATTCCTTGTCGCCGCTGCAGTGATCTGCGCCTTGGTGTTTCGATAGACAGGGGGGGGAGGTGGGAGGGAAGGGAAGTCAGCAGTGAGGTGAGCTCCAGCTCCGTGTAGTGCGCATTAGCGGTCCAAAAAGAACGCCGAGCATCCGAATTCTGGTCTCAGCGTTACGCAAGACGCTGCGCACAACACTGGAAAGGTGGATGTTGTTCGTCGCCGCACATTCGTTGAAGTGGTCGCCTCCGCGGACTGGAGATGTCTTGGGCGAACGAACCTGATTCCCTGCTGCCACTATCGCGTAGACGCGTTCTTATTATATTACATTGAAATCCGCTGTGGACACTCTTGCCAACATGGCACCAGTCCGAGGGTTTTGGCCCAGCAGAGAGCAGCCCACTGTTGAGCAGCAGGTCAGCTCTGGCTGTCCCAACACTCAGTACATCGCGGCATCCCGCTACTTACATCGACCAAGAGAATGGGTCATGGTCGGAGGAAGCAGCTCCGCCATCGGCTTCTTCCATTTGGCTTTTCGGCGGACATGATGGAATCCTTGTCGTCGCGGAATTTTTCATTGCGGGGACGTTTCACTTCAAGTGCAGTAGCACAAACTTACTCCCTAACCGTTTCCCATCACAAAGTTGATCTCCTCCCATGACATCGTCGGTTCCTGGGACGTCACGAAGCCTGCAGTGCAAGCGTCGAAATTTCTTTCTGCCAACAAAAGCGGCACACAATCAGGCTAGAGCACCAGTATGATTGCTGAAGAGACGTCGCGGACATGCGTCCAGCGACTTCATGAAAGAGATCTCGTTGGTGGTGCCATCGCGGAGAAGGCATAGAAGTTGAAAGTCGGATCGTTTCTGACCAAGGAGTTCGAGGAGATGAAGACCGACGAAGCCCGATACTCCGAGGATGAAAGTGGTCTTGGGTGGCATAGTTGAATGCATTTGAACAGGAATTGCAATGTTGACATTCATCTGTAGTCAATCGCGGAGTGTTCGTTATTTATGTGATTCGCGCCTACCTTGCTGCTCGATATCCCAGCCCTGCCGGCAATAGAAGCAGTGCGCGAGGTGCGTCGTTGTGTAAGCGTTCATAGATGGCGTGACTGAACCGACTGACAAGCCAGCTGGTGCACCTCGCGTGCTGCGCAGAATCCACTGAAGCCCGTGAGGCTCTTTCGGGCGTAAGCAACAGGCTAAAGCACCATCTCGAGCTGGCCGATCACACACGATCAAGCAATGGCTAGCTTGAACAATGGTTGACAGCAGCACAATCAGCCCTATCCTCCGCGCGTGACGACAAGTAGAGGCCCACGAAGACGCTGAGACGCTCGCTGAGTGCAAGCAACATGCCGACGCCCTCCCTCTACCAGCTATAGGACTCCTCAACAAAGGTCACAATAGCGGCCTTCTCGGACCCAGCAAGCTTCGACACCCTGAATCGGACCTCATCCGCCATCGCCGCAGGCCCGCTGACCACGATCATTGTTCCTTCACCGCCGACAGCTTCCCGTGCAATCTCGGATCCGAGGATGGCCCGTAAATCCAGTCTGTCGCCAACCACGATATGCTTCTCCAGGCCAGCAAACGCAGCAGTCTCCCACGTATCACGGAGAGCATCGGCCAATGGGGCCGTACGCACACCCCAGTAGAGCTTCTTTCGGCCGGCATGCCTCGCCAGGAGAGGAGCCACAGCAGTGATGCCGACGCCGCCGGCGATGCAGATGAGGTTGGGGTGCGTGTGGAGGTCATGCTCGGGATCGAACAAGAGGCTTTTGCCGTACGATGACTCCACCAGGAGAGGTACCGTCTTTCGCGATCGCAATTCATGTGTGAGGCCGGTATGGGTCCGGATGAAGAACGTTGCGCCTACCTTGTGCTGGCCGGTGGTCGCAGAGATACGGTCGGACGACTGGGTCGATGAAGTGTCGTCGGATAACGGGTCTTGAACTGCCGCAGACGGTGACTTCTCATCGATGTTGCCGCGTTTGTTGTTCGACCCCTCGTTGAGAGTCATCATTCCGCTGGCAACGGAGAATGGGTGGTTCTCCCATACACGCCAGGTAAGCGTAGGGAAGTAAAGGTAGGCTTGTCCGTTGCAAGAGACTCCCGGGACATCGAGCCGAACGTAGTCATCGTCGATGATGGTGACACGCCCGTTCACAATACCGTTTCGTGCCAATCGAAGTATCCGGAGAAGGCGGTCGAATGCCCAGAAGGCGAACGCAATGTACACCCAAGTCTCGTAGCCCCATTGATGCCCGAAACGATAGGCGATGTGCAGGTAGTATCCAAGGAGAGCGAAACAGGCGAAAAACACGTGAACGGCAAGGAATAGCTCGTAGATCTTCGTGCGGAACGGGAGAACGGAGGCCGGGAGGAGGAGAGTAAGTGCCAACGTCGATATAATGCCCCAGATCCAGTACACGCGAGACGACTCGCTCGTGTATTCCTTGTAGGCGACCACGTACGACTGCACGTACATTGCGCTGTGCAAACAGGCTTGGACGACGGAGATGATCGCCACCCATCGATGGAGGAGGAGGAACGTGGAGTGCGACCAGTCGGTGATCCAGAGCAAGATGTTGTTCCGGCCACTGTATAGTACCAGCAGAGCCATGTTCACCGCACTCAGCACGCCCGTGCGATTGGCAATGTAGTTTGCGAGCTGCGATTTGCTGTCCACATACCAGCTATTGGGACTCGAGATAGTATATCCCACTGAGGAGAGAACAATATTGGCGACCACCAGGTATGCAATGAAGATGGCTTGACCTCGAGTGGGAACCTCGAATGAGTTGAACCATGGTACACGATGGCGGCCACTGAACAGTGGAGGGTCGATAAGTATGGCCTTGAAGCGGCTGACGAAGGCTCGTGGTAGCGGCAGCCCTCGCAAGCACGACAGTGCTATTGGGATGATGGCGCCGCTTGTTATTAATATCAATCTACGATGCGTTAGTGGGAAGGCGAACAAGATGCCAGGAAACAGAGTTCACGTACCCGTACGTTTCGTGACGAGCGTCGTTGATCTCGAAGGTATGATCCCCATTGAAGTTCGCCGCATAATCCTCTTCGGAGACCAGACTGACGGAAGACAGCATCTCATCCGCGGGCGTGGTAGAGTTTGGCGGGTTTGGAATAGTAGCAAGGCTTTGCTGGTACGTGAGCCGTGGCTTGGGTTGCGAGGGCATCCGTCCGGGCACGAAGGTCTCCCACCACTTCTCCACCTCCCATGTCTCAACGGACTCGCAGTGCGTGGAGATACAGAATGCCAGCGTCTGAAGGAAGGGGAGGTTTGTTGCGTAGCACTCTGGGCTGGGACTCTCTCCACCCATGCTCATTCGCTTTACCATGTCGTGATCCATTGGTGGCATGTTCCGGCAGTCGAGTGGATTCGATATAGAGCCCCGGCAGGCAAACGCACATGGCGGGTCGTACATCTTGATACCATACCCGATGAGCCCATGGCCTGGTATTCCTCTAGAGGCAGAAGTTACTCTGCAAAGACATAGCAGGTACGTCAGGGTGCTGGTACTCAAATCAGCAAGTTGGACCATGGTCGAAGTTGGTCGCTTTGGCCGCGGTTGAAACTGAAGGAAGAAGTTGAGTAGGCCAACGGGGAAGGCCAGTGTGGAATGCTGGCATCTTATGTATAGCTGCCAAGGTGGCGTGTCTGGCAGAGCTCACTTGTTGTTCCTGTGAAGATCAGTCCCTAGTCTCGACCCTGCGAAGCGGATGGTGATCAGTCGCCATGGCATGCACCAAGAACACTTACTTGCTCAAATCCTCTCACGGCCGCATCGTGGGGTGAATGGCTCGTCTCGAGACATTGGCGAGTGGAAACTATACTTATGTATGGTGGAAGCGTCGTCGTGATTCTTGTGGGAGTGGAGACGGCCTTCACATTGGCTCAGTTGCATGTTCCGACGCACGTGTAGGCAAGGTACCTTAGACTGCGTTGGGCAGGTCATATTCCATTCAAGCTTTCCAAGTGTGCGAGGTGCGCTATATCAGCTCATTCGTGCTCAGCGCCCAGTCCATTTCGAGAATGAGAAGCTGGTTGTGGACCAATGGGTCTGTCTCCATTGCTGCTTACAATTTCCCATGAGATAGATGTCGCAGCCAGATGTCTCCTGTGTATGGCGGTTGAATGACACACCGCATTGCGATATGCTGTTCTTCCATTGCCTCACTGACTATCAAGGAAGTACGTCTTCATCGCCCTCGGCTCAATCACCGCCTGGAACCTGCCTCCGCTGACTGCGAAGCCCTCGCTCATAGTAACGTTGTGATCATTGTCCGTCAAATACGCAACTCCATGCGAAACGTTCGTCCCAGCTAAGCTGATGTCCAGCGTGTATGCGTAGTGTGCAGCGTTAACTACCGGGATGGCGACACTGCCATTGGTGTTCTGCCACGCAGTCACATAGACTTCTTCGACACCTGATTCGGCATCGAGACGTACAGCGCCGGGACGCGCGAAGCGGAAGTAGCCAGAGAACGCCCACAGGCGGGCAGCAACCTGGTAAGATGTGCCATTGACATTGATGAGAGCGGCGTCGCCGCCAGTCCAGGTGCACCACCAGTGGGACCAGCCGGCGACGTTGTTGCGGAAGGCGTTGTGCATGTACTATGAGATAGATCAGCAAACAGGATGGAAGGGCACATAAATGTGTAGCTTCTCGAGACTTACGATAGCCCACTGGAACCCCTCAAAATTGTTTCCAGACTTGTCCCAAGTCGGAGTCCAGTTCGTACCACCGTCAGACCACTCCGTCTCAATCGTTGGCTGGCCCTTGAGAAGATCATCAAAAGGCTCCTTGATATCTGACTGGTAGTTGTGGTAGGTATTGACGTCAAAGAGATTGGTACCCCCCAAGCGGCCAAGCTCGTAAAGTAGATCTCTCTGCTGCCGAGCGCCGGTGCTGTCACAGCAGGACACAGCAAGGCTTGGGAAGGCTTTCTTGACCATCGGGTAGAAAATGGAGAGGAAGTCGTAGGCTTGGTAGCCATCGGACAGCATTGCCGAGTAAGTGAAGGGGTTGAAGTCGGGCCTGCAACCTTGTGAGCATTTCTCCTGCGTGTGCGAGGTCGAAAAGGCCTACTCATTGTACGCCCCGAGCAAGGACACATTGATGCCGCGCTGTTGGTAAAGCTTGACATATTCGATCAAGTAGTTCGCATACGCCTCTCGCCAGTCTTGTGTGCAGTTCGAGCGGCGGACTCCGCAGATCACACCACCGCCAGCTTCCATACCAGTAGTCTTGAAGCAGCCTGGAGCAGACCAAGCATCCGCATACAAGAAGAGATCCGGGTTGTACTTCAAAGCCGTCCGGGCTAGAGGCAGCTGGCAAGTATCGTTCCCAGGCAGGCTGTAATTGAAGGGTCCGGCTGGTGTGTCGGGGCAAGATGGGAGGATAGTTGCTCCCTTCGAGGACCCGATCAAGTTGCGGAGGATGGAGAGACCGCCGTAGTTCTCACCGAATAGCGTTTGGACGACCGCCTCTTGGTCGGCCGCAGAGAGTGTGTTGGTGGTGCAGGCAGCTCCAAAGGCACCTGAGCATCCTCCTCCGATCATCTTCTGATATTGCTGGGCGGCATTGACTTTGATACTCGTCTCAAAGGTGAGATTGTTCGGTCCTGCGCCGCCATAGCCATTTCCATAACTGGCTTGTGCAGACACGGCGGTAACGGCGCCGGCGAGTAGCCCGGTGTGTCTCATCTTGACCTTGGTTGAGCAATGCGACCAGGGAGTTGGAGATTGAGGCGGACAAGACTGAACTGAATGGACACTTACATGGGAATATTTATTATTTCGTGCACCGAGTATGACGATGACCTCTGCAGATGAATGGATGGAGATCTGTTGTCTTTAGCCGGCACCTCCGGTCCACCTTGTAAACAGGCAGTCGGCATTGAAGGAGTCTCGGAGGCTTTGTGGCGGCATTGATCGTCTCTCAAGCTTTTGCATCAAGCCTTTGCCAGAGAAGCCACGTTCTTGTCGATGAAATAGCCGCAGTGTCGCAGCTGTTGCAGGACTTACAGTATCAGGTGTCGTCGCCTGGAGGTCGTAGGGAGCAGCCTTCGAACAACTGCGCCGGGGTGCCATTACTGTTGTTCCCTTCCATACTCTCCGCACACGGTAGGCCCGCGGGGTGAGCGGGACTGTGTCGTGCGGTCAGTGGTGTCCCTTCATGCAGGTACCGGAGCGCGAGGGGGATGGTGGATGAAGGAAGTGATGCGGCTAAAAGGGAGAGGCCGAAGGCACAAAAGGGCCTGCCTCTTTCGGAAAAGCGTCAAGAAACGAATCCGGCTGGTCGAAGCTTGGGAACATACGAAGACCTCTTCGAACTCTTCTTTTAGACGTTCTGGCATCAAAATGGCTCTGAGCGGCTGCAAGTCGACGGGAAACTAACGTCGAGCTCACAAGCTCCTCTGTATACCACGGCCGACAAGTAGCAGGGCACCCTTAGGATATTCAGAAGTAATCTTCTCAAGGCTACGACTGCATAAGACGACGGACCAGTGGAATAAGACAGAGAGTCTTCTAGCAGCATGATCCGAGCAAAACCCGGAGTAAAGGCAAGAGTCTCGCTCGTGCTACGCTAACATGGCTGCTCTGCTGTCTCTTGAAAAACTTACACCAAAAGACCTTGAAGCCATTCTTCATTCTCATCGCCGTCTTGCACCTCAAACGGTTCATCCAGTCGAGCCCAATCGAGCATCTTGCCCCAATACAGCCAACTGACCCAAGCATGTTCGTACCCTGGGTTACCGCCTTCATACGTCAGTCGTGCCTCAATCACCTTCGCGCCGTTTGCACCTTGCCGAACAACAACAGTATCCCATTCTGGGTCATCAGCGTTGCTGTCTTGGACGTCAGGCCGAGGCCGCTCATACCACTGACGTATCTCGCAGGGAGCAGTGAGGCCTTCGGCAAAGGTAAGAACGACCGCCTTGGAGACCGACGACTGCTGAAAGTAGATCTCTGGGCAGTGGCATGTGAACCCACTCGGCCAACCGGACAATGTTCGACGACCATGGACCATCCGCGGCATACCCTCTCGAACACCTTCAAAGACCATTCGCTGTAACGAGGGAATGCCCGTGAAAGGGACAATCTCATCCAACGGCATCGAATATCCATGTTGATGAGCGCTAAGGTATAGCACCAGGAGTTCGGAGAAGGGCAGTTCAGCGGACATCCCTGTGACCTGAGTTTGGGGCGTTGCTCCACGGTTGGCATCTCTGCGTGCGGCGACTTTGGCACTTCGTCTGCATTCTTCTGCGGCGTAACCTTGGCGCTGATACTCCCGAGCAACATTTTCGAAAAGAGCAGCACACAGCTGTCCTCGTGGAATTTCAAGCATCTTCAGCCTCGTGCATATTGGGAGCAAGACCGCTAGCGCTGCCTCTCGATCGCCATGCTTCCAGCGGACGTAGACCTCTTCTTCTTGATCGGAAGGGATGAAATGCGATGCCCGGACTGCTTGGTGAAACAATCGATCGATCGTACGGACCTGTATGTCCGATGCCGAGTCCCAGTAGAGGCCAGGTCTTACGGTTAAAGTTGGCTCAAACGTAGGCTTGGTCTGATATTGTGCGGTGTAGTAGAAGGCATGAATGGCCGCTGAATCAAGATGTCCTTCCAAAACCAGCTGGAGTATGGAATGGTAGAAATAGCTTGACGAAAGAGGAGCAATCGGGTGCACAATCGTGCGAAAGAATGACGAGATGTGAGGTCGACATATGTCCTGCAGTGCCGAGCTTAAAGACGAGATCCCAAGGAGTGCGGTCAAATCGTCAGATAGGAAGTGCGCGATGCGCCGCCAGGCCACGTGTGGAAGCGAGCAGACGTCGAGCGGCACTGTATTGTCGTTGGCCATGGCTGGCGACCGTCCGTCCTTGCTTCTCACCGCCTGCAGGTATTTTGGGGAAGTTTTTCCCGGGAGAGGGTAGGTGTCCACAGCGAGTAGACAGTTCGATGGGCTGGTCGGACACGACGGAATTCCAGCGTGCGCCATTCTTGCCCGGCGGCAGGGCCATATCAGCTCTGCAACGGCATCGACAAGGCAGCCTCTTGTGATGACTGTAGACTCACAGGGCTGAGCCGCAGTGCAAGATAGGGCTGAGGTTCAGCAAGTTCTGGCAAGCTGAAGATTGAATCTGCAAGAGTTCCAACTCTGTCGCAACAATCCATCAAGCTGACAAACCTCGCTTGCCTACGCACGCCTTTCGAGGCGCAGCAATCTAAGCCATGTCTTTGAACAGACAAGCCTTGTGCAGGAAGTGTCAAGCTTTTGGCCGCCACAAACGTTGGAATCATTGTCGAAACCATTGAGGCGCCCTGGCAGTATGATTCCAAACAAATGGTAGAATCCTGGCGGTCTGCTGCCATGAGTGCTGTCAGGCCATCCCCCCCGGCGACACTCGTCAAATACCACCATCGCACCGCCTTCTGTCGCTCATCCTTTCGGCGAGGATGGAAGATGCCACGACAGCGGACGCGTAATCCTCAAACCTTGTGTAGAGACCTGGTTCGAGGAGTCCGGACTTCCACGCCACGCTTGCGATCCTGAAACATCATCCCAGGCCCACCTGCACCGCGAGCTCCTACGTAAAGCTCCGTACATAAACCTCGCTCTTGCACCTCGATGCACGAGGCGTTGTGCAGTAAATTCTAACTCGGTGTAGCGGTCGTTCAAGAATAAAGGTGTGACATGTCTGTCCATTGAGTCCTCGTTGTCAAAGGCTGGGTTGTCAAGTCAACAGCCCGCATTCCTAATACGACTTCGAGCAGCGGAGCACCTCTTCGGTATCACGACAGCGACTGACGACTTCAACAATAATCGATTCGAAGGTCAAGAGCACAATGAAGATCACACATAGAAGCAGTGCGCTTGCGCTTGCAGCAATGGGTAAAGTTCATTCATGAATGAGCATACGTCCAGCACAAGCTGATCTCCAACCAGCTGTCGCCTCGCAAGCACAACATCTATCTAAGCAATGCTTCTCAGACGTCTGCTATCAGCTCAACATCCCTCAGCAGACGGCCAAATCAGGATCGGGCGACATCTTCTTCCAGATCTCCGGCCCGACCAGCTACTCATGGATCGGTCTGGGTCAGGGCTCACAGATGGCTGGCTCGAACATCTTCGTCGTCTACACCGATGGAAAGGACAATGTCACTCTGTCCCCTCGTCGCGGTACCGGCCACGTTGAGCCAGAGCACGATAGAAGTGCGAACGTCACTCTTCTCGAAGGCTCCGGCATCAGCAACGGCCGCATGGTCGCCAACGTCCTCTGCACCAACTGCGTGAAGTGGCAGGGCGGTAGCACCGACTTCTCCGGCAATAGCGGAGACTGGATCTATGCTTCTCGTCCTGGAGATGCGCTGGACTCTACGTCGGTGAGCGAAGAGCTCGAACAGCATGAGGCTAACGGCTCCTTCACGTGGGACTATGTGAAGGCGCAAGGTGGCAGCAGCGGTAACCCTTTTATCGCAGCACCGCAGGGATCACCCAGCCACACGGGCATGTCTTCTACTCCCACAGTGTCCTCAGGCACTGGGAACAGCGGCGCAGAAAGCAACACAGTCGAAGCATCATCAGACTCGGCCTCATCCTCTGACATGACCGCCACCGCACACGGCTCCCTAGCAGCAGTAACCTTCTTAGTGCTCTTTCCCGTGGGCGCCGCTCTGGTCCGCATTCCTGGTATCGGTGTCTGGATCCACGCTGGCTTCCAGATCTTCTCCTACTGCTGCTTCATCGCCGCCGCTGGGATGGGCATCTGGCTCGCCATGACCGAGAATCTGCTTGACCACGTTCACTCGATCATCGGGATGGTTCTGCTGGGGGTACTGTTCATCCAGCCACTCGGCGGTGTGCTGCATCATCGTGCGTACGAGGTCAAGCAGAGTCGAACTATCGTGTCATACATTCACATCTGGCTTGGGAGACTGGCGATTCTGCTGGGTATGATCAATGGTGGCTTGGGAATTCAGCTCCGTGGAGATGTGAAGCATGGGTATATCATAGCTTACAGCGTTGTCGCTGGGGTCATGGGCGTGCTTTTCTTGGCTGTCATCGCATTCGGAGAAGTGCAAGCGTCTCGGCGGCCTAAGACGGATGTTCGAGGGGATGTGAAGCAGGATAAGAGCCCTTTGTAGCCGTAGGAAGTCTGTAGGAGAGCTGATGCAAATAATCGAATTCTTGGCAATGGCTGTCTGAATTAATGTTGTTCCGGCCTAGTCTTTCCTTTGAAGGTCCTCCAAACCAAATGCCCGCGTTCTCGACGAACGTCACTCTCGGAATACAGTTCTCCAACAAGAGCTAAGAGTAGAAGGCTCCGCTCTCGCAGGCCATGACCAGCCCGAGGAACGTTGGTTGTGCGCTGAAGAGCATCTCCAAGCGCAGAAAGGTCCACTGACTCGTCCTCACGGGTATCAGGTGTCTCCGCGGCCATTGATGGTTCAGACCAGCGGTTCTCTCTTGTTCCGTGGTTGCCGTATTCAGAACAAGGTCTTTTCGACGCTGATCTAACCTTCTAGCCTTCCCACCCCATGGCAATTGGAAAGACAAATGTAACGATCCCAGTACCTCACATGCCTCCCTCGTGAAGACTTGCCTTGGTGGCTGGAGAAAGAACTTCCATCAGAGGTAGATTGCGCCATGCAGGTTGTCGTGTCAACCGTTGCCATCGATTCCGTGCAGTCCGTAGTGCATTCTCCCCTGTATCTCTTATTGTCGGCTCATCTCCAAGGTAGGCCATGCTCGAACACGGGCAGCTCCAGACAATTGATAGTGGAGTTGTGCGACGTTGGTAGCCAAAGTGGCAGTGGTAATACAAGCCGCTTGATGGATCATCCCAGCCGTACAATGCGTCCAAAGCACGGATACAACGTGGATACCCACATGTTGTCCATCGTGCCAGCTGGGAAGGAGGGAGGACCGGATGGGAACATGTGCTTTGTCGCGACGTGTTGATGTTGGGGAGTGGGACAACCGGTTGCTGTTCAGGCTTCCAGTAGCTCAATCCTGGCGGTCCATCACTTCATTGAGGTTGAAGCGCGGCCCAGAGCAGCTGCGGACACGACAGCGATGGTCTACGAGAGACCAGGATGACGACGGGGTTGCTTCCATCCCATGCCATGTTGTTCGCACGGACCCTCTCCGTTCGGAACGAGAAAAGCTTGAAGCGACATCAACACCGACCTCCGCTGGCAAACACATCTTCGAGTCCATCGGACCCACGGATGTCGACACGTGCCGTATAGCCAGCTGCGTATGCGGAACGGCTGCCATGTGCACCGCATGCTGGACGTTACACCCGCGCCATGCGACAATGAAGCCACTTCTCGTGCCTGTACCACTCCAGAAGACCTTTGTCCGGCAGCGTTGGTTCAGCTTGGTTCGAAGTCCCCAGTAAAAAGGTGTCGATCAGAGTCTTGTGGCATTGAGATGCTTGATCGTAGACTCACGTCTACCGCCGGGGCCGCAGCTTACAGGAACGCAATAACGTAGGACTATCACTGGATTACGTGGGCGAACATCCATGCGGTGCGTGGCTGGGAGATCGCATGCACAACGAGAACGATGTATGGAGCCACCTCTTCCGTACGACCCCAGCCATAGTACTCGAGGCTCCACCGCCCGCAACAACAATGACAGCAGCCCCTCTTCGTCAACAGTGCTTGGGGCTTGTGCTGCGCAGTGCCTGAAAACGGTTCGACTTGCACTGTCTTGGAGTCTGTTCCTATGCTGTTGCATCTCCATGCCGCTCTCCCAGATACGAAGTGCCTGATCGTCGCTATCCTTGGCACTGTTGTCCAACATCCGCATTATGCCACGGACAGGGCAATCGTGAACACATTGGATCCTGCTCGAATGTTTGTATCCACATCCATGTTTATCATCTGGGGCGTTGAATATGCTGTGTACACTATTGACCTCATGAGCAACAATCACAGCAAGGTACAAGTACTCGAAGTCTGCCACTCCTCCTCTGTCTCCTTCGAGCTCTCCACGCTTCTGCTCTCACTCGTTCCTCTCCGCTGTCAATTTTTTGACTCTCGTTCACTCGTTTGTCGTTGCTCACTCAGAATGGCGAAGCTCTCACTCCTCCTTGCCGGCTTGTGCATCAGCTCTGCAGTTGCTACGCCACGCGGTCGCAAGCGAGGCGACGGCTGGGGAAGTAATGACCAAGGCCATGAGACCGCGTCTGCCGGCTGGGGCGAAAGTCCAAAGAGACATGGCGGAAAGCCTTATGGTGGCCAGCCCGGGGGCTACGGAGAGTCTTCAGCCGAGACAAGTCCATGGGGATACGGCTCGACCGCCAGCTGTGCGGCCACCACCGTCTATCAGACTCAGAGTGCGTCCACGGTGACAGTGACCTCAGTTTCGACCAGCGTATCGACCAGCGTCGTCTCCGGCAAGGGCAGTACGGTTACGTTGCCGGGTTCGCTCACCACAATCTACCAAACCGGCAAAGGCAGCACAGTCACTCTTCCTGGAGCCACGCACACCTCGACCGTCGTTCAGTCAGCATCATGCAATGCTCCCGTGACGGAATGCGCATCTACGGTCACGCAAACCGACTACATCACCCGGTCTGCTCAAGGCTACAACTTTACGGCCACCGAAACTTCTGTCCTCACCCGTCCAGGTCGCACCATCACTGCTTATGAGTACGCTGACCCTTCTTCCTGTTCTCAATGCTCGCTAACCATTCGCCAAAGGACATCAACTCTGGACGTAACCATAACTTCGGTGTCGCACGCACCAGCCCGGACGTCTACTGTCACGTCTGTCGAGGAGACTACTGAGTACGAGACTCGAACGTTGGCGGGCACCACGTACACCAGCACCAGTGTTGAGCAGATCACTGTGCATGAGACGCAAACGAAGACACTTCCAGGTATGCCCTTTTTCGCTGAGCTCGTTGCTTGGAAGCAACCTTCATCTTCTGCCCATTCCCTCTCTTTGGCAGCATGCTGACTCAAGATAGTCGCCACAGAGACTCAAACTCAAATGATCACTTCCGAGTTCACCTCTACTTCGACAGAGACGCAAACACCAAGCACTATCTACAAGACGACAACGATCCCAGCAGGAACAATCACTCGCACGTCCGTGGAGCAACAAACAGTCACTCAGACGGAAATCTCCACTGCACCAGGTAAGCAGATATCCCATGAGCCCTTTTGCTATGCTGACCCAAGAGCAGCTGCGAGCGAGACCGAATTCCAGACTATCACCTCCGCCTACACTTCAACGACGACCCAAACTCAAGCGCCTTCGACCGTCTATAAGACGACGACGCTTCCAGCTGGCCCGCCTCAGACCATTGTCGTTACATCGACTGCTCCAGGACAAACCATCACCAGCATTTCTACTGCTCCAGGAGCCACAGAAACGGAATACCGCACTATTACTTCCGCATACACGTCGACTACCACGCAAAATCAAGCGCCCTCGACTATTTACCAAACAAAGACGCTCCCTGCCGGTCCCCCACAAACAATCGTAGTGACTTCGACTGCTCCAGCTCAGACCATCACGAGTGTCTCCACAGCTCCAGCTGGACCGCCTCAAACGATCGTCGTCACCTCAGTCCAGCCTGGCACCACCATCACAAGCGTTTCGACGGCACCTGGCGCGGTAGAGACCGAGTACAGCACGATTACGTCTGCATACACCTCGACGACCACAGAATATCACGCCCCGACAACAGTTTATCAAACCAGCACGCTTCCTGGATCTGTCACGACTTCCACGGTTACTCTTCCCGCCGGCCCTCCACAGACAGTCGTCATTACTTCGACTCAGCCTGGCGCTACCATCACGAGCATCAGCGTCTCGACCGCTCCAGCGGCGACGGAGACTCAATACAGCACAATCACATCCGCGTACACCTCAACTACGACAAAGTACCAAGCTCCAACCACCATTTACGAAACCAGCACGCTTCCGGGATCGGTCACGACTTCGACTTTTACGCTTCCAGCTGGACCACCGCAGACCATCGTCACCACCGAGACGTTGCCTGGCAAGACTATTGTCAGCACGGAAACTCTTCCGGCGTCCACCGTGGTGCAGACGACCAGCATTACGAGCGAGTTCACCACCACGATCGTATCTACTGAGGCGCCGTCGACTGTGTACGTTTTCACATCATCCCACTTACTATGCTACCAATTCTCATCTTCTCTCCAGCTACGAGACCAATACCAGCACTCTGCCTGCGTCTACGATCACCGAGGTATGCTTGTCCAGCGAGCTACCCGTAAACCATGCTGACATCAATCTAGATCTCTACCATCTGTGAGACCAGCACCATCACCTCTGCATCAACTTCGACATCCACGGTCTATGAGACCTCGATCGTCTCAACTCCGGTCTACAGAGTAAGCATCCGCCCGTAGAGTTACCAATTGGACATCGCTGACCTTTCTGGCAGACTTCTACGGTGACCGAAGCTCCCAGCACGCAATACGTTACGAGCACGGCAACTGAAGACATCACGATCACTCAAATCTCTCGCGGTCCCGGCTCGACCGTTTATCAAACCCGCACCGACGTTGAGAGCCTCACCGGATACATCACAGTGACTTCCGTCTCCACAGCCAGCGCTTTGCCCATCACCATTACAAAGTTCGGAGGATACAACACCACCTGCAGCGCCGTCCCAAGCGGCCCAGTCTCGCCTCCGGAGACGTCTACAATCACAATCACCGCTCCTGGCGGCCAGACAACCAAGACCATCGTGGACTCGACCACCTGCCCGAGCGCTGGCGTCTCAACGACTACGTCAACCACCACCTGCTACGAGACCAAGACGCAAACAACTTGCGCACGCATCCCCAGTGGATCCGTGAGCCCGCCGCAAACGACCACGATCACGGTCTCGGCTCCCGGAAGCGTCTCGACGGTGTACGCCACATCATACAAGACATCCACGGAAACCGTTTCCGGACCCGGCACGACCGCTACCATGACAGGGAGCGCGGAGTGCAGCACCACCGGCGGCGGGGGCCCATCAAGCTATCCGAGCCCGGTGTCCTCGAGCCCGGCAGGACCGGCAGGATACCCTACTGGTGGCCAGCATGGTGGAGGATGGGGTAAGAGCAGTTCTGTTTGGTGATGATGATGAAGCCGCAAATGATGGCTATGAGGGTTGATGATGTATGATTAGATATGTGAACATAGATTAGACCGGATGGCTCTTCGGAGACGTAATATTAATGGTCATGATTGCATTCACTTGGGACCATCAAATCCTTCTCTTTATCAGATGCCTCCCGACCCAAGTCCAGCCAGAGATTGTACAGCGGAAAGCGCCGCCATTAGTACTCTTGCTGGAACGCTTCCTTCCTTCTTTCCCGCAGCGCAGTTTGGATTCTGGCCATCGAAGTCTCCTGTCGCCAGTTCGAGCATTACGTATAGTGAGTGCGTCGAGAGCTCTTGGTCCGTCGTTGAGCAGCGAAAGGGAACAGCTTTGTGAGCCCTCGGCAGCGAGTGCCAGCACCTAATAGCCGCTGAACCAGAGTCTGTTCTTTGCGGCAGGAGGTATAAGAAGGGAGTGAACAGGTGAAAGGAGCATATCCATGGTCAGCCTGTGCAATGGAGGCAGAACTTGCCAAAATCACTTCAGCACCGCGCAGGATGCTTTGAGGAGCTTCGCAGTGCAGCTGAGCAACAAGGGGATGAGCAGATCGACCACGTAATGGGCGTGAAAAGGGTGTAGGACACGGAGAACGAGAAAAGCAGCAAGAGCATCGAGAAGAAATGTAGATACTACCGGTGTTCTGACTGCTGAGTGGTTTCTCGTACGGACCTCTGGAAGCTCTCGCCCTTACCAACTAAAGCGAACGGTAAGAGCGTAGACTTGAGCCTCCATATTTGCTAAGCGATGCACCTTTAGAGAGCAAATGACGCAGGTGTCTCTCTCTCTTGCCACAATCACTTCAGAATTGCGGGGGATGGTTTGAAGTGCTTCTGAGGAGTAGAGCAACGTAGAGATGAGTGGTCGACCGCGTGATCAGCATGAAGGACATGTAGCACACGGAGAACACCAAGAACATGGAGAGCACCAAGAACATAAGAGAAAAACCGAGAGCAATTGGAACGCAGAGATCTGGTCGACGATGAAAAAGATGAAACCAGCCAAGAACACTACTGGTCAAAGGTCATGATGAATGCAGCATGGGTATCATAACACACACATCCTTCCACGTCCGTCCACCGCACCTTACCAATTCCCTTCTGTGCCATCAAACAACCTTCACCTCCCTCTCCCCCAAAACAGCCGCCCGAACCTGCAACACCGCAATAACCTCCAGCACAAACTCCTGCAACACCACCACATTCGTAAGCACGTGGTTGAGACTCGCCTTCCTCACCTCTTCGCCCTCACCTGCGACGTCGACACCTTCACCCGCTGCAGCCTTGTTCACCGGGAACTTGATCGTCTGCATGAGCACATCAGTCGTACTCGGCGTCTCAGGCGGCGGCGGTAAGAACACAGAGGACTTCGCAGTGGGCACAGCAACGGGAGTCGAGCTACTCCTCTCCTCACCATCGCCAGCCTTGCGTGTTGGCGATGACGACGCGACAAGGCTGGCAGGCGATCCATAACCGGTTGCCTTGCCCGTAGCAATCGCAAGGCTGGAATGACTGGAACTACGGCTGTGATTGGTCGCCTTGTTCGGTACTTCGAGAAAAGTAGCCTGAGTCGGGCTCGCGACAGATGAAGGCGGATGGCTTGCTGTATCGTGGCCGGTGGCTTGCAGCATGTGCTTCCGCCCGGAAATGAGGTGGTCGAGGTTCGGAATGGTGGCGCGAAGGGCGTCGAGCTCGGAAGCGAGGGCTTGCAGGGTGGTGTGGATGAGTGGTGCGGTGGTGTCGGACCAGGTGGGGGGATTGGCGGCCTTCTTGACGGCGGATAGTGCGGCATTTTCGTCTTCGTCGAGGTGGGCGTGCCAGTCTCTTTGCGAACCAGGTGTGGTGGGGTCTTTCGGGTAGTTCGAAGGGTGGACGGCGAGCCAGCCATCAAGGCGCACTTCGACGCAGAGTGCGATGCAGATGATCGCTTGCGTGAGGCCGAGATTGACGTCCACGCTATTCGTGAAAAAGGTTGCCAGCAGATCTCGCATAGCTCTGAGGAGATGGTCTTCTTGGGGGAGTCGATAACAGCCGATCTGCTTGGAACCATGCTGCTCAGGCTTCGTGTCCAGGAAAGGTATCTGAGCTTCGATGACGAGTCGAGTATCCTCAGTAAGGCCAGCATAGGCACAGTCGACCTCAGCTCCGTGGTGAAATGAAGTGGCAATGGCATTCAGCTTCTCCAACTCCACATCGAGAGCTCCAGTAGTCCTCCCAACAGCATCTCGTCTGCAGCTTTGCACATTCAGCAGCGTACCGAAAGCAAAGTTCTTCTGCCTGTTAAGCAATGTAGAAGCGAGCTTGAGCGCCGCAAATACTGACTGATCATTCTTCGAGGTGACGTTGTTCATGATGAGGTCGACCAGATTGAACAAACTAGGCTCCACGGCGTCATTAGGGTCATTTGGTGTCGTCAGAAGCATCAAGCTCTGCCGCCTCCGAGTAGCATTTGGTGACCGAGGTGTGGTGGGTGAAAGTGGTGCCTCCTGGACGGCAGGTGAGCTTCCTTCAATGGCCAGGAGATACTCGAGCATCATGTTCATCAGGTCGGGATACTCTAAGGATTCTAGCATTGCTGTCATGTACGTAAGCACTGCGATAGAGCTTCCAGCATCAGTGTCGCTTGACTGCAGTAGCGAAGGGTACAGAAGTTGCCTCAAGAAGAGTATCTGAAAGTGGTCAAGAAGCGTCTGCTTGACATCTGCGCTGCTACAATGGTCAAGCACATCCTGCCAGAATGCAAGATACGACAAGAAGGTGGCCATGTGACTTCGATGTCGTTCCGAAAACGCGCTCTCGGCGGTGGCGCGCGGGTGCGTGGTACTGTAATCGCTCATAGCAAGAACAGCCGGCAGAGTCGCGTCCGGATGCAGGATACTGAGCTCTCTGTTGAGCTGGCTGTAGAGTGCTCCAAGGCCAGAAGCCATCAAAGTTGGAAGATCGCTGGAAACCACCCACTGCTCGAGGTCGTCTGATCTCCCGGTGGCTTCGAAGATGTAAAGCAGTCCAGTCCGAGCGAAGTCGCCGATGCGGCCATCGTGGTGTACGCGGTCGATGAGCAGGTAGCATAGTGGGAAGTCGTCTTTCTGCGTAATGCCCACGAAGCTCTTCTTCTCAGTCAAGAAGACATCCTCAAGCTCTGGCTTCACAGAGGACTGGAACCAAGAGGACAATATCTCCGGTTGTAGCCGTATCTTAGCTGAGATGGTGAACAGTAGCTCCAGTATCGCCGTCTCGGTATCAATGGTCACCAATACTGTCCCACTCTCCACCACCTTCCTGACCAGCCGCATCAAGCTCTTAGCAAACGCCGCGCTGGACAGGAAGTCCTCCTCCTCGCTGTCCACGAGGGCCGCATATACAGCCACCGTCGACTGTATGATCGGCTCATGCTGGGAGACTGTTGCTGCTCGAGCGCAGACGGCATACACCTGGTTTGCCGCGACAAACTGCAGGCATGGGTGTGGTATGGGCGCTCGTGCTTCCTCTCGTATGAGGGTGACCACCTTTCCAAGGCATGATTGGAGTTGGTCGAGAAGTGGTCCTTCGCTGGTCAGGTTCCGCGGCCGGTTGCAGAGTTGGAGGATTGTGTGGTAGACGCGTTTGAACTTGGCAAGGCGCAAGAGGGGGTCGTTGGCGGCGGCTTTTGGTACCGGCCGCTTGGGAGCATTTCCGCCTCCAAGAAACCCCCATACCCACTCCATCCAGAGCAGCGCATGGTGGACATTAGCGATAAAGTGCACTGTACGCAATTGCAACACATGTAGTTACTTTTAGACGCGCCTGATTGGTCAATCGGCCCTCCGAAGCTCCGATCATTTCTGCCCCTCAACGCACCCTCCCTCATTCTGTACGAGCCCCCAATAGTTGAACTCTTGATATCATCACAGCCCGATCATTCGAAGATGCGTTGCCTATGTAAGCGAAACAGACCGGTAAGATGCACTCATCAGCAAGATTGGACTCTCCCAATCCTTTAAGCTCTTGGATCATGCAACGAGCCACTTGAAAATGAGCCTCCCTCGTACCATATGCTACTCGAAGCTCTCATTCTGGCTGCATTTTTTTCCCATCATGTTCCCAATCGACACTTTCTCGAACTCCTACATAAGGCAGCCGCTTGCTTCAAAATCCCTTCGGAAACAGGGAAATACGCCTGTCTTCGGCGGCCGCCTTCGGTACTGGTGCTATGGCATGCGTAATGGCGGGGGCCGGGGCATCTGACTGGCTCTAGCACGCGGCTGACTTCGGTCTTTAGTCTAGGGGTCTTTGCGTTAAATACAGTCGTGGCACCCAACCTCATTCGGACTCCAGCATTCTCGTCATTAGCAGATCAGCATAACGAAGACCTCGCTACGTGTCTGCTGCGCGCAATTAAGTGTCCTCGACCGACAGCTAATCTTCCCTTCACAGTCAAGCTTGTCCGGACGCGATCTCAACACCAGACCCCCGCTCTCAGTCGCCGTTGACGCGTTCGCTGTACAATCTGAGGCACACAGGCTGGCACGCCTTTGAATGGCTCCATCAACGCGTCGAATGCAGGCAGAGAATGGCGCCTTTTGAACGCCTCCAATATTGTTCCGGACGTGCCACTACTTGTGTGCTCATACCGCCTAGCTTTGCTGACTCCAAGGCCGAATAGAGATATATGGACGTCGTGGTTTCTGGCCACTTCGTCGATGATAGGAGAGCGGATCTAGCTGGGGCGTAAGAGAGAATTGCACCATGCTTGCGGGGAATCGTCCAAGTCTACGACGTTACGCTATCGAGCACTACGAAAGCCATCTCTGCGAAGACCCGGTTCGTTTTCTCCACGCCCTGGCAATCGCGAAAACACCAGCCACGTCCTGCCGGCCGCATCAGCCACAAAGTTCTCGAACACCACGCGTTCAGCGACATGGAAGTCAAAATCTCAAAGGAGGCAAATCTTTTCCAAAGCAGTGAGTGCGCCAAAACTGGTCGTCGGCTTCCCGAGACTGCTAACCAGTCAGGCAACGCAACACCCGCAGGTACACTGTCACCGACCGGCTCTTCTCAGAGTCTCAACCTCGAGGTGTACATGCAAGGACCTCATCATTCAAATTTCGACACGGTAGGTGCAGCCACGCCGAAACACGCCGAAAATCCGCCGCTCTTCGACGCATAGCACTTGCGCGGACGTGCCTCAGGCGGCCGACTGACAGCTTGGCAAACCATTGGTATGCCTGCCCGCATTCTCGTGACCGGGTCATACCTCCGCTATCGAGGCAAGGCGATGCATTCACGTCCGCATCAGGTGACTCCAATAGTCGCTTTGCACTCGGGCCGGGAATATGAAAGCGTCGGACGCCAATTGCCAGCACACGGCATAGTGTTGGGATCCTAAGGACATGATAAGTGCCGTGCTACCGGAAGATCACGAATTCTGCGTGCGACCATCTTGATTGGACGTTCCCGGGGTGCTTAGGCGACCTTCAGACCGGTGTGTCCTGGAAGCTGTTCAGGCTACCATGTTCTGGCTGCCCTGGAGGTTTTGGTAGAAAGAACGGTACAATAGGTCCACAGAGCCTTGTAGCATATGGGTCTCTGCACCACGAGCGACTGGCAGATGTATCTCAACTATCCAAGATACGTGACCTGTCCCCGCCCAGGGAACGAACACCATCACAGCATGCGCACTGCCTCCAGTGCGCAGTACACAGACTAAGCGCAAATGTATTCGTGCCACACTCAAGCCAGCAAACCCCGGAAGTGCCGCGCCATGATACCACGCCCAAAAGTCCGCGGTGGCTTGCAACAGTATGACATCCACGCTGTGCACCGTTCGAAGCATAATGTACGGTAATATGCGTTGAACGGAGAAAAGGAGCAAGCTCGACAAGCTCCGGCTGTCGTACTCGCAACAACGCAGAAGACTTCCTGCGGGGAGTGCGCTCTTCTTGCAGTGCGACTTTGCGAACCACCCCGAGTGCGCCTTGCGAAAAAGGTTGAGCATATTTTCGTCACGCTGTCGCAAACAGCGTAGCTTGTACCTGAGCTCTATGCAGGCAGAGCTTTGCAGAAGTGCATTCGATATTGGTCGTGCATGCGTCCAGCATTGACCTACTTCGAAAAGCTGTGGACTGGACATTGTACTCCGGCTGCAAATTGGTGTCCCCAGAAAGCTTTCTCGTTCGCCCGTACTCGTCGCCTTGCGCTCGGCGGCTCTGGTTATGCCAGCCGTCCAGTCGGCGATATGACAGTCAGTCAAATCGAGAAGCTCGGCACCCGTCATGTGAGAGAGATCCAAAGCCTCTCCACGGCTCCGGCGTCTCCTGGAATCGTAAGGTAGCCAATCCCACCCACATTCTTACTCAACCAGATTGCCCAACGCTGCCACTCAGAAACTCTTCGCTCTCCAAAGGTGCCACGTTGGTCTTCTTGTAGAATCCTGCAACGCCCGTTGGCTCTTTCAACGCTGAAATCTGTAGGACTTCCCGGTGCTGTTCCAGTGTTCTTTGGATCGTGGCCAGTAAATTCTATACATAACGCCGTCTGTGCACTTGCGGGCGAGTCTCTGATGACCATGAAACCGAGACTGCAGGCATATGTGTCGGTGCCAGTGGAGCATCATCATGCCGTGTGCATGCGAGACGGCGTCAAGGCAACTCCCCGAGTGTATTGGCGTATGATCAAAGCATCTTTGCCTGCTTGCATCAGGAATTGTTCTCGGCGAAACAGAGGTCCTTGTTCAAACTGCCACTCGGACGCTGTCAATGGAATTGTCTGAATAATAGTCTTTTCTTCGGAGCTTCGCCGCTGGTTTTTAAGATGCCACTAAAGACACGAGCACAACCGTTGCGCATAGAATACTGGGCATGTCTGCCTTCAACGGGTGTCGCTACCCGCAATCGGGTCCAGGTGCATCACCTGACCTGTTGTGCGAACCAGTTGCCTTCCTCGCCTTCTCCCCCCGGCTTCCACAGGAGCGGTCAGCTCTGCGATTGGACAGTCGGGCAAGATCGTTGGGATTACTTCAAAGCTGTGGCAGGCTGAGGCTACCTACCCTCTTTGTGGTTCGCATCATGGTTTAAAAGTTCCTTCCCTCTGCTCATGATCTGACCTTGTGTACTTCAATTTGCACAGCTGATGCTGTGGCGCCCAAGTGCTCCCTGATTTCGTACGGTGGCAACACCGTGCTCGGTTAATGCGCAGATCGCCAATCAGAATATTACACTGTTCGAACTTCGTCCATGAGCCACCATGAGCAAACCTCCAAGGGGCCCCGGTTGCGCCCAAAGCACACCAACATTTCTACAGAATCCCAGCTTTTAGCGAACAATGATGGACACGGCGGAAATTTTGACTTTTCAGGCGAGACGGATGGGAGCGGAGACGGTGGCGAGGCTGATACATACGAGTCCTTGTAAGCACTTCGCATCTCACTCAGACCAACGTCAAGGGCCCTTTGGACAAGGCGACAGCATCACTGACTGGGGAAAGGCGTTTGGGAATGCTCAGCCGTGGATTTAATGCGAGAGTTACGTCTTCCGCTGGAGATACCGACAGCAGTGATAGCGATGAGTCCATGAACAACCATGGCGGCAATCGAACGCCAATACATACTCCGCCAGCCTCTGAGGATGGATCTGAGGATGGATCTGAGGATGGATCGGAATCACCCGAGACGATTGACGAGTTTGCTGGAATCTCACTCGAAGACAGACAGCCGGAGGTGTTTCCATCAAGTATAGAGGATCCACGATCCACGACCGCGAACTCCTCAAGGTCTTCAAAGCGCCGTGCAAGCAGTCCACTGGTAAGGTCGCCCGCGAAGCAAACACCAACGAAGGCCACGTTCCCGGCTCGTGCCACCTTCGACAACAGAGGTCGTACATGTCCCCCGCAAAGTAGCCTTGGTGGCCCCTCTCCCACACGGCAGCCTCCTGTTTGGACCGCAGACAAGTTGCCTGAGGCTTCAGTTGATCTTGACCTTGCTTCTGAAGAAGATGTGAAACGTCCTCGACGAGAACAACCCCCAAATGCGGAGGAGACCGAGGCCCAAGATGAGTATTGCCCAGCTACTGCCTGTGAACCGGCTTTGGCGAAGCGCGGACAACTGGTTCTCCAGCCGATCTCGTCTCCAATCTCTCAGGACCAGCTCGCCGTCGAGATCAAAGGCATCTACGCCGGCCTGGTCATGGTTGAGGCAAAGTGCATGAACATTGACGCGGCTCAGTCCAAGTCTGACGCAAAGGAGCTCGAACCAGAGCAGTGGCAAGCCTTGATCGCACTCCATCGGACGCTCCTGTATGAACACCACGACTTCATGATGGCCACGCAGCACCCAACTGCGAGCCCCGCCATCAGCAATCTGGCAGCCAAGTACCATATGCCCGCTCGGATGTGGCGCCACGGCATTCATTCCTTCCTGGAAGTGCTCAGACATCGCAGGCCAGCGTCTCAGGAGTACATGCTGTCGTTCATTTATCTCGCCTATCAGATGATGGCGCTCCTGTTCGAGACAGTGCCTGTCTTCACCGATACGTGGATTGAATGCTTGGGCGACATCGCGCGCTACAGAATGGCCATCGAGAACGACAAGGAGATTCATACGCTGTGGGGAAGTGTTGCCAGTCGTTGGTACAATACGGCCTCGGACAGACACCCTTCAACCGGGAGACTCTACCACCACCTTGGAGTACTCGAGAAGCTCAGCGCGCGCAAGCTGTCCTTGTACGCGAAGAGTCTAACGTGCAGCAGTCCATTCCAGAACGCTCGAGATTCGTTAATGACACTGTGCGGACCAATAGCTCGAGGCGACCCAGCCATTCAATTCGCCAATCCTGGAGTCGAAGCTGCAATGTTGACCTTCCACGCAACAGTTCTGACCGGAGACGCAGACTCCAAACGACTGAAAAGTCTTTCGCTCCAGGCAGTTTCGCTCCTCCAGTCGGAGCCCACTGCGAGCCTGTCGCACATGGGCATCTTTGTTACTGTTACTTGCGTCTCTCATGTCTTGGAGTTCGGGTCCGCTTCCAATGTGCTCTGGCAGTCTTTCGTTCCGACCGGTGTTGCTGCATCCGCCGGCCAACTTACGTCAGGTGTTTTGCCGAAGGGTGACACCAGTATCTCTGGTGTCTCTTATGTCTCTGGTGTCGCTGGTGTTCATGGTGTTCCTGGTGTCAACAACTCCGCTCGCTCAACATGCTCTACTGTCGTTCTCGACCATTGCTACGCCGTCCTCAACTCTTTCGTCGAACGTCCAACAGACCAGAAATCGCTGCCGGACCTGCTACCTTCAATTCATACGATCCTTGTCTGGCTGAACAGCATTCAATCTCTTGACTTTTCAAAGCTTGGACATTCTACCACATACACGAAAGATCGGCTCATCTCAAGCTTCTCTTGGAATGGACTGGCCAGGTTTCTGAACCACTTGCTGGCTGAGACGCCTGTGGAAGACATCACTATCGCTCGTGCTCGGGGAAAAGATTTCTTCTGGGCGCCGTCGGATGGCAGACCAAAGCTCCTGCCAGAGGATCATTACATGCGAGGACTTGCGTGGACAATACCTTACTTCCCTCCCGGCTGGTTCGGTGGACTGAGTGATGATGATGAGGATCGATATGCTGAAAGCATTTCCGTACATCAAGCGCGGGCTGCCAGAGTGCAAGGGCTAGCCATCAGACTGGCAGGCCACAACACCCCTCTTCAATTCGACCACTTGTCGAGGAAGTTCCGCGCTCCTGCCAGAGCGGTCCCAAGTCCCAGAGACCCCGTGTCGTACAGCCCGATACTTGACAGCAAGTACAAGACGTCAGAATGGACTCGGAACGCCGGACACCGCCATATGGTCAGTGTTGGCCCAGCCGCACCCAGGGACGCAGAACCTGGCTCGTCTCCGATGATACATTATCCAATACCAAAGCATTCCTTTCGTGGTGCTAAGAATATGCAACATGGTCGACCAGAATAAGTATATCTTGCCCATCCTTTGAAATCTCGCCTGACCAGCCGACTGACACTTCCAGTTTGCGGGATGAAAGATGCTTTGCGACTCGCAGAGTATGTGTCCTTACGTTGAGACCTCGATGTTGGTGCTGCAAACACTTTCAACGATGCTGCCGATGTTTGGGATGGGACGGCGCCGCGTGCGAGACATCTTTACAGGGCATGGCAATGGGACAGGCTTGCAGTACTTCGATTTTGACTTCTCAGAAAAGAAACGAAAAAAAGGTGGCGGGATGGGGTCTTTGCGTTGATGTTTGCTGGCCGCTGATGTATGATGAAGGTGGTAAGACCATTATCAAGACTGGTTTACTGCCGACGATTCCTCGACAGCAGGACGACTGGTGAGTGGAGGGTTGCTTGTACCCAAAACCATGGAATGTTCTCTGATCCGAGAGCAATGAGATATGATGAGTCCGCTGTTGGAGGCCGGCTGGTCTTGACAGTGCGTTCACGGAGGTTGGGCAGGAGAAGAAGACTCGGTGGTCAAACACAGAGCAACTAAATATATAGGTGGCAGACGAGGGGAAGAGGGATAAAGAGGATCGTCGGCGCGTCATAACCGCGTCGACATTGGTGGTCAGACTCAACGCAGTGGCCGTGGTGGAGGGAGTATGAAGGACCAACGTGGACGATAAATAAAGATTGGTAAACAAATGTTAGAGTAGTCGAGGCTTCCACAGCCTGGGGGAAGACGCCAGAGGAGAGCGCGCGCAGACGAACAGAATTATACAACATTGAGAGCATTCCATAGGTCTAATGACCAGCTCTTCGAATGATGGTGCTCACTCTGTTCATCTTTTGACCCGTCCGTCCTGATGCCCATGCGAATGCAAGATCAATGAGCACGAAGGCTTGAACTGCATCGAATGCTGAGGGGAAAGTTGGCGAACAATTGTGGGCATCACGCTCGGAACGATGTCGTTCACTTTTGTGATCAATTTTTTAGTAGTCGCTAGCAAGATCGTACCTGAGTACTTTTGGCTTATCACTCATCAAGGTACACATGACGCGACTGAGGCTTTTTGGAAACGACCTGAGGCAAACAGCGTTGTGGGTCAACGAGGCGTATGATGAGTGCTACACCGAGCCAGCAACTTGAGACCGGTGGAGGACACTCGAACCTGGTGTGCATCTACGGGCACGCCCTGCTCGGTTCAATCGGACATCCTCCCCATATCGCAACACGCGCAACGGAACGAGCAAGCAAGGCAAACTTGCTGAACCCATTTGCTTGCGCTGCGAACGAGCACTGACGGCCGGGTGTCCACTTTCGATGCAATAGACGTTCCAGGTGATCGGGGTCCCGGATGCTGGGTGGCAGATGCACTCTTTGCCAACGAACCATGGCCCAGGCAGATAACAAGCTGGTGCGTCGTGACCGGGACTTCTGCATAAGATTGTCCATCTTGGACGTCATCGGCAAGTGAAAGAGTCACGCAACGACAATTACTTGCGTCTTCGGGGTGCGCAGCCGCGAACTTCGAACGGGTCCGGTGCCAATTTCAGCAGAGCTGCGACTACAGCCTCGTATAGAATCATTCGTTGAACCTATGTTCAGAGGCCGGTGTAGAATCGATTGGCCCAAATTCTTGACCGAGCTCTCGGAAGAGATGGCAGTTGCTCCGTCAAGCTGAGGGTGCATGCGCCCATATTTGGTAATCGGGTAGAACGACACTATGAAAGAGTGGGCGTTCTCCAGCTTCCTGCTGTGATATGGTGTGCTGGCAGATGGTACCACGAGTTCCAGAGGCTCGGGTATGCGCGTAGGCCTCACGATGTCCACAGGCTCGAATGTGCTTTGAGGCTCGATTCGCTCGTGCGCATGTAGGCGCGTATGTGCCCACGACAGGTGCCCGCCAAGTCTTCAGATGACCAGCGCCCACCGATAGCTACAGCAGCAGCGCACTGTCCAGGCCTTCGTATACCTTCAACCACTGGTCCGTGTGTTCCTATAGGGCGGAGAGCACAGTAGTGGCCCTGCTGTCTCGCCTCGTAATGTTGCAGTAGGCCCGGAACGACCGCAAGTAGTAATACGCCGTGGGCCACCGGTGTGAGGCCTCGTAGTACGCTTAATCCAAACCACAAGTCTCCGCCAGACACCTCTCACGTGTGTCTGGTACAAGGAGGTTGCATCGCGGAAAAGCGTTCACCGGCTGCCGCCGAACGCCACAGATCGCAGAGGCCCTCGAGTCCAATCTTTACTAGATCTCGTGTCGATAGGTCGATGGTAAAGCGAGGCAGGGTACTACCAGACAAGGCGCAGCTCAACCCTTGGCGAACACAGAGCCACTGGCGCGAATCATCGCCAGATTCCATGCTGAGTAGGACGCGAGCGGATCATCAGCATGCCACGTGGCCGAGGTCGAAAGGAGTCGGTTGCACTGTTGGACCGCACAGCATGAACATGCAAAGAGCCGCGCAGCATACTGTTGTGGTCCCCGCTTCTGTCAACTAGTGTCGTCGTGCAGCCGCGAGCCAGTGGTGCGTTTGCCTTGCACTCCACATCACCTCATCTGCTCTCTTGAACTTCTTCTTCCTCCTTACCTCGTACCCCAGGGCGAGCGCAAAGGTTTTTAAATCGTGCACAAGCTCTTTAGGTCGCTGTTGGGAATGAGTCTTGACGTTCCGATGCTTCTATGACCGTACCCACTCTGCGCATCGCGGCGCAGCAGCGTCGCACCCCTTTCGCGTCTCACCTCCCCCCACCAGCCAACCTCCTCATCCTCTCCTCCGCCGCCCGCGCCCTCTTCTCCCTCTCCAGCCTCACCCGCATATCCTCCGTCATCCCCCTCGCCTCCTCCGCCCTCCTCTCCTCAGCCGTCACCCGCGGCTTCTCCACCACCCGCCCCTTCCCAAACCTCTTCTCCCTCTGTTCGCCCATTCTCGCCTTATCCTGCTCCCTCAACCTCTCAGCTTCCGCAGCCTTCCGCGCTTTCTCCGCCTCGGCTTCGGAGGCTGCTTCTTGCTTCTCGCGCGCGGTGCGAGAGTCGACTTCGGCTTGGGAGAGGGCGGAGGGGACGTTGGCGGTGTCCCAGGGCCATTTGGGTTCGCCGAGTTGGGAGCGGGCGAGGCGGAAGGCGTCGCGGGTGGGACGGTCGCCGGTGATGTCGAAGGGGGTTTTGCCGTCTGGGTTGGGGAGGGTGGGGTCGGCGCCGGCTTTGACTAGAAGAGCGAAGACACAGGCGGGGCTGTTGGAGGAAGCAGCGAGGTGGAGAGGTGTTGGGGCGTGGTGGTTCTGTTCGGGTGGGAAGAAGCGGAAGTCGGGGGATAGGTTGTTAGACTGGATGTATGAAAGCATACCGGGAGCTTTGGAGCGGCGGATGAGCGCTTGAAGTTGTGTCGTGTGCAAGGTGGCCTCTTCGTCTGCTTTCGAGGGCTTGGCCGGCTTGGGTGTGGCTGGCTTTCCGGTCGTCTCAGCTTGTGCTTTTGCGGCCTTCGCTGCCTCCTCTTCTGCTTGTCGCGCCAGAGCAGCTTCGTCCACAGTGTTGACTTTTACTCTCGTCAACTCCACAAACGCGCGCATGAGCTCTGACTGCGTTGCTCTCCGCGTGCTGAACGGGAAGCCACGTAGTCGCTCGTCCTTGATGCTCAATACTTGGCCTTCGTAAGGCCCGAAGAGTGTTCGTCTATTCGTGCTTCCAGTCGCCCGAATGAACAGTAGATCCGCCGAATCGATTAGTGGCTTCCACTCGGTGAGCAGATCCCGCACCTCTGTGGTCAGAGCCACCTCGTTGTACCGCCGTATGCTTGACCCAGCAGAATGCGCATTGCCCTTTGCGTTGTCATTCGCAGATTGAGCACCACCCTGTTTCCTCCTCGTAGTATATCTGTGAAACGTCTTGTGCGCGATCACAGTCGCCGAGCGGTCCTCAATTCCATTCTTCTTCGTCATCTTGGGCGTGAGTGAGACGAGCATAGCCGCAAAGTGTCCACCTCCAATCATACACAGAAAGTAGTGCGGACCTGCCGCGCTCGTGCCTTGTGGTATCTGCGGTCCAACTGGCACACCTCCATCTTCTTCTTCTTCCTCCCGCTTCGGTTTCTGGGGAGCAGGTGCAGGTTTAGGTGAGAGCTGCTTCTGCTGTATTGTCTCCACCACGCCCTCCTCCTTCGCCTGCTGATCGTTTGAGAAGATTGCTCTGTAGATTCCGAGAGAGGTATTCGAGGGTATCTTCGGCGTGGAGAACCATATCATTGGAGGTTTGCCGGCACCTCGTTTCCGCTTCTTCGACGGCGCATCCTCTGCGTCTCCATCTGTGACCTTTGCTTGCCTCTTCAGCAGTGCGCTTAGAGTAGACTCCTTCTTCGCGCCATCTGCACCCTCCTCGTCCGAATCATCTGACTCTGTCGAGTCTGAACCAGAGAGACTCTCATCTAGTTGTCCGATCAACTTCTCAAATTCAGGTTCTGTCACCGCCTTCCGCCCGCGCATCTTCTGCTTGATGTTATAGCCATGCAGATCAGACCGCGCATGACTCCGTTGTTCTTGTAGGTCGTTGAAGCTGAGTCCGCAGAGCGCACATGATGTGGCGGAGGAGGGTGTTGCTTCCTCGCCCTCTGTCCCTTCAATCGCGTGAGGGTCCAACTTCAGTGGTGTATTGGATGATGCAGACTCATCAGGCCCAGCAGCTGTTGGCTGGATCCTCAGCTGCAGAGTGTAGAGTATTTCCTCTGGCAGGTCGAAGACGTAGAGTGGCCGCGGGAAGAGCTCGTCTTGCTGTTGTTGTTGCGCCATGTTGCTGTTCCAGATATGTTGAGACGACCAGATCCAGATCCAGATCCAGACCGGGAAGACAGAGGAGATGTTGTGGAACTCGAACGCAGAGGACGAAAGTTGTGCCATGCCGCTTGTGTTCGTCATTCACATGCCTCCACGCATGACTCGTGTAGCATGATATGCTTGGCGATTTGGACCTTGATGTCGGCCATGACCTCTTCATTCACCTCCATCCTTTATTACTTATTCTATTCTTAGGGTCGTTGGGTTGTATCATATCTACACGAGCCATCAGGAAGTTGCTGAGTCCATCCTGAGCTACCTGGTTCCTGCTGCGCTGGCACGCGAGGAAGTCTACACGCCACGAAAAACAAAAACTTGGCTCGTAACGACAGACACAAGTATCAGAGTCGCCGAAGACGAGATCGACCCGTCATGGGGCTCTCCAACGATGAACGAGGCTGGGTTATGACCTGCTTGAGCGGGATAGGTAAGTCATGCTGCTCGCAAGTGACAACCATGTGCTAACATCTTGCAGCATGCGTTGTAGGAGCCTCGATGATCTGCATCGACATTCTCATACGGCAATTTCCCGGCAAGAAGGACTTCAGAATACAGGACAGCGACACCTTCCTGTCGGCATCGCTGAGCTTGAGCTTTGGCGTTATGGTAGGCTTGCCTTTTCCATAGTCCAGCTTGTGGCGTCACTAACGATATGCAGCTTTTCTCTGCGTTGTACAGCATGCTGCCATCTTCGAAGAAGTCCTTGATCGATGGCGGATACTCGCCGAGGGCGGCCTCCTGGATCTTGATAGCCTGCTTCATCGGCGGCGTACTGGGCATTCAGGTCATATCTCGGATCATGCACCACTTCATTCCTTCTCATGTCGTCGACTGTGAGCATTCCCACGATGATGAGCAGCCCGCGAAGGAGGATGGTCACTCGCATGATCACGACGATGGAGCGGATGTAGAGCGCCGTCAGCCACCACCACAACTTCGATCGCGGCCGCAGACACCAAGAAGCTCGCTACCTGGCCACATGGTGACACCTGGAGGTGGCCGAAAGCGACAGACGTCGTACTTCAGTGCTACTTCCAATGCCACCTTTGCGCCCACCGCGGAGTCAGAGGTAGCCAACAACCAGCTGGCAGCCACGCAGAGCCAGCCCGCCATACCCAGGAGACCGTCCTTACAGGCCCGAGTCACGTCGACCATCAACCAGTTCACCACCGGCGTCAAATCTTCATGCGACTGCAACGGCCCCTGCTACGGCTACACCGACCCATGCGGTCAAGACTGCTTCAAGAAGATCAACACCCGAGGCGGCCGTCGCGCACCCCTAACCCCTCGCATGTCAAGCAGCAGCCTCAAAGCCCCACCCCTAACCAAAAGCCCAACGGTCACCGGCAACGCCCCTCTAACAGAAACCACACCCCTCCTCGAAGGCATCGCCGAAGAAGGGACCCGCCCGCAACTCGAACACATCAACCAAGCACCCACCCGCTACTTCACCTCCCGCGAGTCGCCCGATGACGAAGCCTCAGAATCCGACGGCACCATCCCCGGCACCCACGATCTCGACCTGCACAAAACTCACTCCAACGAAACCACCTCCTCCCACAACCCGGACCACCACCACCACCACGTCCCCACCAACGCCTTCCTCTCCATCGGCCTCCAAACCAGCATCGCCATCGCCCTGCACAAGCTACCAGAAGGCTTCATCACGTACGCCACGAACCACGCCAACCCGAGCCTAGGCGTCTCCGTCTTTTTGGCCCTATTCATCCACAACATCACCGAAGGCTTCGCCATGGCGCTCCCGCTCTACCTCGCCATCAACTCCCGTCCCAAAGCCATGGCCATCTCCTTCGTGCTCGGGGGCCTCTCCCAGCCCATCGGCGCCGGCGTAGCGGCTGTATGGTTCAAGTTAGCGGGTCAGGGGGACTGGGCGCCGAGTGAAGGCGTGTATGGCGGCATGTTCGCGGTAACGGCTGGGATCATGGCGAGCGTGGCGTTGCAGCTGTTCAGCGAGAGTTTGGACCTGACGCACTCGCGGACGCTGTGTATGATGGGGGCGTTTGTGGGGATGGGGGTTTTGGGGGTTAGTAGTGCGTTGACCGCCTAAACGAATTTTCATGGAGGAGAGGGGATGAGGGGAGGCTTGACTTTTGTTGGCTCGGGAGGTGATGTTTTAGAAAGCATGGCGTTCTGATGCATGGCTGTTGGGCTATGCTTTTCTTGTTCAATTACGACCTACTGTACGTCTTACCTGACTAGAACTCCTTGATGTACCAACGTGCGTGATATACTCTGCCACTCCTCAATCGTAGGTTCTACGACTCCGCGTATTCGAGTTGATGCTGCAATGGGATGAATACAGCACAGCACTTATTGTCCCGCCCAACGACCTGCAGCTGCCCGCGTCTAGCCGCTTCATGCACGCAGCACGCAGCCCTGCGCGAGATCCCCGCCTGGTATGTCGATATCCGCCGGGAGTCTTCGGCGCCGTTCTGCAGTACTACCTCGTGGCTCGGTCCGGCAGTTGCATCTGCAAGCACTTTGCTCGGCGCGTATCGCGCGTCGGCCAGTTGGACTGTCACATGCAGATTCATTCAACTGAGCTCGCGGACTGGAGACCGCACGTAGATGTTCGGTGCAGCATGACCAGAACAGCTCGAAGAATCTCCATCGTTGGATCGATCTGGTCGTCACACGATCTCACCCTAAGACATCATAGCGAGCTTGCAGGAGCTGTAGCTGTGGGATATCGTCTTCGTGGTGCGGGGTGGTCTTGCTTCGTGCTCTTTCTGAAAGCAGCTCTTGCCAACAGACGATTCTCTCACATATCAATCAAGATTCTCATGTATTCTTCCTCATCGTGGTACATAGACGGATTCGACGGGCCCAGACAGCTCCGCGGGAGTGAGCGACAGAGAACGGAAGGATAAATTGGATTGGCAGCCCCAACGGCCTCGCAGGGGCCTCGCGGTTGGAAAGTTCCGGCTTCCCACAGCAGAAACAAACTCCAACCCAAGCATCTTTGATACATGTTGTGCGAGATGAACAACGTGGGAGTGGTGTAACCTCCAATCCCGTCTCCGTAGAAGCCGGTATAACACACTTCTCCACCTCCATCTCGTCGTCTATAAATGGGCCCCGGTGAAATCACGTCTCATTTCGTGGGCATCGCTAGCGGCACGTTGCTGCAGACGGGGGATCCACACTTTTCCATCCTCCCCCTCCAGCAGGTAGATTCTCTTTTCCGCTGCGCGCCAACGCTTTCCTTTCGTTCTCGTGATCGGTGTTTGTGGAAGGTCGTCGTTGTTGTCGTCGTTGTCCTTGCTGAGCGTGCGGTGGGAAGGTACGTGATTCCATTCGGCAGCAAGAAAGAAGTATACAGTACAATGCACCTGCCCGCGAATCCACTTAGGATCTTGACTTCGGCTATTGACTTTGAACCGTGGGAGCGCCTTCGAAGCGACAGCAGTTGGGAACACACGGCTGGAAGAATCTCTACGAGAGGAATCGGGCTGACTTGTGTATTTGTGCTAGATTGTTTGTATTCTTGTTTCCACCTTGCGAGCCCTTCACCCCCGGCCGCAAGAGCATTTACTCGCCCAACCGAGCTCAGAAAACGCCGAGCTCTAACACACGACCACGAGGATGTCTTTCTACGACAACGACGCCCCATGGTCGGCCTCCGCACGCCAGTCATCATGGGAGCAGCCGCCGCCGCCTTCGAGATCTGGGACTGGCTCGTCCATGTCGCAGCAAGCCGAGCCCAATGCCTTCGCAGCGCAGTTCGAGGAGATTGACAGGGCGACGGACAATTTGATGCGGAGTGGGAAGTTCTTCCCGGGCGCTATGCAGCCGATGGGTGGCATGCCTCCGCGACGGGATAGTATACCGGCGATGCAGAGGGGGTTTGAGTATGGCAGCAACGACCCGAGGATGGGTGGAAGTGGTGGACCGTCGAGACAGGCTTCTGGGAGTGACTACGATGGTGGTAGGCCAGGTTCGGCGGGTCTGCAAGGATACTATCAGGGTCAGAGGTTTCCCGGTGGGCGACAGAGCGAAGCGGAGCAGATGTTGCAGGCGAAGCGACGGATGGCCGCCCAGCGTGAGCGCGAGCTGCGGAATTATCATCAGGAGCAGCAGTACAACCGGAGTGAGTGGAAAATCATTCCATTGAGGTATACAAACGACTAACAGAATGTTCAGCTGTCTCCGGCGGCAAGTCCGACCGCTCGATGAGCCCCAACACCATGAGCGAAGACGACCGACGTGAACTGATAGCACGACAACACCGCGCCCTCTACGGCGACAATGCTTCTTTGTACGGCTCCGACGGCTCCAACTCACGGCCACAGAGTCAGGATGTTCGTGCATCCGAGCCAGGTCGAGGAGGCTCACCTCTCGCCTTCAGCCCGTACGGCGCACCTCCAAACAACGAAGGCGCAGTGCAAATGCCACCACGTGATCGAGGCAACAGCACCGCATCGCCGGTCTCCAGCCAACCAACCCAGCAACCCTTCAATTTCCTGAGCGACGCGCAGCAAAACTCTCGCACCTCCAACTCCTCGCCCACCGAGTCGCCACCACCCGGCCAACAAAGCCAAAAGGGAGCACCACCACCAGGCGTCGCACCCATCGGCACCCGACCCTCGCAAGCACCAACCTCAGCCGGGGGCCTGAACAAGCGCTCCACCACACCCCTCACGCCATCCTCACTCAGCTACGGCTTCAGCGCCGACGCACAGAATGCGCCCTCCGCCGCGCCCGGGCTGAAAGACGAGCGCGCGAGCTCCGCGGCTTCCAACGGCCCGCAGGCAGACAAAAGCATGCCCGGCCTCGGCGGCTGGGGCGGCGACAGAGGAGCCTGGGGCGGTGGGAAGGGGCTAGCGGTGCAGCCGGGCAGTGTGTGGGGTTAGGAGGACTACAGCGCTGAGAGGGTATCAGAACGCTGGTCGCAGGTATGGGGAGTGAACCATGGATGGTTCTGGAGGGGTTAGCGGAGGAGTTTCGATCACGATACCAAGGGGAAGGGGTGGGCAGGGCCGGGCGATGCATTGGCGTGGGTTGGGAGGGTTGTGGTTTTAGCGTTTCATGCGGTTTCCTTCTGGGCTGGATGGTTGAGTGCTCTTTTATGCGTTTGTGCAGTGGGTTCGGCTTGCTTCCTGGGTTTCTGGTTTCTGGTTTCTCGGGTATGGGTTTTTGCATGGGCTGCTTTAGGATGGGACGGGACTGGGTGCTCTGCACGATACCTTTGACGCGCATAATTTCTGCTTTTGGGGGGTGGGCATGGGTATGGGAATGCACGGGATGGGTTGGGGTGGATTTGGGTATATCCTTATGCGAAATGGGAAATTATCTTGCGCCCACTACTTTATTCTGAAGTTGACGTCGTGTTTTTTAATGGTCACGTGCAATGGCTGAAGTGAAGGCCAAGCTTTGATGCGGCTCAAAATGTCCCTGAATCTGAGTGAAAGCTGTCCGGAGAAGGCACGATTTACTTTCTGGAGAACCATTCGATTCCACTCTTCCACTACGCCAACAGCGACGAGCCATTGCGATACGAAACGAATAACTTCAGTCTCCCCCTTCGAATCTCGTCACGATGGTAAGCCTCCTTCCACCCCACGACGCCGCGCATCCACCGCCCAACCACCCCCTACAATCTCCCGACCACCACCAACCCCCAACCCCGGCTCCTCCAACACCCCAGTACCCTCACCAGTACCGCGCATACTAATCTCCTTCTCACAGTCCTCACCCCGCCCCTCATCCCCCGTAAACAGTCCCTCGACGGGCTCTTCCACCGCGCGGCCGGCTTCGCCCAAACCCCCCGGCGGCCCTGCGACGGCTATCAGGAGGAAAGCGGCGGCGGACAGGGCGGATAAGGTGGCGAATGCGAGGCCGTCGAGTACGAGGGCCGCGGGCGCGGGGGGGAGTAGCAGTACTATGTTGAGTATGTTACATCTACTATCATCATTCCATGGACGAATGGAGATCGGGGCACGAGAGCATGGAGCATGGCGTATGGGAGCCAAGGATGGAGCAAGAGATGGAGCAGCAGTGCGACGCGGAGATCGCGAGAGCTATTGACATGACGAGATGCAAAAAAGTAGACGTGAAGAATTATGGCTGACATTCTATCGCAGAGCTCTACACCGACGAATCGCCAGGCTTGAAGGTCGACCCATTCGTGGTGATGGTGTTGTCAATTGGGTTCATTATCAGCGTGGTTGCGCTGCACAGTAAGACGATGCTGCACATTGGATGGATGGCTACAGGCTAACGATGTGCGCAGTCATTGCAAAGGTCACGAAGCGGTTCTCCTCATAGCGCATTGCCTGAATATCAGTCTGGTCGAGGCCAACCAGGGCTGTCGGCTTCCAACCTCTTATCTTCGACAAGCGGCAGTTGCGCTCGGCTCGCATTGACGGCGTCTCGCCTGCTATCGGGTTTCGACCAGCGCCTTTCCCCTCTGGTTGATTGAGAAGAGCATGGCGTTTAGGCAGCGGGTATGTGGTAAAAGCGGGCAGTATCAAGTTGAAGGGCTGGAGGGTATGTAGGACCTACTGCTAAGCATGTACGAGACAAAACAACACGCAGGCAGCATGGCCCAGGCCAGGCTCTCGATCTGTGTCATATCCCAGACTCGCAGGTGTCACAAGATACCGCATTGTCGGCCCGGTAATTGCTCTGCATGACTTTTGCTAGGCTGCCTACTCTCAAAGCCAGCCCACTAGCATATCCACACCCACGCAGCACGAGGCAGATAAAGTGGTCGTGCAGTAGCCCTGTGAGCCCTATCCGATCTCTGTCAGTCTCTGACACGCAGCAGCCAGTCGGTCCACTTTCTTCCGCCGGCTCTGCCTCAATACGTAAGATTTACCCGACATCAGGCTATGCATTGCGTGAAGCGCCTGTTCCTGGGCCTCTTACCAAAAGACCCCACCACGACGGACCCCGCCATTGGCAGGTTGAATCAATGAATCTCGAGCTCTTCCAACGACCGCGGTTGTTGGAGCTGCTACTTGTCGGCAGAATGGCCTGCGAGGCTCTAGCATTGGTGGCATGTCGTTGGTGCTTGGTCCCTGGCGCGGTGTCGTCGCCGCGAGACCTGCATGAAGAAGAAGATGAAGTGAGAGGTACGGGGACCCGCGTCACTCTTTCGAGACTTTTCTTTCAACTCAACCAAGTATAAAGTAAAGCCTTATCGCTGCTTTTAGTCCTTTCTTCCCTCCTGCTCTGTTCTTTCTTGATGCTATTTGCTTCCCGTCCTGCTGCTTCTTCGCTTCTCGCCACCCGCACGCCCATTGCATCATCCATCTCGAGACTGAGCACGAGGAGGGCTTTCGTACAACCACCAAGTTTCACGCAACCGAGGATTACTAGATCGCTAGCGACTACTGCGAATATGGCTCCGACTGTGCCTACTGTGAAGCTGAACAATGGCCGTGAGGTGAGTACGAGTGGATTGGAGGTGGGGGGTGAGAGTGGCGATTGACCTGCTGCAGATGCCGTTGGTTGGGTTTGGTCTTTGGAAGGTCAACAATGGTATGAGACAGTCTGAAAGAGGAGTTAGAATTGGCGAGCTAATCGATCCCAGACACCTGCGCCGACCAAGTCTACAACGCCATCAAGACCGGCTACCGGCTATTCGACGGCGCCTGCGACTACGGCAACGAGGTCGAGTCCGGCCAGGGCGTGAAGCGCGCCATTGACGAGGGCATCGTGAAGCGCGAGGACCTCTTCATCGTCTCCAAGCTGTGGAACTCCTTCCATGACAAGGAGCACGTCAAGCCCATCCTCAAGAAGCAGCTCGCGGACTGGGGCCTGGACTACTTTGACCTCTACATCATCCACTTCCCCATCGCGCTCAAGTATGTCGACCCCTCCGTGCGGTACCCACCCGGCTTCTTCTACGAGGACAACAAGCTCGTGTTCAGCAAGGCCTCGCTCGAGGAGACCTACCACGCCATGGAGGAGTGCTACGAGGAGGGTCTCATGAAGTCCTTTGGCATCTCCAACTACGTCGGCTCTTTGGTCCTCGACGTCGAGCGCTACGCCAAGCACCTCCCGCAAACCCTCCAGATCGAGCACCACCCCTACCTCGTGCAGCAGGACCTGGTCGACCTGTGCAAGTCCCGCGGCATCGCCGTCACCGCCTACTCTTCGTTCGGCCCCAGCTCCTTCCTCGAGCTCGACATGAAGCGCGCCCAGGACACGCCGCTGCTGCTCGAGCACGCCGACATCAAGAGCATCGCGGACAAGCACAACAAGACGCCCGCGCAGGTGTTGCTCCGGTGGGCGACGCAGCGCGGGGTTGCTGTCATCCCCAAGAGCAACAACCCGACTCGTCTGGCGCAGAACCTGGACGTGTGCAGTTTTGATTTGACCAAGGAGGAGATTGAGAAGATTAGCTCGATGGATAAGGATTTGAGGTTTAACAGCCCGCCGAACGTGAGTTCCTACCATTTCTAGTTCAATATCATCGAGGATGTGCTAACGCGGTGGAACAGTACGGCATCGATATCCCCATCTACGCATAAGCTTGCTACATATATCGAACTACGTCTGCTTCGAGATGAGCATTACGAATAGATCAACATGCGAGGACTGATGACAATGGGAGGAAATCTTGAAAGTATATATGGCATAGCTCACCTGCACGCCTGCATCAGCAGCGTAGCAGGCTAGAAGAGCCGAAGATATGAATACAAAACACAGTGTTCATAACACGCCGAGTTTCATCAAGCTCTTTGTACGACGCTGGTCGCGGGTAGGTCAGGTGAGAGGAGGTATCTGGTGCCGGGTTTTTTTTGTTGATGATGACGTCTGTTGTTGTGAGGTGGGTTACATTATCAGTCAGTCTGTCCCTTGCATCCCTTTCTCGTTTCAAAAAGTCATCTCTTGCAAGCAGAACGATTTTGGTGCAGCGATTTACATCAGACGTCGAGAACATCAAGACCACCAAGAACATCAAGGATACCAAGAACACCAAAAACCTCAGGTTCCATCTGATCCACCATGTCCAACCCAAACTTCGCCACCCGCCAACAACAAGGCCGCCAACAACAAGCCGACCTCCTCAACTCCGACCTCTACCAAACCCTCCGTCAGGACCTCGAAAAGTCCTCCGACGCCACCACCCAGAGCCAACGCCGCCAAACCCACCCCACAGAAAAAGACAACCACACCCTCACCTCCCGCGCCACCTCAGCCGCGAACACCGCTTCCCACGCCGCCGCGGGCGCTGTGGGGACGGCGGGGGGTTTGCTTGGAGGAGCGGTTGGGGTGGCGGGGCAGGTGGTGGGGAATGTGGGACGGGGGGTGGGGAAGACGATTGCGGATGTTGGGGAGGGGGTTGAGGGGATGGTTAGGAAGGGGGAAAGGAAGGAAGAGGAGGGGAAGGGGGGTGAAAAGGAGGGGTGGAAGGGGGAGGGGAGGGAGGATGGGGTGGGGTATTGGGAGGCGAAGGGGATTTAGAGAGTAGATTGGGGGTAATGAGATGACGAGGTAATGATATTTCGGCTTGACTTGAGCATGACCTAGTTCCATTGACTGGATAGTAATGAGTTGAATTCCGACCTACACCATTCCCACAGCCTCCCCCTCCCGCTTCCACACCCGCCCATCCTTCATCACAAACTCCACCCTCCTCAACGCCCCCACATCCTCCCTCACATCCCCCTCCAACGCCACAACGTCCGCCGCACACCCCTCCCCCAACCACCCAAACTTCCGCCCCGCCCACTCACCCCCACAAGCCTCCCACCCCCTCAACGTCGCCGCTGTCAAGGCCTCCTCCAGCGGCAGTCCAGCTCTCAACAGCAACTCCACCTCCCTCACATTTTCCCCGTGCGCGAAAGCCCCCGTATCGCCACCCGCAGCAATCCTGACCCCTGCCTCCCAAGCCCTCTTAACCTGCTTCAGCACCCCTTCCAAAGCCCGCTCGGCCTCCGCCTCAATCACCGCAAGCGTCGGGACCCAAATCGTGCCCTTCTCCTTCATAATCGCCACCACCTCACTTCCCTCCCAGCTCTCAAACCCATGCTCCACGGTCGTCACCCCGGCCATCGCCGCCATCGCCACCGCCTCCGCACTACTCGCATGCGCAGCGACCGGCGCCCGCGCAGCCTTCGCCTCAGAGACCATCGCATCCATCTCCTCCTGCCCGAAAAGCAACAAATTCGGATTCCTCTCCCCGGTCAACCACTCCGTCTGCTCCGGCGGGAACTCGATCCCGGCACACCCCGGCCACGTCTGCCCGGGCCAGCGTAGCGCACGTTTGCGATAATCGGCATAAAACTTCACCACATCCGCGCCCGCACCAAGTCGCCGCCGCACACCGGCTTTGCACCCCACGACCCCATCCACCGGGTCGGAAATGCGCGGGACCTCGACCCCTGCGCTACGACTCTCGATCCGGGTCTCGTAGCCGCCAGAGGAGGCCAGACATTCCGTCGCGGCGAAGATGCGGGGGCCGGGGATGATGCCGCGATTTACCGCATCCCGCACATGCACGTCGGCGTCGCCGGCGCCTTCGGTCCCGAGGTCGCGGTAGGTGGTATATCCCGCCAGCAGCGCGGTGCGGCAGTGGTTGGTCGCGCGGATGATGCGTTCGGGGAGGGATTCGTCGCGCATTTGGTTGAGGGAGGGGGTTTCGCGGTAGCTGTGCAGTAGGATGTGGGTGTGTGCGTCTACGAGGCCGGGGAGGACGGTGCGGTGGCGGAGGTCGATGTCGGGTGGAGAGATGGTGGTGGGGAGGGGGGAGGTGCGTTTGGAGAGGGAGGTGATTAAGCCGCTGTCGGGGGAGATGGTGAGGGAGATGTCTTTGAGGAAGGATTTGGTTTTGGGGTCGAAGAGGAGGGAGGTGTGGATTGTGAAGGAGCCGTTGCAGGTGGGCTTCATGACCATGGCTGGGCTTTGGTTGAGCGCAGGATTGCGTGTTGGCTTTCTCGAGATGGAAGGAGTGTTCTGAGCTGCTCTTGGAGCTGAGATGTAACTTCGTACCCACAGCGCTAAAGGCGTACTGTGTATATGATGAGTGGTGTTAGCTCGACCTTTGAAACAGCAAGAAGTCGAATGCTCGTTGCCTGCCGATGCGGTGAGGCTCAAGCACGCCAGTTCGTTACAGGCAGGTGTCCAAGGCCTGTTCCTTCAGAGAGCTTATCGGAAAGCTCTCCACTTTCGTGAGCTTGGCCGGGCTTTTCGGAGGCTTTTCTGGCTGCTGTCATAACGCGATGAACCGCACCAACAACGCCAGGTCAACAAACGACCGGCGACTGGATAACGTTATGTTGTATACCAGGCACTGAGATTTGTTGATACTCCGTCTGCTGAGTTGTTCTGCCTTCTCCATGCAAAGAAGGATGTGGATAGCTTCGTTGGAATCGTTGATCTCGTAGTAATATAACACATCGTCAGGAGAAGCGATTTCGCTGGAGCATATGAAGAGCCTGGCTGCTGCATGCTCGTCAAGCTTCTGCTCCGGATGGGTCGTGATATCGTAAGTCATTTCGTCGAGCCCGTTGCGCGCGTCCAGCAGTCGACGGTGTGGTTTGCGGAAGGATCTCTCAGACGCCGAGTCTGAGATGTCCGGAGTGGCCAGGTCTCACTAGGTAGCTGATGATGGCGGGAAGCACCACGCCTTTCACCAACGCTGGAAGTCCACCGCTCGTCGGAAGTCGTTAGCTATTCCATAGTCAGCTTACACGGCTCGCACGTTGTAAGGTATTCGATCATCCAGCACTCACCATAAGCTCCCGCAATGCCGCAATCACTCTGCTCCCTCCGATCCGCCGCCTTTGGCAACCACCCGCGGATCTTGTCCTGCCGGTTATGACTGCTCGGGTGCGTGCTGAGAAACTGCGGCGGCTCCCCTTGGTTGGCCTTCTCCATCCTGCCCCAGAACCCAACTGCAACCTCTGGATCGTAGCAGCTCTCCGCCATCATCATCAACCCGATATAGTCCGCCTCCTCCTCCTGCCTCCTCGATCCGGGCAACGTGAACGCCAAACTCGACGCAAATTGCACAATGCTCGGGTCGATACCGGCGAACACCCACGCCAGAATCCCAATCGGCGCCAGGATAGCAAACTGCGACATCCGCTCCGCCGCGTGATGAGCAACGTTATGCGCAATCTCATGCCCCAACACCGCAGCCAATCCATCATCCCCCTGACACACATCCAAGATTCCCCGAAACACAAACACCTTCCCGCCTGGCACCACGAACGCGTTGATCATGGGATCATCAATCACATGAATCTCCCACTCCTCCCCCTCCAGCCCCGAGTTTGGCACCAGCCGATCCAGCACCCTCTGAACCTGCCGATGCTCCTTCGTATACGCCGGCATCAGCTTCTTCCCATACTCCTGTAGGACTTGCTGATACATGCCCTGCCCTTGCTTCTTCTCAAATTCGGGCGAGACGACGTTGAATCGTTTCCGCCCTGAGACAGGCACTTCTTGCAGGTTGTAAATGTAGTAGCCGCCGCATGCGCCGCCGAGGCCGCCGACTTCGTAGTAGAAGGTTGGACGGGCGGCCCAGCGTTGGAAGAGGTTGCGGGATTGTTGGAAGCGTTGGTAGTTGAAGGGGCGGCGGTATGCGCGGGTTTGGGCGCGGTGGAAGGGCGTGTGCCATTGTAGTCTCGGTCGCGCAGTTGTTCTTGAGAAGGTCGAGAGAGGTTGTCGCGGTAGAGGCATTGTTCGAGGTGTCGCGAAGGTGGTAAACGTTCTTGTCGCGGTCCTGAAGGCCGGCGGGATGAAACGCGAGGCAAACATCTTAGCGGTCGTCGCCTTGGTGATAGTAGGTGTTATCGAAGAAGCATGTTGAGAGCGGGAAATGTCTATAAGACGAGATGCGACGCGGAAGGCGACGGTGACACGACGGTGACACGACGGTGACACGACATGTGATCATCAACCGATCGGCGTTAGCGGCTTTAGAACTTCTAGAAAGGGAAGGAAGGTGGTGGCGGGGAAGGTTTCTATCATAAGATTTCTTGAACTGTCCATGTCAACCGCACTTCGATGAATCCATGTTCCGCAACCGACGATGCTGTATGCTTGTTATGCCGATTTCGCGATGTCCACCATCATGATTACTCGACCAACCAGCTCACCTACTTGCTCTCCCACTGAGCATACATCCACACGCCCATGCTGTCCCTCACCATTCAACGGACCCGCTCGACCAACCGAGAGACATCGCCCCGTCCTGGACGACGAAATCGATAGGAGCTTCAGTGTTGTCCTGGTTTCCCGAAGAGACACCATTACCCTCATCCTCCCCGGCCACTTCTGTTTCCATCACCTTGTCCCCATCCTCCCAACCTTCCTCGCACTCCTCTTCCTCCTCGCCTTCCTCCTCCTCGCTCTCTTCCTCCTCGTTCTCCCCCTCCTCGCTCTCTTCATCCTGCTCTGCGCTCTCGCTCTTCTGAAGCGGGAACCGACACGATGGGCAGCGATGATCCATTTTGAATGATTCGATGAGGCACTCGACGTCGAAGATGTGACCGCACGGCATCTCAATTACCGTGGCACCCACCTCGAAGTCGTCCTGGCAGATCGCGCATTCGTCCGCGCCAACCTGGGCGTAGGGCTTGCGAATGAGACCAGCGACCGCGTCCTCGTGAGCTGGCTGAGGGACGACGCCGGCGTTCGGATCCTCCGCCTCGTCGAACCGCTCCCATTCGCCATCCGCGCTACCGCTCTCGTCACCGTAGTCGGCATCGGATCCATATCCCTGGTGATTTCCACCACCATGGCTCAGCCCCCACTCTTCAGTATCTACGTAGTGTTGCTCGTACTCCAGCGCCGTGAGTGTGTTGTTCAGGTTCGAGCAGTAGTCGAAGATCAGCCCTCGATCGGCGAGCGAGTTGTCCCGCATGTTCCGGAGGTCGTGGTATACTGTCATGGTGTCGATTCCGAGACAGTATGGGCACAGTGGCTTGTATTCCGAGACCTGGTTCATCGGACGGTAGAGCAGGTCGTTGAGCCTGGCCTGGTCGGGCAGGAAGCCGTTGTCGCACTGCGCAACACATACTGGGCCACAGTCCGCCCTTGCCCTTCGAAACTCATAACCGGTGGGGCTGCGGATGAGGTCGAACTGTGGATTCTCGAGCCAGTCGGCCAGGTCTTCGATGTTGTAGGGTGAGTTGGGAGCTTCCTTGCAGAGGAGGCACCCTGACGGAATGTCTGCGAACGCACTCCCGGCCAGCTTATCTTTCCTGAGCACGATCTCACTGCCATAGACATGATAGCCATCATCGCAGGCGAAGAGAGACGAGGGCTTGGTGCAAAGATGGAGATGGCGTAGCTGAATGTCGACGATGTTGCCGGCGTCATCGTGGGAGACGTTTTCAACAATGAAGAGCTTCGGGGTACGGACTTCTTCATCTTCGGCCTGCTCTTGCTCGTTTTGGAAATCGGAGATATTGTCGTTGTATGTGTTGTCGTAATCCTTGTCGTCATACTCGTCTTCCGACGGCACAGGCTCGTCCAAGTTGTCAATGATCTCTTCCTCAGGGAAAGGCAAGCCATCTTCGACCTCTTCATCTTCCTCCATGGTCGAGTCTTCCTCCAGAATCTCATCTACCTCTAGACCCAAGGTCCCGTTGCCGGAGAGAAGGGTTTTCAATCTGTCGTCCCCGTCCGCCTCCTGGATCGCCACGTCAAGCGGAGGATCCTCGCCAGCGGAAACTTCACCTTCGTCCATCCCCATATCCTCATCCTCATTCGCCTGGCTCAGGTCGACCTCGACATCCTCTTCGCCTGTGTTTTCGTTCTCGGGATCTTGTTCAGCTGCTGGAATCGAACGACACTTCTTCGCATATTGCACCACCAACACAAAGTCACCAACCTTCACGCCCTCCAAGCGCATGCGCAGGTCCTCCTTCAATGCCTCGCGAATCGCCACTGTCTTGCACTCCTCTTCGATGGCGGCAAGGACTGCGGAGGTGATGAACGCTCTGCAGATATTGCGCTCTTCTTGAGTGAGCGAGTGGAAGCTGTCGACCATGGTGGCGACATCTGTGGAGGCCATGGTAGTATGTGGCAAGTGTTGATGTCGGAAGAAGTGTATGTTGAAGGGGCGGTGGTGACCGGAAGAAATGTATGTTGAAGAGGTGGTGTTGATCGGAAGAAGTGTGTATGTGTGTGTGAGGAGGTGGTGGTCCGAAGAAGTCTGCGCGGAAGAGGTGTCGGTGGAAGGTTTATGTATCCAGGTGAACTTCAGTCTTATAATATGAGGTGCGGGTCCGGCCCGGAGTGAGGCATCGTGTGACCCGGAAAAGGTCCGAGCTCTAGCATGTGACAAGGAGTGAATGCAGAAAGCTCCTTCAGCAGCGGCTGAGGTCCAATGATCCACGCCATTCACATACGCACCACCTGATCCGCCACACCACCCTCTGTCCTCTTCGTAGTAAGTTAATTCTGGTATGATTTTGAGGCGGAGTGGAAGTAAAGTGGAAGGGTGAAGTGATAGCAAACATGGTATGCAATGCAGGTTTGCTGAGAATGCGCGACTTGGCCTTTGGAAGATGCAGAACACCGAATGCTTTGGTTCCGACTGCAGTGAGAAGCGTGCGTGATCGATTGATTGAGAATGGGTTGGGTATTATGGTTACACTTACACACCGACTTTGGACAACCTTTCAGCGCCTGCGCTGCCCGGAACACTAGAATCCGTTGCCCATGAACTCGAACCCATCTCGCTAGTGTCATACCAGGCCGCCGAACGAAGAGCCAGCCCTATAGCGTCCGCGCTAGCCCTGTTGTCGCTGTTCCACGGTGTCCATCGCTGTGCTTACCTGAATACAACCATCACTCCCGCCATAATCACTAGCTTCACCTCCATCAGCCACCTGCCCTCTCCCTCTCAATCAGCAGGCTGACTCAAGCGGTACCGACAGCTCGGGCATCTGCCATCGACCCTCAACGCCCTAATCACACACTCCTCGCATAAGACGTGCTCGCACGACAATTGCAAGACCGCCGTGCCGACCTTAAAGTCATCCTGGCAGACTCCACAAGCATCGGCCTTCTGACCTTCGACTTCATGGTACTGGCGAGGCAGCAGATTGTCCATGAATTCTTCAGGGGCAGCTTCGCGGATCGGCGAGTCGCGCGTCGGTGTGAACTCACCTCTCATGTCGGCGAAGAGCTGGCCCAAGTCTCCGGCATCGAAGTCGTAGTGCGTATTGTGAACGAGTAGGAGACGAGCATTGAGGTGCGAGTAGAAGGTTTCGACCTGATCAATAGGGATCGTGTTGTCGAAGCGGTGAGAGCGCAGGTGATTGTACTGTCTCGCATAGCCCACGCCGATACAGACGGGACACAGCGGGCGGTAGGCGTCGATGCGCTCGAAGGGTTCCAGGAGCAGCTGGTGGAGAACATCCTGGTCGTCGACGAAGCCGTGGTCACAGCCTGCAGGACACCATCCACTGAAGAAGAAGTTGCGTGCATCGTCTCCAGTTGGGTTGATGATGAGTCCGAATGGCCTGCCCGCGATTTCAGCCGCTAGATTCTGGAGAGTGGTGAATGGTCTGGTGGAGTGGACGGGAACAGTGCGGTCTGATTGGACGTAGCAGAGCTCGAAGCCTCATATAGTATAGCCATCCTCAGTAGCTCCAGCCGGCTGCTTGTTGTAGGAAAGCTGTTGTAGGCGCAAGTCGATGAGGTAGCCAGCCTCATCGCGCGTGACTCCAGCGACAGCGAAGATCTGCAGGGGCGAGTACGGGGCTTCGTCGCCTTCTCCGTCCTCAAGGGAGGATTCTGTAGCATCGTCAGCAGTCTGAACAGCGTATCGCGATAAGAGAAAGGGAGCCTACTATCCTCCATGACATCCTCTGCCCCTTCTCCGTCCTCGGAATCTGGTACATAATTAGTCCTCTGAAGACCATATGGATCGCTCTGCTCTAGAGGAAGCAGCTTACTATTACCACCTTGTCTGCCCTCTGGCATCCCTTCTCCCTCATCCGAACCAGACGCTGATACTTCCTCACCGTCCTCAGGCGCATGGACACCCCTCTTCGAGAACCGGCTCTTCCACTTCGCTTGCTCCTTCTCCGTCCCGAGAATCTGATCATGTTAGCACTATGGAAGACACAACAACGCTGTCTTCTGCTTGGAGAAACATACCTTCACCAGCCTCCTCCACCTCTTCTCCGCCCTCCAATCACCCATCTCCTCATCGTCATGCCGCTCTGAACTCGCCTCGCTCATGGAGAACATGGGAGGAGGCCCGTCGAACAGTATAACATACTCAAACTGCACCCAATGCAACATGCGCCGCAGATCCATCCTGCTGAACGCCGCCATCTTGTCCCAAACGCCAGTAGTTCGACAAGATGTTATGCGTACTGTTAGCTATACAGCGCTGCCGATGAGAAGCGCCGAAGGTCGTCGTGAATTCGACGAAGTCCGACAGTATGAATGTACTGTATGCATATATGGCCGGGTGAAAAAAAGTATAGAAATCGCAAGGGTAGGTAGGCGTGTGCGGCATGGTCCAAGCGTACGCTAGTAATATGAAGTGAATGGAGAGTGGAGTCAAGAAACCAGAAGGTGGAGTGAGGAGGCTTTAAGTGTTGTAGATGGGGCTGATTGTCGGACGAGATGGAGGAGATATGGGATATGTACTGTGCCATAGTCAGCATGTTTGCTTCGGTCATGGAAGGGTATAAAGATACTCCTGTACTGACTTTTGAAGTGTCCGTTGTCCGTCAGTACAGAAGCAATCAAGCGATTGGTCTCGCGGGATGAAAGCGAGAAAGAAGAAGCGCCCAGGAACATCCCTTCGGAGTGTCCATTGTGCAGCAGAGAAGGAAACGGAAGATGCACCAGCTTATTCGTGACAGAAGACGGAGGAACACTCAGAGGTCGCCGCTGGGATACACATTGTGCAGCAGAGAAGCCCGGGAGCCGCGCTCCAAGTACCGGAGAGGAAAGGAGGCGTCCAAACACCTACCTTCGAGGTGCTCACCGTCCGTGGGAGAAAGGAGTTTTGTGCTAGACTCACATTTGCCAACCCTCCAAAGTCCAGAAAGACAATCTTGAGTCCGCAGTACCCAAGTCTCGACCCGACTCCACGCCGCATAACCTTTACCATGCTTTGCTCCCGCCAAAACTCCCGTATATACAACCCCTTCCTACAGCGCCCCCAACTCCTTCAACCGCCCAATCAGGCCCCCCACATCCTCTACCTTCCCACCCCCCTGCCTTGCCGGGGGCTCCGCCACCTTGACCGTCTTCAACCTCTTCCCCGTATCCACCGCATAGTCCGCCATACTCTTCTTCTGCAGCGGCTTCTTCTTCGCCTTCATAATATTCGGCAGCGACGCATATCTCGGCTCATTGAGGCGCAGATCCGTGGTAATAATCATCGGTAGCTTCGCTTTTAACGTCTCCACGCCCCCGTCCACCTCGCGGGTCACAGTGACGGAGTCGCCCTCGATGTCGACTTTGCTCGCTTGCGTAGCTTGACTCCACCCGAGAAGACCAGCGAGCATCTGCCCAGTCTGGTTTGCATCATCGTCAATACTCTGTTTCCCCAAAATAACCAAATTCCTCCCTTCCTCCTCGACAACCTTCTGCAGCACCTTCGCGACCCCCAACGGCTCTAACTCCGTCTTCTCCTCGACAACATGAAGCCCGCGATCCGCGCCCATGGCCATTGCTGTCCGGAGGATATCTTGTGATTTCGCGGGTCCGGCAGAGAAGGCGAGGATGTCTTCGACAGGGTACTTGCGTTCGCGGAAGCGGACGGCTTCTTCGATGGAGAGCTCGTCGAAGGGGTTCATGCTGTGTTTGACGCCGGTGGTTTCGACGGCCGTTTGGGCTTTGTTGACGCGGGGTTTGACCTGGAATAATAAGAAAGGTGTTAGTGGGTGGATGTTAATGGTGGTAGGAGGAGGTGAGGTGAGGTGAGTGTGTACCGCATAGTCAATGACCCGCTTGACGGGGACCAGTATTCGTAGTTTGGATGCCATTGTGCCGGTGCCTCGTGAAGGAGTGGTAGAGGTGAGGTCGGAAGTCTGGATGGAAAGTCATGCAGGCGATCTCGGAGAGCTCGTCATGCAGCGCCGGCCTTTCTGCGAGATAGCCGAGGTGGATTTTGAGCCGCAGACAATATCACGATGATCTTTTAGAGCTACCTTACACTACCAAACGAGAAGCATTGTGGCTTGATTGACAAAGTTTCCGATCACTGTGAGAAGACAAAATGATAGTGTGGTAGGAACGTGTCGGCGAAGGCTCATGACATTCGCCCATTATTGACCATGGATTCTAAAACTACATCAAATACACCCAGCAGAAGAGTAAGTTATTGATGAGATGCTTTTGACGGTAGGCATGCTCGCGGCTACCATTTGACATACAGCACCACATCCCACGTGCAGACCCCAGTAGCTCATGCCTGCTAAGCTACGCAAGGAGCATCAAGCAATGTCGGTCAGTGAGTAACAGTAGATGCTGCCTGGTTTGTCGAAGTAAGGTCACACTTAAGCAGTAGCAGTGTTGACCTGAGCGGAGCCCTCAGCCTGGGATGGGATGTGGTCGACCTGCGGCTCGCCCTCGAGCGGCGCGTTCGGGTCCTCATCCTCCTTGCCTGGGCTGTCGATCGCGACCTTAACGGCGATCTCGCGGCCTTCAATCTCCTTGCCGTTCATGTCGGTGCACGCCTTCTGCTGAAGCTCTTCGCTAGAGAGAGTCACGAAGCCGAAGCCACGGCCCTTGCGCGGCTCGTTGCGGGCCTGGAGCTTGCGGACCATGAACTTGGGGATGGGGCGCAGAGCGATCTTGGCGGAGGTAGGAGAGTAGTCGGCGAAGATCTCGAGGAGCTGGAAGAGCATGTTAGCGGTATGACTCGTGACGGCGTCGGAGTGGTTGTGCTCACCTTCTCCTCACGAAGATCGTACGGCAGGTTGGCGACCATGATCTTGTTCTTGCTGGGGATGCCGTCCTCTGGTGGGCCGCGCTGCTTGCGTGGCTGCTTGACCTTGCTCTTGCCAGCCTTGTCGTCGAGCCCTTCCTCGCCTGGCGCGGCAGTGAGAGCCTCGTTCGTGGTGGAGGTGAGTACCGCGGTCTGGCCAGGGACGTTGGTTGGGCCGGTGCCGTTCGTGGCGGCCTCTTCGGTCTCGCCGTCCTTGCGCGCCTGTGAAGCAGTCAGCAAAGCTCAGGTATACACGTTGGTATCAATGCTTACACGTCCACCACGGCCAGCACGACCGCCGCGGCCGCGGCCTCGTCCGCTCTTGCCCTTGGAGTTGCGGCGACGCTGCTCACCGCCCTCAGCACCAGCTTCGGTTGTGCCAGCTGGCTCAGGCTTGCGGGCGAGCTGCACTGAGACCTTGCGATCGAGGATGCTCTTGCCGTTCAGCTCGTTGATGGCACGCTCGGCCTCGGATGGGGTGGAGACGTCGACGAAGGCGTAGCCGACGGGGCGGGTCGTGCGTGGGTTGGTGGGGATTGACGTGGTTTCGCTGTGCATTGCATGTTAGCAGGGATTGCGAGATCTGTGGAAGATAAAAGACATACACAAGGTAGTCCTTGAAGAATTCCTTCAACTCTCCCTCAGTGGTCGCATAGGCGAGGTTTCCAATATACAGTCTCCTACCCTCGGCGGCGCTGGCAATGACGGCCTCGTTCTGAGACGCATTGATGGGCTCGCCGCCGGTGCCGACGCTGGCGCCTTCGGCGGTGCCAGTGGGCTCGGACAGGGTGGTGTTGGCCATTTGGGCGGTGGTGGTATCAAGGGACATGATGTTGTAGTTTGTGGTTTGCTGACACGAAGGTGATTGACTTGTGTGGTATGAGTACTTCTGGGGTCGAAGTACTTCGTGTGAGGGTTTGCGGAACTGGGTTGTCCTGGGAAGCCCTTTGGTGGAAAAGTTGACGAGCTGCTCACGCGGGTCAGTGGAAGGTGGTAGAGGCACACGTGATGGTGGTGGAGACTCACGGAGAGGTCTGGCTAGCTACGTGGCCAAAGTGAAATGAGGAGGTGTGTTGAGGGGTGTTGTGTTGTGTTCAGTTGTCTGGTGTCGATGAAGGGGGAAGAGGCAGGTCCAGGAGTGACGAGCGAACTGCAATATTTTGGTAGCTGCCCGCCAAGCTTCCCCTTCTTGCCTGCGATTCGGCCTTCTCCTCCTCCCATTGGCTCGGCTTGTCCCGGCGGACTTTCGAGGCACACGACCGCAGCAAGAAACAGTTTGCCTCCTTCGCTGCCGCACCTCACCTCGTCTCATGACGTCCCAGAAGGTGCTACCAGCCTCTCCCGATGCTGCCATACGCTCGTGACTTGCTCGAGCTCGATACGATCAATGGAAAGGGCCGGCCAGGTTGATGGCAAGGTGGCCCAGACTGGAAGGAACAAAGAAATGTAAGTGTTAGATCTCGTATACTTTGTCAGACTCGGTATATACCCATCTCTCAACCGCTGCAAGACACATGAGATGTTAATATGAGTCCTTTTGCGGCCTTTTCTGGGCCATTGCGAACATCCCTGCCTCCTGTTCCCTTCTGCAGTTTCAAGAGAAGCCTACATATGTTAAATTGCTGCTTTTTCCTTTGTCTGCCGTATCTGACCGCGGAACAGAGCTCAACATAAAGGCAAACCTCGCACAGCTCTGATCCTCTATGGATCGGAGACCGGCAACGCCCAAGATGTAGCAGAAGAAGTAGGACGGATGGCCGAACGCCTCCGCTTCGACACCACCGTCCTCGACCTAGACTCGGTCCAGCTTCGTGACCTACTCAAGCCTACGGTCATCGTCTTCGCAGTCTCCACTACCGGCCAAGGAGAGCTGCCGCAAAATGCCCGCAAGTTCTGGAAGACCCTACTATCTGGTGCTTTGAAGCCTGGCGTCTTGCGGAGAGTTCGATTTTCTTCCTTCGGCATCGGCGACAGCTCGTATGCTAGGTACAATGTCGCCCACCGGATGCTATGTGGCCGGATGCAGCAACTTGGCGCTCAGCCATTCTGCGAACGTGGCGAGGGTAACGAGCAGCATCCCGAGGGTCACAGTGCTGGCTTCCGAGAGTGGATCGTCCAACTGAAGCAGAAGCTCCTCGACTCCGTGCCGCTGCCGGAGAACGTGGAGCCGCTTGCTGATGATGAGTTCTTGGACCCGAAGTGGAAGCTTGCTCTTGTTGAGGACAATGAGGAGAAGAGGTCGAACGGCGTACCTCATGATCCTCATCAGCCCAACGGCATGAGCAATGGGGAATCTCCATCGTCTTCGCAGGGTCATACAAAGGCTTCAAATGCAATGGAAGACCTGCCGTCGCGGGAACAAGTTCCAGTCAAGGACGCTCATCACGCCAGAATCGTCTCGAACAACCGCATAACCACCTCAGATCACTTTCAAGACGTGCGGCTGCTTGACATCCGTTTGGAAGATGTCATCCCTTATGGCCCTGGTGCGGTTGCGGTCGTATACCCCAAGAACTTCCCCAGCGACGTCCAGGCCTTCATTGACCTGATGTCCTGGCAGAACATTGCCGATATACCTCTAACTCAACAGCCCACTTCTCCCTTATCCGCGAATACCCCTCCACCACTCCGCAACTTCTCCATCCCTTCCAGCATGACCCTTCGATGGCTCTTGGAAAATGTGCTGGACATCATGTCTATTCCACGCCGCTCATTCTTCGCCAATCTTATCCACTTTACAGACCCAGCGCACCCTGACTCCGAATACCAAAAAGAACGCCTGCTCGAACTCGCCAACCCTGAACTCATCGACGAGCTCTGGGACTACACCACCCGCCCCAAGCGCACCATCCTCGAAGTCATGGCCGACTTCACCACCATCCGCATACCATGGCAGTATTGTCTCTCCACCCTACCTCTGATGAAAGGACGACAGTTCTCTATCGCTTCTGGTGGCCATCTGCGACAGTCTCCTGACGGGCCCGAGAAGACGAGGGTACAGCTTCTTGTTGCGATTGCGGACCCTCCAAGTCCCATCATCAAGTACCGCCGTCGCTACGGCGTCTGTACACGGTATATTGCTACACTTGCTGCCGGTCAACAACTGCGAATCGGGATGCAGCCTGGATATCTCGACGCTCAGCCCACTGACCTCGAGGTCCCGATCCTGATGATCTCGCCCGGTACTGGCCTCGCACCAATGCGTTCGCTCATCTGGCAGCGAGTGATGTGGGCTCAAGAGCAAGCGTTGCGAGCACCTGGGAAGGCTTTACAAGGCGATGTCCTGCTCTTCGGCTGCCGCAGCAAAGAAGCTGATTACTTCTTCCGTGACGAATGGGAAAAGCTGCAGCAGGAGGAGAGTCTAATAGTACTCACAGCTTTCTCCCGCGACAAGGACGAGCCGAAGCGGTATGTTCAAGATGTCATTCGCGCGAATGGTGAAATGGTCAAAAGAATTGTACTGAGAGAGATGGGGAAGATCTACTTATGTGGCAGCTCGGGCAATATGCCGAGGGGTGTCCGAGAATCGCTGGTTGATGTGCTGCAGGAGACAGAGGGTGAAGATGGAGAGAAGATGGGGAGGGAAGAGGCGGAGGCGTATTTGGAGCGGATGGAGAGGGAGGGGAGGTGGAAGCAGGAGACGTGGTAGTCATACCGTGGTGACCTTCCAAGCGAGGGACAGCGAAAGCGGCCAACCGGTCATAACTTGCAGACACGACTTAGTGGTCAAAAAGACCACATCACTTTCGCCAGAGGGCTGTCATTGTCTGTGGGATGGTCCCTTACACGGCTCGCTCTGCCCTGGTGGGCCGCTTGCACCGTCGACATCTTGCCTTCCTCCTGCCGGCTGCCAGACAGAGATCCGAACGAACAAAGAAAAGGTCCCACCTCCGATCGGACGACGGCAAACATGCTGGGCCTGGTATTTGAGGCATCTCGTTCCGGCGTCCGTGGTCTTCAGGCGTAAGTAAATCCAATATTGTGTTCGACTTTGCATTCACTCGCGATCACATGTCGACGCTCGGACCGGCTGCCTGGCTCCGCCGGATCCAAGCGTCGTCATCTTTTTATAACACTCCACTCGGGATGTATAAACATACGACGCGGTACAAATACTCGCGCTTCTTCGATTCGGTACTTCAACCTTCTCACACCTGCCACCACTACGAAAACACCCACTACACGCAAGACCATAGTTCCCTGACAACATACGAACGTACTCCAGAGTCACGCCAACAAGCGACGCTCCCATCACCACCGCGCAAACACGCTCCAGACACGGGAGCTGCTCTCCGTACCACGCGAACACACCTCAACCACGACAACATCCAAACTCCTTCAGCATGCCTTTCATGTCGCTCTCCTCCGCTCGTTCCATGTGCAGCAGGGCCATGATCCTTACCAGCAAGGAAGGACGTCTGTTGGTCAGGCTCCTGGCCAACTTTCAGGACGCCAAAGTTGGGCAGTTCGTGCTCGCCAAGTTGCCGTACTCTGTTGAGTCTGATAGCGCGGTGCTTCAGCATGGAGCTCAAGATGCTCATGTACAAACCGAAGACAACCATCAGGTGGGGGAAGCTGGCCCTGTCTTTGTCTCTCATGGCGGAGACAATGAAACGAGTGCTGACCATGAACAGCAACCAAGCCCAGACAAGGTCTTTGTCATCGACGAGCTCATTCGCGACAAAGGAGGCAAGCTCATCGACGTACTGCTTCGCGAGCTACACCATCATCTGCAAGCAGACGAGGCATGCGCCGACAGCTATCACTTGTTCGGCAACCAGCTCGGGACCGGCTGCTGGCTGGGTCCAGATGCTCCTCTTCACGCTGCTACTAGGACTATCAGCCTCAGCAAGATCGCTGAAGTCGTCTCGAAGGGAACGACCAAGGCCGAGCCGTTCAAACTTGACGTGATTCCCAACAGCACGGACGCTCCTCGCGGAGATCTTGTGTTTGAGCGCATCTTCAAGTCGACCTGCCCAGCACACTGCACCAACGGCCTCCTCGAGAACCCCGAACGCCTCCGAGCTGTCTATCGAACCCTCCCCGGCACCATGCTCACGCTGCAGGACCACAAGCCCATCTGCCCCATCTGTATGGGCTCTAGGCTCCTCGCCGACCAAGTCGGGCTGATTGCAGAATCCGAGGAATATATGGGAATCTACAACATGGAGCTAGCATACTGCCGTCTGCTCGAACGTCTCGCTCGTCCCGGCTACGAGTGCAACTGGGAGGAACTCGGAGACCTCTTCTACCCCGGTCCTGCCAACCCTGCTGGACGACGACGAGTTCGAACGGTGGGATGAGGCTGAGGATCCGAACGCCTTCCCGACGCCTGAACCTGCTTCGGAGGCTGCGATTGCGGGGTTGTTGAAGAGGAACTACAACAAGTTAGGGGAGGACGAGGTGCCGTGCACGGTATGTACGGATGAATTCGAGGACGGCCAGGTGGTGGTCGTGCTTCTGTGTGGTCATTGCTACCATGATGGGTGTGTGCAGCCGTGGTTGCGGGAGAAGAATGCTTGTCCGCAGTGTCGAATGCCGCTGCCAGAGGGCTGAGGGTGGGGAGAGATCAAGGAACCGATGGTGGACGGGGGAGAGGTGGTGGCAGGATGACGTGAGTGTTCTCGAGTGCCTCCGTGGCGGCGGGTCTTTGGAAGCACTCGCAACGTTGTAGATACGTTGCATGGGACAGGACACAAGCCGGAGACGGTAGGAAGGGAATGGTGCATCTTTTCAGCACTCCTCTGTAGGTCTTGGGACGTAAGTGAAAGTCTCACGACGAACCTTCCACTGTCTTCGTGAATCCATCACCCCTGAACAATGACAAGCAAAGCTGCAAAAAACTTCCACTGGATCAGAGACAAGGCCGGATCAGAGACAAGGCAGACGTGGCAGCGCCCATATATGTATACGGAGTCTGGAGATCTATCTCTATACCGGGCTGGTGAGTATTTCCATGCCTCCACTCTCTTTTTGCATTCACTCTCGATCAAATGTCAGCGCCCCGGCCCGCTATCTAGCTCCACTAGATTCCGGAGGAGCATCTTCTTATAGAACTTCACCTGGCTGTATAATGGAAATCTCTTAGCCTATGTACTGCTGCTGTCGACCTGAGCACTTCCACCCTGAGTAGCAAAAAACATGCCACACCTCGATCGTGTCGCTGTGGATTTCGAGACATGGGCGGAGACGGCGCGAGCCAACTGGCCAGAGTACGTCGCATTGCAGATGCTCGAGACCCTTACCGAGGCGGAGGTGAAGGGGCTGGTGTTGGTTGCGTTGTCGAGCTCTGATCGTGAAGAGGAGGATAGGCAGGTGCGTGAACTTTGCTGTCCAATGTGGTTTGACTGAGCATGCTGACCACCATCACCCTTCTGCTCATGTCACGGAATCAGCAAGCATCAACAGGCTGTATATTATCGACAAGCTCGCTCACGACGCCACTACAGCGAAGCTGACGGACGTTCGACTACGTGAGCTGCACTACTATAAGAATGCACCCAAAGCATGCGCCGATTGCTACTGCGTCTACGGCAACGATATCGGGGTCGGCAATCTCTGGTACCCGAACGCACGACTTCACACACCGACGCTGTCCATCAACATCTGCGAGCTTGTCCATGAGATCGGCTTGGAACCATTCAAATTCGAGCTGCTCCCTCGTTTCCACGACGGTCCAAGAGGCGACCTCATCTTCGACCGCATCTTCGGCTCCGTCTGTCCTGCTCATTGCGAAGAAGGACTTCTTCAGGATATGGTCGATCTCCAAGGCGTGATTCAAGTCCGCCCCGGGGGCGCGGGGGCGTTCACGCTCACCAACTGCCGCCCCATCTGCCCTGTCTGCATCGGAGTGTGCTCCCTGACCGACCAAGTTAGCATGATCCGGCGCTTAGAGGAGCTTCGAGGGATCGCGAATATCGGCCGCTCCTACTATCGCCTGCTCGTCCGCCTGGCCATCCGAGGATACTACTTCAATCACCACGAACTCGACGACTGGTTCTACCCTGACCCAGCCGAGCTCGGTGATGATGGCGAGTTCGAGCGCTGGCCCGAGGCGGAAGACCCTCATTCCATTGCACCGGTTCTCAATGGCGCTTCTGACGATACCATCGCGGCTCTGCCAATCAAGAAGTACGTGCACGATGGTGATGAGAAAAGGCAGTGTCAGGTCTGTAAGGAGGATTTTGTGGATGGGGAGAAGGTCTTGGTGCTCCCGTGCAAGCATTTCTTCGACAGATACTGCATCCAGCAGTGGCTGAAGAACAAGAGCTCGTGTCCGGAGTGTCGTGGGCCTATCCCTGAGGGATGAGGTAGGGAGGGGCAAGGTGTTGAAGGTTCATGGCTATGCTTTGTTGTGTGTGGCGATTCTCTTTGTTGGCGAGTCATATGGGTGTGCAAGTGTCATGGGGAAGAGCTGGAAGCATGAAGCAGCACCAGGCAGCACGCAGAACCCGTCACAGAGAGGGACTCTTGCAGGCTGTCGGTTCAAGCTTATGTCTTGTAAGTTGAGCACTACGGGTGTAAGTGTATTCAGGAACGTTCTCCGGTCTTCCACTCCACTGTCAATTGGACAAAGGGCTATTGGTCGAAATGTCCTTCTTTCATCCCGCCATCTTGTGTTGCTACCGCTGTTTTGGCACCTATCCTATACAGTCGACGAGCCTATCGTGTATGACCACACCAACCTGACACCTATGTTCGCCAGTACTTACCAAAGTCTCCTACAGTCAATATGAGTATAGAGTGGCCCACGGGCTTGGGCTGTCGAACAATGACATACCATAGACGAGACGAAACATCAAACAACTCAGTCCGATCAAAGGCAAGGCTGCAACGGCGGGAATACTGTATATATGTGGGAGCTTAACTCTGTAGGATCGGTACAGTCAGTCTTTCGATGTTTTGGCTCCACTGCATTCACTCGTTGTCACATGCCTGCGCTTGAACCACTTCTTAAGTTCCACAACGCCGCTTTTTCCTATAGAAACTTCACATCAGCTTATAAACACCCGACACGCTTCTACACCACCTTTCGACCTGTGCATCCGACCACTCTGCAATCGCGGCGCCTTTCACAATCTCTCGACTGCCCTCTTCTCCCATCGCGCGCTCGCATTGGCCGCGCAAGCTGCCACTACCTGTACCCGCATCATCTTCTCTGAACGCCACCATGTCGGAGGACACTACCGACACGGCAGAACTGAACGCGATGCGCGACAAGTTCCTCGACGCCCTAAGACCTTGCGAAATTAGCGGGTTTGTGCTCTTGGAATTCTGGAACTCCTTCTCACCAGTCGACGTTGTTCTCGTGCAGGAAGGCATGATGGGCACGCCTTTCTGCGAAGTCAAACCTTCCTCTTGCGAGGAGGAGGACTTTGAGTCGCCTGAGAGCTCTAATGGTGAAGAAGAAGAGCCCGTCGAAGTAGACGAGTCCGACGAAGTAGACGAGTCCGACAAAGCAGAAGAGTCCAACGCAGTAGAAGAGTCTGACGAAGCAGAAGAGTCCGACACAGCATATGAGGCCGACGACGAGGCAGAGGACGACTCCGAAGAGGGGGGACTCCGAAGAAGGCGACTCCGAAGAAGGCGACTCCGAAGAGGACGGCTTCGAAGAGGACGACTCCGCAGAGCTTCGGTACGCGGTCGTGCTCATCCTGCGCCAGAAGGTCTACGACACAAGCGGAACTCTTGTTGACGTCCGCCTCGAATCACTCAACTTCTGTAGCCAGGACTCTGGAGTCGCCGAACCAAGCTATCAGATCTTCGGCCGGGACCTCGCGTACGTTCAGCCCGCCTCTCATGCTCAAGGCGGCTCCGCAGCTCAGCCATCCGTGACCATGACATTCACCACCATGGATCTCGCCGAAATGCTACAAACCTGGCTCTTCACCATACACAAGCGCCCGGACGGTGACACAGTCCGTCGGGTCATCTTCGACAGAGTGCTCGGGCAGATGCAACAGCGGTTTCTTGCTGGACGAACGCGAGCTGGCGACGACAAACAGAAACAGTCTGCGTATGCAAGAGTTCGATCTTCGGGCGTCGATCTGTCCTCACTGCATGGGCTCATGGTTCTCAGCTGAGTACGATCTGTTGCTGCTAAGTGCTATCAAAAACACTGTCAACCGCGGGAGGCTGGAAGACTTTGAGTACAAGCTGAACATTCGCCGGGGTCTGCTTGACTATGAGCTCTGGGATGCCAGTGAGCAGTACTGGGGTGTGATCCATCCGGACACGGCACGTGGAGACGGCTGGCAGCAGTGGGACGAAGCCGCTGATCCCAACGCCAATCCAGTCTATCACGGTGCCTCGATTGCATCCATCACGTCGCTGACGCTCAAGGCCGTCTCTGATGCTAAGCAGGCGGGATGCAACACTTGCGGCGTCTGCATGGACGAGTTCAAAGACGGCGAAGTGCTTATTGAGCTGCCCTGCGGACACGTCTTCTGCGACACAGGCTGCGTGGTCAACTGGCTCAAGAAGTCGAACGCCTGTCCATTGTGTAAGGCCGAGTTGCCAGCAGAAGAGCCGAAGCACGGGCCAGAATCAGAGTGTAACTGGTGCCACCATATCTTCGCGGAAGACGAGATAGCCGTGCGGCTACCATGTGGTTACAACTTCTGTGTTGGCCGATGCTACGAGGAGTGGGTGAAGACGGCGCGGATTTGCGCTGTATGCCTTGCTGTTGGCGCCGAGACGGGAATCTTCGTGGAGGCCTCCGTACAGGCTGGGGCTGAGAGGAGCGCCACCGAACAACACGCCGTAGAAGATTGACGAACCCGTGGAGATGCGACCGCAAGGCCAGATTCCGAGGGACTATCGAAGACTCGTTGGGCCGGTGCTAGTGGTGTGCTACAGCGATGCGTTTCTCCGAGCAGGGTTGAATATTCTCTGCGACAGGAAAATGATGAAGGAGGTTGCGTGCTGCCTGACATAGGCTCGTGTTGTTGCAGCTTGGATGAGATTGTTGGTTATTTGAGAACCCGGTGCTTGGTGGGACGCTTCTCTTTCTGGGTATCCGGTGCTGTGTGGAGTGCTTCCTGCTTGTTCGACTGGTGGAGACTGAGAGGATGAGAACATAGCTGTGCTATCTGCGTTGTGCGGGGCTGTCATCGGGACGTCAAGGGCAGAGCATCGTCGAGAGTATTACTGGAGAAGAGTTGCATAGTAATATGGCGCGACGTAATCGGCCGGTCAGACAAGGTATTCATGCATTGACTACTTACTTGAGCTTCATCTCCATCCTCTCCCATACCCTCGCCCACCCCTGTGGCCTCCACTCCCACCTCTCCACGGCCCAGGCCCAGGTCCACGGTACCCATGCTCTCGCTCCACCCCACCATCCACCAGCCTGTCTCCGTCTTCAAACGTATACCTCCTCACCTGCTGCTCAATCCCCGTCGCCGTCTTCATCGCCCTTCCACCCTCCCACGTCCGGCTCGTCTCGCGATCTAGAGTGTCTAGCCGCTTGTCAGCTATCTCTGAAGAGACTGGGAGATAGTAGACCTTGGGTTTTGTAGTAGTCGAAGAGAACCGCTCATCAAGGACGCTGAAGGAGGCGGATGTAGCGGGAGCAGGCGTGGAGTTGATGGGGCTCTGCTTGCTGGCCATGGGAGCAACAGAGTGTTCGGTGGGGATGGAAGGCCGGTGACCGCGTGGGCCAAGAGGAGCGTTCAGTACGCCTTGTCCAGGTGCCGGAGCTTGAGTGCTGAAACTTGTCCTTGGGCGAGGTCCAGTGGGTGCAGTAATTTCTTGTAATGATGCAGTCACGGTTCCGTCGTTCAAGGTGCCGTACTCGACTTCCCACCTGCGCACATCTCGCTTGCTGTTGCCGGACTCCATTTCCCGATCGATCCAGTCTTGCACCTGCTCGTCTGGCACGTAATCGACCCACAGCTGTTTGCGCGTGGACTCATCGGGCCAGACAACGCCATGAAGCGCAGTGCGGACGCGTGATGCAGCGGAGGTAGAAGCGAACGAGACGAAGGCGTGGGTGCGGATGTTGTCCAGGTGGAGAGTCGTGATCACAGAGTCGTCGGGCTCTTCGCCAGGCCGAGCAGCAAGTGTGACGATGTGGTCGCGGAGCTGTTGGGGTTGTAGTGGACGGAGGAGGTCGCGGATGTAGATGCTGTGGGTTACTGGGTGGACTGAAGATGGCCCAGAAGTGCCGTCCTCAAGCGGCGAGTGCGCTCGCATCGTAGTGTCGTCCGTCTTGTCTGCCATGTCGCCGTCGAACTTGTTTCGTGACGCAGGAGCCTCATTCGTAAGATCTGACGTAGGATCTGTAGCGACAGGCGCATCGCTGACCTCCATTACATCGTCGCTGGTGCTATATGGCAGTGCTTCTTTGCTGTCGGCTGGGTTGCTGCTCGTCTCAAAGGGCACCGGAGCTTTCTCGACCACGTCGTCGTTGGGAAGCTTCACTGGCTCTTCCTTGGCAGCCTTCAGCTTCTTGTTGATGGTATCTTCGCTCGGCGGCGGAGTCGGGCTGCGGCGTTTTCTCTTCCGGTTCTCAGAAGATTGACCATCCGAGACTGGCGAAGCCATCTGAGGCGTTGCGGTTAGGTCTTCCATCTTCTCGTCTGCGATCGTGGCCGGCTGAGCATCTGATGATGAGACACCTTGCACCTCAGATACTGGAATAGAGGTTGCGTCTGGCTCGACACCATTTGTCACAGCATGCTCCTTGCCCACATCCTCCATGTTCTCGCCCACCATTCCCTCCGCATCGGCTTTACCGGCCTCTCGCGGCTGGTCGGCTTCAACTGGGCCGCTGTCCACCCCGTCTTCCCTCACGACACCGTCGCCTTCGGATGACACTGCTTCTTCCACACGACCCTCCGTATTGACGTCGGCAGCAGGAGCATCACCGGCCTCTCCAGTCTCGTTCTGGCTCGCATCATGTGCCTCAAGCGCATCGACGATCTGCTGTTTGCGCGTCAAGCCGGTTGATGGGATCCCTCGTTCCTTGAGGACATCGCGCAGTTCAGCGACCTTCAGCTTGCTGTAGTCTGCCATCGTTGCAAAGACTGAGCGTGCGCATACGTCGGGTTTCTCGGCATTGAGTCGCGAGAATGGATCTCAGGTCTTGTGTTTTGAACCGAAGTCAACTGCTGCAGCGGCTCGGGACGACGCGTCTGCCGGAATATCTGTACGCTTTGCCAAGTATACCGTTTCGACGAAATCTCCTGGTCGTTCATCAAGGCGTGGACGTTTCATAACGATGGTGGCAGAACAACTAGTGACCGAAGCAGGAGCACTTATTGATTTGACTTCCAAGAGCACGGTGCTGGAGGGCCAACTGACGCATATGAACATGCATGAGGTACATCCCGCGGCTCTTGGCTACAGCCTCGTGCTCGCAGCCTTGCGGTTGTGCAACTCGCTGGCGCCGGTCCCGTCAAGATGGGAAAGCAGCCGCACTTCTCTCAAGAGGAGCTGAACGCTCGTTCTCGCCCAGAGATACACCAAACTCCTTTGCCTTCTACATTGTGGATGCTGAAGTTACAACTCGTTGGCTTGCAGAGGCTCATCGTTGGCAGTCTACCGCCGGAGGCAGATCTCAGCAATTTCAACAGTGCTCGCCATGGATCCACTATCAGCCATCGGTCTGGCTGCCAACGTGTTGGCTTTTGTCGACTTTGCCAGTAAACTTGTTGCCGGTGCGCACGAACTGCAACATTCAGCAAATGGTATAACGACAGAAAACTTACATATCAAGAACGTGATCGCGGATCTGTGTGATACTACGAACGCCTTACCATCCACCGGCAAGGCTTCATCCCAGCACGAGAGAGCATTACAGAAGCTCGCAAGCGACTGCATTGGCCTGTCCGACAAGCTGACTGCAATCCTGAATGAGATGGAAGTGGCTGGCAAGAAGTCATTGTTTCGAAGCATCAGGGCTGCGATGGAGTCGATGAGGAAGCGAGAAGACGTTCTAGCGATTGAGTCGAGACTAAGCGAGTATCGTTCTCAGATTGTCATGAGACTCGTAATGATGCTGGGGTGCGTTGTCACAAGTTCTTCACTCTCTCTTCGTGGGTCACTGACGATGCGCAATAGCGATGAACAATCCTCAGTCAAGGCTGAGCTCCAACAACTTGAATCTAGCATCACCACAAATACCGAAAGTGTCAAAAAGCTCTCGAGTATCCACTCATCTCTGCTGACAAGTCTTCACGGCTCTGGAGGCCATACAGGAGCTTGTCTACGAGAGTGAATGCCAATACCTTGCCCGCACGAATCTCCAAAATTAGTACCTCACTGGAAGATCTTCGAGGCATGCTGCTAAAGCTACAGTCTTCCATCGTGGACATCACGGCTGAGAAGTCCACTCTCAACAACCTCAAATTCAACTCTATGTTCGACCGAGAAGATGACATTCGAGATCCTGGAGCGCACACGTTCGAGTGGATGCTTGGCGGGGTCAACACGGACGATCCCACCGTCACGGATACTGGATCGAGCTACGCAAACGTTGGGCAAGATGAGTTTGATGCCGAGCATATGTATGAACAGAAAGTTCGAACGCTTCTTGCTGACGAACATTCGAAGCGGGAGGCAGCAAGAAGCGCCTTTCAATCATGGCTCCGAGAGCGAGGGAGTGTTTTCCATATATCTGGCAAAGCCGGATCCGGAAAGTCAACACTGATGAAGTATCTCTGCAACCACACTCACGCTCAAAATCTTCTTCGGGGGTGGGCTAAGGACAAGAAACTCATCCTTGGGAAATTCTACTTTTGGAACTCGAGGACCAAGATCCAGGCGTCCAAAGAAGGACTTTTTCGAGCTCTTCTGTTCGAAGTTTTGAAACAGGCACCTGAGCTTATACCTGAGCTCTTCCCGGAAGCTTGGGCACATTTTCGAGGTGCGCGAGGGGACTCATCAGCTGAGACAACAATGTTTCGACCAGCGAAGATCCGAGCTGCATTCGAGACATTCTTGTCTAGGCAGGGCCAGTACCCAAACCATCGGTTCTGTTTCTTCCTCGATGGTCTGGACGAGTATTCTGACCATCACGCCGACCGCCTCGAACAGCGTGGACTCGCTCTATCGATCAAAAGGTGGGCCTGCCGTAAGGATGTAAAGCTATGCGTCAGCTCCCGGCCTCACGTCGAGATCCTGGACTCGTTCTCGGCTTCTTCTGACTCGAGAATACATCTCCACGAGCTGACAAGAAGCGACATCTACCTATATGCTGCGACCACGCTTCGTCAGGATTTGAGCTTTGACTGGATGGAGGGGATTTACTGGCACTTGGTTCTGGGCATTATTCGCCAAGCGGAAGGAGTGCTCTTGTGGGCTTGCATGATCATTCGCCTGCTTTTGATCTCCGCAGCACGCCGAGACAGCCCTGAGGATATGTGGAGACTGCTCTCCAGCACGCCATCTGACCTCAATCGGCTGTACGATCGGCTTTTCGATACACTTCCAACGCGAGATCGGATTCGCGTAGATCAGATGTTGCTCATCACTGCACAAAATCCCGAATGGGATCCGCCGAATGCGTTGGTATACACCTGGCTCGAAGACCTGGAGAGAGATCCTGAGTTCCCCTGCAATTGCAAATTCGAGCAGTTTTCCGAAACAGAGGTCGCAGAGCGGCTTCACAGGCTTAGGCTCCAACTTGATAGCTATACGCACGGAATGCTTGAAATAGTAGAGCGTGCGCCTTACGACCTCTATCATCGCTCGTCAAGTCCCGGACCCACAGACCGCTTCTTCTTGCAACGAGTTCAATTCATCCATCGCACTTTGAAGGACTTCGTCTTGACCAAAGCAGACCGCGATGAGCTTCCTGGGGGCTCCTTAATACAGCAATCTCCCGATGTATTTGTACGGCTGCGACTCGCAGAGGCTGTATTCCTCTTGGACAATCGACCCGGCGTATGGAGCGAGGCCCAATCATTCTCACCACAAGATTACTTTTCGCCTTTACAATTGTATCAGAGTCGGCACTTTTCAACTGAATTCCTTTGGCATTACGAGAGGATTGTCGCTCAGCACATGGCTCTCCGGGACATCCGAGTGTGGTGGGACGGTTTCGGCTACCATACTCTTGCTTCCGAGACTCTGCCGTCCCTGTCTGTGGCACATTTCGCTGCATATATTGGGCAAACGGCCTACGTTTTTCAGAACATCAACGATAACGTTGGGCTACTCGATTCCCAGGGCGATCTGAATCTTCTACTCTCTGCTATCGTCGGCAAACTTGACGCGAAGAAGGTCCATCTGGTACTTAGGCTTCTTCTCGCAGGCGCGTCAATACACAGCTCTCTTATGGTTCTCGTCGATCCTAGAGACATGGAGGACGTGGAATCTGTGGGAGACGAGGAAGGTATAAGAGACATGCATTCAATGGCCGTGACCCCTTGTGAGGTCCTCGCCGATGCACTTGGAGACATATGGTGGAACCACTGGCGACGTAGGAAGTACACGAACCCTTACCAGTGGAAAGAACGACCTCAGGTAGTCTTCCTTTGCCAAATCCTGGAGCACTTCCTTCTGCGAGGTATGAGAGGCGAAAATTGTTCTTTCCGATGTCAGCGAGACAAAGAATATGTCGAAAGTGTCAGTTTGGAACAAGTGGTTGTGCTCTGTGCCCCCCCGAACCTGGCAACACTTTTACCGTATTTTCGGAGGCCGCCACCGTCTTCATTCGGCTACTTCAAGAGAGGTGTGGATTGGGTCTTGGGGCTTAGCCGCTGGCGCCAGCAAGACACAGGGGCAACTGTGGCGCACGAGGCAGAGCTTTTAGGTGCATGTGGGACAGATGCTTTACCTACATGTATACAGCGCGAATATCACCCCGTTGAAGGTAAACCCTGGCACACTCCTTGGATCAAGGAGATGCACGTGGGAACGAGGAAGATTCCGATGCGGTTCGATGTTCGGATCTGTTGATCTGTACTACTCGGAATGGCTGAGCAGTCTGCGCTTACCTGGTGTCTCGAGGACCTCGATGCAAGATGAGGTTCCAGCAGGTGATGGAGGGCTGGTGTCGTTGATACATCGGGCGCCGGCTGTTCCTAATCTGGATCTCTTCAACAACGAAGTCTCTCCGCCCAGTGCCAGATGATGCAAATTTGGACTGGTAAACGGGCTCCAATCGCCTTCCGAACGAAAACACCCCTCTATGCGACTCAGAAAGACTCTCCGTCGCGGCTAGCTGCTCTGCTGCCATGATCGCCGCAGGCGTGCTTCTCGCACATCGCGCGAGGACAGATCGCACGCGAGGAGCGGTGGTGGTGCGCATGGATCAGGAGCACGTCGCTGATGTTGAGCTCTCGGACACGACCAACAAGCACAACAACCAAGGTAGCTCCGGTATGCGCACTCGGCTGATCACAAACAGGAGATGATCGCAACAACGTCCCATCAAGACATCACCGTTTTGCTACTCTCGAGTTTTGTCTGGGAATGGGAAGATCGAAAGTTGGAGACTACACCTGTTCTCTGTTCGCCGGTTTCTCCGTTTGCGTAAACAAAATCAGCCACTTACCTGCCTCAACGTACTGTGGCGGGCGAGATTCATGTCGGAGACGCTTCGTATTCCCTCCCACAACGCAGCGGTCGCTTCTCCGTCACTTGAGGTGGTTTAGTTGAGATGACGACAGCCAGGCTTCTCGCGTACATGTATGCAAGTAGGAGAACAGGTTGAGATGGGTGCCCACTGCTCTATACCAATACTGCTCCAAGCTCTCCAGATCACTCAGATCAACCCACTCGCCTCTGCATCTCTTCTAGGCTGTCCTCGTCGTGCAATTGATCATACCGTAAATCATGCCATCATCATCATCCTTCGCCTCACGCCCCGTCACCCCACAGTCCAACCACGCCCATCACAAAGCCCACCCCACTAACTCCCGCCCTCACAAACTCAATCCACTGCTGCTCCCTCGCCCTCTTCTCGACCTGCTCGCCATTCACATCACTTATCTCCTCCTCCTCCGGTCCCTTCACCACCCTCTGCTTCATCCGCTTGTCCATCGCCAAATTCAAACCTCCACTCATCGCCGCCGCCAGAGAAGTCCAGAGAAGGTATGGATGTCGCAGCCGAGCTGGTGAGAGGTAATACGCCGACGCGAGCGCGAGCGTGGCGACGGTGCTGAGGGTGCGGATGTGGAGGGTGGCGAGGCGGCTTGTTTGCGCGAGCGTGTAGGCGGCGGGCGTGGCGGAGGGTAGCGTGAGGAGGGAAGGGAGGGATTGGGTTGATAAGGTGTAGGAGACGCCCTGGGGTGGTCGGGTTAGTTATATCGATGGGATGAAGTGGGATTGAGACTAACCGTCAACAGGCCCAGAGAGATGGTGCCCACGAACTTGCAGAGGGCGACCGCGGAAGGCATGTTGATGGTGGTGTTGTCGCTCGATTCGTTGATGCTATATGTCTTGGAGCACAGCTTTTACGGTCTTGTCGAGCTCGACGTTGTACCTGACTGACGAAGGCGGCGGCTATCGCTTGGCGTCATGCAAGTGAGCTCTGAGGTTGGCCCTTGCTTCTTCCGCCCAAGAAGGAAGGAGCCTCGGTTGACGACCGAGTTGATGCCAGTTACTAAACACCATCACAACGGAGCACTTCCTCGTCGCCTTTTGCAACGACCTGCATCAGAGGATACCCTCGGACGTAAAACCTTCGAGCTCTCAAAAAGCTGTCGAAGCAGGACCGTCAAAGGATCCCACTCATCGCAACATTACGGCCGAAGGAAAACGGCCAACATAAGCACGTTTGAATTCCCAACTCCTGATCCTAGACCTTCACTTTTCCTGCTCGTCTGAACACTTTCCAGTAATTGGAAAGACCTACAGCAGTCATGCCGGTCCCTCGCGAGGAATACCTCAGCTCGATCTGGAAGGATGGCATCTTCGACAACAAGGTCCTATTCTGCACTGGAGGCGCCGGCACGATCTGCTCTATGCAAGTCCGCGCCTTCGTGGCTCTAGGAGGAAACGCCTGTATCATCGGCCGCAATGTTGAGAAGACGGAGAAAGGCGCAGAGGACATCGCCACGGTCCGCCCTGGCTCCAAGGTCATCGGCATCGGCAACGTCGACGTACGAGATCCTGCCGCACTCAAAGCAGCAGCAGACCGATGCGCAAAGGAGCTCGGAGGCATCGACTTCGCCATCGCTGGAGCAGCTGGCAACTTCCTTGCGCCCATCAATCAACTCAGCTCAAATGCGTTCAAGACGGTCATGGACATTGACGCGCTCGGATCCTTCATCACCGCCAAAGCCTGTCTACCTTATCTAGTCGAGAGTGCTAAGAAGCACACGAACACGGGCAAGCAGTATCCCAACGGGACTGGTGGAAGGATGATCTTCATCAGCGCAAGCTTCCATTTCGTTGGCAAGCCAATGCAGGCGCACGTTATGGCTGCCAAAGCTGCTGTGGATCAGATCTCGAACAGCATCGCCATCGAGTACGGACCCTATGGCATCACATCCAACGTCATCACGCCTGGCCCAATCTCAGGAACGGAGGGCATGGAGAGATTAGGAAGGAGTGACCCGGAAAGCGTGAAGGCCAGCAAGAAGGGCATTCCATTAGGTCGGTGGGGCGAAGTGAAGGAGATTGCTGATGCGACTGTGTTTCTCTTCTCGGAGGCAGCCTCGTATCAGAACGGGACGGTCATGGTGGTAGATGGGGGGCAATGGAGGACGAGTGGGGCGTCGGATGGGAGAGGAGCGTGGCAGTATCCGGACTTCTTGATGAGCGGGGAGTCTGTGACTGGAGTGAAAAGTGGGAGGAGGTCGAAGATGTAGATGTAGCGAGTCTTATTATGCTATTCAAAGACGATATACATGCAACTGTACTCGATATGTCCCGCTGTTCTTTGCCTTCTCCATATCTGGACCCTGACTTCGAGCTGCCTCGCAGCGATCTAGAGCTCACCAGGCGCATTGCGGACTGAGTGAACAACCATGCGCCTACCTCTCTACCTTTCCTCATAGCCCCAGGCGAGTGGTGGTAGTATGGGACGAACAACCCAAGTGCTGGACGGCCCTGACCACTGTACGTGCTCTCTTCTCCGCCCTTCAGACAGCCGACTGATCCGCACGAACAGTCCAGCAGACCTGCGCAACGCTCTCAGAGCTCGAGAAGGTGCTCAAGAATGCCACTGAGGCGGCTCCATACTCTACCGCCCCCGGTTGTACCAGCTGCGAGCTGTTCCTCGAATCCACCGCCCTCATACCTCTCCACCGACCCGTCATAGGCCCCTACTCTGAAGGCGGCGAGCACGACATCCCTTCCAAGTTCAAGACCCGTTGGGCCGACGCCGAAGAAGACCAACAATATGCCTTCAAAGGTGGCGAGCGTAAGCAACAGCCCATAGCCACCGTCCAAGAAATCGTCGACATCTCCGACTCCGTGTCCCAAGCCAGCGTACAACGAGCCGCCTCTCGCGGCATTCAAGCCGCTATCGAAGCCGCAGATTGGTTCCGCTACAGCTTCAACAACTCCTGGAGCGCGAAGAACGAGAATGGGTTGCGCTTCTCGTATATATGTCAGGACTCGTTGCAGAACAAGGACCGGCACGCGAACGGCGCGGCGAGGAATCAAATCGTGCCTCTATCTGAGAGAGTGGAGGTCAGGAAGCAGACTTGGGATTGCAAGGGGAGTATCAGTGTGAAGTGTTGCCCAGAGAAGACGAGAATCGAGGTGTCCTATAAGCATTTCGCTGTGCATCCAACGTATGCGGAGAGGAAGCCTGCGCCGCGGCGGAGCGGTGCTCGGATGCATATGGGGTGTGCAGAGGGTGGTGTGGTGCAGCGGATGGGTGGCGGAGGAGGAGACCGGCAGGAGAACGGCCTGGCGGGAGCGTTGCTGGACACGCAGGCTGCTTATGGCGAGGCGTCGGCTGGGCTACCACCGAATGTTGGGAAGAAGAGGAAACGGATGACGTTTGGGGCCAACTATGGCAAGCCACTCATCAATGACGATCTATCGCTGGCGGAGCTACTGAAACGTAGCGAGGACGCGAAAGTACCGCCCAAGCAGAGCACCCCCAAGCAGAACGCCAGCTTAGATCCAGCTGGGAACGGTGGTGGAGTGCAATATGATTTACCGTCCTGGGAGAAACCTCCTCTTGAACCACTTCAGCGGCCACTCCAGCGACCGGTCCAGACACCTCAGACCAACGACAAGCGTCCATTACCATATCAACTACCTTACACACCCACGCAGCAGCACCAACAGCAACATCACCCTCCTTGGCACTCCTATCAACCAGCCCAAGCCAACCCACCAACTCACCCACCTTCTGATCCAACACCTTCCCCAGCTTTCGTACCACAAGCCTTCTCAACTGAAAGAACCGCGCCACCCTCCATACTGACCGCAAGGCTGGCTTCAGAACAGCACACGTCACCATTCCCAGAGCCGACATTTTTGACACTGAAGCCTGCTAGAGTACTCACTGGACCGAACGATTTCCGCACGGATTCAAGCTGGCCGGGACAGGGGGGGTGGCCTAAAGAGTCATCGAGGGTGATGGAGAGTCCAGCTCCAGCGCAGCAGCAGGCGCAGGCGTACCCGCAGATGCAGGCGCTCGTGGAGAAGGAGCCGAGTCCTGATCCGTGGTTTCTTAGTCGATGACCTGGGTGGAAGGCGTGTGGGCGTGAGGACGGGCGGTGATGGGCTTGTGTCAATGCCTACGAGGCTTACTCCTGCTCGTTTTGGCTGACCGAGGGCGCATGTGCAATCAACACGATGGCGCAGACGTCTTGAAGATAGCAACACCGACCGTGTCGCTTGATATGATACCCTGAATGAGCAAGAGTCGTCAAGGACCAAGCCCTCCCATTGGTCATTCGACCATGCCGCTTCCTTCTGACGGCAACATGCGACTTCCTCTTCACTCCGGTCGCGACCCAACCACGTAGCACCTGCCTCCAACACGATCTGTTGAGGTGGACTGTGCTCACAGTCAAGTATGTCTTCTCTTCCTTTCTCTCTTCTCTTCTTCTTCTTCTTCTCTCATCACATCTTCAAGCAGCAACTTGCACAGCGACATCTTCCACATCAGCCATACATCTCCGCCCTCCATCAACAACTCTGCAACCATCCAGCTCTTGCTGCCGTGAACATCATCACCGCCAGCTTCACCCATCCCAACAGTGAGTCCTCACCCCAACCATCACTCGAGCCTCTGACTTCCATGACCTTCACTGACGCCGCTCACAGATCAAAATGGTCAACACAACCCAGCTCGCCCTCTTGGCCACGGCCGTGCTCTCCGCCACTGCGATGGAGATCGACTTCCACCGCTTCAGCACCGACAAGTGTGAGGAGGCCTACCACATCCGCAAGGACACCGAGCTGCACGATCCTCACTGCAAGACCTTCTCTGAGAATGAGGTGCCCTTCAGCAGCTTCATGATCAAGCCGAGCGATGAATTGGACGAGGACAGGGACAACATCTGCACCCTCACTGCTTACAGCATGGCGGACTGCAAGGGCCAGGCTGAAGTCTTTCCCCGTGAGTTGCTTCTTCTCTCTTGACCTCGCTCACCATCATGCTCATCTTTCACCTCTCACTGCCTTGCCTGCGGTCTTCCACCAACCCTCCGCCACTACTCACCGTCGTCGCTCGCCCAACTTCTCCCTTTGTGGCCCGGCTGACCTCTCCCAGAAATGAGGGACTACATGGGCCTATGCTCTCCGCTGCAGCAGATCGCCGCCCACTCCGTCAAGATCTCCTGCGTGCCCAAGCCCAAGCCCGAGCCGACCACCCCGATCGTCAGCTTTGTCTCGCACACCATGGAGCCCCCCCACAGCGACCCGACCTACGTCTACTCGATGACCAACGCTCCTGAGCCGACACCGGCCGAGCCGACGCCGACCGAGCACAAGACCGTCATCCTCTACCCCGGCAATGACGATCACGCCGATGATTCTACGTGGCTCAAGTGCTCCATCGATGGCAATGGCAACAGGGTCAACAAGCGTGGCGAGGCTTGCTGAAGAGTCACTGCCGACCACCACACGACGACGATGAAGGGATGATGATGGCGTTGGATGATTGATTGAGGATGGGATTACTGTTTGCATTCTGTTTTTTGTGCAAAGCCGTTGAGGCTTCTGCTGCTGGTTTTGTTTTGCTGTTGTTGTTATACCGCTGCTTGACCTAACACTTCTTCTGCTTTACACTGCTCTGCCACTTCCATCTAGTCTTCGTCTTCGTCTTCGTCTTCGCCTTCGCTGTTGTTCCCCTGCCTCTCCTCGTCCTCATCGGCTCTGGTCTCCTTCTCGCTGCCGCTGTCGAATCGAGTGGATCGAAGTGACGCTCCATAACCCATGCAAGTGCAACGCGGCACACAGAAACACGCTCAGCTCGACCGCAAGCCCAAGTGCGCGGCCATCGCAGACACCTAAAGTGATGGGTACAACAGCCGGCAGAAACTGCACACCCCTCCCATCGCACTGTTGTTCTCCAACACGGTATCACCAGCCCTGCATCCTCCCAAGCTACTTCCATCAGCTTGTGGACTTCGAGAGGCCCACCGTCTTTCCTTAAGTCTCTATCTTCTCCGCGACAATATCAGCAGCTTCGCACCATGCTGAGTCGCTTTCAGCTGGCTCTGGACTCGGCGGCGACTGTTACATCAGCTCTCTACCGCCACCCGAGCTCCAGGAAGCAATGGAGCGGTCGGGGCAGGATAGTTGGGAGAGTTAGCAAGCTTCTCGAAACCGGTGTTGATGTGGAATCCTCGCAGAGCGCTGGTTAAGGGGCAATGTTGTCGAGGACAATTTTCCATTTCCTGGCTGAGAGTCAGACAGTACAGAACGCTCTATAGTGCTTGATTGAGTGTCGGTGACAGAGAAGCCTTCTACCCATTAACTTTAATCGCGAGTTCAGAGCCCAGCGAGCCAGTGATGGTGAAAGCGGCCTACCGAGCATGTCTGTCAATCTTCTCCGGTATCAAAATGCACGAAAAGGCCGCATGATTCTGGAATGTTGATGGGTTCTTGTTATCTGTGAGAAGGTCTGTCACACGACTCGCTCTGACCCTTGGAGGCCACCCCTGTCTAGTTCAATCCAAAGGAGTTCAAACAGATGTACAACTCCAGACACCAACGCTCATAAGCATCATCATACTCGTCCCTCCCACTCGGCACTCATATCCTCAGCCTCCGGCAGCTCCACCATGTGCGAGATGTGCGACGCGAAGCGCAGTCTTGAGAGATGCCGGTCCTACCATGCGCCCCATTCGTCATCATCCTTCTTCGCTCCAGCGCCGCCTGCACCAGTACCGGTAGTCGTCTTCATGGCGCTGGTGCCGATGCTGCTTGGCTTGGGCTGTGCTTGCACCCTGGTGGACAGCAGGATTAGCGCATTTCTCCAACTGGCGGTCGATGATAGTGTACGTACTGTTTCTGCTCACCCGCCGCAGCAAAGTCGTCCCAGAAGGACTGCTTCTCCTTCGGTGGCCCTGCTGGTGGTTGTCCGAAAGAGTCCCAAAAGTCCTTTTGTGCTGGCTCGGCTCGTCTTGGGGCTCCTAAAGCAATGTCAGTACACAGCACCACTGAGCACTCTTCAGTCTCGACATTGCTTACCGCCGCTCTGCTGACCAGACTGTGGCATGTCCGGATCGACGAACTTGTTGAACTGGTCGCCTACCCCTTTTGCGCCCTGCTGAACAAACGTGCCAGCTTGCAAAGCAGTCTGGCGGGCTTGAGCGGCAAAGTCCTGTTGCGCGAGGTTTTGCAGACCTGGTTGAAGGTACGTCGAGTTGATGGTGGCTGCTTGTTTCGTGAGGTTGGAAGAGAGCCAGCCAAATCCTTTTGTCAGGGCTGCAACAGGATCGTCCTGGAAGCCGCCGTTGCTCGATGAGGCAGTGGGAGGAGGTCCAGAACCGAAGCCACCGTACTTGCCGCCTTGAGAAGGTGGGAGTCCTTCAGGGCGCGAGGCATTTTCGGAGCCTTTGGAAGCGAAGTAGGCTTCGTTGCGAGATTTCTGTGAAGGCGAGGCGGTTCTCTGAGGTGGTGGTGACCGCACGTTGCCCATTGGTGTATTCCTGCCACTGCCAGAGGGTGTAGGGCCAGCACTCTCCACCGTCGCCTTCTTGGCCACTGGCTCTTTTCTCTTAGACGTGCCGGGCACATACTCCGTTCCCTCCACCTTGGACGTCAGCCTGTCTTTCCACTCCTCGCCCGCCTCGCTATCATATCGTTCACTGATCGTGCAGCTGTCGAAGTCCCGCCCAAGAAGTTTGTTGCTGCTGTGGGCATTGAAGAACTCTTTCCAAGGCTTGTTGCCTCCGTATTCCATCCGTTTCACTTCTGCCGTCTTGAAGGCGTCCATGGTCACACTGCGAACGAAGGAGATGTGGACGCCAAGGCTGCGGTGGATGCCGGAGCAGGCGAGGCAGAAGAAGATTCCGAGTTTGGGCGAGGCCTGGGCTTGTCAGCTTGAGGTGTTGCGTACGTCAAGAGGGCCTAGTGTACCCATTGCGGTGATGGTGCTCCTAAGCATTAAATAGAGATGTCAGCTGGTGCCTTTGTTGGTCTCATCCGGTCTCAGAGCATTACAGAATGCTTGGGACTGTTCTACAGACGCCATTCATTCGCCTATTCAACGTACCGCAGTCTACGCATTTGTTGTTCTCATTGGTCTTTGATATCGTGAGGAGCTTCGACCGGGTCTCCGGGTCTACCTCCCACATCTTGGAGCTCATTTTGTCGTCTGGAGGAAAGGTGTTTGTCGGATAAGATACACTGCTGTTGCTATAGTTGCATGCTTCGTTCTCTTCGGGGTTATTAGCGTGTTTTGCTGTACGCAATATACCTCCTCGCTGCGACTACCTGCGGATTGTCCATTGAAGTCGCACGTCGATCGTGGTATGCTTGGCGTATGCAGGGTTCGCAGCGGGCCGTGCCCAGCTAGACCTGGCGCCGCTTCAGATGCTGACCCCCAACATCGTTCTTTCACTTTCAGTGGGCTGACCACTCATGTAGAAGGCAATGGCAATCATGCTGGGCTCATCAGAGCCTGCCGTTGCTTTAGGTATTCCGCAATACATCATGCTCGCTGTCTACAACCACACAGACTTGCAACCTCGCGCACAACATGGCTGCCACCCCAAATTGGCCAGGCTGCGCACGCACGACTGATGAAGTCCAAGCAGACGCAGACGCCGCCACAGAAGTCGAGCGCCAGCGCCTTTTCAGTGAGCAGGAAGAACCTCGCAAGCAAGCCTCCACAGCTCATCACTTCGACGAAGACGCCATCGTCGCGTACTGTAAAAGTCCCGATGCACGTTTGGCAGACGGCAGCGACAATTCAGTCTTCAGGTACCACCATGACGCCGTAATCAAGGAGGGCTGCGTGATCCTCGAACAGGAGTTCGGGAATTTGCGATATGCATACCGGAAGTTCGATCAATCATTGTCCGCATAACCAAAATCTTTCACTACTTCGCCAGAGCCGAAGGCCGATTCGAAAGCCACGACCTCGTCACGGAGTACATCGAAGGTCCGCTCTGCGACAACCTCGTTAAACCCGAGACCATCGACAAAATCGCAAAAATCATCGAGCATATCTCCACCTTCCGTTCAGACCAGCCGGGCCCTGTCGGTGGCGGCTCGTCATGGGGCCAGCTGTCTTGGGACGAGCCGCCTCTATACGAAAATATCGCCGAAATGGAAGAGTACTGGAATCGCCGCCTCAGGATTCAGAAACGGAAGTTCATAAACGCTTTTGTAAACGCGTCGATGGACTTCAAGACCTCGCAATTGGTCTTTGTGCACATGGACATCTCACCTCGCAACATCGTCTGCTGTTCCGATGGCCGACTGTCTCTCCTCGACTTTAAGCACGCGGGCTTCTACTCACGATGCTTCGAGCGTCTCTGTCTGCGTAACACCAATTGCGGCGAAGATCTCGACTACTCGAACGCGATGGTGGCGAATGTACGGTTGAGCGAGGAGGACGCCGTGCAAGAGGAGAAGATGGAGCAGGCGATTTGCAACAATGTGGGGCATACTGTGTATGTGCACTGTTTCGGTCCCTTTCCTCAGTCAAGCTGACTGCCAGCAGCAGTCAGTCCGGGTGGCTTCGGCCCAACACTTGTATAATAACTGAAGTCGCGGATTTATAGAGCTAAGTATTCAACAGCCATCAAATGAGACCTACGCCGCCACCATTGAACCCTCCGCCTGCAGTCCACTTCGACGAAGGCGCCATCGTAGCGTACTGTGAGGATCGAGGAGCGCGCATGGCGGACGGCACCTTCTTCTCCGCGAACTGTGTTAGATACTAAGACGGTTCGATGAGCAAGTTCGGATACGCAAAGGGCGAAAGAGCTCGATGCCTGCAGTTTGCCTACGACCACCTCGACCACACACTGGTTAGAGTCCCAAAGGTCTATCACTGCTTCAACGCGGGCCGCAAACAGTACGTTGTCATGGAACACATTGAAGGCACACCCTGTGACAACCGTGGGGGGCCCGAGACCATCGCACAGATTGCAAGAATGATAGACCACATCTCATCCTTCACTCCAAGCCACGATACAAGCTATCCACCCGATCGTCCTGGACTAGTCGAATGTGGCGTCACACAAGTTCTGCTGTGGGAGAACGAGGCGACGGAGATCATCAGTATGGAGCAACTGGAGGAGTACTGGAATCGCCGGCTGCGCTTGACTGAGGGAAAGGATGCGAGGATGGGGTTCGAGAAGTCGCAATTGGTCTTTGTGCATGGAGACATCGCGCCTCGTAACATCATCTGCTGCCCGGACGGCAGGCTTGCTCTTCTCGACTACGACTGGGCCGGCTTTTACCCAAAGTGCTTCGAGCGCGCCACGAGGCGACTCAACTTGCAGGGGGGGTGAAGGCCTTGAGTTTTCGAACGCGCTAGTGGAGACAATGCATCTAAGCGAAAGGGAGGCTATTCAGGAGAAGAAACTAGAGGTAGGGCGGTGCAATAGCTTCCGGTACACTGTGTAAGTTGGCGAGTCGACGCTCCTTCTGCTCCTTCATGCTAACGATGTTTAACAGCACACCGCTCAAGCCGCAGCCGATGTCACGCCCTCCCCCTGTGGTCGTTCCCCAGGACTCCGACGATGATTAGCATGGGCTGTCCACTGTGTCTTTTAGCGAAAAGGTCATTTGTGCTTGTCGTTAGCGAGGAGTCTATTGCTGGGGGAGGTAGTTCTCGAAAACCGACATAATTAATTGTACAGCTCACAATCACCGCTGCCAAAGCTCCTCTAGACATTCTGGCTCGGCGAGAAGGCGCTCACTGCTTGCATTCGTCCTAAACCGCTGTTACAACTTACCCACTCACAGCTTGGAGACTAGTGGCTCTAGCATTTGAACAAATCATGGGAGTGCAGCATAGAAAGATTGATTCCCTCTATGCTGTACAGCACACAGCTCACTGCCTATAGCAGTACTTCTTGAAACACGCCTTGCAGCCCTTCGTCTTCGGCGCCTTCCCATTGTCGTTCTGTATCGCGCAAGCCAGGCATAACGGCCATCCTTCTTCTCCATTCTGCGTGGCGATCTGCACTCCATTCGCGATCATGCCGTCGGTCTCCTTCTTCGAGTACTGCAGTTTGCTCGTTGGCTGGTTACTCGGATATGTGTAGTTGACATTCGGCAAGTACACAATCATGACCGCGTCTGGTTCTCCGCAGCCGAAGAAGGTCGCGCGTTTGTTCAAACCCTCGTCAACAAATGTAGCGACGTCGGGGATGAAAGGCATTTTGCTCAGCCCGGCGGCTTGGGCGTTCAGGTACGTCTGCCGGATCTCCGTGCCGTTGGGGAAGTTGTCGTCAGTATCAGCGCTGTTATCGTTGGCGATCAGGACGTCGACTCTCGGAGCGGACGACTGGATGAACGGCCAGATGGGCACGTTCTGGCCTGCTAGTCCGCCGTCGGCGAGGGTGAGCTCTGCATCGTTCTCGACCAGAGTGGAGCGGGGGTACTTGTAGAAGGGGTTGGGGTAGACTCCGAAGACGTCGTCTAGCTCGGGATCATGGGGAAGGATGGACTCGAGGACGCCAGGGAGAGTGCTGTTGTCTGGCTCGAGCACCCCGCAGAAGCCAGGGAAGATGTTTGACGATGTGCCGAGAACGTAGCCTAGGTTGTCGTATCGCTGAACGCACTTCTCAGCGTCCGTAGGTTTGCCTTTGGTCATGTCGGTGCCCATGTACTTTGTATTCGCGAAGGCGGAGATGCCGGTGTCCTAAAGCATCGACGGGTAAAAGGGTTAGCAGGTGTCTCGAAAATCATGCAAGAAAGCAAAAGGTCTCGAAACGCCACATGCAGTGTGATCGTGTCTCGGAGAACCCTTTTACCCATGAATACTCACCCAAGAGCCATACTCGTAGGGATGGAATTCGAACTGCGGGCCATCGATGGCTGGGCTACATTGGCCGTCATCTGGAAAGCCCGCGATGATCGTGATGATAGGGTAGGGCACCTCGTGGGCCATGAATTTGCTGAGGCCCGTGAGACCTGAAAGACGGGTTCGGACACCGCCGTCATCGCCGAGAAGCAGCTGGTTGGAGAGCAGACGACCGTATGGGTCGACAATGGTGGTGTCGTAGCCAGCCGCCTCCTTCGCCACGACATCGGTGCTGACCTGTGCGTACAATGTAAGGTCGTCGACTGACAGGATGTTGGCGGGAACAAGGAGCCCGTTCTGGAAAGCGTCTTCCCATAGTCCAGTTTTGAGCGCCGTTACTGTCGGCCAGTTGTTTCCTGCGAGCGAGGACAGAAACCAGGAGCCACCAGAGAGGCCTGCCTCATAAGTAAGACCCTGGTAGATTCCGCTGGTCCCAACATCGGAGTCTCTGGCATCGAAGCCTTGGAACACGCCGGCTGTCTCGAGGAGAGCCCGGTAGCCGCCGCCGCTGGAAGTGAAGCCAACCGCTGGGACAGAGGATGTGTCGAAGGAGCCTTGCTTCTCGAGCCAGGAAGCTAGGCTTTGATCTGCTTTCCTCTTTCGTGCGGCTGCGTATTTGGCTTCTTTCTTGGAGAGACCTTTCGCCGGTCGAACGAGCTTGCTATCTGGACATTGCACGGTTATAGGGGCATATCTACGAAGATTAGCAAGTCTCGTAGACTTTGAATCGATTTGACCCACGGCGTCAGAGCCTGCCTTTCGACTAGCTCACTGCCTCCATTTGGAGCTGGAGCTGCTGCCGTGACCTTCAGAATAGCCAGGGTGGTGGAGAATGATGAAAGCAACCGCATCTTGACCATTTTCGCCTCACAACGAGCGTAGAAGAATACAAACGAAAGGCAGCAATACCTACAGGTCACAGTGGTGCCGGAGGAAACAAGGTGGGAGTAGCTCTCATCGATACCGAGGCGGTCCAGACTCGTAACGATAGTGGCGCAGAAAGTGGAAACCTTCATTGCTAGATCCCCGCTTCAAGTGGTTTGGTATAGCCTCCTTGTCCCGCCTTGGTAGGTGGAAAGTATGGTTGCGGCAAATCAAAGGACCAGGTCCCGGCACACCGTTAAGATCGTCGCCGGCATCGTCTGCATGGGCCCGCCTAGTCCTTCTCGCAGTCGGTATGAGGAGAAGTGAAAGTGTGATCAGAGAAGACATGTTTTCAGATGTTTGTCCTTCGAAGATGTTCTGTTGGTGCTACCTCTGGAGGTAAGGTGCGGAAGACTCGGGAGGCTTCGATGTGGTAATGGCGAGCGACATGTGATCGTCTCTGGCTTCAAGCAAGAGACCGTGAAAGCGGCCAACCGGGCATAGCTAGCAGTCTTCTCCGACATGAAATTGTGGCCAAAGGGCTTCATCACTCTTCAGGTTGTTCGCGGGCAGTCATTGTCCGTGAGAAGGTCTCATGTAATAATGCAGGCCGTATATGTCTCACTCGAGATGACAGCGCACACTTGCATGTGAAAGTAGAAGCTCCGCCGGGCGCCACACTTGGTATTGATATCAGCACCTATGCGCGACATCTGATTGACAAATCTGCTCTTATGGTGAGAAGAAAGCGAACATAATGGCGGAGGCATCGCTGGAGCGAGAGTTGCAGTGTGCGGTAAGTGAGGTTGAAGTGACATCTCGAGAGTAAGACTGACATCTTGGCCAGATATGCACTGACATCCTCTACCAACCGCTCACACTCCTAGACTGCCTACACACCTTCTGCGGGTCCTGTTTGAAAGAATGGTTTACATGGCAAGCTACATCTGCATCAAGCAACCGCCGTGCCGCAGCTCCGTATACATGCCCGTCATGCCGAGAGTCGGTGAGAGGGACGAAGGTGGACTGGAGGGCGAACACGCTGCTGGAAGGGTTTCTCAAGGCAAATCCGGACCGAGGAAAGACGGAATCGGAGAAGGAGGAGATGAGGAAGATCTATACACCTGGGGATGATGTACTGAAGCCAATACCGCAGCACCCGCAAGATGAGGATAGCGAGGATGAGCGACTCATGGCACAGGTGCGGGAGTTGAGTCTGGCTGGTTCAGGTGCAGGTGCAGGTGCTGGCAGACAGCGTGCGGAACGGTCGAGAGACCGCCGACGAGAGCGGGAGGGCGGAGGAGGGCAACGTCGAGAGCACTCCCACTTGACGGAGGCAAGGCTGCGGCAGCACGATCAACATGTACCTCAGGTAGAGCACCAGCCATCGCTACGAAGTCTGCTGAGTGCTTCAGAGACTGGTGCTCAAGACGTGCAAGCTGAGATCTTACGCTCAATCTATGCTGAGGGTGTCCTAGACGGCATTGATTTGGATAATCTGACTACAGAGCAAGAAGAGGAGCTCACCGATAGGATTGCGGCTGCGTACAGGCGCAGGCAAGAACAGCGACAGCAGGAGCAGCAGCAGCCCAGAGACCGCTCACGGAACAGAGAACATCGACATCGTGAGAACAGGTCTCCTCAGGTGAGGCCTGCTGTTGTCAGCAACCAGAGTCCACCTCAAGCTCAGACTGGCACCGACACCACAGGACAGACTCGCGCGCGGCCGCCTATATCCAGGCCACATCTGTTTGAACAAGGTCTGCAAGAACCTCCCCGTGCCCAGCGACGATCCGCAAGCTCGACCAGTCAACAGACCAACAGGTCTGCGCCTCGTCACGATGGCTCAACTTCTGCCAACCGATCAGCTACGGACTTGTCGCAACAGCCCAGTTCGGGCGACACACAGAGGACCCGGCACCACCGCCTGTCAAGCACTGGGAGAAGTATCACTGATCCGCAGGCAGGAGGGATGAGAGAAGACATCCAGCGCATAAGAGCTGCGTCCAACCAAGACAGGCCGAGCAGTAGCTCGCGGACGATCGAGAGTTCGCATGCACAGCAGCCGTCTCACGCACCCAATCAAGCACGTACCGAAGCCTCGTCCAGGAACGTCTCTTCGTCTTCAGCTACGGAGACCAACCAATCAGTCCGGCCTGCTATGTCCATGGCGGCGTTTGCACCAGAGCCGGTGGCGAGCTCCTTTGCTTCGCAAGCTGCACCTTCAATTGCATGCGATCGCTGCGGAACACAAGATATCGAACTTAACCTTCATTACAATTGCTCACAATGTCTGAATGGAAACTTCAACATCTGCCGTCGCTGCTATCGAGACGAGCAGGGGTGCAACTACTGGTTCGGCTTCGGATTCCGAGCAAACGACCGATGGTATCGGAACGCACCTCCAGACGGCTGGCCACATGGTCAAGAGTTCCCTCACGTCCTCAGCCCGAGGCGGTACGTGAGAGTATCACCACCGCAGCCCAGCAGAGACGACGCGCAATCCACGATTTGCCTTCAAGAGGGCGCAATCTGCGAGTCATGCTTCGCTTTCTCAAACGACTGCTACTGGTACTGCACTGAGTACTGCCTCGAAGGCGCCTGGGGCTTCTGCGACAACTGCGTAAAGCAGGGCAGACACTGCACCCACGCTCTCCTACTCACCTCCTACATCGGCTTTCTCCAGCAACCGCACTACGACCCAACCAAGTACTCCATCGTCGACCTTCCTCACCTCCCACAAGGCAGCTACGCAACCCTACCTCCAACCACCCACTGCGACATCTGCCACCGCCCAATCCCACCGAACAGCACCCGCTTCCACTGCTACCAATGCAGCGAAGGCGACTACGACATGTGCAACGAATGCTACCGCAGCCTCGTCGCACAAGGCAAGATCAGCCAATCCAACGGCCCCGACGGCTGGCGCCGCTGCCTCAAAGGCCACCGCATGGCCATCGTAGGCTACCAGGACCGGTCGGAGGGAGGACATCTCCGGCATACGGTCAGCGAAATGGTCGGTGGTTGGGACTTCAAGGAAGACGAGAGCACGCGGGCAGGACATCCTCCGCCGAGTGGAAGACTGCCGCCGGCTGGTGGGCAGGGAATGCGATGTTTGGCGCTTTACAGCTGCTTCCCTGCTGAGGGCGTGGAGGACGAGTTGGCGTTTCCGAAGAATGCAGAGTTGAGGGAGGTGAAGGATGTGCAGAATGATGATTGGTTTTTGGGCGTTTATGCTGGGAAGGTTAATTTGGTTCCGCGGAATCATGTGAGGATGATTTGATGATACCCATGGTGAGACAGACAGAACTTCATGCGGAGGTCATGAATCGTTTAAGCAGCCCGACGGCAGATTAATGTCACTCTATCTACACACATCTGCTAAGACACGCTATGGTCTAAGTTCCGAGAAGATATAAGGAAAGATGACCACGCACGCCTTCCAGAACACGCCCACGCTCCCAACCGCTCGGATAGGTATTGCCAACAAGCTGGCGCTGGTGATGTAGATCCATATCGCATAAAGTGCCACAGCAAAGAAGTGGTAGAACAGCACGAATGGCTGTCGTATAATGCCACCGAGCAGGCCAACCGGTCCGTCAATGCAGTTGCCTCCGAGCTTGAAGTACTGGAAACAACCCATCTGCAGCGCCTTCAGCTGCGCATCCTCTGCCGCGAACAGCGAGTAGAGTGCTTGGGCCAGGATGTTGATGACTGAAGTCAAGCCCTTGCGTCGCCAGTGGAACGTGCGCATCTGTTTGAGCACGAGCTTCGTATTGTCGAGCATTGGGACCTTTTCGGGGCTCAGGAGGTCGGAGAGCAGGACGACGTCGTTGAAAGCTACGGTCATGCCGCCACCGGTGAGCGGGTGACGCATGTTCATTGCGTCGCCGAGGAGGACGAGGCCGGGCTGTTTGTTTGTTGTTGCAGGGAGGAAGGAGTTGGGCATGGAGCGGAGGCGGTCGCGGTCGATTGCTGCTTCGAAGGCTGGTCGAACCTTTTCGGGGAGTGAGGGTACGACCACGTTTTTGAGATGGCCTTTGACACCGCCTGCTTTGACTGAGGCTGAGGGGAGGTTGTCTGGGATGTCGACGAGTGCGCGTGTCTCGTGCGTGCCGATCTGGTATAGCAGGATCGGGGCTCCGTCGCCCAATACAACGTGGCCATGGCAGGGCATTGGTAGCTCGGCATCGATGAGCTCGAGGCCCCAGAACTTGGATCGAACGACGGGTGCATCCGTCCTGAAGTCCTTGCGAAACTTGCTGGCGTATCCATCCGCGATTATGGTCAGGCTGCCGAAGAACGAGTCCTGCTCGCCCCTAACAGTCGCCTGCACACCCAAGATCTGATCCGTGTATCCGCTGCGCACGAGCTCTGTAGCAGTGGCCTCCACCACTGTCACATTCGGCTGCTGCATAGCCTTTTGCCGTAGCCGTTGTATGAAGCGTCCATGATGGAATGACCTGCCCTCTGGCCGCTTCCTCTTCATGCCTCGCATCTCATCCGACCTGCTGTCCTCCGAGTACCCATCCTCCATCTCGCGCGCGTTTTCTGGGTATGATATCCGCACCTCCTCGCCATAGAATATCACATCATATCCATACACTTTGATTGCATCGATCTCTTCAAGGCAGTCCCGCAGCCCAAGTTTTTCCAGCGCCTGCACGCCTCCTGGTTGTAGAAGCTCACCCACGATGCGATCCGGCTCTTTCAACGACTTCTCCAGTAGTATGACACTTCGGCCTTGGTCTCCCAGTGCTACTGCCAATGCGCACCCAAGAATACCAGCACCAATGATCACGACTTCGGCTTCATGGTGCGCTTCTCGCTCGTCCTTCGCCTGGTCTCTCGTGGTGATCCTCTCCTGGGTGTACTGGCTTTCATGTGACATTGCTCGGGTGCTGGACGTGACTAGAGGGCTGTACTGTTGTTCGTGAATAAACTCAAGAGTCGTTGATGAAGTCTCCTTGAACGCCCCAAAGTTTCCCAAAGATCGTTCCACAATGTCGATTAGATTGTGGCTGTGGTGGCGTTCAGGTCCGAACGTTAAAGCCTAACGCCGTTAAGATTTGGTTCTATATCGACGACATCTTCTCTAATTTACAGTGTATACACATTGCGTGATACTGGAAGCTGCATCTCGTACGAAGCGCTCAGCGTTGAAGAAGATTGTACTGTACATAACATGTGAACCGATCCACACATCACACTGCCAGCAAGGCTTGATCAAGCTACTGCCGGAGCACAAGAATTGGAAGACTCTGCTGCTCGCTCTTGTATGCTGTTCAACGTGGTACCTGGACCAATTTCCAGCGTTCCGGCTTTCGCTATAGTTAATTCTGGATGCATCGCTGGCATTGCACGCAAGCATGCGAGAGGGCAGGAAGATGCACAGCTCGCCGGCTCCATGACCTCAATGCCCAATTCATCAACGGTTCCGGCGAGACATGCTGCGAATGACCACAGACTCTACAGTGTCTTACAATGTGCTTGTGTGACCGACCTGTCAAAGCTGTCAAGCGGGTGGCTGCATGTGTGTGCTTCAGGAATTGTCGCTAAGGTGAGGATCTCCATGGGACTGAAAGTGATGCGTCACGCAGCTGTTGTGGCCACGACGGATATTGCTCAAGACATGATAGCAGCGCAAAGGCGCTCGCTGTAGACTAGCACGGCATGATTACTGGGCTCCTGTAGCTAAGGGGCGACTGAGCAATGCTTGTTAGCATTTTCTCCGCCAGCCAAAGCGACACTAGCCGACGCTACGACTTGTTGTCAAAGTCGCACTTCAATGTGAGAAGCTTACGACCACCACGCACCGGGTGTCATGCAGGGCCGCTGCAGCGCTGCAACTGACCTCCAACGCCATCGGCTGTTCCGGATTTTACAAATCAAAGTTGGATCCTCCGGCTCAATCCTGTCTTGCTCTTCTGAAAGCAGCCTCAACCTTGGACGTCACTGCTCGATTCACGGGACGAAACATCTTGGTTCGATAACAAGGGTCGAACCGAACCCCAGCTGCCAGCACGCAAGACAAACCAATCAGGTTTATCCTTCACTCAAGAATGGTGCGACTTCGCACACGTGGTGCAACGGTTAAACGTTGCGATGCCTGTGTGCCAGTACCTGGTAATAGTGCTGTCTGCTTAGACCCCGAGTGTGGACGCAGCCCGGGCAGAAAGTGACGCGGTAGCGGTCGGAGGGCAGTGTTCCGTCCGGGTCTGAGCATTAGCGCTCTGCGAGGCCAGCGAGTTGCCAGTTCACTGAGGAGAGTGTCATCGAACTCGGCGAGCCTTGAGGGACCGGAGAACACTATACACCATACCTTGTTCAGTGCGGGTGATCTGGTCCCTGAGGCTCCACCTCCTGGCCTGAGCCGGATGATCACGGTACCAAGGTTCTCCCTCCAGGTTCATGGCCAGCGCGACGAACGGGAAGGTTCGAGCGTTCGAGCACGCCGATGTTGCTCCTCTTTGTGCAGATGTCTGAATCCATCACTTTGATGGCCTATCGCTTAGGAACCGAGTCGTCCAAGCGCAAACAACCCCATGTCTTCCTACGCGGAGGTGAAACACAGCTGGCTCGACCGGCAAGCTGGACCTAGGAGTCGCGTGCCGGAAGCGCGGTGAGACAACTCAGAACTTTAGCTGTGTTGAACCTTCGGCAGTTGAGCTGCACGAATCACGAGTTGCGGTAGGTTCTTTTAGCCTCGGGTTGGATTTACTGCCCGTCACTTGCTCGAGCTGGAGATTGGGATCACCAATACCGGTAAGGATCAGATTTGACTTTTGAAGGTGAGTTGCTCTGTTTTCGGGTCGTGGTGGTTCCGCTCCCAGGAGCAATAGGCAGTGAAAGCGGCCCACCGTGCAGCTATAGACGCAATACAGAGTTTCCGGAGTGCCGGTCGTAGTGGACAGGTATGAGAAGACCGTCACACTAACGACCCTACCCAGGCCACTTGCGCTGTCGAGAGCACGCTCGGGTTGTACTGTAGCTTTCAGCGTTCTGTACCATCAGCAATTCTCTGGAACGCGAAAGCTTCTGCAAATCTGTGACATTACCAGCATTTCCTCTTGAAGGAATCAGATCAGGAGAAGTCGCAGATGGAGCAGTCCCCAAGCCCAGACCGACAGCGCGATACTACATTAGTCCCAAACTCAATCCTGCGCTTCCGCATGTGGTTGTTCACCACCCGTTTTCGACCAGTTCGACCGACGCGGGCGGAAGCGGCTGACCTAGCACGCGGGACTAATTTTCCAATCACCAAACCCGTGGGACGGTCGTTAGCGACTGTGCTCGGCTGCTTCGAAGCGACCTCACCAAGTGGCAAGGATTCTGCGCCAGTGCTCTCCGATCTCCGAGAACCCTCGCTTCCTTCGGCGTCAGCAGGCGGATCCTGGTCACCAACCAGTCGCCGAGCGGCATCCTTGCTGCACGTTGCATCCCCATCTCCCGATCAAGAAGAACCGCCGATCCTGTCGAAAGATGGCGCAGAAGTGGTGGTCTGAACTATAGCTCGTGAAAACTCGCGTTTGATAACGCTGCCGGCAGTTCGAACCAAAACGCCAACGGCGAGATAACCGTTGACCGGCTGGAACGCGGTCGGTCGTCCCTCAAAGCATCCTCAAGCCTGGTGGCGTGATGGTGGTCACAACATCGACGGTGCAGTGCTTGTGTTTGAGAAGACACACCTGACACCATCTGAAGTTGGCGATGCTCGAGGGGATGGCTTTCGCTTGTCTGATCACGCCTTGACAGTCGCTTCCAGCATTCAGCCTGTGGAGGGTAATATAATGAATTCTTCTATAGGCATGCAGGCAGCTGTTCTAGATCGCGGATTTTGAGACAAGCCAATCTCACGCCCGCGCCGTGGTGTCTCTCCGCCCGCATCCAACTCGGTGGTGTCGAGAAGCTGAGGCGATGCCCAGGCGAACTAAGATGAAACTGACCGTTGCGCCGTTGTGCCGCTCCCGCCTCCAACGGTCGGCCGAGCACACGTGTTGCTCGACCAGCGAACCTTGACCGTCCCTTCGACACCACCACCCGAACAAAGGATCACGTCAGCACTTTCCAATGCAAGCAGCAAGCCTCGCATGTTTGGAGGTTGGCATGTGCTGCCGCCCTTACCGTACGAGCCGTCCTCGAGTGTGGGCAGTGGCTACACAGCAGGTGCTGGCCGGGACGAAAATCCGGTAACAAAGGCTAGCTTGTGAGGCAGAACCGGGTTGCAGGAGTCTCCAGGGTGGTACCCTCGTATACCGCCAGCTTGTGCTCGTTGCACGTTCGGGCGACTCTGCGACCACCGGTCTCTCGGTTCAGTCGCTGTCAAATGTCCGACGATGGCACCCCATTTGCCTCGACGCCGTGTGCATCGATCTCTACCGCCCCTCGCTACCCTCCGGCGGGCGGTGAAAATCGGGTCCTAGTAGAGTGCTGCGCGCGAGCAATCATCACCTCTTCTAACCGAGCTTCTGGGCCCCCTGTCTCTTATTCTATTCGCTACCGACATTGCGAACAACACTCTTCGCTGATTTACATGGCATCACGTTGCATGGGTGTCGGCACTTTACTTCATTGAATCGCTCTTGCATACATCCAGCCTAGGCGTGTCGGTCAGAGTGCTGATTCGAGGTGGGTGGTTTCACTTGCACTTGGGAACACTTCTGTCTTGACTCCGTTGCATCGCTCGCGACCGTTTTTTGCGGTATCACTGCTTCTTGTCCCAGTGTTGTGTCCCCGTACGCTTCTTTGGGACACAATTTCGTTCTCCATTTTCGTTGGTGCCGCTCGAACTGCTGATCATTTGGTTATAGTGGCGGTCATCTGCACGCATCCCGGCCTCCTCTCATCACATTTCGGACCTCACGCTCTCTGAGACCTGCATAGCCTGTCGTGGAGAAGGGCAGACTGTGACTCCTGCACCATTCCTGCAGAGCATTTATAGTCACTGGAGCTACCAAAGTTTGCACGCTGCAGAGATCTGCGCTGATATACATATACAAGACCCGCGGGCTTATCTGGCGGCTACTGTATGCGACGACCTCGATGCGGGTGAAGTCGTCGACCACAAGCAGAAAGATCTCGAGTGTCCATGTCGCCAAACAGGCAGCCATCGCCCGTCCAGCCTCCCATCCTCAGCTCGTACGCGGATAGCATGGCACAAGTACGACAAGCGCCGTCTCTACCAACACTCAACAACTTCACCGGGTATGCCGCCACTCACTCGTCGCCGGACTATCACTCTTCATTTCCAGGACCTACATCTCACGCGGACCGGCACACATCAACTCGGTTACCACCCATACAGTTGCCCCCGCTAGGTTCAGCGCAACCACAACAACCTTCGAGCGATCCCTTCTCGATCAGGAGTCTTCTTTCGCGTCCGGACTCTCCTGGGCGTAAGATATCTCAGCAGCAGCCCAGGCCGCAGCTACCCTCATTTCGACCTCCTTCGAACTCTCCAGCCAGCAGTTACAGCGACTCACCGCATGAGAGAACCTCACAGCTACCAAGTTACCCACCAACGCAGCGCCATTACTTGGATCAACCGCCACCGAGTGCAACCCGAGGGCCTCCTCAGCCCTTTCCTCCGCAGCATCAGCCGCAAGCCATACATCAAGGCTGGCAATTCCCGCCTCTGCCGGGTAGATTGGATCAGGAGCAACTGCGGCACAATCCGTCGCTGAGCACCCCAACATACAACAGGTCGCATTATTCCGGCTCTTCTGAGCCATCGCCATCGACGACAGCGCTGCCCCCGTTCCCGCCCAGCTTTTCCAATCCTCTACCTCCGGTCAACTACCGCCTCAGCATACGGCAACAGCCAGCTGCAGCTCGTGCATGCGGCTTTGGCGAGCGAGACCGGCGGGTGATTGATCCACCTCCCATTCTGGAGCTGAAGATAACCGAAAAGACGACTGGCGAGCCAGCTGAGGACATCAATTGCATCCTGGCACTGCACTGTAGTCTGCTGAACCACGATGGTAGTGAGGATAACGATTCAGGGCCCGGCCAGGACGGCACCCCTGCTTCCCGACGTCTCATGGGAACCGTGGTAGCCTCACCCTACCAAGCCAAAGATGAGAACGGTATCGCGGGCACCTTCTTCGTCTTCCCAGACCTCAGCTGTCGGAGTCCTGGCAAATACCGGCTTCGCTTCAAGCTCCTTCGGGTCGACATCCCTTCGATGAAGCCAGGGGGCATCTCACCAACTGTGGCTTCGGATGTCAGCGACATCTTCTCCGTCTATACCGCCAAGGACTTCCCAGGCATGCGCGCCTCGAGTGGGCTGTTGAAGGCTCTGCGAAGACAAGGCTTGAATGTGGGTGTGAAGAAGGGTTCCGATGCGAGGAAGGGCAGCAAGAAGACGAAGAAGGAGGAGAGTGCTAGCAGCGAGGAGGAGAGTGATAATGGTGACGAAGAAGGGGGTAAACGAGGGGGCGCGGCTTCCCAGGATGGCTCTGGCGACGAGGCGGGTCCTCAGTCTGGCAGGAAAGGCAAGCGGAAGAAGACGACGTCGCGATAGGAGGTATGGCAGTTGTATGCAACCATACATTTGGATTCTTCGCCTTGCCAGTTTGCCAGAAGCCGTTGCGACCATCAGGTCCATGATAATCACTACTCGACACTCACTGGCCGGAAGCGCAAGTTGCCGGCGAGGCGCTGGAGCCTGCGCACCATCCTGCCCAAACCGTCCCGATTCCCAGGATCAAGCCTCCAATCTCGTTCATTTACCAGGTGGCAGGAATCGCTTCGTCCACCTACGTATGCGCTTCATATATCTCACGGTCAAGCGTCCCGAATGTCCGAATGTTCTCCAGCATCGACCTTACGTCCCGCAATATCGACAAACTCCCGGATCCTTGCCAAACATGACCCCAGATCGCCGGGACGGGTGTAAATTGTGGTTGCAGGGGAGGGCGGTCTTGGCGGGGAGCGGAGTTGAGTCCTGGCTGTGGGCTAGGGATTTGGTGAGTGGGACATGGCGGACATTGTGGGGGACTATGAGAGGGGTGGTGGCATCGAGAGGGCCAGATTGGGCTGATGAAATGGTGCCGGCAGCGGTGAACTTGTGGATGACACGACACTCGACATATTGTTCCGGTTATATTGTAGCGCTCGATAGCGGCGGGGATCGGTATTGGAGCCATGTCGTCCATATGGCAACTTCTGTGGTATAAGTAGCAAGGAGAGGATGCTGCTGAACTTGTGTTGTTGATCTGTTCCCTGGGCACATAATGCCAGAATATTCATTCCATACAATCATATATCAACCACATTAATGCATAGCATGCATTACGAGTGCTTCTTATGCTCTCCCTTGCTATCCTCCAAGTCCTCATACAAATCCAATCCCCAGCTCTTGCTCGGGTTGTTGTACCTCTTGTGCGCCTTGCCCAACTTATCAATCTTCTCCACATCCTTATCCTTCAGCTCACACTCCAACGACCCGAAGTTTTCCTTCACCCGTTCGAAATGCGAGGTCTTTGGGATGACGGATGTGCCTCTGCCCATTCCCCAAGCCAGTAGGACTTGTGCGGGGGTGCAGTCGCGCTTCGAGGCGATCTTGGTAACGACGGTATTGTTGAGAAGCTGCGTGAAGTTGCCGGTGTCGTACGTCGGATTGGTGCCGGCGAGAGGCGAGTAGGCTGTCACGTGGATGCCGTGCTTGGAGTGCCATTCAACGAAGTCGGACTGTTGGAGGTAGGGGTGGAGTCTGCAATGGCTGTTAGCACTGTATCTGCGTAGAAGAAGGGAGTTCGTGATCATACTCCATCTGATGCACAGCTGGTACGACAGAAGTGTTCTTAAGAAGGTCCTCCATCTGATGTGGGCTGAAGTTGGACACTCCGATGTGGCGGGCCTTGCCCTTATCCTTCAACAGTACCATTGCACCCCAAGTGTCGACGTAGTCGATATATTTCCTGCCGAACCAGCCATCCTTTACCGGCCAGTGCATGTGGTATAGGTCCAAGTAACCAACCCCAAGCTTCTGTAAGGAGTCGTCGATAGCTGCTTCGACCTGGTTGGGGTTATGGCTTCTTTGGGTCAGTCTCCAATGCAGCAACATTATTGAACATGCCAGTGGACGTACTGATCATTCCACAGTTTGCTCGTGATCCAGAGATCTGCTCTCGTCAGGCCAGTCACGGCCAAACCCTCGGCAATGCCTCGACCGACTTGGAACTCATTCCCATAAGCAGCAGCACAGTCAATGTGCCTGTAGCCTTGCTGGATGGCATATGAGACCGCCTCGGTGCAGTTTTCCTTCAAATTCCAGGTGCCAAAGCCGAGTAGCGGTATCTGGTCAATGGACAATGGCTCAGTAGAGAAGGGCTTTTCTGCTATGGGGATCTCGTCCACTGGCTGGCCTTCCAGAGGTTTCTGCTCAGCGTAATGGAGCTGGGCGGTAGCCAGTACCGCCAAGGGGAGGAGTGAAATGGCAGCCTTCATCTTGTCTGACTGGTATAGAAACGAGAAGAGACAACGGAATGAGGAAGAGAAGATGTTGAAATGTTATACTTTCTCCCCGCATCGCCTTCATGGTGATGCAATGTGATCTGCAACGTCCCGCCCTGGCGTGCTCGAGTTTAGGCAAGACTCGTCCGCAGTGCCCTCGAGAGACATGCGTAGTCTTGTCAAGTCATTGCATGATGTTGCTTTGGTGGTATGACCCAGCTCGAAGGCGATGGTGGGGATGAGGTGAAGAGGGAGGAAGGCGAGAGGTTTTGAAGCAACACTCCAGCTACAAGGCTGCTAAGCTCATTCAGACCCGACAATGAACCGTACAAATGGCACATTGGCTTCAAACATTAGGTATGATCGGCTTCAATACACACATGTATATGTCAAGTTCCTATTGCCCTGAAATGCACCCAAGTCAGTCGTCTATACAATAACTAGATCATCCACAATCCTCTGCCACTCATGCCGGCTCTCCTCTCGATGCATCAACCCATGCACGTAACAAACGCCAACGATCCTCCTCGTCCCATCCTCAAGCGGTCGCAGGAGAACAGGCACTGTACAATTGGCAAGAAACCACAGCTCATCGCCAGCCTGCGCAGACTGGTGACCATAGCCCAGCCACCCGTTCTTCGTTCTGAATACTCGCCGTCCTGGAGAGTACTGATTATATTGCTTGAAGAACTTAGCTTGACGGACACTGCGCATACTCTCCGAATCGGACAATGACTCGGATCGTTCGCACGAGGAGAGCAGATGGGCTCTGATCTGCTCCATCGTTGGAAGGTACCTGATCAACGGCGCCGCTTCCGCGTCCTTCACCATGGCATCCACGCCAAGCCTGGCCTCGTCGGCCGCCTGATTGTTAAGGAGCGAGGGTTCTCGTTCAAGATGGCGCAGGTAGCTCAGTCCAATTCCTACGTCAAAGTCCAGTCTGGCATAAGCGATCAACGCGTGCTTGTCTTCTGGCCTGGTGGCCGGCCACGCCAGCCGAGCCGTTCCCTCACTGGGCTCGTCCATCTGCAGCGAATGCCAGAGTTGAAGCTTTTTACGGAGTGCCGCCAATGATGGCGTATCTCGAGAGAGGAGGTAGAGAGTGTGCATCCGTTCTATGCGGTCCAAGATCCAGTCTCCGAAAGCGAAACCGGTTTCGAGAGGCGAAGGGTCTTCACCGCAGTAATCCAGAAGCAGAACGCGCCAGAGAGCCTCGACTCTCGTTTGACGTCTAGTCGAGGATGCGAGCGGCACTGTTGATTCTTGAAGCTGCTCCCGGTATGCCTCACGGCATGTCTCTACTGATAGCCATGGAAATTGGTCTTCGGGAGATTCCGCACGTGTGAGTGATGTGTCTTGCGAACCTCTCTCAATCATGTCAGCAGCAAATTCCGAGGATGTGACATCGTCGAAGAATTGATCGCACTCCAATCCATCTCTGGGTGTGCAATCACTTGCATCTGGGTCTATTTCATGCACTCTGGAGGCCCCTCGATAGACAGGTGGAAGCCTACATGCAACCTTTGCAGCGTTACCCAAAACATCGCCATCGAGCGCAGCGACTTCGACCAGTGTATCAACCAAGGCGCCAGAGGTGCGGTAACGGTCGCCTTCGACGAGAGGCACAGTATCAGGGCGATAGCTGAGCGGCCAAACGTTCCATTCCCGAGCCACAGCGTCTGCGAATTGTGCCGGAAAGCACTCAACGCTGAAGTCCGGAACCCAGCTTGGGAGATTTGGGGTCTTCCGAACGCTCTGATCTTCGATCTGCCACAGTATTTCCGTGTGACGGTCAGAGAGAGTCGTGCTGGATGACAAGATGTACGCCGCTGCATCTCTATAGACCTTTTGCAATGACTGCTCGTAAGCTACTCTTATCGGCCGTTGCTGGGTGGGGCGAGGAGTTTGCAGCCAGCTCTCCGCGATCGAAAGGAAGGCGTAGATTTTGTCTCTGCCGTCAGTCGCTTCAAAGGCGCGGCACTCTTCGAGGACTTGACGGAAAATGAAGGCATGCTGTTCGATAGATGCACCCTTCCCAGCTTCGCCCAAGGCCCGGCATTGACCTGCTATCATGAAGAGCGGATCCAGGGACAACGGCAAGGATTTGGTACTTCCCAACGGAAAGAACATTCGATCCCGGGACCACTCTGGTGGCCTGAAGTCGTCGGCGTCGATGCCTTTTGTGGCCACAATGTGAGCCACATAGAAGGCCGCCCGACCAGAGACGGTTATGCCGTCAATGCAGTAGTTGCGCACCCGTTCCATTTGCGCAAACCAACCATTGCGAAGCAGAAACCAACAGCATCGGGTGAGCTGGTCCCAACTTATGGACTTCATCCCACAGTAGACAGTAGCTCGCTTTGCTAACGATATCTCCTGCACGATCCTGAATGAAAGTCAGCTTCACGACGCTTGCAAGCATTGTTGCGTGAACGGGGAGCCTACCACGACCGACGGAACCACGTATGCTGCAGGAATACATACAAGGCAGCCCACTGCCCAGGCACGGGGAGCCCTTCGGACTGCCACCACCGCATGTTGAAAATGTCGACGTGTGAAACGTCAGACTGAACGAACCGCGCTGTCGCTGCCATGACGGCTTCTAAAGACCGGAATGCCTGTTCGGTGTACCACGCCTCGGGCCCGAGCCATACGATGGCCGACTTGGCCTTTGAGTAGATCTCGGCCATCATCTCCACTTGTGCGTTGCGCTCTGGGATGTCATCTTGGTTAATGCAGACACTGTCTATCCAGAGGCGTAAGAGTAAGGGTTCCACTGTCTGTTTCTGCTTATCTTTGCGCTTCAGAATGCGCTTCAGCGACCATCGCTTCCCAGATCCGGTTGCCTTAGGCTCCTCGGTGCGTTGGCTGTTGTAGATATCCAGGCCTGCCTGTGCGAGTGAAGAGGTCTGAAGGAAGTCGTATGCGTTTTGTGTTACATATCTAGGGTGTGAGAATGAACAATCAGCGTATATCTCGAATTGCGGTTGAGCCGGTGGCATCTTAGGGCGACCTTGCGGCCGTAAACCGCTTGATCATAGTCCCGAGAGCAGTCACATTCGCGCTGTCCAAAGAAGTGTATCCGAATCTCAAATCAAGCTGCTGACTTTCTAGAAAGCCGGGCATGCCTCGCTCACCTCTCGGAGAAGCTATTCGCTTGTAAATAAGACTTACAAGATTTTGTCGTCGCACATGATAGGACACTGCCTCTTGTTTGCAGTCTTCACATCTGGTACGGCTTCATCGTGTCTGTACACCAACCTTGGTGCGCCCCAGACGTAAGACAGAGCATCGTACTCGGGATTGTCAAGGAGATCCACAGTGTGTAGCTTGCACCTGATCAGGCCTTCGGAACATTCTGCGTTACTGTGTTGACCTGTTACTTCCAACACTCGGATTGACGTTGGTGTAGGTAGTGGCTGATATAGGTATCGATTTAGGCCTTGGTCGATGGGAGTTGGGTGCAGGCCCCCGAGTCCTGAAGCCGTCCCAGTCGCGCCATTTTGCTGTTCGGGCCTGTCCAGATCTTGAAGCGCTTTGAAGCCATATGAATCAGCTGGGTGCCGAAGGTCTAGCCCACGTGAACCTGAAGCCTCCTCTCGCGCCAGATCTTGCATCATTGAAAGTATCCCTGCCCAGTGCTTCGGTTTGTCTTCGGCGCTCAATCTGGCCATGATGGCATCCGCAGAATACTCTGAAAGGTCAGGCGGCTGCACAACGCCCTCTCTCCCACGCCGGAGTGCAGCGCGAATGGCAGTTTGAGTGGCCTCGTCATGCTGGTCTGACGGCAGGAGGGATGCCCATAGCAGGACGCCTCCTGAGTAGCGAAGTAGGCCGTCTCTGTCCATATCGACGATGCTGTAGCATGTTGGAAGACGGACGGAGGGGGCACTGTAGATTAGCTTCGAGACAGTTGAGGCTCATCACTTGGCGATCAGGCCACTGGTTCGTCAAGCGCCTGGTCGTCCGCATCGTCAGGGACTCGATCGAAAGATGAAGCATAGTGCAGTGTCCGGTATTTGCTGGAAGCGTAGCTTTCCCTTGTGATACTGATGACTTATCTTACAGAGACGATTGCCTGCTGTGCAATTCAAAATTTGGTTGTACGATTTGGATTGAAGGGTCACCGGCTCTTGAGAGAGTGGCACCGTCCTGACGCGCTGATTCATCTGATGTTCGAGCATGTCTTCACTTGATGGTGTCTTCCAATGTGCTTCAAAAGGCTCGGAATCAAGGGTGAAGTCAGCTCTCTGGCCTCGAGAACGAGAAAAAGTGGGCCCACTTAGCTTTCCTAAAGCGGTATAGTCGATATGGAGACCGCGTCGCGCGTTCTGTGAAAAATGTCAGTTCACTTCCGAGATCCTGACTTGTTCTCTTCCTCAAGTCAACACACGACTGGGCCGCTGAAAGGTCAGAACGTCAATATGAAGTACGTTCTTGTGTCTGGAGGTGAGCATCTCCAGCTTTCATTCAACTCACACATTCCATGTTCGACTGGCGAGAACGTCCAAGCATACGACTTCTTACATAGTGAAGCGGCATCAGAGCGACGGGGACCTGCTCAAAGTCTGACACATGTCATATCATGCCGCTCATATCGCTTGGTATTGCCCTCGTCCAGGGGAGAACGGCGAGCGTGAGGAATTTTCTCAGTCTTGTTGCGGCTACGTGGTTCCACGGAGAATCACGAGGATGAATGCTAATTAGCAATGCAGGCGTGATCTCCGGGGTGGGAAAGGGGATCATAGGTATGTGGAGTCTTTCACTTTCCCGGAACATCGTCCACTGACCCGAGAAGCGTCATCTGCTGGTCTGCTCCTCAAGACCATGGGCCTGAAGGTGACTTCAATCAAGATCGACCCTTATATCAACGTCGATGCGGGCACTATGAACCCCAAGGAGCACGGCGAGGTCTACGTTCTGGATGACGGCGGTGAGGCGGACCTGGACCTTGGGAACTACGAGCGCTACCTCAACATCACCCTTTCACGCTCCAACAACATCACTCTTGGTAAGATCTATCAACGGGTGATTGAGAAGGAGAGGCGCGGCGACTACCTCGGCAAGACAGTTCAAGTGGTGCCGCATGTAACTGGCGAGATCGAGAAATGGATTAAGGATGTTGCAAAGGCACCCGTCGATGACACCGGCGAGGAGCCGGATGTGTGCATCATCGAGCTCGGAGGCACGATCGGCGACATCGAGGGCATGGCGTTCGTCGAGGCACTTACCGAGCTTAGGCGGAATTGCGCCAGAGAGGATTTCATGCAGATCCATGTCTCTTACATTCCGGTGGTGCACGGAGAGCAGAAGTCGAAGCCCACACAGATGGCCATCAAGGCGGTACGAAGCGCTGGTCTGATCCCGGATTTGATCGCTTGTCGTTGCGAGTGGCCGCTGGAGAAGGGCACGACCGACAAGATTGCGCGCTTCTGTCAAGTGCCTGATGGTGAGTTTTCCGATGCAGTCAAGCACGAGATAGCGCCCCGAGACGTGTTCGGTCCTGTTGAGGAGTCCGACAGACATGCTAACTCTTCTCGATAACCTTCTAGGCCACGTTCTTGCCGTCCGAGATATGCCATCAACATACCAAGTACCCATGCTTCTGGACGAACAAAACCTCAACGAGCTTATGACTTCGACTCTCCAACTCGACCGGATTCCGCGCTCGGCAGAATTATTAGAGAAAGGAGCCCGCATATGGCAGCACTGGAAGCGGCTGGCAATTGATATCGAGTACGCGCGTGAGGAGGTCGAGATTGTGCTCGTCGGCAAGTATCTGGAGCAGCCCGACTCCTACCTCTCGGTCATCAGATCTCTCGAGCATGCTTCGATGTGGTGTGGTCGGAAGCTCAAGGTGAAGTATGTGGACGCGGAAGCGCTCGAACCGGCGATGAAAACGAAGGATGGAGCAGCCCACTTCAGCGCCTGGCGGGATCTTGTCACAGCGCAAGGTATTCTTGTTCCTGGCGGATTTGGCACTCGAGGTACGTCAGAATCCGCATCAACCTAATTGGTAAATCGAGACATCAGCTGACCTTTCTTCGCACCTTTCTAGGCACCGAAGGAATGATTGCAGCCGCCAGACATGCTCGCGAAAACAAGATACCGTATCTCGGAATCTGCTTAGGCATGCAGATCGCCGTGGTCGAATTTGCGAGAGACATTTGCCAAATCCCACTGCCACAGGCTACATCATACGAATTCGACGGCACCGATGACGACCGCTTGATCATCGTCATGCTGGAGCATCATCCTGGTCAGCTCGGTGGGACGATGCGACTTGGTCTGAGACCGACCTACTGGCAGCCTGACACCGAGTGGAGTAAGCTGCGTGCTCTTTACGGCCTGAAGAATGAGAGCATCAACGAGCGGCACCGTCATCGCTACGAAGTCAATCCGAAGTACATTGAGCAACTCCACGACGCGGGTCTCACTTTCATCGGCAAGGACGAGAAGGGTGAACGTATGGAGATCATCGAGCTAAAGGACCATCCATGGTTCGTGGGCGTTCAGTTCCACCCAGAGTACATCTCGCGAGTCCTCCAGCCCAGCAAGCCGTATTTGGGATTCATCGCGGCTTCTGCGGGAATACTAGATCAGGTTACGAACGGTGAGAAGGGACTCAATGGGGGCTACAAAGGGTTGAACGGAGTCTCAAGCATAGCTACTGGGCTGGTCAACGGGGAGAGCGCGGCGTTTTGAATGGGAATTGGTGTTATGATATCCACGGCTTGCAGGTGGCACGGTGGCATTAAAGGCGTCTGGGTGAATGTATCAGGCTTTGAAACGATATGAGATAGACTGGTTGTTTTTACGGGACCATGGTTATCTTGGAAAGGCTGGGCCTCATTGTGAATGGACAGAAGAGTCCAAATGCCTGAGGCAAAGGGGCTGGAAATTGACCACCTCACCTCTCTTCCACTACTCCTCCTCACCATCATTACCTCCACCCCACCATATACGCTGCCCGCCCTTGCAGAAGGCATCTTGCATCATCGCTCCAGCTCGTATGCACGATCTGACTTCCGCTTACATCGCTAGTACTATTACTCTTCCCCTCATCTCCCGGTCGGAGAAACCACGATCATTGACCCGAGTGGTGGTATTATTTCCAGATCGCCGTTTGCGATGCAACACAGGCATTACTCAAGTTCTACTCTTAAGTATGCTCCAGAACCATTGCCGATGACGGCCAAGACGCAGGTACAAGTCTTCGAGTCTTCTTTCCTTAATCTTCCTTCACTGGCACGTTAGAATGCTCTCATTGTGGTATACAACAGGTCTCTTGCCCGTAGTGCTGGGCCAAGGCGGCCTGGTCATCAACCCAAAGAACGCCGATGATGGTAGCTCTGCTATCAAGTCAGTCCCAATGGACCTCTCCGGTCTCGTCAACAACCGCGCTTTTGCTATGACCCCAGGAGATGCAAACATTGATGGGACACACTCTGGCTACCCGGCAAAATATCTTCCTCCAGCGAACTTCACCTACTCTGGCGTCAACTACAACTTCCCACAGTACAAGGAGTCCGGCGATGACAATGTTCTCGCACAAGGGCAGACGCTCAAGCCGCCTCGAGGACGTTACTTTAGTGTGCACATGCTTGCTGCCGCGGAGTCAGCTATCGCTACTGGCTTCATCAATGCTACATACTCCGACGGCAGCGTTACCTCCGGGCCTGTGCTGGTGGATCCATACTGGGACTGGCCTTATCCGTATGGCGGGGATCTTGTCTTCCCGTACTACATGACCAATGAAAGCATTGACTACAATCGCTCCATGGTCTTCCAAACGATCAACTGGCTCGACTCGACGAAGGAGCTTACCAGCATCCAGTTACCGAATGTCACTGTGGGTGCCGCCAACGGGCCTGGAGGAGCGGCAGAAGAAACCAGACTGCACATCTTTGCTGTCTCCATGGTACCTGCTACTGCCTCTGGTATTGCTTTGGATGTACAGTATGCGCGCACCACGAAGTCGTGGATGGAGGGCACGAACAAGACCCAGATCGTGCAAGTCAACGTTAACAATGTCGGAGATCAATGGGTACTAGCCAACACCAGTGTCAAGGTCTCCGTCTCAGCGTCGGGACTCAGAACAGTTGTTCCAGGCATCATCAACCGCTTGCGGCCAGGAGATCAGGCCATGGTCCAAGTTGGCGTTGAGAACACGGAAGGTACTGCTGAGGGCACGACTGGACAAGCCACCGTCCAGATTCTCGGCAACGGTGTCCAGACGAGTCATACCTTCGACGCCACCTTCGGCATCCCGCAGTACGAGCCGAACTTCGAGAGCATATACAGCCATGAGCCGCCACCGTGGTACAACACTGGCAAGTTCGGCATCTTCATCCACTGGGGCGTCTATTCTGTGCCGGGCTGGGGCAACGTCGGTGACAATGAGACTTATGCTGAGTGGTACTGGTGGGCCATGAACTCGGGTCCAGACTATACAGGCAATATCTACCAGTACAACCTCGACACCTACGGCCCTAATCACGTCTACGACGACTTCATCCAGAACTTCACGGCTTCTATGTTCAATCCTAGGGAATGGGTAGATCTCTTCGCGGACGCTGGAGCTCAATACTTCGTGCAAGTCTCAAAACACCACGACGGCTACGCCATCTTCGACCTTCCGTCCAACGTCACCGAACGGACCAGCGTCGCCCAGTACCCGCATCGGAACCTTCTCCAAGAGATCTTCGACGCCGCTGAGCAGTATCAACCACACTTACACAAAGCTACATATTTCTCTCTTCCGGAGTGGTTCAGTCCGGCTTACGCTCGGTATGGCTTCGGCGACTGGCCTGGCGGCAACGCTACCAACCCCTACACTAACGAGACACTTCCTTACACCGGATTTGTGCCTGTAGATGACTACGTTACCGACGTCATCATGCTTGAGATGCAGACCCTCGCCGACATGGGAACAGAGATAATGTGGTGTGACATTGGTGGCCCCAACATGACAGCCGAATTTGCCGCCTCGTACTTCAACAACGCCGCGCAGCAAGGCAAACAGGTCTTGTTGAATAATCGCTGCGGTCTACCAGGCGACTTCGACACTCCCGAGTATGCGCGCTACGACGCCGTCCAGCCACGCAAGTGGGAGAGCAATCTCGGCCTCGACCCATTCAGCTATGGCTACAACCGCGCCACGCCTACTTCCGCCTACCTCACACCAAGAGGGATCGTGACAAGTCTCATGGACATCATCTCGAAAAACGGAAACTTCCTGCTCGACGTTGGACCCACGGCGAACGGCACCATCATCGACATCGAGCAGAAGAACCTCCGCGCTGCTGGGAAGTGGATTAACAGCCACGCCCAGGCGATCTTCAACACGACGTATTGGTTCGTTACGCCTGAGGAGGGCGAGGCGGTGCGGTTTAGTCAAAACCCGAATGCTTTTTACATTACTACACTGTACCCGCCGAACGGGACGTTGGTGTTGGATAGTCCGGTGCCTTATGTTGAGGGGGATGAGGTGACGGTTGTGGGTGGTGAGATGGCGGGGACAGTGGTGCCCACGAGGCTGTTGGGTAATGGGAGTTTGGAGATCACGGTCAGCGAGGAGGTAGTGGCGGCGGATGAGTATAGTTGGGTGTTCAAGATCCCGTTCGGAGGGGTGACGAGTACGTCCTCAGGTGGACCTTCTCCGAGCTCGAGCGTGGCGCCGAGTACCAGTGCAGCGGCTGTAGTGGCAGCATCTTCGTCGTGGGGTTGGAGAATTGGGTCGTTGGCTGTAATCATTTGGTTGATGGTGTAGATCGCTCGGATGTAACTCTCCTACGAAGAACACACACTCTTTGGGCCGCGAAAACACTGCTTGACCGCATGGAAGGTTCATCCTTGCTATCATAAAGAGAATACATGTAGTCCAAGACGAAATGGAGTGAGGTGGAATGCTCAAGCTGATCACGTGATGCCTTCATATCTAAACTGGACCCTGCATTTCCTCGTTCTCGCTTGTCGTCGAGCTCAGCCACAGGTCGAGATTCCATACCGCATTTGATACTCGATCCGTCTCACCATTGTCCCGTCGACTTCTCCCTTCTCCCACCTTCGACGATTGTACGGCGACAGCGCCCCTATCCACACCCTTCTGTATTGATAGCGACAACGAACAATGTCCGGCCGATTCGTGCGGGCGTCGAAGTATCGACATGTCTTTGGGAAGAACTCGCGGCGAGAACAATGCTATGACAACTTGAGGATCAGCAAGAATGCTTGGTAGGGAGCATACAATTGCAAAGGGGGTTGCGAAGATACTAATACAGTCCGTATAGGGACAGCAACATCGTCAAAGTCAACCCTAAGTACCTGGCGGTCAACTGGGAAGCGAGCGGCGGCGGCGCATTCGCAGTGGTACCGCTCGAAGAGCGAGGCAAACTCCCCGAACAGCTCCCGCTATTCCGCGGCCACACCGCCGCCGTCCTCGACACCGACTGGAACCCCTTCAACGACGACATAATAGCCTCCGGATCCGACGATGGCAAGGTCTTCTTATGGCAGGTCCCGGACAACTTCTCCCTCCATACGGACGCCGAAGAGCCGGCGGATGTCAAGCCAGTAGGCAAGCTGAGCGGACACTCGAGAAAAGTCGGACACGTGTTGTTCAATCCCGCAGCAGAGAATATTCTGGCTTCTAGTTCGGGCGATTACACGATCAAGCTGTGGGATCTGGAGGATGGAAAGGCGAAGCTGACGCTGAAGCACAACGATATCGTGCAGTCGCTGTCGTGGAGCGCCAATGGGAGTATGCTGGTCACGACTTCGAGGGACAAGAAGTTGCGGTTCTGGGATGTGAGGCAGGAGAGGCCGGCGCATGAGGTGCCGGGGCATGCGGGTGCGAAGAACAGCCGGTGTGTGTGGATGGGCGATCTCGATCGTGTGGTCACGACCGGTTTCTCGAAGATGAGCGAGCGACAATTGGGGCTATGGGATGTTCGAAACCCCAGCAAGCCAATTGGAGGGGACTTCCAATTTCTGGACTCGAGTTCTGGCGTGGGAATGCCCTTCTGGGACGACGGCTGCCATATCCTGTACATTGCTGGCAAAGGCGACGGCAATATCAGGTACTACGAATACGAAAACGACAAGTTCGAGTTTCTCTCCGAGTACAAGTCGCCTGAGCCCCAACGAGGACTGGCCTTCATGCCGAAGCGAGGCGTCAACACGCACGAGAACGAGGTTATGCGCGCGTTCAAGACCGTGAACGACGCCTACGTGGAGCCCATATCGTTCGTCGTCCCGCGACGATCCGAGACTTTCCAGGAAGACATCTACCCGCCGACCGTCGGCACCAAACCAGCAATGTCGAGCGAAGAATGGCTAAGTGGGAAGACCGCGCTTCCAGCAATGTGGTCAATGGAAGACCTCTACGAAGGCAAGAAACCCACCGAAGTCGCCGCAGCCCCGTCCTCCAAACCCACCACCACAGCCAGCGCACCCGCCCCAGAACCCGCGAAAGCAGCGGCACCACCGGAGCCCAAACCCGAACCCGCCGCGACCCCAACACCCGCGCCCGCACAGCCATCAGCTCCTCGTGAAATGCCAAAGATGGAAGACAACAAACAATCCATGGCCAGCATGGCGGCCAAGTTCGCCGACCGCGACGACGACGACGCCGACGCCAACAACGACGCCGACAGCAGCAGCTCGTTTGAGGAAGTGCAGAAACCCGTCGAGCGGCCTTCGACCAAGATAACCACGGGCGCAGCACCGCAGGAAGCAGCGGCGTTCACGGGTGAATCCATCTCCGCGGCGCCGAAGGCGACATCGCTTCCTGTCTCGGAGCTGGAGAAACGCGCACCACCCGCCGACGAGAAGAAGGATGAGAAGAAAGAGGAGGCAGCAGCGACCTCCCCACCTCCGACCGCCAGCGCAGCCGCAGGCGGGCTAAGAGATGTCCTGCAGGAGATCCGCGGGATGCTGATGAGTCAGGGCAAGGCGATTGAGGAGTTGAATAGTAAGGTCGAGCGGTTGGAGGGGAAGTTGGGGGATTAGGGGTCTGCTTTTAGTTTCTCGTCTGAGGCTGGAGGGGAGGGCGGTGGTGGTGCTGGTGGGGGGAAGAAGTGGTTGAATTTGAGGCGGGGGAGGGGGAGGACCAAGAGCTTTTTGGAGAGGTTGAGTGATTTGTGAGTGAGTTGGTGGTGATGGGGGGGTTTTGCTACGCATTGGATGATTAGACGGCAGGGAAAACAGCAGCAATTGAGCGCGAAAGCATTACAACGCAGTTTGTTTCGTTGGGTTTGTTATCGTGTCATGTCATACGTGCGGTATTCTGATGCTCTGTCCAGCAGACTGTCAGGATACTGTTGGTGTTGGGTCTGCGCGCTATCATACAATGTTGGTCCCGCCCATCTGTGTGCTTCTCTTCTCTGGCATTTACGTCGCTCTCGCAATCTTTTGTTCGTAGGGTCATGCCGTCGTTTAAGCATGCGTGATGGTCGTGTGTTCAACGAACGATAACCCCCCGCGTACAAACGCCACGCTGGCGACCCGGAAGCAAGAAAGTCACAGCCAACATCAACAACAGCTCCCCCAACCATTACGCCCTCCGCCTTTGAACCCCAGCGCTGAACCTCCGCTTCCCTCTGTTGCAGATCGCACCCGCCTCCTAAGCAGCCGGCACCCCCTTCTCCCCATCATCCGTCGCCATCGTCGTGACCCCACAACTCGTCGCCTTGATCTTCTCCTCCATCCCCCCTACCAGCGTTTGGTACGTATACACTTTCCCGTTCAGCCACTTGTTGAACTCCCACTCCTCCTCGCGCGAGATCTTGCCGTCGACTTGCAGCCACTTGAGCTCGCTTTTCATGCTGTCCCGGTAGCCTTTCAGGCGCATGAGGTCATTGTGGCGCAGGCCCCAGAGTTCTTCTTCGAGGGTGCTGAGGTAGGATTCCCAGGCTAGCTCGTTGGGGGCGCGGGTCGTGGTGGTGGATGGGCGGCGGCCGGAGAGGGGGATGAGTTGGCCGTTGACGAGGAGGAGGTCCGGGGCGGTGCTTTTCTCGGTGTCGGCGTTGAAAGAGGTGTTGTGGTATGGGGTGTTGACCGCGCGGGAGTCGACCGGCGTGAAGGGTGGGGACTCGAGGCCGCGCATGTCGACTGAGACATACGGCTTCGGGTGCTGGAGCGGGAGCTTGTAGGTGAGGGACTCTGGGATCGGCGTCATGTTGGTAGTCGTGGGAGTGAGGAGGGAGAAGGAGGATGCGGTGGAGTCTGCGCCTGTTGTCGTTGGACCCTCTTCAGACGGGCGGCGGCTCAGGAGGTGGTAGTGTGAGCTGCGCGGGTTCGTGCGGTGAGGGGCGTCCTCGTCCAGGCCTTGGATGCGGTCGACGGCGGTCATGATGGCGGCCTCCGCGTAAGTGAAGTCGTCCCAGTCCCTGAGCAGCTTGTGTGGTCGCAAGTGCGCCGCGTCTCCCTGGATCTGGTGTTCTTTGAGGTGGTGCATGGAGTAGGAGAAGTTGCCGATGCCGTAGTCCCCTGGACTGCGCTCTTGGGAAGTCGGGTCGTGGTTTTTGATATAGACGTCGCGACTCTCTGCCGTTTTCGCCCAGCCTGGGAGGCGGTGCTTTTGGTTGTGGGAGAGGCGGCGCATCATTCCAGTGTCCTTTGAAGTCGTCTTGGCGGTCTTCTTTGTTGTTGGTCGTGGTGAATTCTGTCCGGCAGCTGGGTCGAATATAGGTATAACAGGTGCTCAGGGAATGATTCCAGATTCTAGCAGTGACGTCGTCGTCGTGGTCAAGGAGCGTCTTCAAGCTTGTCAAGGAGTGTGGTGCAAGCAAGTAATGCCTGTCGTGTGTGTGTTGGTAAAAGAGTGTGGTTGCACAGTCGCAATGGCAGGAGTCGCAGAGGTCAGTATTTGAAGGTTTTCAAGCTCGAGGTGGCGTCTTCATGTGAAGAGGGAAGGAGCGTGGGAGGTCGTCCACAAGGGTCCACGTGATTCGTACAAACCGAAACAAAAACCGAAAGTGCGAACGAGTGTCTGCTTTCTAACGAGACCATCAGAGGGCGACAGAGGGGTATATCACGGTCTCGAGAGTGTTTGCGTGCGCGGCACTGCGGGAGTTGGGTACCGATCGTTGCACCGGGAGTCACTCCACGAGGATGATGTGTTGTCGTGTGACTGATTCTGTGTACTCGCTCCAAGTTGTTCAGTCGGATGCAATGCTTGTCAGATTTCCGAATCACAGTATTCAGGTATCAAGCGCAGGCACCCGTTTGCTGGTAAATAACAGCCGCGCAGTGTACGAAAACGTGAGAGCAACGTGGGTTTCTTTGTGCGCTCTCGAATCAATCAGGACGAAGTAAGAGGTAACACCTACACCTTGGTACCATGGTACACTAGAAGTATCATCCTCTCGAACTTCACCTTCTTGCTGTTCTACTTCCAGCATTTCGCTATATCGCTTTTTGAAAAAATTTGGGTTCATCAACGCTTGGGCAAGTAACACATCAACACGCGCGGCTGCAGCGTACCGCAGCCGGTAGACGTTGGACGTCACTCCAACCTAGACAAAGCATGGTCAGCGCCGCCAGCCAGAACAACGGTCGAGGTGGAATGTTGCGTGGCACAAGCAGCAGCCGCATTCGGAAGCGAGCTCCAGCACTTGACGGGAGCTTTGGTGGGAGCCGCATGGCAAGCTGCAGTCGGGGAAGAAGGGGAAAAACGGTCACAACATACCGCTCGATCAGATGCAGCCCGGAGGCGGTCTGGACCACGTTCGAAATCTCCGTCGGCTTCAGCGCAAAAGAGGCCTCCTCGAATTCCTTCTGCATGTCACCTTTGCCGAAAAAGCCACTGCGTACCTGCATTAGCCAAGCCTGTCCCCTGTCGTCGTGAGATGGATCTATCACATTTGCGGCTCGCGCGGCAATGCCCAGGATTGAGTGATCAATCTCATTGAAAGGAAATCGTAAAAATCCGCGATGGTGGGAATGGTAGTGGTAGTACTTACAGATCACCGCGCTTCCGCGCGGAACTGCAGTCGCTCTCCGTCGTCGCGACGTCGCCGAGACTAGCGGCGCCGGTCTTGATGCGTTGCTCGTGGGCGCGGATGATCTCCATGGCCTCGTCCTTGGAGCGCGTGATGTTGGCCTCGCGCCAGGAGGAGGGTCGGCGTGAGTCGCGGTGCTTGACCAGGAGATGAGCGCAGCGTATCTTGCCGTCGAGGTTGGTTGCGTTGGCGGCGCCGCTGCCGCCCAGGTTGGCCGTGTGGTACTGGCCCATGTAGTGTTTGAGTGTCTCGCTGTCGGTGTCGTTGGGCGGCTCCCATTTCGATTCCTTGGTGCTGGGGTTGAAGTAGTAGGGCAGGTTTTTGCTGTTGGAGTGGCGGACCTCCTGGACGAGTTGTAAGGAGATGTACTGATTCATGACATCGGTCTACTTACCCAGCCCGATGGCAGTCCTGTAGCCTGTGAGGACATAATGTTAGTACTGTAATGGCCTCTTCCCCAGACGGCTGGTGAAAGCTCACCATGGCTTTGCCGCTTTGTGGAGTGGAACTTGTCTTTGCCTTCTCCTTCACTCTCCCCACAGTTCTGGCCGGATTCAGGCAATACGTGGAGTAGTCGCTGGCAAGAATGTGAATTCGTGTTAGACGGTGTATTAGAGCCTCACCCAGCAACGTCGTCGGCAGGTGACAAGCGGGGTCAGTGCGAGAAGCGCCGGATTATTCACCAGCTTGCCCTCGATTTAGTCACCTTTAAGCTCGTCGCAGCGCAGCACACTCCGAACTCATCCTTCACCACACCCGCACCGAACAGCACACGATGGCCTCCTACAGCATGGCCGACTCACCAGCGCCCGAAGGCCAGAAGGAGGCAGAGTCCAAGAAGATCAGCTTCCGCTTCTGTCGCGAGTGGTGCGAACCTCACCTCCACTAAGAGCGCATCCAAAAGCTAAATACTTCACAGCTCCAACATGCTCTACCCGAAAGAAGACCGCGAGACCAACACCCTCATGTTCGCCTGCCGCACCTGCCACTTCAGCGAAGAAGCCGACGCCGCCTGCATCTACCGCAACTCGCTCAAGGAGACCATCGCCGAGACGCCGGGCAACGTGCAGGACGTGGCGCAGGATCCTACGGTGGGTAATCACAATCACAACAATAGCGACGATACTAGCATGTCCTTTGACTCGGCGATGGATACGATGGAGGACTCTGAGGGCGTCGACGTCGTGCCCGCCTTCTGCACCTTCTGCGGCCAGGAGATCTTGTGTCCGATCTGTGAGGGGCCGACGGATCGCGGGATCATGCTTGAAGCGGATGATCCTGAGGGGCAGAAGGGGGAGCAGGCGGTTGAAGATGAGAGGAGGGAAAGGGCGCTTTCTGGCGTCGGCGTCTTGGGGTCCTCGTAGTGAAACAAGGGAGGCAAGAGGAGGGAATCTACACCATACACACATCATATCGCGCTCTGTGCGGCTACTTCTGTTCTGCGCTTTTGTTCTTGACGTTCTGGGTCAGAAACATGTGCTGACGGATGTTTCTTGGGCATGTTCTAGCTCCCGCACGCCGAGATTGAATGCGCGAACTGCCAGGAGAGGGATGCCGTGTTCTTCCAGAGTCAGCAGCGGACTACTGAGACGGGGATGGTATGGCCTACATCCATCCTTCCATCATCCAAAGGCAGGGCTAATGTATGGATTCAGGCCCTCTTCTACGTCTGCTGCGCATGTCAGCATGTGTGGTCGACGCTCGATGAGGACAAGAAGTAGGACTCCTTGACCCGCGCGTCGACGGCATCTTCGCGGACACTTGCCGGAAACGAGGACGCCGAGACGAACGCCCTCCGCAGCGTCGAGCAGTGGAGGCTCGCGCAACGGACGACCAAGACATGACCCTGCTATTAGCGAAGGCGCTCTGGCGATGATGGTACATAGTCTTGCTTTTGGTACATGGAGTGGTATCAACACATCATATCCTCCAAACCCAGCTGATCTTCCATTCCCAAACGCCCTCGCTATGCCCCCCCCGTCCCGTCCACACTTATATACATATCCCCTACAAATGCATCGGCGCCAAACTCAATATCTTACTCCACCGCTTATCCCTCAACTCCCTGCCCACCACACTCCCCATCCGACTCCCAATCGGCTCGCCCCCCTTATTGATAAGCACGCACGCATTATCGTCGAACTTCACCACACTCCCGTCTTTGCGCTGATACTTCTTCGCCGTGCGCACGACGACGGCGTGCCGGATGTCGCCGCGTCGGACCTTGTTGGCGGCGGACACGGAGACGGCGCCTCCGGATTCGGGGCCGAAGTTGCGTTGTTTTTGGACTACTACTATTATGCGGTCGCCTGTTGGGAGGAGGGTGTTAGTGAGGGACAGTGTGAGGGTGTGAGGGGGGTGGGGGAGGGAGGGGTGCGTACCGATGCGGGCGTGGCGCTTCATTTTGAGGACTTTGACGCATTCGGCGACGGCGGCGCCGGAGTTGTCGATTACGTTGACCATGGTCTGGGAGGTCGTGTTAGCGGGGGTCGGTGTGGAGGAGGTGGTGTGGTAGTGGGGAGGGGGCAGGTACCTTGAGTTGGATCATTGTGGATGGAGGAGGGCAGCCCGGAGGCTTGGAAGGTTATGCGACTTCAATAACCCTCTCTGGCGGTAGCTGTGCACCAGATGGAATGGAGTTGCGATGTTCTTCTCGATGTCTTGAAGTTCGGACATAAAGTTGCAGGGATGATAGACGCGCTAGGATCGCGGCTAAGAAAGGCCGAGTCGTCGAGTAATGAGGTGAGGTTGGAATTCAGAGTGGCTGGAGGGGGGACATTGGACGGCGTCTGCTATTGTCGCGTGTGCTACAATACGACGCCCGTGTACTCTACGCGCTTCACCTGAACTGTCTGGACCACCCATACCAACCTGTCTCTGGAGTGTTTGCTAGCCCTTTGCTGAACAAGATGCGGTGATATACACAAAGCCGCGGACCAGCTGGACGACGTGGAATGGGGCTGTGAGACGAGGCCGTCCAACCTTGCTACTTCTGTGCCGCCTTCTACATTGACTGCAAGACCAGACGCTCTACTCTGTCATTACTACGCCGCTTGTCTGTATCACCACCTCGACCGGCGCAAACATGCCGCGCCAGCCTGTCGATCTGGAGGAGGCGCTGAAGAAGAAAGGAGGCCTGACGCTGTCGCAACTCGCAAACTACGACGACTTGATCACGGATACCCTGGTCGATCGGGTGAGCGCAGACTGTCCCTTATGCGCACAGCGACACGAAATACTGATCTTCTGCAACAGGTATACTACTGGTCCATCATCCGCAAACTCAAGGGCAACTACCACGCCTGCCGCGGTGTCCGCGAAGAACTGGTCTGTAAGATTCTGCAGGACAAATGCGTGATCGAGAAAGAGCCCGCCGAGGCGCACAAGGAGATTCTGGCGCTCCCGGGCATCTCAAAGTTCTACAAGGGCTTGGGCAGCGTGGACGAGAAGGACCACTTCGAGCGCCATCTGAGGAAGTACATCAATATTTACGTCCCAGACTGTCCGTTTGAGGTCGCGACGACGAATCGCTACACCATCACTACGGCGGAAGCATGTATCAAGGCGCGGAAGCACATCAAGCGGGGAGCGGAGATCAGATATCTGAATGGCATCCAAGTGGAGATGACCGAGAAGGAGGAGAAGGAGCTGTCCAGCCGGACGGACTTCAGCATCGTTCTTTCGAGCCGCAGGAAGCGGCCTTCGCTTTTCCTGGGTCCGGCGCGCTTTGCGAACCATGATTGCGATTCGAATGCGAAGCTGAACACGACTGGGGCGCATGGGATCCACATCATCGCGAGGAGGGATATTGCCCCTGGTGAAGAGATTACTGTGACGTATGGAGAGGACTACTTTGGCATTGACAACTGCGAGTGTCTGTGTGGGACCTGTGAGGGCTTGCAGCGCAATGGATGGGATCCGCTTGGTCCGGTTCTGCCGGACAGCAGTGATGAAGAGGATAGCGATGAGGAAGAAGAAGAAGCCCCTTCGAGCAGGAGGAAGCGGAAAGTTAAGGTAGAACAGGACAGCCGTTCGCCTTCGACTTTGGGGAAGCGTAAGCGCGGCGAAGATTCTGCCCGCTCGAGCCGGAATTTGCAGGCACGATCTCAGCACGAGCGAGCGCAAGATGAGCTGCGCGAGGATGCCTCACGCTCAAGACGAAAGGCGGCGCAAGTCGGCAAAGGAAGGAAACGAAAAATTGATGACGGATGGTTAAAGGACAATTCTCAGGCGGCCGCCGGTGCGGATGACGAGGTTCAGCAGGATGACGAGGGAGACCAGACTCAGACGCCGCAAAACGACGACTTGCTGGATCGCATTTTCAACCTGCTGACGTCGATCGGCGAACGTCGCTTGGGAGAGATGGAGTCTGGTCAAAGTACCCCTCAGGAAGCGAACGATCGCAGTCAGAGCAGCGGCGCCAGGTCGATGACTCCCCACGAACCTCCCTCGAGCTTCGAGGAGGACTCTGCAGGGCAGCAATCCGCACCAACGTACGCCAATGGACTCTCCCGGCCGAGAAGCGTAGACATGTCGCCTTCGAGGAAGCTTAGCAGCCCTACCAGGACGCTGAAACTCACTTCGCCCAGTAAGCGATTGCCACTGGTCAAGAAGGAGCGCAGCATGTCCTCCCTGCGCCACGTGACGAGCGCCGAAGACTCCGAAGCCGACATCTACCGCGTCCCTCCATCTCCCAGTCCACAGCCTGCACCAAAGCGAAAACGCGGCAGACCGCGGAAATATCCAAGACCAGAAGAGCAGCGCATCATCGAGGAGCCAAACACTCAATCCACAGCATCGAGCTCAGTATCGCCGCCCCACGACAGCTCCTCTGCGGCTTCTCAAGCATCCAGCTCCACATCCGTCGACTCGTTCGCCGCCGGCAACATCGCGTTTAATATATGCCAGATGCTGACCGATGACGGCATGTCGAAGGAAGAAGACGCCGAGCTCGACAACATCACGCAAGCCATCGGAGCTCTCGAGAGCAAGCAAGCGGCCAACGAACCCAACAACACCAAATATAACCGCCCCCGCCCCCGTCGCAGCCAACGCCACGGCGCCCCCGTACCATCCGACCTCGTCTCCCCCGTCGAATCCATCGAACCCGCCCCTCCCTCCCCTTCCACCACCTCCACCCCAGAAAAACGCGGCCCCATCCGCACCCCCGGCGACTACCACCTCACGCCCCTCCTCCTCTCCACCGCCTACCACCGCTGGGTGGAATGCCGCAACTGCGACGAGCTGTTCGTGCAATCCGAAGCCTATCTAACCCGCATCGCCTGCCCGCGCTGCGAGCGGCACAGTAAACTGTACGGCTATCATTGGCCGAAGACTGATCGCGAGGGGAAGGCGGATCGGGAGGAGCGGGTGTTGGATCATCGGACGATTCATCGGTTTATTGAGCCCGAGGAGGAGAGGGCGGAGCGGAAGGGGCGGAGAGGCTTGGGTTTGCTGGGACAAGGGGGGAGGGAGGGAAGTGGGAGTGCGAGGGAGGGGAGTGAGGAGGTGGTGGGTGGGGGGAAGAGGTTGAGGTGTACGGAGGAGAGGAGGAGGTTGAGGGGGACGATGTAGGTCCTCTCCTCTCCGGGTGGATTGTCGTTGTCGAGGGCTGTAGCGTGTGTAGTGGTGAGATGTATTGATATTTCTGCTCGTCTCGTAGAAAACTGTGTTTTCGGTCAAGCGTGGCAGCTACAAGCAAGTCGATCCGCATCGCAAGTTGAAGTAACGTTAGGCACAAAAACTGCCTTCTCCATGCCCCCAATCCATCGACTCAAACCACTGACCCCCCAACCCGAAACTCCTCTGCAGAGACGAGTGAGATCATTCGACGCCCCCTTTCCCTCCCAACCTCTAGCATGGTGCTGCTCCCACTGAGCACAGCAAATACCATCAGGCAAGCTTTCTCCGAGCAGAGCAGAATGTTGCATGTTGCATATCATACACTATCATACACATATCATACACATACCATACACCCATCCCCCACCCCATCACCACACCAAACCAGACCAAACCTACTAAATCAGAGCCCCCCCCTTAAACATACTCTCCCGCACCTCCCGCACAACATCCCGCCTATCCCCCTTCCCCACCAACACCACCCCCCTTCCTCTCCTCCCTAGCCTCCCGACTCTGCCCAAGCGGTGGATGAAATCTATAGTTGAGTGGGGGACGTCGTACAGGATAACGTGCTTTACTGGGAGGGTGTCGATGCCGCGGGAGGACAGGTCGGTTGTTACTAGGACTTGCGTCCCAGGTAATGGGGGACGGGGGCCAGGGGAAAGGGGTTTAGCGGGTTGCTGGGGAGGTGTGGGCGGGTTGATGGAGCTGAGGAATGGGGCGTTGGGGGTGTAGGTCCCCGAACCCGCGCCGGAAGCGGATGCTGGCGCTGCGATGGCGGAAGCGGGAGCAGGGAGTTGCGGCATATTGGTGAAGGAAGCCAGCACGTTGTCGGATCTCCGCTCATTGCTATCCCGCGACAACGCCAGGGCGTTCACGCCTTTGGAACGCAAGTACTGCGCCAACTCGACGCTCTTCTCGCGCTCGTTGACGAAGACGACGATTTTCTTCTCTCGCGCTTGCGGTTCCCCTTCACCACCATCTTCAGGAGCGCCCGCGCCCTCTTTGCCGATATCCCAGATCACCTGCGCACAGGCGAGGTTCCTGTTCCCTTGGAACGGCACTTTGTCGATGTCCACCACACTAAGCTGGACTCTCCGCGGAATCGCGTGCAGGTTGGGCGTGACGAGGCGTTTGATGGCGGGGAAGCGACGCTCGAGGTATTTATCCAGACTTCGCGGGATGGTGGCAGAGCAGAGGATGAGTTGGTTCAAGCTCGGGCTCGCGCGGTCGATGATGCCGCTCGTGGTGGGCGCGAAGCTACGATCGAGCAGACTGTCGGCTTCGTCGATGACGAGGTGGGTGACGCGGGAGAGGACGTTGGGGTCGGACTCGGTGATGCTGTGGAGGAGGTGGGGGGTTGTGACGACGACGTCGATGCCGGACGTGGTGAAGAGGCGGGAGCGGATCATTTTGCCGGTGTAGGCGCTGCTGAGCAGAGCGGCGCGGAATTTGACGGTGTGGGAGAGGGATTTCACGAGGGCGCCGACTTGCTCGACGAGCTCGGAGGTGGGGACGAGGATGATGGCGCGGGGGCGGGCGGTGTCTTCGTCGGGCTCGGTGGAGGAGGGAGGGGCGATGTCGAAGAGCTTGCCGGCTCGGGTGGGCATGGAGGTCATGGCGAGGCGGGCTTTGCGGTCTTGGGGGCCGGAGCCGGCGAGTTCGGCGCGTTTGAGGGCGTCGATGACGGGGAGGAGGTAGGCTAATGTTTTGCCGGAGCCGGTCTCTGCGGCTAGTAGGAACTGCTCCATTTGCTTCTCCTGATCTGTCCTTCCAAGCCGTCTTCTCCTCGGCTTGTTCTCTTCCATCCCAAGCAGCGCAGGGATAGCCAGCCGTTGTACCGGCGTGGGATGTACGTCCGTCACCCTTCCCAACGCCTGCGTAGGGATGGACTCTTTGACTACCGGCAGCAACTCGAACTCGCCGAAAGAATCGCGCTCCATGATGGCATTCTTGATCCGGCCTCGTTTCTCGTAGGAGACATTCGCGAGACTGCGCTGCATCTTGAGCGCGTGCATGGGGTCCTTTGACTTTCTGTCATCTTTTCGTCGTGATGAGGATGTCGCGGGCTGCGTTCGAGATGTTCTCCTTCGCTCTGTTCGCGATGCCTGGCTTCGACTGGGGGCCTGTAGAGTTCGCGGGACCTCTGTGACGTTCATTCCACCAAAGGGGCTATTGCGGCTCTTTGGCTTGGACGTTGCTCTTCCACCATCTGCTACAGGAGGCGGGCCTCTCTTGACGGTCGATGAGAGGATCATGCGCGACGGTTTGCGCTTTTGCAGCGTCGCCGCTGAGCGTGAAGGTTGCCATGATGGGTAGAAGGTCCTGGCGAGTGCTCGCGCTTCGCAGAAGGGACACAGCGATGAGGAGAGGCGGAGCATTACATTGATGTACTATCACATGTTCATCGTCTTGATTCTTGAGGAAGTTGTCATGCGGCAGACCTTCCCCTTTGGACGAGACTACTTTAGTGCCAAAGCTTAGCTCGGCCGTTGTGGGCTGCGTTGTTTGTTTACTCGGGCTTCTCCGCAAAAGCAGGCTCGACCTCGAACCAAGTCGCAACACTTTGACCTTTCCTCCACCACCTTCGTTCTGCGAACACACAGCATGCGATAGTCACCATCCTCACCGCAGTCACTCGTCTTGACTCTTACTATCCAGCGCATGTCCGGGCGCGGCCGCATTCCTCGCGCCGCCCTCGCCTTCACTTCCTAGACAGCCGACGAGCATTCCACACGGGCATTGTCTTCACACTCGGGTTATTCTTGGCCAGGCCATGGACTCTGTATGCGCCTGAATCAACCACAATCTATTGACCGAGAACATCTCGTGCTTACCAAGATGGTGCGCCAGGTCCAACCGCTCCGCATCTCCAAGAACCCTCCTTCCTCCAACTCGAACAACATGTCTTCCGCTCCTTCTCGGCCGTTGGCTGAGATCAGCAGCACCGAGCGAAGGAGGAACAGTCCCAGCTACAACCAGGCGACAAAGGTAAGTGCGAGAGGAACCGGCAGTGAAGGCAAGAACTACACTGACATCCAGCAGAAGATGATCGTCTCGCACGACTCCTCGCCATACACCGAAAACTCCCCCCCACCTTCGTTTCTCAACAAGCCATCTCCTCGAGACTTCTGGTCCGGACGCGATTCCGCCATGTCGCACTCTCGCTTGGACAGCGAGAACACTCCCGAACGCTCACCCTCGCCTTCTCCACACAGGCGGCCCAGCGTTGAGAGGCTCAAGCAGGCCAATCGCGTGCGCAACAGCAACATCTTTGCGCTGGAGTCGAAAGATGCCTACGACCCAAACAGCTTGCCCATTGTAGAGAGGCCGAGCGCAAATCGTCCACTCAGCCAGTCCTTCGTCACCAACAGCTTCACGCGGATGGACTCGCTGAGGAAGGAGAACAATCCTTTCCGCTCGCCAGAGAAGCCAACACACAAGCGCTCGGAATCGCAGACCACCCTCCCATATCTCAGCCCCACGAAGGCTGCAGCGGGCGTGCCATTGCCTGTGTCGCCAGACAAGCAGAGCTCGCCATCGCCCACAAAGTCCGCTCTGGCACGAACAAGCCAGTTCGGTCTGCAGAGCTCTTTCGACCCAGAGAGCGGCGCATGGTCGGACGACGAGCGCGTTCCAACACCTCGAGCCCTGCACCGTCACGCAAAGAGTGTCACTTTCCACGAAGAGCCACCAGTCATCAACGAATACGAGCAGCAGACGCCAGAGCCCTCAGTATCAGTCGCATCTGACCGCGAAGGCAGCTGGGACTCTGATGACTTTTATGATGAGGATATCAGCTTCGATCGCGGTAGTTCCGCTGAGCCCATGCGAGACGACAGCTTCGATGCGGACCTCGAGAATGCTGACAAGACACCTGTTGTGCTTCCAGAGGACTGGTCTAGGATGTCACCCGACGAAGCGCGCAATAACCTTGCCAGCGACGAAGACGACGTATTTGATGCTGAAGAGCATACCCAGCGGGCCTTGCTGCAGCAACATGGCGATCGCATCGTGTCCGACGCCAGCGACAATCGTCCCCTGCCTCCGCTGCCTGGGTTTATGTCGCGAGACCGTCGTGACTCCAACGGCTTATCTGATGCAGCTGAGCGAGCAGCACACTCTCCACGCAATTTGCCATCGCCGCCAAAGCGTGCCTCTTGCAGCAAGGAGGACATCCTGAAGATGACAGCAAACTCCACACTCTCGATTCAAGACCGCCTGCAGCTGATGGGCGACGCCAACGACAGCAGGCCAAGCTCGAAGTCATCTCATGGCGCCGTGGAGGAACAGCATGAGGAGCTTACCATCACCAACCTCGACACGGGCGAAAGGCTCGAGATGCAGGTCACAGAGACTGAGGTCGGAGACGACTCAATGCTGGCAGATTTCGCTCCACCGCGGATCTCGCGCGAGTCTATCTTAGCAAAGGTCCGTGGCACAAAGTATGATTACGATGACGAAGACGACGATGAGGTCGACCAGTCTGAATACCAGCTTGGCCACGATGGCCGTCCCTCGATCGCGGAGCTGGCGCGCATGGATCCTGATCAGCCTGTGCCGTCCCGCGAGGACAGCAGGGAGACCAGCGACATCTACGACCTCCGTGCTGCAACTGCGTACGTGGATCAGCAGGAAGATGTCTACGTGAAGCCGGAGCCAGCGGATGACGAAGCCATCGACATGGACGCCATTCCAGAGGCCCCGGTCGAACCAGCGCCACACTCGCCTTCATGCATAGAGGACTACGACCGCCAGAGCTCGGTGCTGCGACATGACATGCCACGTGATGACAGCGAAGAGGCTGACGATGACACCGCAAGCCGCTATTCTTCGGTCGAACCAGACGCTGAGAGCACCATGATTCACGCGCAGCCAGCGCAATTCGAAGCGCACGACGATGGCAAAGAGACCTTGGACGAAGCCATGGAGCTGTTGACGGTCAAGGACTACAGCGAGCCCAGTAAGCCTCAGCAACCACAAGCGAAGCAAGGAGGTTTCCTTGGTCTGCCATCTTACTCGAGCGCGGACGATGACTATGATTTCGGGATGAAAGACTGGATCACTCCATCGCCGCCCGCAGACAACTCCGCTCCTAAGGAAGTGGAGATGGCTAAGACGTGCGATGTCACTGCGAACGTGCCCAACCTACAACCATCTGCCGAGTTTAGCACGCCACCTCTCGAAGCTCCATCTGCCGAGGACACCACACCAGCTCTCGAAGCTCCGCCCACAGAGCGCGAAGTGTCGCCGCCTGGCACACCAGAGTCTGTCATTCATACGCAAGATGCAGAGAGAGACATCAGCCCGGTTGGGGAGCTACCCAGCTTCCACGATGAAGACAGGAAGCGAGACAGCGACCCGGGTGTGCCTGAGCGTGTTGCTTCTATCAAGACTGGCGGCAAGCTCAAGACCCGCAAGAGTGCTTCAAGAGCAGACATGGAGGCTATGGCTGAGCAGCGTCGGCTCGTCAGTGGCGAGATCCACAGCAAGCCTGTGCCGACCATACCTGCGCACTTCCAGATGGATGAGAATGCAGACACAAAACTCGGTGCAAGCGAAGGCCGGCCAACATCCTCTGCAAGTGCTGCTTCGCCTGAGGCCAAGACTGCAGATGTCGACGAGCGTGAGAGGCAGAAACAGCGCCAGCGCCGCAAGAGTAGGAAATCTGGAGGTAGAATGGACCTGGATCTTGGATTGGATACTTCCACTTTCAGCCTCCATGCGGACGAGGGTGATGATGGGTTGGGCTTGGAGAAGGAGTTTGCGCGGGTTATCGAGGGGTCTAAGGTAGGTGGACCATACGGCCACTACACCGCTGGCACTAACGGGTCAACGCGACCACAGAAGGGCTATCTCATGCGCCAGAACACCAAGCTCGTGGTTGCCACCAACCGCAACTTCTCTGGGGAGAGCGACGAGACGGTGAAGTCTGGGAGCAAGGCAGAGCCGCCCATGTCTCCTTCGGCTGATGCTGGTGCGTTTGAGCGTCCGACGTCCGCGAAGGGCAGCAAGTCGCCACGGAAGCCGAGCGCGGAGCAGTTCATGAAGACCGAGCCATGGAATGGCAAGCAGAGGAGGAAGAGCTTGCGGAACGCCAGTGCGCTTAAGGATGCGCCGTTCACGCGCGAAGCTGCTCCACCCATGCCAGGGCAGGAAAGTGTAGCGCTTGGTGTCGTTGATGAAGACTACGCTGCTGGCTCTGCCAACTTGGACGATGATGTGGGTGAGGGTGTTGAGCGTGGCCGGCTGTTCGTCAAGGTTGTGGGTGTCAAAGATCTCGACCTACCCATGCCGCGCAACGACCGCGTGGACTTCCAGCTCACACTCGACAACGGCCTGCACTGCGTCACCACCACCAGCCTGGAGCTCGGCAAGAGCGCGCCCATCGGACAAGAGTTCGAGCTCGTTGTGCTGGACGATTTGGAGTTCCAACTCACCCTTACCACCCAGCTTCCGCCACCGCCGGCAAAGCACTCCCCGACCACGGCTCCTTCGTCCCCGACAAAGAGCCTCAAATCCTCAAAAGCCGGCGGTGCTTTCTCTCGCTTCCTCTCATCACCCAAGAAGCGCGCAGAAAAGGAGCGTCTCGAGCGCGAAGCCGCAGCCGCCGAAGAGCGCCGTGCTCAGGAAGACGCCGCACGTCGCCGTCTCGTCCGTACACCCGGGACCTGGGACTTGCTCCACAGCCTCGTGGACTCTTCTTCAGGCTCTTTCGCCCGTGCGTATGTCAATCTCAAGTCACACGAGCAGCTTTGTTTCGGACGGCAACTCACGGTCGATATTCCGTGCTACAACGAGTGGGCGCTCGAAGAAGACCCGCAGGTCGTGAACAGTGTGCGCAGCAAGCGTGGCGCGCATGCCGGCCCGGTCAGGAGGCCGCCGTATGTGGTTGGACTGTTGGAGCTGCAGTTGCTGTATGTGCCGAAGCCTCGCGGGGCAGGGGATGAGGACATGCCCAAGAGCATGTCGAGTGCTGTACGGGAGATGAACAAGGCGAAGGAGGTGAAGGAGGTGGTGCATGAAGGGTTCCTGAGTCAGCAGGGCGGTGATTGCGCGGTATGTTCCTCTCCCTTCTCCTCAACCGTAGCACTTGACTGACAATGTGTATCACAGCACTGGCGCCGCCGCTTCTTCCGCCTCTCCGGCCCCCGCCTGACCGCCTACCACGAACACACGAACCAAAAGCGCGCCGTCATCAACCTGACCAAAGCCTCCCGCCTCGTCGACGACAAACGCACCCTCGTCGCCAACCCCTCACCCTCCAAATCGGCCGGCAAAGGCCGCCGCAAGAGCGCCTTCGCCGAGGAAGACGAGGGCTACGCCTACGTCGAGGAAGGTTTCCGCGTGCGCTTCGCGAACGGCGAGACGATTGATTTTTATGCTGATAATAAGGGGTTGAAGGAGCAGTGGATGGATGTGCTAGGCCAGGTGGTGGGGAAGGCAGAGGTCGCGGGGAAGAAGATGGGGTGGACGGATTTGGTGCTTGCGAAGGAGCGGGCGGGGGTTGTCGGTGGCGAGGCTTCGCAGATGAAGGGTGCTGGGGTGGGAGGGACGGATGTTAAGGACTTCTCGCCCCCGACCTCCACCTCCACCACCAGCGCAATTCCTCCGCAGTGGCGTGCAGGGCCCGAGAGGATGAACTCGTACGCCCGTAAGCCTGTCCCCGGCGGGAGTGGAGCGAAGAGCGCGCCCACTAGTCCGATGAAGGGACAGAATCAGCGACCTACGACTGCGGATGGGGTGTTGGATGTGCCGGCTGCGCGGCCGAGGACGCCGCCGATGAAGGCGAGGAGTGGGCATCGGAGTCGGGATGCTGTTAGGAGTATGATCTTTTAGGGGAGAAGTGATCGGGGGAGGGTTAGTGAGCGGTGGTGGTGAGGTTTCGTAGAGCTTTCGTTGGGATGTTTTGTACATTCGTCAAAGGGGTTGGGATGGGGTGGGCTGTTCGTTTGGAGGCGCGAGCGGAGGCGTAGTGTAATGAGTGCATGCATGGTTATGGTTATGGGAGGGAGCGACTATCATACATACTACTTCCGAAAAGTTCATATCAACTGCTGTGCCGTTTTAGCATTATTGTATTGTGGTATGTGGTAGAAACAACGCATTTGTTTGTAGGGTACAGCCGTCATTGAAGTTGGGATGAAGTCAACGACATGTTTTTGAAGCCAAAGTCGACCTCGGGGTTTAACAACACCCTATAATATTCATGTACCATCAACAGCATCTCGACTTCGATCGAATCAACAAGATCATAACGAAATGCCACCAAACCCAAAAACAATAGTAGTCACCGGCGCCGTACGCCCCCCAATCCCCCCTCCCTGCTCTTCCACCCATTAACGCCACCACCAGAACAGAGGCATCGGCCTCGCCATCTGCCGCCTCCTCCTCTCGAAATCGACCCAACGCAACCAACCCCTCCGTCTCTGGGCCACTTCACGGGCAGGAAAAACCTTAGACCTGGACCCCGGCTCCCAGCACGAAATCCACTACCCCCAACTCGACATCTCCAGCTCCTCGTCCATCGCCTCTCTCGCCTCGCAGATCCGGGAGGAGATTCCGAATGGACGACTGGATGTTCTGATTAACAACGCGGGCGTGAATCTGGATAACGAGTATGGTCCTGAGAATGCCCGGAGGACGCTTGAGGTGAATTGCTGGGGGACCTTGGAGATGTGTCGGACGTTCTTGCCTTTGCTGAAAGGGAAGGGATTGAGTGGCGAGGGGGGAAAAGGAGAAAAGAGCAGAATCGTCACTCTCAGCTCCGTCGCCTCCTCCTTGAACGCCTACTCCCCGGACCTACAAACCCGCTTTCGCTCTGCTTCGACCTCACTTACCTTGGACGACCTCTCCACCCTCTCCTCCCAATACCTGCACGCCGTCTCCACCCACAGCGAAGAAACCTCCGGCTTCGGCCCCCCCGGCCGCAGCTACTCCTTCTCCAAAGCGCTAGTCAACGCCTTCACCCTCATCCTCGCGCGCGAGAACCCGGATGTACTGATCAACTGCTGTTGTCCCGGGTGGGTGGCGACGGAGATGGGGAAGTTGATCGGGAAGCCGCCGAAGCGGGAGGAGGATGGGGCGAAGATCCCCGTGCGGTTGGCGGTGGGGGATATTTGGGGGGTGACGGGGGGGTATTGGGCGAATGGGAGTGTGAGGAGTAAGGAGGAAGGAGAGTTGAGGGAGTGGTGAGGGAGTGTGGGGGGTTGGGGAGTGTTTGTTTGACTTGTACGATATTTGTATTGTATGAAGAGGAAGGGTGTCTGATCATCTGCTGTCATTCTGAGCCTGCTGAGACCGCAAGGCTGGTGGGGGTATCTATGCTCTATGCCGTAATCTTCATGAATGCCCATCTCATCAATTTCCTTCGTTCCCAGCTCATGATCCTCATAATTCATACTTCTCCAGACCAATGATCCATGTGTGCTCAAGCCAGTACTCCATCCGCTAGCAATTCGTTCCCATGCCAACTCGTCTGCCCCGTTCAAACATCCCTCATTCTCCAAAAAACCCCTCACTCGCACCCTCGCTCGACCACTCCTCCTCATCGCCCTCCAGCTCCGTGTCCCCCAGCTCCTCCTCCTCCGCGAAACTCCTCCTCACCCCCACCGACCTCGTCGGCAGCGTCGTCTCCTCCGCCTCCCACTGCTCCAGATCCGTCAACAACATCTCCACCTTAGCGAGTGCGGCCTTCGACTCCCCGAACTCCACCTGCATCTCCGTGCTCAGACCTGCTTTCGCCGCGACCTTGCTCGAGCTGACGTTAGCGTCCGGATCATCCTCCGTAGCCGATAGCAGCAGCGCCTGAACTTCGGTCTGCAGGCGGGAGAGGTAGTCTTTGGCGCTGTCCATGGCGGAGATCATCGCTTCCATCGGCTCGCGCTGGTAGTTGTGATACATCATCGTCCGCAGAGTCTCAGTGCACTGTTTCACCAGAGAGCGGGTGGTGCGCATGCGAGCGGCATCGAGCGCGGAGTTGCTTGACAGCGAGTCCGGACTGAAGAGGTGCCCTTGCAGCCATTCGAGGGTCAGTTGGCGGAAGTCGGCATTCTGCGAATGCAAAAATGAGTTATGTAAGATCCAGATGGGCACGTTGTCGATGACCGACACTGGCGCCATGTCGTACACATGGCTGAAGAAGTAGAGCGTACGCCGCTCACTGTTCTCCCAGAGAGGGAGATTGTGGGCGAGTGTCTGCATAAGCTGCTTGCAGAACCGATCATCCGTGCTCTGGCAGTAAAAGTAACTCGACCAGAGCAGTGGTGTGAGCTTGGTGTTTTCGATATTGACACCTGCTATTATGCCCAGCTCGACGAGATGTTGGACATCCTGGTGAGTCGTGGCGTCTGCCAACAAGCCGATCAGCTTGCCAGGTGCCCAGTCCTGCCAGCGACCCTTAGTCGAGCAGGTCCTGCACATGGCACCATGCAGAAGCCATTGCTGCCCGTGTTTCTCCCTGAAGACGTGGGTTTTCTTGATGAGCTCCATCTCCCGGGGAGCGAGAGACCAGCCCCTTGATGTCTGCAAGCGCTCATCTCGAGCAAAGGTCTTCACCTCGCTCATTGACAGATCCACGTAAGGGCAGCCGAGCAACTCGTAAAGGAAGGCGAAGAGGGGTGCGTAGTCGTAGTTGTTGTTACTCTTCATCCACTGCAAGACGGACGGGTGAGCCTCCCGACTCTTTGCATCCCAGCGAGTGAAGACGGCCTCGAACGTCCAGACTAGATAGTCTTTCTCCAGAATCTGATGCGTCTCGTACGGGCCTTGCCTGGCGAGGTTGGCCGCGAAGGCGAGGTACTCAGCCCAGTAATCGCCATGCGCGTCGTCGAGCTCGTCGTCGAGCATGCTGCCGTGCATCTCGACGATGTCGTCTACAGCCGATTCGTACTCGCTGAAGTTGTGCTCACGGATGCATTCCAGGCATGTCTGAACCATGTTGTACACAGCAGTGCGCACCGCCGAGTGTTTGGCATGCAAAACAATCTTGAAGGCGAGACGTTCGTAACGAAAGATCCGCAAGATGTGCACAGCTACGGCTGGCCTGGCTTCCAAGATTGCTGTCAGACCCGAGTCGAGAGAGGCGAGCTTGCTTTTGGCCTCAGGGTCGCACACCAAAACCCGGAGTGCGTACTGCGCGACGGTGTCGCCCATCAAGGCTATGATCCCGTCTTCCGCAGTGTTCGTGGTTGATAATGTCTCTGCGGAGACATCGCTGTCTGACGACCCAAGCTGCGGTCCAACGACGGACGGGAATTGTTCCAGCAGCATGACGAGAAGCGCAGCAAACCCTTCGTTGAACAGAGCGGCAATGTTGATACGCCAGAGGTTGCAGTCTTCGAGTCTAGCCAATAGCGCAGCCGGCACGCTGACTTTAGGCAAGACGTCGCCTTGCAGTGATGGTACCACCAGATTGAAGTCCCTCGCTTGCATCGCGTAACTGTTGCGTTGGTAGACCAAGACGTAGCCATTATCAGTCAGCTCCGTACCGTTGGAGCCTTGCACTCCGCCAAAGCATCTCTTTTGGACCTCCTGGACGGCACCCGGAATTTGGATAGATCTAGTGTCCTCCACAAGCACCCATGCACCGTGATGGTTGAGAGGCAAGCCTGCCACGCGGATGTATGACCAGTAGTGCCCGAAGCTGAGCGTGCCTTGGTGGACGATGACGCCGACCAGCTCAAACATGTCAGGCTGCTGCGGCGACTGAGGGTCTTCCAAGTAGCCACGCTTGTATGTTGACATGTCGATCTCTGCGGGGAACTCGAATCGATCGTTGACCTTGTTCTCGCCTTCCATGAGGTTGTCGAACGCGAATCGTTTGAGACAGAGTGTGAGTGTGTCCGGTACTTCCTCGAGGCACGTGCGTTTCATCGCGTTCACCAGACGACCTTCACCCTCCTCGCAGGTCATGCATTTGTACTTGTTCGCCCCCGCCAAAGGCTCGCCCTGAACAAACTCCTCGAGGCTCTCGAAGAGATTGGTCTTCTCCTTGACAGTGATTGACAACTCCGTGAACGGCTCCTCGCGAGACGAGACATGGCCGCAATCGCCTTGGATCTGCGTGATTGACTTGCCAGTGAAGAATCCCTTCAATGCGGCCTTCTGCTCTCCGGTCGGCATGTTGTCTTCCAGCCTGCTCAGCATTGTCGTGTAGAAGGTATGGACATCTTCTTGCACGCCAATTTGCACACCCAAGACGTTAGCAAGCTGCGTTGTGTCCGCACACGGCTCGATGCCATCCTGCATGGAAGCAAAGAGTGTCTGAAGAACGCTCAGAACTTCCTGCTTCCTGATGTCGTGTATCGGCTGATCCAAGATGAACTTGCGGAACTGCAAGTTGGCGAACAACTGCTGCAGCAGCGAGTTCATATAACACGTCATGCCCAAGTTCGAGAGTCCAGCGCTGCAGATGGAGGGCCGCAGCCAGTTCTGAACACCCGGGAAGCTTTGTTTCGCTTGTTCGCGAGACATCTGGATTGCCGAGCGCACGGTGCCCAGAAGACGCCAGTAGTCTGTCTTCGAGCCAAACGTCGCACGCACGAGGTCGTACACAAGTGCTCTGCTGCCCTCGTGTATCAGCGGATACGGATGAGATGGTCCGATGGATGAAGGAAATAGCAGGTTTTGCAGAAGTTGCGAAGGCAGATCATCCAGGTCGAGTGGTATCTTCCTTTTCTTAAGCGCGACCGTTGTGGCTTTCAGCAGCTGCAGAAGTCCAGCAGCCCCTTGATCCTGGAGGAGAAGCATGGGTGTCTCCGAGTGGTGGTACGACCAGAGCTTTGACAGCAGCATGTCAACCAGAGAGCGCACATCCTCCTCGTTGCTCATCATCTTATGGTCGGCCTCCAGGACCCTCACCAGAAGATTGAAATATGGTGCTGCTACCGTTTTCTTCTCGAGCGCTGCGGGCAGGACGGGAAAAAGCGTTCGCCAGAAGAAATGCGGCATGTCTCGGGAGGTGTAAGGATGCTGGCATATTGTCTCGATCTGCCCCGATATCGCCTTGGAGAAGTCGCAAAATTCGTCGAGCAAGAGCTGCTGATGAATGCTAATCATCTCTTTCTCTCCGGAGCTGACAGCCTGAAAAAGCGCCTCATCTGCCTCCAGGGCGTCGAGCAGGGTCTTGTAGAGTGTGGTTGCGAGAACAGTGCGGACTCGGTCCTCACCCGAAGGCGATGAGAGATGGAGTGGTAATGCCTGTGCTTCTGAGAGCAGGACCTTTGTCCGGGAGACAAACGCCTCTGGGTTGCGAAAATATTGGTGAGCCTGGTCGCGAGAAGGTCGTTCTGTCTCTGGGTTAGACGCACGCCATGACACGGGAAGACTGATCACGACTTACCTCGCAGGAAAAGTCCCAATAAAGACACAATATCGATCTGGAGCATCGGGTGCGTCGAACGAGTGTCGTCCATCATCAGTTCTGTCAGCATTTGCACGGCGCGAAGGCTGAAGTCTTGGTCGGCCACGGCAAGCCGAGCATGATAGTGCAGCTGCTTCTGGAGCACGAAGAGAGAGTATCTTGTCCTGTACGGTTTGTCTGCAGGGAAGAGGGTAACAAGGCTCACGGAACCCGACGTGACCTTCTCGCGAGCCTCCGAGGTCAACCGTACTTCTTGCAATACGGGAAGAGCCTATATGATAGTTAGCAACGACGTCGCATTGGATAAAACGCGGTAGGCCTACCTTCTGCGCCAGGGGGTCCGGTCCGGTCAAGAATGCCTCGACAGAGCTATATTGTGCAAGGATTTCCTGCTCGACCGGACCTGCGGGCGTCACGCACTTGTCAATATCGTCCCCAGTTGCGAACACTGGACGGATCATGAGCACACCTAAATGATGAACGCCAAGCTCAGCCAGTGTCTTGTCGTTCTCGTGCGTGATCTCTAGACCGCCTGCGATGATTCGGTGTTGACCAGCGGAGGTGACCTGAGGTAGGCTGCTGAGCAGAGTCGGTACTTTCGTGGACTGTCTCGCCATGGCGCGGTACCTGAGGGGTTGGATCTCGGGTCCGTAGATCTGGACATCAAGGATCATGCCGTCAGCAGGGCCCTTCGCTTCATCCACCACCAATAGCTCATGGTCAGCATCGAGCTCTGGTAGTATTTTGTTCACTTTGCTCGCGCGTAGGAGAAAGAACAGTAGTGTCATGCCGTTGAGGAACTGGAGGCCATCTTCAGCATTGTCCGATTCCTGTACGTTCCTAAAGCTCTGGCCCAACTTGTCCAGTAGAGCCATGGCAAACTCTGCGTGGCAGCGTAAGATCGATGCTGTAGGTACCTGGGCTTTGCTGGGGAAGTCAAAAAGCATATCCAAGATGACATCGATCCCCAGCTTCTTGACCTGGGCCTGAGAGGAAGAGACCGCGAAGCGCTCAATTGCATGCCAGAGAGGAAGCCGCAGCATCTTCGTGTAGTCGGCCTGCACTTCGGCAGACGAGCACTGCGACCTCACTTGCATGCTGACCATCTGAACGAGCTCAGCACTGGCAAGCTCCGCCGGAAGCGAAGGCACATGGTCCTGCATGAAGCCTTGCCAAAGTCGAGTAGCAGGAGTGTCCGCCGCGGTGACAGACGCCATGCGGTGAAGCTTTTCCCATGCAGCATTGCGCACCGCAGGCATAATATCAGCACTCCCAAACACGTCCGTGTAGAGTCGTTCGCAGGTAGCTGCGTCGACTTTCGCCTCGGTCGCTTGCATCATGCGCAAGATGGTATCAAGCCGTATGGTCACCGCGTGGATGTCGACGTCAGCATCGCCATGGCCATTTTGCGCCCTGGCAGAGTGGCAAAGCTCGTCGACAGCAGCGCAGATGGGAAGCAGGTCGAGCATGAGATTGATCTCTGCCGGAGGAACGCCAGATCCGATGAAGTACGAGAAGACTTCGAATGCCGTGGTTGCATGCTGGCTCATCTGCAGGACTTCGGGAACGCAGTACTTGTATATCTCTGCTCGCTGTTCGAACGTACAGCGTGAATTGGCAAAGCGGCCGATTGCTGCCATCGCACAATGCCGGATACGACTGATGAGAGCGGAAGGTGAGTCGGTGTCCGCATGTTTCAAGAGCTCGATGCCAGCGAACGCCACTTTCAACCTGTTCGGCTCGTCTTTTGCGTCGATAGTTCTCCGTTCCATGAGTGTGACCAGCTCGGGTAGAAAGTCGACCGCCTGTGTGCCGACTTCGGTAACTGGTGTAGTAGCGTACTTCTCCAGTATGTAAAAGAGATGGTCGAGGTCAAGATGAAGCATGACTAGTCTCAGCACTCCGACCGCCGCTTTCGCAAAGTCCGCCTCGACGCTCGTAGTGCATGCCCGCCAGATGATGTCCGTCTCAACGCGCGTGTGCGTGTTGGTGGCCGCGAGAAACACTATTACGTCGCGGCCTTGGTTGATGAGGCCCGCATGCGACTCCGGCCCGAAGATGTACGCAGTCATCTCGTTCTCTCGTAAGAACCTCACGACGTATTGTACGATGGGATGCTCGAATCCGTCTTCCATTTTGCCACAGTCTGTGTGGAGACCAATGAGCCGGTCCTTGAGCGCTATTGCGCCTGCAGTTCGCACGTCCATGATGTCGCTGCGGATAAACGCCGTTGCGCCCTGGAGAAACCACGACATGCCGAGCAGATTTGCAGAGACCTTGTCGTCTCGGCCTGATATGCGCCACAACGACGTAGCGGTGGACTCATTGCCGGTAGCTTGTGGGAACAACGCATCAGTCGAGCTCTTGAGGAAGCGCTCGTACAAATTCTCCGCAGAAGAACCCTTGGAGGACTGCGCATGGCTGTTGATGAGACATTCTCCCCAAGTAAGGGTCTTGACGTGGAACAGTTCTGGAAGGGCACGTGGATGCTTGCCACACACGGCTGGCTTGATGGACTGATAGAGGACGTCCAGTACTGCCTCAACTTCAACTTTGGGGAATTGATCTCCCGGACGCAAGTCGACACAGATGAAGAAGGTAGCGAGTGCGCTGTCCAAAAATGCCCATGAGTCTTTCAGCTGACGTGCCGAACCACTGATATCTTGGATGAGTGAGGTTGTGGCTTGGAATACCCGGTCATCTGTGAGGTTCATGACCCCCTGGCGAAAGGCGTCCTTCAGTTTGGTTGCGTGCTTGACACTGCAGAACGCTGTCACAGCTGCGCCACGGGTATCGAGTGCGCGCTCGGCCACGAGGAGGAAAATCAGCGAGTCCAGCGTTTGAGGTCTGCTAGATCCGTGAGCGGAGTCGCGTCTCGATAATGTAGTCTTCACCGCAGCCGGCAGCAGTGGGATGGTCCGCCGACACAACGTTTGCACGCTGATAACAAAGTTTGTGAACGCGGTCTGCATGTCGCCATGGCCGAGGTCGACCGAAGAGTCGAAGAGATCGCCAACCGCCAGTAGCTCGTAAGAGACACGTGCCAAGGTGTTGAAGAACTCCGCTTCGTCCTCGAGGTAGTGCTGGTTCCATGTCTGTGATTCTGTTGTTGTCTCGGCGATGTGTCTGGCGAATGCGTCTGCAAACCACGAGAAAAGCGCAGGGTCAAGGTAATGGTTTTTCGCCAGTCGATCCAGGATGAATCGAAGCTGTTCCACAGGCGAGAATTTGCTGAAATGTTGGAAGGCTTCCTGGTACGATGCTGTGAGGCCAGGGTCGTCTTCGATTCGGATGGCGTTCTCCATGTTGGACCCAAAGTCCTCCGGGCCGCCGACTTCTTCGATGATCACGGAGCCTTCGGGAGATGCGCCAGGGTCTTCGCTCAACCTCTGTCGCTTTCGAGCCAGATCTGGGTTATCGTCTGCGGCGTGGTCGCGCGGCGAAGACGTTGTGTTTGCGGGAGCCATGACCAGATAGCAACGCGGTGACGCCTACCAAGTCGCGGGTGAGACTAGCATCGTGTGTTGCTGTAGGAAGTTGCGAAGTGGCTAGTATGAGTGCAACGTGAGAAGGTGTCACCCCCAAGCTGTCCTAGTGAAGTGTAAGGCTGTGGCTGCCTGCTTGTGTCGCCAGTGGTACAATGCACCTTTCTTCTTAAGCGGAGACACCCTGTGAACGCCAGACGCCCAGAAGTAATAACTGTGAAGATGGGGAAGATTGCAAGTTCACTGCATGTGCGTCCAGTGAGGTTGTAAACGCGTCGTTGGGTGATCTGCGTCGTGAAGCTTGGACGGCGAAAGCTTGCGAGGTCGCGAAAGAGGTTTCGCTTGCGGGCGGCCCGGAACGTCATCAAAGCTTGGCGATATGACTACACGTCAGGCGACGTAGTAGATTGGGGGGCAGTCTCCGCAGTCTAGACCATAAAGAAAGCATACTCAGAAGCCTCTAGGTAGGAGGTTGTTTAGCGGAGAAGACGGGAAGGAGAGAAACGGATAGTATAGCTCCTCGAGACAGCAGGGACAGTACGGCTCTCCGAGACAGCAGGAACAGCATCGCCTAACGGGAGTCTTCATAGCAGGCGATAGGGTCACGGAGAAGCCAGAACATAGCCGACTGCCACTTCTTCTACCACATCACCTGACGTGTAATAGCTCGTTAACACGACTTTACATTCCCCTATTATGGAAGCTTGGCAGACCTTCCAGAGACCATGATGGCGGAGGCGAAGAAGGCTCATAAGCCGATATATCGAACGGCGTCTCCATACAGTCGGCCGCAAGTGTATGACCACCATCCGCTTCGATCAAGCACCTATAGCTGAAGAGAGTATCAGGCCCAAGCTAAGTCAACCACATCATGACATTGTTGTCGATCTGCTAGTCCAGTGAGCAATATCTCTCCTTTTTCGTAAGGTAGCCTTGCTCATCTACGATTCAACAGCCTCTCATCACCCATCGGAGCATCCACCGCTACTCTGAAGAAGTCTAAGGGCAAAAAATCTCGCAAGTGGAAGCGCAGACCGAGTCAGCCCGCCGAAGGCCAGTCGAAAGAGCCCGGCCCATCGGTACAGGAAGGTTCGACCGCGCATTCCTCTGGGACTCTGCCAGATGCACCACGACACCCTCCGTCAGCAGCGGAAGCTCCCGATACCACGAGCCCTGACGCAACAAAGCAAGAAGCTTCCGTGACGGACAGCTCAGATATCCGCAAACACCTCCTCCTCGGCTTTAACGAAGTGACCCACCACCTCGAAGAACTCTCCGCCCACTCCAAACGACAGCAAGACACCACCCTCCGCCACGTCGCCGCCGTCTTCCTCTTCCGGCCCCTAGACGACCTGATCTACGCCCACCTCCCAACGCTCTGCTACACGGCTTCCCTCGCCCATCCGGATCAGCCAGCAACGCGGCTCGTTGTCCTAGACCCTAGCAGGGAAAGCAAGGTCAGCACAGCGCTGGGGAAGCCGGCGCGAGTCAGCGTGGTCGGCGTTCTCGGTGGCGTGGAGGATAGAGAAATGCCAGCGCGAGATGAGCTCATGGCGTACGTGAGGAAAAGTGTCGAGCTCGTCGACGTACCGTGGTTGCGGGAAGCGAGGGCAGGGAAGTGGTTGGGTACGAAGATTGTGTCACAGTGACATCTCTTTTGATGGTGGTAACATACTCTAGCCGATTCATCGACCGACGTTCGACAGAGCGCAGCGTCACGCAAATGCGAATGTCCTTGTTACGCCAATTCCGCCACATGCACCTTCCATATGGGCTCAATATATACCCTGCGTTCGGTATTGGAAGGTATCGTAAAGCCTGCATCATAGAATCAGCAACCATCACCACTGCCGCTCAATAGTAACGAACATACCTCGTATAATAAGACCCCAAACTCTTCGTGACCAGATCCTCCACCCACTCCCTCGCTTCCTCCTTACTCTTCTCCAACACGAACCTCGCCCGTAACGCCGACACCACACTCGGCAACCCATAAGCATAACAAGCCATCTTGCTTTCCCTCCCCATCAGCTCCACCAGCGTGACGATCCGCTCCGCCTCCCTCCTCAACGCTTGAAAAGCGTCCTTCAGCAACTCCTTGAACCTGATAAAAGCCTCGCCTTCCACGCCGCCAAGCACTTCGACATACTCGAAAGTTAACTTGAAGGGTGCGGCTTCGAAGCCCATGTTCCCGGGAGAATTGGACAGCATGAAGCCGAAGTCGATGTGGATCATGTGCCCGTCGGAGTCGATGAGGATGTTGCCGTTGTGGCGGTCTTTGAGCTGCAGTATGTAGCTGATGATGCTGTAGGCCGCGAGACTTTTGACGAAGCAGTCGATGGCTCGGAGATAGGAGGGAGAGTCCGGGGCGCCGAAGGTCTTGGAGAAGTGGTCTTGGAGGGTGGCGATGCGCTTCTTCGGGTTGCTGCCGGCGGTGATTGAGGCTAGCGTTAGTGATCGTTTGAGCGAGTGTAGGGACACGGCGCTTGTGATCGTCTCGATCAGTCCAGAAGATTCACCAGTCACAAGAATGCGCATGGTCTTGACCCAGACATCGATGTTGTGTTCGGACCATATCTTGGAACAGACACCGATCAGCTGGCAGGCGAACGCCTCTTGTCTCAGATCGTCGCCAGTCTTGACAATCACTGAGATCAGATCCCAATTCTTGGCCCATCCGTACGGTGAGGATCTTCGTATGCGCTCCTTCTTCTGCTCCCAAGCTTCGCCGAAGGTGGCCGCTGAAGGATCGTCCCGATCACCCTTCCGTTGGATACCACCGGTCTTGAAGTCGTTCTCCATGCGGTCAGCACCTCTGCCAGTGTTGATCTTGGGATCCGTAGGCTGATCTCCATCATCACCTTCAAGATCGGAGGGCTCAATATGGGACGCTTCTTCAGTCGCTCGATTCATGATTGTGTCGAAGTTCGGCCCTTGGATGCCGTCATCAGTCAAGAAGCTCTGCTCTTCGAGGGACTGCATGCTGGCGATGATCTTGGCTTTGATAGCAGCCACTTCCGTCTTGGGCCGCTTGGCCGCGCTTAGCTCCAGCTGCGCCAGCATCTGCGAAGCAGTCCGCATGTGATCAGCCAAGGCCGAGACTTCAGCTTGGTTGGGGTTCGCTGTTGGGGTGTATGGTGATGGCCGCTGACCAGGACTGCTGGATCTACTTATAGGCCCTCCTGAGTTGCGCGGTGTCTCCAGGCTCACTGTCGACATCGTGTTAAAGCCATTTGACAGGCGCGGAGGATCTTTCGGCCCGTTGTAGACCGGCCTTTTGAGTGGGCTATCAGGAGCTTTCTGTCGTTGGCCGTCAAGATCCTGTAGAAGCGCAGCGCTGGAGAGGTCGCCACTAGCAGGCTCGAGTACGCTGTCGTTCTTCAGTGTCTTCTCAGCAGACAGAGTAGATGATTCTCTCGCAGCGTCTGAGGTATCGAACAAACGCCGCTTTGATCGGCCTTTGTCCGCCAAGATAGTAGCAAGTAATTGCTCATTCTGCTCGCTGTCCGGGTCGAAGTCGAAGTCCTCTCTGAGTACTTCTAGCATCAGTAGATACGGTACTTTCTCTGCGCTGTTCAGACTGGTCGCTTCAGCCGGGTTCAATCGTACAATGCGGTGATGTCTGCTTCGGCTTGCGATGCCATCCACCAGCGTAGGTGGGCAAATGGTAGGTATGTCCACTTCTGCAGGCAAATCCTGTGCGATCAATGCCAGCTCAGCCCTCAGTGCACTCAGCCGAGCCTGCTTCGGAACGCCAACCAATCTTGACGAGATGCCTTCAAGAGCTGTCAAGAACTGCGTCTCGCTCCGGAAGTAATTCTGTCGTAGCATCGGCACTTTTTCAGCCGCAGACACCGTCGTACGCGCAGGCTTGGGAGCTTGAGAATGCCTCCTTGCCATCTCACTTGGTCGTCGCGGAACTCCTGGTGAGACGGGTACGCCGGCCGCGACACTTTGCTTTCGATCATCTGGCAAAGATGAAGAGCTGCTGTATCCCGAGTGGTTAGTCATGACTGCAAGCGACTGTCGGTGAGCATGGCGCCTGGGCGCGTCTGTCCGAGGGATATTGGGCTGAGTGCGTGGGGTAGGGGCGCCGTTCGTGTTCACCGCCGCCGGCCGCTTCGTTCTTCTCGGCACGCCTTCGCGTGTATTGCTCGAGCCAGATACTTCTCTCCTCGCTGTGGTCGTGCTTCCCGTAACCGTACGACTTCGGCCAAGCTTCTGTGGCTGTGACTGTGGTATTGACTCTGATACAACATCCTCCAATGGCCTTGGCCTCCGCGACTGAGCGACGGCAAGTGGTGCCACATGCTGTGCCAGCAAAGGCACCCCTACGCTTGCGAGCACCAGACTGGAGAGGACTGTCACCGGCAGCACATTTTCCTGTATCCGCTCCCTCCGCAGGGGCTCCGCACCTCCGAACACTATCCGCTGTACCTTATTGTAGACCCTCCGACAAGTCTGGAATGCGTTCGAGGCAGGTTGGGACGAGAGGTCGTGTAGGTAGGTCTGGAATAGCCAGAAAGTCTGCAGAACATCCGTCAGCTCTTCTAATCCATTCTCCCTAGGCTTTGTCCTACCAATAGCGCCCCATTGACCGACTCTTCACACAAGTCTATGATAAACTCCTCCAACGCCATGGAGTCATTGTCGATGGAGATGAGGAGGTGGCATAGCTGCGGCAGGAAGAACTCGATCTCCTCATAGCTGAACTGCCGCAGCTTCGAGCACAACACAAAGTGTATTCCGACATGCTCGGCGTAGCGACTGTTGTCCGCATTAGTCAGGCCCTCGGGGACTTTGGGAGAATGCTGGCGCTCACGCAAGGTATGCGACTGTCAAGGACGGGTCTTTGTTGAAGTGCTCGGAGTCCAAGAAGCGCTCGAGTAGATTCCAGCTCATGGAGGCTGCTTCACATACGTCGTACCTGAGCACGAGGTATATGTCATCTTCCAATGTCCATTGATCGGGGTGGTGTCGAGGGATGGGCGCTGAGTCGGTAATGCTCGTCGATGTGGATCATGTGTGAGGTCGAGAATTATGCTGTATTACCTCGAAGATCCGTGTCAGCTCGAGTGTCTCGTCCAGAAACAATGTTCGATGTAGCATTGCCAAGCAAGGTCGTTGCAAGGTGGACGTTCTCGGCAGGGCACCCGAGCTCTTTGTTCGTAGGGCTGAGTCAAGGTGAGATGGAACAACGACACTCTTCCTTCGATACATGAAGCATCACCAAGTTGTACCGACAGTGGGAGTCCTGGATGTCCACCGGGTCATGAGCTGATTCTGACTGGTTGCTTTGCATGACAACGATTCTCGACACTCAGACGTAACAAAGCCGAGTCTATCACAATCTATGCATCTATGCATCTATATTGGACATCAAGCCCTAGCTCTCCCTCAACAACGGGCCTTTCTTATACGGCTCCATCATCTCAAACTTCAAGCTCTCCGGCAGTCCATCCTGACACCACCGCAACGTCCCAAACCTCAGCCAATCCGCATAAGTGCCCCTCACCACATCACTCCCCTCATTTCTCCTCCACAGACTCCCCAGCGTATCCCCCATGACCCTCAGAATCAGCCCATGCGCCAGCTTGAACCCGAAACTCCTCTTCAAACACTCCTCAACAATCTCCCTTGCCTTCTTCTGATCGTCGCTCTCCTTCTCCCCCTCCTTCGGCAACGACAACGACATCAACCGAAACGCCTCCGGCCCATCCCACGCGGTGAGCTCGTTGATCCACTGACTCCCCTCCATATAATCAATAGCATAAACATGCTTCGCCACGTACTCCGGTCCATTCCACCCGTCGACCTCATCCACAAGCCCCATCACCATCGTCATAGCTTGGCCCTGGATGATATAATCCGTCAACATCCTACTAACCTCAGGCGCCTCGAACTTCCGTCCATTCTCCTCGAACGCCAGAGACTCGTCTCCTTCACCGAGCAGCGGGATGCCTTTGAGCAACGGACTAGCGTGCATGCCGTCTGTGGTTGTTTTGCCACCGTCGGCGTCCCAGAGAGCGAGGAGGAGCCGTTCACAGCGCTCGAACATCGGGTTGTTGGGGCGGGAGCAGAGGAAGTAGTTCGTCAGCGCGCGGTCGTGGACGCCGCCCATGTTGTAGGACAGGACTTCGTATGGGCTGGAGGGGTTGCCGATGGTTTCGTTCCACAAGCGATCTAGGTCGCCGATTTGGATCATGCCTACGTCCGCGTAGACTCCACCATATTTGAGTAATAGAGGCCAGCGGACGAGATCGGAGGTATGTTGTGGTCCGTACGTGCCGGCTATCGTGCCTTCTCGAAATGCCTTGGGGAAGACGGTAGGGTCTGATGTGTCCAAGAAGTTGTTGATGTTGAGCGGAGAGTTGGAGACGAGATCCATCACCCGGACTGTCCAACCTGAGCGAGAGAAGCGGCGATGCCATGTTCGAACATTGCGCTTGGTGTACGGGTGGAGGCCTGAGAAACCGGAATTCCAGAAAAGCCAGATGTTCTTCGCGGAGGAGACCGGCGGAGGTTTAATGAGGTCGCGATCGACTTCAGCGTCCGGCCTGAGGTCGAGTTGGTCATGAGGTATCTCGTGGCATCCGTTCGGTCTTTGGTAGTCCATCTTTGGTTGTGCGTCTTTCGAGGCTGTGGTGTGCGTGTCAAGAGGCATGTACGAAAGGCTCACCGAAGAGAGGGCTTGCTCTACGCCCACGAATGTCTTGGAGTTGCTTCATTTCAGGGCAAACCATCGCTGTTATATACAAGAGTGTCTGGTCCAGAATGCGAGATAGACAGCGCCTTGCTCAGGATGGCTCATCGCTTAAGCCGGATTAGGCATGCGCGGAAAGCCTAAAAAAAGCCGGTCCGCGAGCGAATCTGGCGCAGTAGCAGAGCATGTACAAAAGTTGCTGAAGGGAGTATAGACGTAACAACGCCACTCACGCCTTCTCAAGTCGTATAATTTGCCGGGAACTCGCCGGTCTTCCCTGCCAATTCCCCAGCCCACCAGTCATCCCTAGAGTCTGTCTTCCTGACCACCTTGATCCGATCACCCTCCCTGAATGCCAGGTCACCCGGATTCTGCCCTTCGAAGTCGAACAGTGCAGTCACGTACTGAATCGGCTGGCTCGGTATACGCTTCGTCGGGATCGGAGGCGGAGGCTTCTTCTTCCCAGCCGCAAGTGCCGATGGCGTTGAGGCGATGGACGATGCCTGTGAAGTCCGTCGTTGGCCGAAGTAGTCTGACGGTCCAGAAGGCATCGGTGACAATCCGTTGGCGGGTGTCTGGTATTGGGATGGTGGAGTGGCGGCGCTAGGCGCGAATCCAGATGGTGTCGGAGGCATAGCGGTTGGGTTGTAGCCGTATGGCGGTGGAGGCTTCTCGTAGCTGTCGTGGCTGGGTACAGGGCTCAGCTTCGGTTTGCTCGCGAAATTGATGCCAGGTGAGACTGCGGGAACGGTAGGTGAGTAAATGCTGGGTGAGTAGGCGACATTGGGCGAGAATCCAGGCTGTGCAGGAATGCCGCCCGGTCGTGGTGGTTTCGGCGGCGTAGGCTCGTATTGCTCTTGCTGGGGTACTGATGAAGAGCTGTTGGAAGCAGTGATCGCTGGCCTGTTGGTGATTGGACCACTTTCTTTCCGGTTTGTGACTTTGCTGGTGACCTTGTTGCGGATGCCGAGCCCGGTCACAGTACTCTTATCCTTTTCCGGGAGGCTCATGGATTGGTGGACAGCCTTGCCACCAGCAATGACCGACAGACCGCCCTCGAGCTCCTGTCTGAGCGCCGAAAATTCGCTTTCCCAAGCACTGATGATCTCGGGGGTGGAGGGTCCTGGGTTTGGGAAGCCGAACTTTCGTGTATAAGCATCTAAGACTGTGTACAGCTGTCCAACGAGTGTTGTCTGAAGCATCACCTGGTTCGCCAGTAAATACGGCAGCAGGCTCAGAATCGCTGACGTCAAAGGCGGAAACGTCTGCTTGACCTGATCGTCCGCCGTCTCATAGGAGATTTGAGCCTGAGCCAAGTTGCCCTCATGTACTGCCAACGCCTGCTCGTCTTTCGCATTTCGCTGATCCTTCTTCCTCAAATGCTCGGCTCGGCTCAAATACCGCTCATAGTCTAACTTCATGTTCTCCCGATGTTTTAAGGTCTTGTGCAGCAATTTGGTATGCTGTTTAGCCTCCTCCGCTGGCCGAAGACACTTCGTCGAGATCATAGCAATCTCCTGGGCCAGGTCGGTCCTCTCAGCATCATACTCTTTCTGCAGGCCTAGGCACTTCTGCATGAACTTTGCTGGCGTGTCCACAGGCTGATGGCGCATTTCGGGGTCGCTGGTAGGCTCGATGGGCTTGTAGATGTTGGCAAAGGCCTCAGACGCATCGTACTGGAACTTGAGAACGTCCTCCCATCCGCGCTGCCAATCCTTGACGTCCTTGATCAACTGTGAAGCCACGTAAGCTTAGAGCGCGGTTGGACATCATGCTGGAGCCACCTACTCTGTTCAGCATATCATCCACCGCCTTGAACTGCTCCAGCACCACCTGGACATCCTGCTCGTTCTCACTGCGCTTCATAAGCGTGCCGAACTTTCGCTGAACCGACTTCATCTTGGGTTGGTGATCGTGCTGCTGCTTCGCGGGATTGTTGAAGGCTCTCGTAGACGCCTCAAGTCAAGACCCGTACAAGACGAAGCTAATAAGGTCGAATGGCAGAAGGTCAAGATGGAGAAGAGGCAACAGGGTAGAAGTCCACCATGAATGTTTCAAGATCCATGCAGTGGGGCCTTCCAATGGATTGAGGCTGAGTTCATTGTTGGCGCAACCGTGCAGACCTCAGCCTGACGCGCAACCTTTAATGTCTGGTGTCAATGATCAAACATCAGTACTTCAACTGGATTCTGGATGACATCCTCGAAAGTAGCGAAAAGAGGACGTGAGGTTGCTATTGTTGATTGCTTGCCTTTCACATGCATGCCGTGTGTTCCACATTCAATTAACGTTCACGTTACGCCACGTGGCTGTGGGCCCGTCCCAAGATGGCAGTTGTGTGGTTGCTGGCAGCTGTAGCCCTTCTACACGCCAGCAAGCGAGTGACAGTGAAAGCGGCCCAACTCACCTCACGCCTAGCAGTCTTCTCCGAGACCCAAAGGTTCCTGAAACGGCCACATCACTATCATCGGCAAGCTGTTCTGGTCTGCGAGCAGATCGTTTCACACAGCTCACTCTGACCTAGTTGGCCCCTTTTACTGTTCGCGACTTGTCACTGGTAGGAAGACACTCTGTTCCTCAAAGTATCCTCTCACATCGCTTCCCGCATTCTTACTCTCAAAGCCACTGCTATGGATCAATTCATCCTCTTCGGCGACAGTATCACGCAGCAAGCCTTCTCACAGGATACGCCACCGCGACATCGCGAGCCAAGTGGCTTCTTCGGTCCAGCCCTGGCAGATGCGTACGCCCGCAAGCTAGACATCATCAATCGCGGTCTCAGCGGCTACAACACGCGTCAAGCGCTCCAGGTCCTCCCCCAAGTCGTCCCAACGCTTCAGCAAGCACGAGTACGCTTCCTCACGATCTTCTTCGGCGCCAACGACGCGAGGCTGCCCAACACGTACCCGGACCCACAGCAGCACGTTCCTCTGGAGGAGTTTCGCAGCAATTTGAAGGCTATCGTCAGTCACCCCTGCTTGTTGGAGCATAAAGACATTCGAATCATTCTCATTACGCCTCCACCTGTTCATGAGCGGACCGCGCTCAACGCAGACCGGATCAGGGAGCCCAATCGAGAGCCCGTCCTCCGGCGCACAGCAGCAGCAACCGCCACATATGCGCAAGCTGTTCGAGAACTGGGCGACGAGATGAATCTCCCAGTGCTAGATCTGTGGTCTGCAATGATGGACCGCGCTGGCTATCATGACAACGGCGTGGACGACAGACTGGTGCCTGGATCTGTAGCCAACGCTGATGATCATGCCAACGCGGTCCTCGAGAGCTTTCTCCACGACGGGTTGCATTTCACACGAGCAGCTTATAGGGTGCTGTATGATGGGATGATGGATCTTATACAGGAGAACTGGCCGGATCAGACGCCGGATGCTTTACCATTTGTGTTACCCAGGTGGGATGATCAAGAGGCGTGGAAAGAAGCGCGTGGTTCGGTCTTGTAGTACGCTTTGGCCTTGTGGGATGGCGTAGGAGTCTGGGCATGTTGTAGTATATAGGCATCCTCTTCCTTTCGTGACACCACCATTGTGTGAGCACGTGCAAGCCTCATCTCACTGCAATGCGCTAGCGCGTCACTTGAATCCGGGGAAGCTGGACTTCCAGGATTGTGACAGCTGCTGCGGAACCATTCACGTTGACTTCACGAACTCTCCTGTGCGCGATTTTGTGCAACACCTTCGACACCGCTGCCGACAACATCTGATGCTATCGGGAGACACAACGACTTCACACACAGCGCCATCATGGCCTCCTCCGCCACCGCTGCCACGGATAGCACTCCTCTCCTCTCATCCCCCTCTGCTATGCGACCATCACCATCCAGCCAGAAGCCGCAGCGCAGCGTAACGTTCAACCCACAGGTATCAACAGCGAGTCCTCCAAAACGCCGACCTCAATTTCCGCCTCCTTCGCAAGCACAGTCGTCGGGCAACATCTCCACTACAACACTGCCCCGAGATGGCTCACAACCGATGCTATCAACCCTCAACAGCAAACTCAGAAGACGGAACAGCTCAGGTGCTGCGCTACAGATGCCCATGCAGGTGCCTGCCAGCAAGATTGGACCGCAGCGGACATCAAGGACTGCACAGAAGCTTAAGCTCTTACCCAACCCGGAACAACCGGAAGACGAGGATGAAGAGAGTGGGCGAGACGTCTACAGCCAGTTTACACGCATCAAGGACCCTACTGCGCGAAGAGATGCTGCGCGGTTGGGAAAGGACGACAGAGCGAAGCTGCCCAGAGTGACTGCGTATTGCACTGCGAGCTCGTACCGGATAGATGACCTGATGAGATTTCTGAAGGGAAGGGCGAAGACGAAGAACACAGCACCGAAGGTGTTTGATGAATGCATATACAGTCCGTATTCGTACAAAAAGGAGGTATCAAGTGGGAAGCGCAGAGGAAGTGGAAACCAAGAAGACCAGCCGGTTGAGCGTGTTCAATCGCACCCCATCCGGCGATTCTCGGACAGCGCCATTGAGGTCGATGATAATCAAGAGCAACGAAGACAAGATCTGATAGACTTTCAGACGGAGATACAGACTGAGGCTGGAGATACGAGTTTGGAGACTGGACAGTCCAGCCATCCAACTAACCACGTCGATCCGGAGATGATGCCTACGCTGTCGATGGAAGATCGTGTGGAGCCTGACTTCGACACGACGGTGCACATACCGGAAGTCTTCCTTTTCGAATATGGTGTGGTCGTGATATGGGGGATGACGTTGAAGGAGGAACAGCGGTTCCTGAAGGAAATTGCGAAGTTCGAGCAGGAGAAGCTCGGCAAGGACGACATTCAGACGGAGGAGTTCAACTTCTACTACACAAGGGAGTATCAGGCGCGGATCTACAACGACTTCATTTCGTTGCGGGAGAAGCGCAACTACATGACCAAGCTTGCTATAAGTCATGCGTTGGCGCAGAGCACGAAGGTAAAGACTCACCACTCTGACAATTGTGGAAGCTGAAGCTAATGCGTGTGTCTCTCCTAGACGTCTCTCTACGAAGACCTCCTCGACGCCACCATTAGCACCACCCAATCCATCCCCAGCACCATTGCCCGTACCGGCCGGATCAACCTCACCAGAAGAGAGATCAACATGCAGATCGGCGAGCTCTTCATCCTTCGCATCAACATCCATCTACAGGGTTCTGTGCTGGATGCGCCAGAATTGATGTGGGCTGAGCCGCAACTCGATCCGGTGTACCAGGCTGTGCGGAGTTACCTCGAGATGGACCAGAGAGTCAGTCTGCTGCAGGAGCGGGTGGGTGTGATCGCGGATTTGCTCGCGGTGTTGAAGGATCAGTTGAGTCATACGCATGGTGAGTCTTGCATCTCTCCTCGTCATCTCGGACACTGGCTAACAGGACTCCACAGGCGAATACCTCGAGTGGATCGTCATTGTCCTGATCGCGGCAGAAATTCTGGTCGCTGCGATCAACATTGTGGTCGACCTATACGCTGGTGTAGATTAGTGCCTTTCTGAAACGAGAGACCTTCGGCTGCGTGTTGGTATGTATCTAATCAGCTTGTGTACAAACATCCTCTTGCAGATAGCGGCGGCGTTGGGAGGCTTCCATATGATCCGCTCGTGCCGGGTGCTTTATTAGTGTTCACTTTCGATTCGTAATATCGTGCGCTTGTAGGCGTCACCTCTAGATCACACCAGCATCTGTAGCGACTGCGACAGTACTCATCTCCAAGTTATCAGCTTGTCAAAGAAAAGGCTTGGTTGCACATAGTAATCCTCCACGGCTGGCTGACCATGTGGAGCTTTGGGATTCACTGCAACTCCTTCCCTCACCAACACCTCCTTCTCATCCTACCACGCGGCCAGGCCATATACATCGGTTATATCAATCCTGATCCAAAGTCACAACAATCTCATCTCCTTTCATGCCAACATCGATACCCTGTTCATGTTCATGTCGATGGGTTCACGTTCTTAAACCGTTGCTCACTTTAGAACCGCGTCGCCAGCGTCGCGTGCCCAAGAAAGATATGGACAAAGACTTTGATTTCATGAGCCTCACGCCTGAGCAGATCCGAGATCTCGCAAAACCGACGAAGCAATATGCAGAAGTACGTGAATCTCCGTGATCTGCAATGCCTGTTCCTGATAGAAAGCCATCAAAGCTGCGGAAAGACTTCGACTTTGACCTGGACTGGGACGACGATGGCGAAGCTCTCTACACCCTTCGCCAGTTTGTCGCTCTCCAGGAGAGAGCGGACGTAAAGGATGCGGACGTTCTGGAGGAGTTTCATCATGCGCCTGCGGAGGATGGATTCAAGTTGCCACTGCGAGTCTATCTCCCTGCAAAACCTACTGCCCTGCAATCCGGATGCCCGTTGGTCGTGCTCTTCTATGGCGGCGGATTTGTTCTGGGAAGTCCGGTGATGATGGCGAAGCTTTCACGCTCTCTTGTGAAGCGGTTCAACGCAGTCGTGGTGACGCCCACGTACAGACTAGCCCCAGAGCACCCTTTTCCCACAGGCATCGCAGATGGACGCGACGCTGTGGAATGGGTGGCAGAGCACGCAGCTACAACACTTCATGCTGACCCCACCCAAGGCTTCGTAGTAGGTGGCATCTCCGCAGGCGGCAATATCACGAACGTGGTTACCCATCTGGCACGAGACAGCGGACTACAACCTCCAATCACTGGCAACTGGCTGAGTGCACCAGCTGTTCGTCTGGCGCCGAAGCTTGCGGACATGCTGCCTCAGAAGTATCATGAACGACTTCTCAGCCAAGGACAGGAGAAAGAGATCAACTCGCCAACGCTTCCACCAGGCATGCGCGCTTTGATCGAACGATCATACAAACGCGACCCAAACTCCAAGCTCTCCTCGCCTATGATCTGGCCTTCAGGGGCTGATATGGGAGAGTTCGGTCACAAAGGGATGCCACGGACCTACTCGCAAGTCTGCGGTGCGGACACAGGACGAGATGAGCTGCTGGTTTACAACGAAATGCTGAAAGCTGAAGGCATACCGACACGACTCGACGTCTATCCTGGTCTGCCTCATGCCTTCTGGCACAACTTCAAGCAGCTGCCGGAGACGAAGAAGTGGGAGCAGGATACGCTTGATGGGTTCGCATGGCTGTTGGAGAGATGAGGCATTCAATGCTACGCTGCCGCGGGCCGACAGCTGTGTTATCTTGATAACCGTGCTTCGTGCTTGAGATGCATTATTATCTCCAATCCTTCAATCCCACCATCTGCCTTTCCTCGGCCCTGAAGCGACGTCTTGTCACAGCAGTGAAGAAGGCGACATCAACGGATACTCGGAGACAGCCAAGTCAGAATCACAGATACGAAGTGCGGTTCTATTGGAAGCTTTTCCAAGGTGAGAGTCGTGCACCTTGCTCCAGACAAGCACGACAAGTAACAAGCTGTTCACCTGCCCCACTGCAGGTGTGAAGATCATTGCTCGCTACGGTATATTTCCTATCACATACCGCCTATCAACCTTCCTTAAACGGAACTTCCAGTGCAGATAGGCCGCCGAAGGTAAGTGTACTTCTAGTTGTTGTACTTCTCATCGCGGTCCACCATGCGATCAATTAATCGATTCTCCGTTCTTGCTCGAAATCACCTTGTTCAAGTCGATCGATCACACCACCATGGAAGAGAAAGACGTAACCCACGATATCCCAAGGACTGATTCTCACGGCCACTGCGAGATCGACGAGCTGAAGTCCGTGTCTTCGAAAGACCTTGACGACACCTACGAGATCTACAAACGACAGGATGCCCGTGACATCGATCCACAGGAAGCCAAACGAGTGCTCAGGAAGACCGACATCCATATCATGCCGCTGTTGATGGGCACGTACATGCTGCAGTTCCTTGACAAGTCGAGCATCAACTTTGCTGCTGTTTTTGGCTTGGAGGAAGGAACGAACTTGCATGGTCAAGACTTTTCATGGTATGATCGAAACTTCTCGCTGTTCGATGTTCGCTGACACGGTCTCGTAGGCTTGGATCGATCTTCTACTTTGGTTAGCTCGGTGACCGACTTCGACTTTGCGCTCAATGTTGATCTTTTGAAAGGGTACTTGATCGCTCAATATCCGGCGGGCTACCTGCTCCAACGACTACCGACTGGACGTTTGGTAGGCGTGACGATCTTGATTTGGGGAACCCTCATCATCACTACCCCGGCATGCAACTCCTTCGCTGGGATAGCGACAAACAGGTTTCTACTTGGCGTGTTCGAAGCTGTTGTCAATCCTGCCTTCGTTCTGGTGAGTGCGGAAGTCTAGTCGGCACCTCGGACCTCGTTGACATTGCTTGACAGATGATGTCGATGTGGTATCGCTCGGATGAGCAGCCCTTGCGGCTCGTGACATATTACTGTTCGTTCCAGAACCATGCGGCGGTTCTGATCTTCATGACAGATACTGACAGCTGCCACAACCAGGTATGAATGGCTTCGCAGGCATCTTTGGTGGTCTCCTCGGCTTTGCCCTTGGCCACATCAGCACAGGCTTACAGAACTGGCAATACATCTTCCTCGTGTTCGGATCGATCAGCATCGCATGGGCCGTTATCTTCCTGATATTCATGCCGAACCTACCGTCCACCGCTCGTTTCTTCAGCGCCGAGCAGAAGGTTGTCGCAGTGGAACGCATTGCCACCAACCGACAAGGTGTCAAGAACCATACTTTCAAGTGGTATCAAGCCCGGCAGGCAGCTCTCGATCCGAAGACTTGGATATTGTTCGTGATGGCGGTCGCTGCACAGATCCCGAATGCCGCACAAAGTCAGTTTACGTCGATCATATTGGCGACTTTCGGCTTCACTCCGCTGGAAACTCAGTACTATGGTACGGTCAGCCAACATCCATGTTCCTCGGTCGTTACTGATCTGTCCATAGGCATGCCTGGTAACGCCATCCAGATCGTCAGCTTGTTGCTCTCTGGCTACATCAGCTCGCACTGGCCGAACATGAGGTGCATCACGATGATTTTGGGAAACCTGATCTGTGTAGCTGCCGGTGCGGCTCTTGTAGGGCTTCCCAATGACCGTGTCTGGGGCCGCCTTGTCGCACTGTGGCTCGGTAGCTGTCAGAGTGTCGGATTTGCGATGTCTTTGACTATGGTCAGTAGTAACATTGCTGGCTGTACGAAGAAGCAGGTGGGTACCCGGGCACTCTAGCAAGTCTCACCTTGTTGACGAAATACTGACCTTTGCAACAATCTCCAGGTCACTGGAGCCGCTCTTTTCGTTGGATGTAAGTCATCCGTCTCTTCTCTCATTAAACATTTACTGATCGATATCCAGACTGTGTTGGAAAGTAAGATGCAGTGTTCTGCTGGGATTTCTCCGGACAGATACTGATCAGCTCATCCAGCATTATCGGGCCACAGACGTTCATCGACAACGAAGCGCCTTCATACCCCTCTGCCTACATTGCGTAAGTTTCCAACTACCTCAGCGTAACTACCTTGCTGACGCAAGCTTCCACAGCATCTTGATCGGCTACTCGGTCAAGACCGTTATGGTCATCATCCTCCTCTTGTACATGTGGATGGCCAACAAGAAGAGAGACCGCCAGGCCGCAGCTGCTGGTACTCTTGAGGCCGAGTTGGAGGAGAAGCAAGCCATCGAGTCTGGCATGCAGGATGTCACCGAGTTGGACAATCGTGGGTTCCGGTACAGTCTGTAGAAGAAGACTTCTTTGCGACTTCAGGGAAAGGACCGTTCGATTGATAGTTTGCCAGGCACAAGGCTTCTTTGGGAAACAATCCAAATGGATGAATGTGCTCTGCTGAGTTGAACTCGATTTTGGAGCGTCTGCTTTGCTATGCATGTGTCTTTGATCAGGGCACTTGCGCTCACAACACTTCTGATCTGCCCGAGTTCGAATCGACAGCGCTTCGCAGTGATGTCGAATTGCCCTTCAAACACATGCAACCGTCCCAGATAGGAAGTTACCGAATGCGACGATCCGGAATGCCCTCCCCTCGAACGTCATTGTCCTGCAGGAACGATCATCCCCACACTTAGCACCAGCCGACAACGTGGAGGAAGAGGGGGATGTTGCACATCACCGGGAGTCCACATCGAATACAATTATGTAGAGGATTCTTCTCAGGCCTCGCTCGGCTCGCAGCCACTTCATTCCCTCGTACAGGTAGGCAGTCCACAATCATGAAGTTACTATACTCTCTTCTGGTAGCTACAACATGCGTTCTCGCACAAACGCCAGGCCAGGCGTCTGGAGCAGGAAAGACTGGTCCCGGCGGTCTGACTATCAATCCTGGAGGGGAGTACAAGCGGTCGATGGTTGGAACAGACTTCTCAACGAACAACACTTACCGGAATCCGATCATGACAATTAACGCTGGCGATCCGTAAGTTCCTGTCGTCGTATCGAAGAGTTGTAGTTGAACAAGCAGCAGGTTCATGACCCGATACAACGATTGGTATCTCTTCACCTTTTCTACTAACGACAACATCACCATCAAACGCTCACGCAGCCTCACCGCGGATTGGGACTATGCCGAGACGAAGGTCGTCTTCACCCCCGATGCCGCTGAAGCCTGCCCTTGGTGTACTGACCTTTGGGCTCCCGAAATCCACAACATCAACAACAAATGGTACATCATCTTCAGCGCGACGCCAGACGCTGACAATCCGCTGCCTCTGCTGGACGCCATGTGCCCGTACGCATGTCCAGCGATTAACCATCGCATGTTCGTGCTTGAAAGCTCTGGATCGGATCCATGGACCAGCAACTACTCCATGAAGGGCGAGTTGGACACTTTCGATCAGTTCGCGATCGACGGGACCTACTTCAAGTTTAAGGGCGAGCTGTACCACATCTACAGGTCCGTCAACTGGTGATGCCGCTACTGTAACGCCGGTACTGACCTTATGAACAGCTGCTGGGAGAACAAGTACAGCGGCTGGCCAGCCAACCTCTGCATCACGCACCTCTCGAACCCGTGGACAGTCGACTCTACCCTCCTCGAACGACGCATGATCTCCGTCCCAAACAACCCATGGGAACAAGTGCCCTACGGTCGACCGGGACGTTTAGCAACCAACGAAGGACCTCAGCAATTGACAAACCCAAAGACAGGACAGAACTTCGTCCTCTACTCCGCGGCCAGAGTCAACACGCCCTTCTACTGCGTCGGAATGCTGGAGCTCGTCGGAGAAGATCCGGACCCGATGCAATATTCGTCTTGGAAGAAGCATAATGAGAATTGCGTCTTCCATCAGAATCCGTCGCAGGGTGTTTATGGGACGGGACATGCTTCGTATACGACGTCACCGGATGTAAGGCTTTTCGAGACGGACTGCTTCACGCTTGCTGATCGATGTCTCCAGGGTACGGAGCCGTACATTGTGTATCATGCTTTGACGACCGACAATCCCGAACGTAAGTGACCGTCGCGACCTCGCGGGTTTGGTGACCAGGAGAATGCTGATGTTGTCTTGTAGCTGCGCTGTACCGTACGACCCGAACGCAGAAGTTCAAGTTCGGCGAGGACGGTTTTCCAGTCTTCCCGGCTGCGGCAAATGGTCCGTTCCCGCTGCCTTCGTAGCTATACATACTCGCCACCCAGAAGGCTACGAATCACGCCACGGCCACAATTACCGTACAGGAGCCAATGTCCATTTGTTGTGTCGCGTTGAGCGTGAGTGGATGACTGTTCTTCTGTTTGTCATTTCTTCGAGTATAATCTTGGAAGCAGTACCTAAACAGCAGGCTACTCTCCAGTGACACCATCGCCAACGCTAAAAGTTTCCTTCTTCTCGATCCTCGTCTTCTCCTTCTCCTTGGCACTAGACTTGAGCTCGTCAAAGTAATGCCGATACTTCTTCAGCTCTCTTGCCTGCTTTGCCGACTTCTCCTTCCACTCCTGCTCCGACATACTCCGCTGCTCGACTTGCAGCTCAAGCTGGCGCAATCTCTCCTGTACACCTGGATCGATCTTGTCTCCACCTTCACGGGTGGGGCTTTTGTCTGATGTCGACGCATGGGCTGTAGCAGGACCCGGTTTGACAATCATCATGCTCTGCTCCAAAGCAGCCATGGAGGCATCTTGAGCATGCGCTTCAAAGTTCGCCAGACGGGCGGCCAGTTGCTCGAGCGTATTCTTAAGCGTCGAGTTCTCCAGCTCCAGCTCCTCTTGCGTCCTTGGCATGCCGAACGATCCTCGCTTGGAGCGAGACTTGCGAACGTACTGAGATGCGGCTGCGCTGCGTACTTCTTTGGCGTCCACGAACTCCGGCTCTGAGTCTTCTCCTGCGGCCTGCTGCTGCTGCGCTTTGGCGATGTCGGCATACGAGTAGGTCCCACCGCCTTTCTGGACGACGTAGAAGCTTTCCGCTGGGCCAAAGCCACGTCCAAGCGTACCGCGCTGGCGATGCTCGTCCTCGATAGCCTCCAGTGCCGCCTTTGAGAAGATCTTCTTCACATCAGGATCATTGCTGGCGCTCACGGTTCGCTTACCAGCCTTTTGAGTGCTCGGCTGATCATACTTGACAGCGTCTTCCGCAGTCAAAGGCAGACCAGCATAGGCCAGGACAGACGAAAGCTTAGACATAGTACCGGTGGTCAGGTTGCTGTAGAACTTCGCAAAGCCATCGTCGTCGTCCGGCCTTTTCGTCACTCTCGAGCGCGCAAGATCCGCCTGACTGTCAACGATCGATGGAGGCACCTTTGGTACTGCTTTGCGCCTGGATTCGGGAGACAGTTGCCGTGCTCTGGCTTGCGCTGCAGCTGATGGTTGTCGTGTGGCCTGCGGTATACCTCGTCGACTTGCGATATCGCGAGCCAAAGAAGGCGATGCGTCCCGTGACTGCTTGTTTATGCGCGCAGAAGCTAGCGCCGATGTCGTCGACTCTGGCTTCGCAGACCTTGAGGGCTTCGAAGATGGTGTCGTGCTCCGTTCAGCTTTCACTGGTCTTGATCCCTCTGTCGCCTCGGCCGCTTCCTTGCTTGGGCCTTGGTGAGATGCATCTTCGAGTTTGACCAATTGCGTGAGCTTTTGATGTTGCGCCTCCAACAGTTTGAGCACTCGTAGCGCCTACGCATCCGTTAGCCATACGACCTCATATGTGGGGCACCTCCGAACATACTTCACTGTCGCTGGTACCTTTGGCCGCCCGGGCGAAGTCTGCTGATGCCCTCTGGTGATGTTCGGATGCCTGCATGAAATTGACTTGGTCGAACTCCTTCGCCGCTGCGCGAGCGTTGCCGTGGGCGCTCGTCAAGCACGACGTCTCCGCCATGACGGAAACCACGCTCCGACGGTATCTGACCTGTTTGTAGACGTTGTAGGGTCTCTTTTACGAATTCATGGTCACGTGCATGTCGACGACACTTTTTCAGCCTTCGGCGAAAAACCGTATATTTATTCGAAGGCGTGACGTTGACTGGTCATGTGTGGTGCCCCGCGTCTCGGGTGGTTGTGAAGGCTTTATCCGGCGCTAGCGGAGCACTAGCGTCTCGACTCGGCAAGCAATAAGCCGCGCTCACCAACTTGTTCCAGGTTTCCTCCTCGAAATCTTACCGACGATGTTGCGCGTAACGGAGACAAGGGCACGCCAGTGAATACGGAGAAATCGACCTGATTGCGCAGCGATCGCGACATTGCACCTAAGACACGGCCTCCCACCAGGCCGCGAGGCGAACCTAGAATTATCCGGAAGCGCCCACCTTGGACGAGCACCTACCCATTGACATACCGAGAGCGCCTCTCCGTACTGGACAAAGGGCGCGTGGTGCGACCAATGCACCGACCGCGACTGGACGACCATGTCAGCTCCCGACGTTAACACTCCGCCGTCGCGTGGGCTATCAAGGCTGCTCCGCAATCAAGGCGACAGCAAGAACAACTCAACCAACTCGCTCGTCGATAGCTCCAACAGCGATGATCAGAATCCCGAGTCTGCAGTCGGGCTGCGGCCAGGCTCTTCTCGAGGCGTGGGCGAAAGACTGGCAGATCGTATCAGACGAAAATCCGTGGACGACAGGCGGGACAGCGCCGAATCCGCAAAGCGACTCTCCTCCTTCATTCCAAGCCGTCGCAACAAACTGAAGCGGAACAAGTCGAGCGAGCGACAGGCTGAATCACGCGAACCAAGTCCAGTCAACGAGTCTCTCACGCTGGCTGGCAACCAGTCTGACTCTTCTTTGGCGCAAGAGGGCAGCGGACGGAGTAGCCTACTTACGGACGACAATTCTGATCAAGAAGGGTGAGTGGTGCTTTCGTTCATTTATCTACTTCTATTCTGTTCCTTCAACACCACCACCTGGAACGTCGGAACTGTGGGCGGCTCGAGCGTGACTTTCGAGAGAGGTGGCTCTCGGAACGAGCCGAGGGCCAGAAGCGACGATCCTGCCGCGAAACACCAGACTTGGCCTGGCATGTCCTTGCTGTTGATGTCAGCTGCAAGACAGGCATCTGTCATTTTACCAGGCACGCGTATCGTTACACCAGCTTTCTAGGTGCTGCAGCGCAATGTCGCGCTAACGTCTGTGTCCTTCTGCGACAATGTGCTGGTATTGGTACACTCATTCAATCTTCTAACCGCTCTTCAACAGAAGGCCAGTCCGCCCTACGCTCTCAGCACACCCATCTCACATCGGCTATCTCACACTCTCGTCGCCAGAGATCAATGCGCAAGCAGTTCCTACACCTCTCGGAGACAACGGAGCAACCGCTCCCGGAGTGGCCCAGTCAACTTCGACTTCTAGCATTCCGCAAATAATCGAGCCGCTTGATGCAGGCAGTACATCTACCTTCCGCGATTCCAACAGCAGCGAAACTGCCCGTGCGAATGAGCAGCCTTCACCGGCAGCAAAAGTAGCCCAGGAAGCAGCGTATACAAGCCACGCGCCGGCAGCGAAAGTTGAGGCTATACAGCAGCAGAGCGACGAGCGTCCAGTAACGCCAAAGTCGCTAGGAAGACCTCGAGTCAACACTGCCTCCCTTCCTGCAACACCACCAAATCTCAGCGAGACACCGACTACATTTGTGACTCCGCCCACCCCCACCGATCCGAATGCTGAATTCCCTCGACGGCCTCCGAGAAAAGCTACGACCACAAGACAACGTAGCGATAGCTCCTCGTCGTATGAGAGTATAAAGCACAGACGGAACCAGTCCGCCAACTTACCCAGCAAGTTGTCGCAATCAGTCGCGGTTCCTCTCACGCCCCACGTTGAAGAGACCAAAACACCTGGTGGTACACTAGTGCAGCCTCCGCCGGGCACAGGGTTCTTCTCAAGTTTCTTTTCCGCCGCTCAGAAGACAGCAAACCAATTGGGCAGTAGCATTGCCATTGGAGGTAATCAGAAGAGCAGGGTTTCGAGCCAGACGTCTGCCGACGGGCAAGGCGGTGAGGAGGTCATTCCAGGGTTAGAAAGCAGTCCGAACATCATCGAAGGAGACAAAGATAGACAGTTGGCTGTGGACACCTTGGGGAAAGGAAATCTTAATCTTGGGCATTTGGGTATTTCAGAGGAGCCTGCGGCGATCACGTCGAACGCTCTCGAAATGCAGAATGGCGCTCCAGCGGGAGGCGAAGCCAGCAACAAGGCGGAAGAGGAAGCTGCGGCGCGAGCGGTGTCTGACGCCTACGAAAAGCCTGTTGCCGCTGCCGTGAGTGAGGCTACGGGAGGACACAGGCCAATGTCGATTGCATCCAATGATAGGCTGACATTGACGGGTGATCAGACGCCTCCACGGCATGGAGCTGATTTTGAAAGTATCAAGCGATCTGGGAGTGTACGGAGCAAGTTGAGTGGGCGGCGCCGCAAGCATCGGGGCAGCTCTGCAACAGCTGGCACGGGCAACACAATAGCAGCAGGACTCACGGCGACTGCATCTGGCTTCCAGAACCTCGCTGCTAGTGGCGCGGGACATCGGTTGACTGGATTTGCTGTGGCGAGCAGCAAGCGCAACAAAGACTTTCACTCGCTATTCCGAAGCGTGCCAGAGGATGACTATCTCATCGAAGACTACAGCGCTGCATTACAACGAGATATCCTGCTCCACGGCCGTCTGTACGTTTCGGAAGGCCACATTTGCTTCTCCAGCAACATTCTGGGCTGGGTAACGAACCTTGTCATCAGCTTTGATGAGGTTGTGTCCGTGGAAAAGAAGACCACCGCCGTGATCTTTCCGAATGCCATTGTGATCTCGACCCTCCAAGCCCGAAACACCTTCGCCAGCTTTGTGGCTCGTGACTCCACTTACGAGCTCATCATTGGCATCTGGAAGATCAGCCATCCCAATCTGAAAAGCTCGCTTAATGGGGTCTCTCTGGACAATGCTGGCACTGGCGATAAGACGGAAGTCGCAGAGCCAGAGGGTTCCGAGGATGGCAGCGATACCGGATCCGAAGATGAGGTGTACGACGAAGACGCAGACGACGACGGCGGTAGCTTTAACGACGCATCGCTGGCGCCTAGCATAGCCGGCAGCGATCTTGGGGACCCAACGTTGAGTCGGAAAGCGTCTGGACTGCCACTGGCACCGGGTGCTGCACAGGCGAATGGCGTGGGAGCAAAGACGAACGGAATCTCAGCAAAGGGCTTCGAGGGGACCGAGACTGCTGCTGCCGGTGCAACTGCCACTGCCGACTTCCCTGGCCCGCCTAGCCATGAAGCGACACAGTGCAGTGAAAGTGGCGAGCACTACACCAATCTTCTCATTGACACTGTCATACCAGCCCCTCTTGGCAAGGTCTACTCGATGACTTTTGGGCCGGCATCAGGAGCGTTCATGACCAAGTGGCTTGTCGAAGACCAGAAGTCGCGCGAGCTGAACTTCACAGACGACAAGATCGGACTTGACAATGATCACAAGACAATGACGTTCGACTATATCAAACCACTAAGTGGTTCGATCGGACCGAGACAGACGAAGTGTATTACGACCAATACGCTAGTGGCATTTGATCTTGACAGGGCTGTGTCGATCGATTGCAGCACGCAGACTCCGGATGTCCCAAGCGGCAATGTGTTCATGACGAAGACGCGGTACTGTCTCATGTGGGCTCCTGGAAACTCGACTAGATTCCTGTCTACTTCCGCAGTGGAGTGGAGCGGCAAGAGTTGGCTGAAAGGCAAGTCATTACTCTGTGACCGCAAAGCATCTGCTAACAATTTGTAGGTCCCATCGAGAAAGGAACGCAAGATGGCCAGACCGAATATGCCAAAGCTCTCACCGCTGCCGTCAAAGCTGCCGTCACCACAAGACCGCCGGTCAAGGGCCCTCTACGAAAGGGCAAGCGGAAGGGTAAGAAGGAGATGCTGGACACCGATGCAAGTCCAGAAGAACGAAAAACAAGCGTCACTGCAGAGCGAAAGGAGACAACATGGGGGCCACTGGAACCTCTGCATGCCATTTTGAGACCAGTGATATCATTACTCGACCCCTTCATGAACTCACAAGTGCTCATAGCCGTCTTAACGGTACTGCTGCTGTACACCTGGATCAGCCCTCCTGCCCGAAGAGGCGGCACGGGCGTCGGCCTCCCCGGATACTCTACTCCCGAGCGCCTATTAGCTTATGAAGAGATCTGGCGCCACGAGGAGAGCAACCTCTGGGACTGGCTGGAAGACCGCGTCGGACTGGACAACATCTATGTCCCGAGCGGTGGCGAGGAGCAGAAGGATCGGCAGAAGGTGTTGGCGGCGCGGAATATGGCGAAGAAGTTGGGGGATGAGCGGATGAGCGAACGACAGATGGATGATGCGATTCGGGTTACGCAGGAGAGGTTGGAGAGTTTGAAGGACGCGGTGGCGAGGAAGAAAGGCGGGAAGAAGGAGCTGTGATTTTGCTTTGTTTCTGTTGGCATAGCGGTAGAGCGAGCGTGTGCTGCTGATCGATGTTGAAGACCTGATGCGACCTACCCAACCTTGCCACATTTCCGACTGCTACAGCCGTTCTTGCCAATGAAGTTGTAGAGAGCATTGCTTTGAATCTTAGAACGGTCTTGTTGGCTCTTCGTCGGCGTGCAATAGTCGCTTCGAGGCTTGCATGTGATTGCTCACTTCAAGCTGATATTCACGTGAACGGTGTTTCATATGCAAAGCTTATCTATTTGAGTACCTTACCCGCGACGTCACTTCACGATCTTGACTCTCACTTGCATGCTGACCATGAAAACCTCTTCACATCACTCACCGTGAAGTCGCTCTACACTCGCCAACCTTACGCACCGCCCACTCATCACTATGGCCGAGCCAACCCGCCTGACCATCAAGCGCCGAGCAACAGACGATGCGCCGGACTTTCTCCTACTCCAAGGCGCCGGAGCAGCACAAAACGCGACACCGGTCCGCTACGTCAAGAGGGCGAAGAATACAGCTACCGTAGACGGGCAGCAAGAAGCGCAGTTCCAGCAACCCACACCACTACCAACACAATCAGAGCACGAGCGGCGCAAAGCGAAAGCACGAACGTTCTACTTGTCGAAGTCGCCCGCCAGCGAGTCTAAGAAGCGCAAAGGCAGAGATGAGGGTGTTCCTACGTTCGTGGAGAGGAAGAGGAGCAAGCAGCATGCCGCGGAAGATGTACATAACGAGGACGAAGTGAAAGTCGAGGAGCCAGCCAGCTCGCCTGAGCCGGTCGCTGCACTGCCGGTGTTCAAGCGGCCAGGGAAGGGTTCTGCGATCAGATATGCTGAGGCCAAGGCAAATGCGCCGGTCACGAAGCCGGAGACGGAAGCGGAGCAGAGAGAGCGTCAGGCACTGGCGGACTACATCTACCAAGTGCAGCTGCAAGACGAGGAGTTTGAGCGCCAGCGTCAGCCGAAGGTGCAAGATGCTGTCGCGCCGCAGAAGCCCATCATCGCTCAATCGAAGTCGACTATCGCCCCAAAGCTATCAGGCGCTGGAGCGCGAGCCATGCACCAGCGCCGCGTCGCTACGAACGGAGCCCTCGACCGCAAGGAGAGAAGCACCAGCCCGGAAAGCGAGGACGGCTACATCTACGAGACCTACATCCTCGCGCCCACCACCGACACCTCCACCCCAGACATCGACATGACTGACGTCTCCTCCTCGGAGAACATCGGCTATCTAGTAGTCGAAGACTCAGACCAACCCCTCTGGCAAACCTACCTCCAAGACGAACCCAGCAGCGAAGAAGACGACAGCGACGACGAAGACGAAAACGCGGAAGACTACTATGGCGCCGACTACCCCGAAGACGAAGTGGAGTCGGACGACGAGTTCGAGCGGAATCCGTACCGGTATCGGAAGCGCGGTGGGGCGGATGACGAGGAGTGGGATGAGGATACGGGGGAGTATAGTGAGGATGAGGATGTGTATGAGAGGATGATGAATCCGTTTGGGGGGAATAAGGTGCCGAAGGGGTTGGCGAGGTACATGAGGGGCGAGAGTGGAAGTGGGGATGAGGACGATAGTGATTGAGATACCCATGGACTTCTGGGATACCCGTACAGGTCTATGCCAGATTGGTGTGCGCCTTCACCATGAGTAAGCTGGCGGTCTGAGCAAAAGGCTGAAGAGATAGTACAGCTGCTCCGTGAAATGAGACAACCGAATTCACACTCGAATCATTTCATGTTCTCTTACCAAACGAGTGGCTTGTCTATGCTGACGCAAAAGATGTCATCAGTATTCCAATTCCCAAGGACGCCGGACTGCCTTCCGCTAAGTGTGTTCCCATTGCATTCGTTGCCAGATCAAAAAGCTTGCCTTCCAGATTCCCTCCGTTACCCTGTCCTCGTAAAGCCAACACGTCCACTCCATGGCGATATCAACACGCTCGTAGTCGTGGATCGCGATCCTGAAAGATCTATAAATGCCCGCCGACGCCGCCGTATCTCCAACATGTCGAAGGCCTAAAAGCGCTCGACTTTACCACACCCTGCAGCATTTCTGCGTGGCTGTCAGTGGAGTTCCCGAGAGCTGGTTGCGATGACGTGACTCACATCATGACATTGACCATCCATCCGTCTAACTCCTGCGAAGATATCCAATGCTGAGTAAGAAGTCCTGCGAGAAGTTGAAGGCTTTCTCATCTACAATCCGCCGCTCCATGGCCCAGTAGTTGGCATCGCTTTTGAGCACATCCTCCAAACCCCAATTGCGTCGGATGCGGTAGTATAGCGAGCATAGCCCGCCCTTGGATCGTTGCTTGAAGATGGTCGCGAAGTCTTCTTCGATGTCGGGCCAAGACTTGTCTTGCACCAGACGTGCATACATTACAAAGAAGCGCTGCTCCTCGCTGTACGTTGGCCGGGGTGAGCGAGGCTGTCGTCGGAAACCACTCAGGTACGCTTCTTCGTTCGCCATTGATCGGGAGGAATCGTCGGATGACGAGCGTCTTTCGTCGCGGCGACGACGTTCATCTGCCCTCCCACCATGACGGCGCCTGTCGTCTGCGGCGTATGCATCGTACCCCGTGCCGCTGACCAAGAAGGGAGCGTGCACCAGTCGAGATCTTGCCGTTTCTTCACTATCTTGGAATCTGTCGACTTTCCCCGGATTCGCCTCCGATCTGATCGGCGGAGGGACTGCCACAGCCGAAACGGCAGGAGCGGCCTCCGACAGCTCAGAAGGCGCGAGAAAAGCAATCGACATGCGATCCGCCATGGTGCGTGTCTTGGGCCGCGTGGTGAGCGTTTGGGTGAGAGGTATGCAGTTCATGCTGGAAAGGACGACGCCACCAAGAGACATGCGAGCTAAGTGCAGAGACTAAACGGCAGAGATCGGTCTACGCTGGAAGGGGCATGGGTTGTGGACATGGTGGGAGAGCGGAGGTAGGTCCTCGCTGGTATATAACGTCAAGCATTCGTCAACAGGTCCGTAGACGAGAAGGGCGGCCGGAGTCATCTCCGCGCCTAAGAGCAGGGAGGTTCATGCGATCGCTCATATTCGTGCTCGCAGTGGGCCAGCAGCAGCGCGGGCGGCTCGTCCCAGGCGCGATAAGCTGCAGCGGTCTCGATAGAAAAGGCCGGCAGATCGTCGGACAGGCTGGACAGGGCAGTCGAAGCGTCAGCATCGTGAGTCGTGTCGTCTTGTATCGGCATCTGCAAGCCTGGTTTTGGCACCAGCAAGGATCTGGCATGAAGAGCAGAAGAACGATCGATTAGCTCCGGCGCGGTCCGAGATCCTGCTGGGTGTGACGATTCCAACCTCACCTCCTCTTCCTCCTCCCAACTGCCGTCCAAGAGGACGGGCGTTTCTGCTATTTCTATGGCAAAGAACAACGATTTCTCTGGAAACAGCGCTGAGGTCTCTGACATAGGACAGGGGTCCTGAACGGGTGGCGGCAGGCTTGGCGCATGAACCTGCTGTTCTCGCGTTCCACAGCAGACCAGGTGCCATAGGGTTGTGCCGGAGGGCGCCTCCCAAACCTTGAGGCAGCAAGACCAAACAGACCAGCATCCGGAAGCGTCTGGACCCAGCTACGCCTCGCAACACCAACTTGTTCCAGGGGTCAATCTTTGTGACAGATCAACGTGGTGCAGCAGAGACCAGCGTGGGAGCTTCGAGGCGGTCGAGCTTCGCTGATACAAGATGGTTTGGTAAGCTTTCGCTAGAGCTCAGCATCAATGGCAAGATCCACGATCATACCCCCCACGTCAGAGTCTTGCCTTGGTTTGAACCAGACGCAGCGGTGGTACCGAATATCCCACGCGAGGTGATACTCCTCTGGAATGCCTGCCAGGTGGTTGCTCCTCCCACTACACGGCAACCTACGACATTTCTGTCCACAAACTTGATGGTGCCAAAGGGAGTCTGCGGCTTCCCGCCGATAATACGACAGCTGTCACATGAGGCCCGAAGCACAGATGAGCCTGAACAAGACATTCGCTGTCCCCTTGTGCGACCATACGTCCAGCTAGAGTTCGGAGCCTCACTGCCGGTTGCCGCAGAACCCTCATCAAGCGACCCTGGAATCCCAGAATGTGGACGCTACGCCGCCGCTGTCATGCGGTGCCGGACGACACTCCGCCGCCCGGGCTTCGCCGTCGCATAGCTATGCTCTTTCGTTACACGGACATGATATCATTGTGCTCTCGAGAGGCTAGATGCGAGGCCCAAATCCTTGGCTTGGGAGATGAACATCAAATTATCTTTGTGCGGGCACGGCAGGTGGAACAGACGAGGTACTAATTGGTACACTTTCATGAGAGCCGCGACATCAGCTTCCATCATCCTGCAATAGAGGTGAGAAAGCAGGCGTTGCGGCGTGACCATGAGCAGGTAAGCATACCAGAATGACGGTACTGGGGACCTCTGATCCCCTGTATCCCCGGACACTTCACAGTCTGGACTGTTCATCATCCCATGTCAACCACAGATGTGGTGGCTATCGAGATACTCTCGGAATACACCGTTTTGGAAGGCAAAACCTAACGACGATTCGGTAATTCCAAGGTATTTTGTGCGACACAGAATTTCTGCCCGTCTCTTGTTCTTGCCGTTCCTTCCGATAGAAACAGGCTCATTTTCGCGATCGACCGACATGGGTGGACGAGGGGTGCACTGGGCCTCTCATTGATTGTTCGGATTGAGATTCACAAGGTAGCGTCTCACGTTTCCAAAACAGTTTCTCACTCAATCGTTCTATTCCGTATCATACATACGAGACCTTGACTCCCATTCCCACCGTCCGCTTCACTTTCGTCCATCCACCCTCTATTCCTCGTCTCAGCTTCATTCTTAGATCTCTCCGCGTGATCACGACTAGGAAGGCGATTATGAACATCAAGAAGCGCAGTAGTGCCATTGAGTTCTGTCCGTTGGCCATGTTGCGCACGAGATGCTGCAGATTGCCTAGTGCGGAGGATGCACGGCGGTAGAGCGTCGGTGGTGGGGAAGGCCTAGGTGCTGGCTTCTTCTGAGGTGGTCTCGAGGATGACTGGTGGGATGATGCAGTAGGTCGCGGAGTCGGTGTTGGTTTTGACGACGACGCATTGCCGTTCGCAGTTGCCTTTGCAGTGGGTGTAGGTTTCGGCTTCGATGCAGCCTCCGCAGCAGCTCTCTTCTCCTCTTCTGCTTGCCGGGCAGCTTCAGCCTGGCGAGCTTCTTCCTGCCGTTTCTCCTCCTCGATCTCACGGTCTCGTTGTTCCTTGAGGTCTCGCTCGCGCTGTGCAGTACCGTCCTTCTCCTCTTTCAGTGTTTGAAGCGCCGCTTGGAAAGCTTCCTTGCGCTCCTCGTCAAGCGTGTCGTTCAACTCGATGAATTGTTGGGCGTAGTCCCACTCGCCGTTGGCAGGCAAGACGTGGAGACTGTAGAGTTCCAGGATCTTCATGCGACTCGCCAACTGTTTCGGCGTGGACGAACTGGCAGACATTGGCGTGCTCACACCATCCTGACCAAAGCTCAGATGTCCGTTCGTGCCTCCGTTGTCCGAGGTAGCCAGATAAGACTCCAGCCGTTGTTGGTTCAGTCGCTGATCTTGCATATGGCCCAACAGAAGTGTCGCAAGGTTCACCACAACATCCGCATCCACCTCTCCCTCGTTTCCGCCATACCCGCGCTGCACCACTTCGTCCCATACCGTCCCATCCCGAACCTTCGCGGCCAGTTGCCTCCAGGTCGCAGATCCGAAGACCAGCTTGCCCTCTTCCTGACCCATCTCCACAATCGCATGTAGTAGGCTGAGGTAAAACACCCACACCTTCGTCCTCGTACCTCTCGAGCTCTGCGCAATCATTGCCGGCCCGGATTCAGCTCCGTTCGCCGCTCCATTGCTGTCGCCATTCCAGCCGTCCGCGCCATTGGCTTCTTGCGGTAATATGATCGCATCGAGCGTCTCCAAAGCCCCCTTGAACTGCTTCGTCAAGTACTGCTGCGTAGCCTGCTTGTATGTCCGCACGATAAGGGTGTTGTTGGAGCGGGAGCTGGAGAGGCTGGAAAGGCTGGATGAGAGGTATTGTGCGTTGAGATTGTCTTGGTATGTCATTGTTTCTGTTGATGAGGCCATGGTGATCGATCTCCTACAAGTCGACGGCGATGGCTGGTATCAAGAGGATCATTGAGCGAGGCCGGCCGAGGTTGGTCCGGAAGGAGCCGAAACGCGCTAGTTCTAACGTGACGCGCGCGATATCTGGCTTCACTTCACTTCGACCTCTTCCGCTTGCACTCACAACCGAATGTTGCAGCCAGCCATTGAGTCCGCCATCATCGCATATGCTATCGTCGAGATTGGCTGATCGCTGACTGCATCTTCACAACAGCTTCACTCAGCGCCCTGCGTTCACCAACGCTCGAGCAAACAACGCGTGTCTCACTCATAGCGCACCTCATCACAGCCTTCACATCTGGCTTCATATGAGCATTAGCACGCTCCCGGCAAGTACGAATCACGAGACTGCTTCAGCAGCCCTTCACAGTTGAGTTCATCTGGTGACTCACGTCATCGCTCTTCTACTTAAACCTCGCCACCTCTCTCCTATCCTCTTCCAACCTTTGCACCCGACAAGACTTTACGACAAGTTCTCCCACAACGGTATCGACACCATGGAGGTCGACAAGGTCTCCTTCTACCCGCTTTTGCTGGACATTCTCACCGACATCTCTGAAGCGCACTTCGTGGCCTTCGACCTGGAGCTTTCCGGCGTCCCAACCAAGCAAGCTAGGAGCGGCAAGGACGGAAAGCCCACCCTTCAGGAGCGCTACCTCGAGACCAAGGCAGCAGCGGAGCGCTACCAGATTCTTCAGATCGGCCTCACCTGTGTTGAGCAAGACATCGAGAACCAGAAGTATGTGCTAAAGCCTTACAACTTCGAGCTGAGCCCGCTCATCGAGGAGTCTCGCCTTGACATCGAGCGCATCTTCTCCTTCCAGTCTGGCGCTGCGGAGTTCTTGCTTAAGACCGGCTTCAATCTAAGCGTGCCGTTCGAGCGTGGCGTGCCTTACCTTTCCCGTCTGGAGACCACAGAGGCCCGTGAGAAGTATGCGAAGCGACAGGACAGGTCCGCCATCCCAGACTTGCAGATCAAGCCAACTGAGACCGAGTCCCTGGCATTCCTCGAGCGCGTCCGCACCGAAATCAACAAGTGGCGCGACTCCCGTGACTTCGATGCTCTCAATTACATCAACATCAGCGCAGTCGATTTGAGTGAGCTTACGGAGGACGACGTCGTTCCGGAGCTCTCTCGCTACGAGAAGCGCCTCGTTCACCAACTCGTCCGTGCCGAGTATCCCGAGCTCATCTCTATCGGCAAGAGAAGCGTCGTGCAGATCATTCCTCTTGACCCCGAACACGAAGCCAGAATCGCCGAAGGTCGCAAGCGCGATGTCGAGGAGCGCATTAACCGTCAGAAGGGCTTCCGCTGGATCATCGAAGCTCTTCATGGCTCCGAGATCACCGACATCGACCTGCGTGAGTGCGCACGCGATCCCGTTACCGGCGAGGCGGTCTTCGCGGACATGGATGCATACAAAGCACAGTTCCATCGCGCACAGAATCTCATGCGCAACAACCCAAAGATCATGGTCGGTCACAACTGCTTTCTAGATCTCGTCTACATCTACCGCACGTTCGTAGGCGAGCTTCCAGACACGGTCGAGGGGTTCCAGGAGCTGCTGCACGCCTACTGGCCTACCATCATCGACACCAAGTACATGTCGACCCACAACTGTGGCGACATCAACCCTGTCAGTGCGCTCGACCAGATCGCAGCCCAACTCAGCGAGCAACCACTCCCGACCCTCGAAATCGACCCGGAGCATAAGAAGTACAAGGAGGAAGGTGCTCTACACGAAGCTGGGTTCGACAGCTTTCTCACAGCGCAGATCGCCGTCCGCCTCTCCTCGAAGCTCGAGAAGGATGGCTCTTACGTCGACTTGGGACCTGTTACTCCGACGATGAACGGCACCCTACTCGATGGCGACATGACTCCCACAATGTCCAGCCTCTCGCTCACATCAAGCAGCACTGAGGACGACAGCGAGCCCGCTGAGTTGCCGGAAATCCCTTTCGTACCTTCGGTCCAAGGCGGCAAGTGGAAGCGTCGCGGTGACCCATCGCTTGGACCCCAGGATCCCAACGATCCGTTCGCTGCCGACCCGCGCGATCTGAAGCACCGCCACATCGACCCGGAGGCCACTAGGAAGGGGAGGGTGTTCGAAGGTGGGATGCCTGGGTGGGGAAGCGACTTCTGGCGCGTCTACGGCAACCGTCTGAGGGTGTTCGGGACTGAGGAGGCGATGTGCGTTTTGGATGGTTCGGGTGGGCTTGCTGATGGCGAGGATGGTGTTGATGGTGGGGTGGGGATCTGACGGGGATGAGAGGGAATGCGAACAAAAGCCACTGGGAAAGCGGTCGACAGGAGGCCGCGATGAACATGGTCTTTGCAACGATGCACGGATGACGAGGACATGAGCTCTTTACGTGAAGGCTGGGTTAAAAGTCGGTGCGAGCGATCCGAAAAAGATACCAGCCAGGAGATATTGCAGAAAGGACTGACCTCAGAGTAAGCGTCAATAGCCTCTATCGATGCCGAAAGAATTCTACATTGCCTCCCTTGCTGTCACCCAGCCATACTGCCGTCGCACAACCCACAACGTTGCCTTCGTCTGTCTTGCCTAGGTTCAGCCTCGCCACTTCACAGATCTGCTTGCCATCAAAGGATAGCATGAACACCCAGCCCTCCTCACTATCAGTCACAGCGAGATACTCTACATCATCTTCCTTCCCTTTCACCCACGGCGCAGGCTCAATAGCATTTGCTAACCCGCCACTCGTCGGCGTCTGCCAGATATGCAACGTCTCCTCCGAAGCCAACAACCCGTCATCACCAAGCTTAAACACAGCGACCCACCCCTTCGTCTTCGCCTCCAGCCCTCTCGTAGAAGCATACAAATACCTAGGCTTCATCGGATCCGGCCCAGTAGACACCCTAACCTCATCGGCCCAATACTTCTTAACATCCTCTTCAGCCGGAATAATCTTAACCGCTTGCTTAAACTCCAACCCCGTCCCTTCCTCCCCTTCAGCCACAGCAAAAACATCGACCATACTCGTATGCTCCTGCAAACAATACACCACCTTCCCTCCCGGATGCGGCCATACATGTCTCGGCCCATCGCCTTCCCTCGTACTCATGACCTTTTTCAGTTTAGACAACGGCTTCTCACTCATATCCCTCGTCTTGGTAACCGCATACGTCCAGATGCAATTCCGGCCTATGTCGGCAACGTACAATTTACTCCCATCGGGACTCAAATCGACTGAATGCGAGCCATGTCTCAACCCGCCGAAACTCCCATGCGCCACTTCGCCGCGCTTCTCGCTCACGTTCTCGCCTTGGCCGGTGACGAAGTCGAGTTCTTGGACTAAGGGTCCGATACCACCGTCTGCTTCTAGCCTGAACACCTCGCCAGTAGGTCCGCCGACGGAGAATAGATGCGTAGAATTGGCGCAGACGTATCCGGGAAGCGCGCGGACGTGTCTAGCGTTTAAGAACTGTATCTCCCGGCCGGAAGACTTTATACGGTAGGCGGCCACGGAGGGTTGTGGTTTAGTCCACGCGGTGGCGTAGAGGTATTTCTTGTCCGGGGAGCAGGAGAGCCAGGAGTGCCCGGCTACGGCTGGGTGGTCGCGGAGGAGGGTTAGGGAGGCTTCCTTCTTGGTGGTTGGGGAGGGAGGGGTGAAGTGGAGGGTGTAGAGGACGGAGTGGTTGAAGGTTCCTACTATGAAGTCCATGGTGTCGTTGGGCGTGGTATGGATTGTCTGTGTGGTTGATCCGAGTCCAGGATACGGGATTTTCTCGTTTTGTGGAAGGCTGCAATCTCTGCGTATGTATTTGACCGATCGATTGATCAATCAATTCAACACAAGTTACCAGTGGGTCCCAAAGCTTCTGGAACGACAAAGATCAGATGATTTATGTGATCCGGGGATACGTGGAAGGACAATGTCTACTCTGTATTAGCTTGAGAAACAGTACATCGTTCGCAGAGGACGAATACTTGCATGTGCAAATTGAGGAGTAACATGTGACGTCGATCTTGAAGTGAATGTTGCCCCACTCGCCCGCAACTTCCCAATTCGGCCATTCTCAACCTCGGCTTCGACTTCAGGCGTCTGCTTAACTCCCACCCAAGGTCCAGGACTCCAAAAGATGCAGTCCGGAATATCAGGTCAGCATACAGTCACCGATTCCATCTTCTGCGGCCATACTGACATCAACTAGCCTCCCAAGAACTCCAGAATGCCTTCAACACCCTCGTCTCCGACCCCTCCCAACGCGCCCTCTTCGCAACGATCGAGTCCGAGTCGTTACGCCCTTCCAATACCATTGCCTTGACCAACGACTCCTTCACCGACGACCTCGAGCAATTGCAGTCTCACCTCTCGCCCAACCAAGCAACCTACATCCTGCTCAAAACTCATCCCAACGAAGCGAACGGCTATGCGGCGATTACATTCGTCCCGAATGCCGCACCGGTACGGCAGAAGATGCTGTTCGCTTCGACACGTTTGACACTAGTTCGTGAGCTGGGCATTGAGCGCTTTAGACAGACTGTCTTCACGACTGAGAAGTCCGAGTTGACTGCCACCGGCTGGGCGAAGCATGAGGTGAGCGAGTCCGTCTCTGCGCCATTGACAGAAGAGGAGAGTGGGCTGCAGGGTGTTAAAGAGGCTGAAGCGCGAGAAGCACAGGGTACGGGTGCGAGAAGAGGGCATGTCAGCAGTCGGGTGGATGTCAAGACTGGGGAGGGCGTGGTGGAGGCGCTGAGCGGATTGAAGGAGGAAGGATGTAAAGGCACCCTGGTACAGCTGAAGTATGTGCTGCCGGATGAGACACTGCAGCTTGACTCTTCGTCGGATGGCGTCGGAGGGGCGGAAGTGGGAGGGAGAATCGAGTCGAAGGAGCCCCGGTATAGCTTCTACTCGCATCCTGATGCGGACGGGGTGAAGATCATGTTTATCTACACTTGTCCGGCAGGCTCGAAGATCAAGGAGAGGATGATTTACAGTACTGGCAAAAGCTGGACGAGGACGGTCGCAGAACGAGATGCTGGGCTGGAGATTGCAAAGTCCTTGGAGGCTACCGAGCCTGCAGAGATTACGGCCGATGCGCTGAACGAGGGTATCTCTGCGGCTGCGTCAGACGGGCAAGAGAGTGGATCCGCGACGCCTGTGGGAGGCGGTGGCTTTGCGAGGCCGAAGCGACCGGGGCGCCGGTGATAGATAGCTTCGTGTGCAAAACAGAGAGCTTAGTATGAAGCTAGCTTCAACTCTCAATTCGAGAATCACATCGTTGCCGCCTGCCCCCACTTTAAACTCACAACAACTGCATCAAGAACATCAAGAACCATGACCTCCTCGATCGACCCTCACCGCGCAACATCCAACATTGAATCCTCCACACACCCCGGTGCATCATCATGCACCAAGCCTCCAATGCAGACCCTGTTCTCAGCAGCTCTAGCCTTCGCTGGAGCCATCACTATCGCTCTCAGCGTCGGTCGTCCCCAGAGAACATTCTTCAGCTCCGTCAACGCTATCCTCATCATCGTCGTCTTCGACCTCTTCGAGCACAATTCCCGTGATCTCGTAGACTTCTTTCGGGTATCTCTCCGCGCGTAGAGCTTGCTTGATCAAGTCTTGCATCGGCCCATCCACCCACACCGCGAGGTCCATTCTAGAAGTCTCGTACGTCGACAGTAGCTTGGGAAGCAACCTCTCGAACCGCTCAATCCGCGTTGGCCGATGTTTATCAAGTAGCTCCCCATCCCACTCAGGGAAATAGTCAGTTACCTGCCACCAAGAGATGCTGAAACAAGTATGGTCGAGGCCGAAGTCGTTGAACGCGACAGCACGGATGATTCGTAGTACGAGTTTGGTCCAACATTCTGATTCCTGGTCGAGAAGCTGACCCAGGAACCACACTCTTCTCGCCGACTTTGACGATGAGCCTATCTCCCTCTCGCCGCCACCTCGTCCATCTACTCGGAAGAAGCGGTCAATCGCGGCGCATCCTCCAACTGAGCATGGACACGCACACTCTGTGTGAGAAGTCTGCTGGTCAAGGTCGAAGATCCTCTCCATGAAGAGCTGAGTCTGTTCGTCGAGAGCGCCTTTCTGATGAAATCCAGTGCTATCAATAGAAAAGCGGCCATATTCCATCTCGTAGCCGTAGATATCGCCCGCGAGCCAGCCCAGACTTGCCGCGAGAATTTCTCTGCAGTCGCGCAAAGTTGGATCTCCACCTTGTGATGCACACTTGTGCAGCAGCCATGTGGCCAGCCTGGTGTGTTCGTTGAGTTGCCGGGAAACATCATCCGTCCACCGTAGCAACCTGTAGACAAAGTCTATGGGCTTCCTGCCATCCACGTCGCGCATTTCCACATCTCGGAAGCCGCGATGCCATAGTATATCCGCCAGGCCAGCGGTAACGCAGTCGCCTTTTGTATACGTCAAAAAGTGGTATACTCCATGTTCTAGGTGAGACACGCGCAAGGCAGAAGGCACAGAGACGTCTCTCGCGGCCAAAGCTTCTTGCACTCCCCATGCATGCCCGTCAAGAACCTTCTGGTCGTGCAGTCCAAGCTGTCCATGCAGGCTCATCGGAAGACATTGGACGGCTAAATCCCGCAGTCGAGAGCGCCGGTCGAAGATGGCGTCAATCACAGCATCAAGAACAGCCGTCCCATCGTCTTGTGAATGTTGGGCGTCGTAGGAGAAAGAATACTATCCAATCGCACGACCGCTTCCTGTAATAGCGCAGTCTGCTCGCAACAGCAAGAGAATGCACTTCTTGTCCTTCTGGTACTGCAGCGCTTGTTCCAGTGGGGTATATCCGGGCCTGTCTTGCAGATCAATATCAATGCCGGACCTAATGAGCATTTCAAGGCCTCCAGGCCAGTCTACCGCGGCATGCGCTCCATTTTGACTGCCGGGTAGAACTTCGTCCACGCACTCTCTTCTCGTAGAGATTGCGTGGCGGAGTAGCAACATGTCTCTTGTCAATATAGCTCGGTAGTAGTCGGAGAGCTCGAGATCTGGGAGGCAGTAAGATGACGAATGACAGCTCAGAGGTTACAAAACTTTCCTTCGGCAATGCTAGCACACTGCTCCATCGCCTCCACGGTCCAGTTCCTCATGGTGATCAATCCACGTGGACTGAGGCCGGACCAAAGCATTGCCACGGTCGTGCTACAAATATCATCATATCCCACATGGTATGTGAGCCAATAGTCGATAGGTAAGCTTGTTCAGTCAACTGATCAGCATGTGTAGACTTGCTGGCCTTTTACTCACTCACTCGTCAAAATCGTCGTACTCATGTGTTGGGACGCCTGCTTCGATCAAGTCTTGCAGGATAGCGAGAAACGCGCTCAAGTTACATCCACGTGAGTAATTTAGAACAACGAGCTCAACCGTCATCTAACAGTCAATGAGGTTAGTAAGTGAATCTAATAGAAATCCCTTCGATTGAACTGACGTGTAATAGTGTCCTTTGGTAATCGCCTTCAACGTCGTGGGGAGATATCAGCCCGGTCTCGAACATTGTGGCCAGTTTCTGCCTCAACTGCCCTTCTCCAGCGTCCTGGAACAACGTGGCCCCGTGATGCTGCTCCAACAGCTTTTTAAAAGGATTATCCGGGGGGAGAATGCGCCTGCATGCCAGGCTTCTCCGGATCGTTGTGTTACCAGCTCCAATTGAAAAGTCGAGCACGACATACTGCCCACCTTGCCACCAGTAGAAGGGCAGCATGACTTTGATAGCTTTGCGCCTTCGTCTCTGGGTTGTACGGTATGCAGGACAGCTTGGAACGTGTTGCGACCATTCTTCTGAGCTATAGTGGAAGCTGCCAAGTCCTGTTGTGTTTCGATACGTGAACCCCGGCTTGCATTGACATCCGAAAGTTGGAGAGGCTTGGAGACCTGGCTTCTTCCATGTGCGAAGGTTAGTCCCCATCGCATTGAATTCGTCCGACGTTGCTCGTGATACAGCGTTTGTGAGCAGCGGTTCGGTGGCATTTGATGACGGTCGCGCAACCCGCTGGAGACGGTCCAGCTGCGTGGGCAGATCTTCAAGTCTCATGACTGTCGACTGCATCAACGCCGAAGTTCCCTGTAGCTCCACATGGATGCTGCTCATCTGGCCAAGCGACTGCTGATGCTGGGACTTGAGGACGCCACTCAGATAGTTGAAGCCATCGCTGTGTCGGATCCATAGTATTCAGCTCGAGTCAAGTTGAGAGCCAACACGACGTACCTTTGTATGACCATCAACGCCGTATTTAGGTTGATTTGTAGGTCATTCAACAAGGCACTCAACGTCTTGATCTTGACCTTGCGAAAAGGGTACCTTGCTCGTAGAAGCTGCGCAGTCAGCGCTTTTGGTACCACTGTAGACTCTGAAGTCCTGAAGCAGGAGAGATGAAGCTTCTCCATCTCAAGAAGACTGTCGCCGCAGTCTTCAATGGTTGATGCAACTGTGTCGAACGACGGGCGGCCGACGAGGTCGGAGCCCGCCATGACGGAGTTGAGAACTTCGAGGATGTGCGACAGGCCACGCAGCCGGATAAGTCCAGTCTTCGCATCTTTCTCGAATTCCTTCCAGGCATCACAATATTTAATCAAGCCGTTGGTGACCTGCAGGCCGAGCGAAATGAAGCCGGCGGCGCTGGCGCCGACAGCGAACTCCGCCATGATGGCGAAGCCAGTTGGAACTCAAATTTCGCCAGGACGAAGACGAAAGGAATACGAAAGACCGCAGAAAGGGACGGCGGGACCAGATACCTCTTGCTTTCCACGAGGCTGGCAGCCTGACACATCTGAGCTGCCATCAGGCACTCATGCTTCTGTGGCGGCCAACGAGGAGAGTGCTACCTCCCCAAGCAACCGCCCGCCTCGAGCGTGCTGTTGCTGCGCCTTCTTGACTGTCGTCGCCATACAGCAGTCTCGTCGCTTTCTGATCGTTTTTCTGGCCATGGAATTAGGAATGAGGAGGTCACCAGGATGACGTGCCGTGGGAGTCTTGGAGAGTGAGGTCGAGATCCTACCGTACGCTAGCCCAATGCAGTGTTTCTTGCACGTGACTCTCACCTCATCTCATCTGTCAGCATTTCTGCCTCTACAACTTCACCAACGACAACAACTCTCCAACTCAGACGATGAAGCCGCATGTACGGCACGCCCAGCGGCGATACTTCAACAAAAGCAAAAGCATATCCCATGACTAGCCCGACCCAAACGCGTGGCTTTGCCTTGGCCTGGCCAGGCTAGAACCATCTGGGGCCGTTCGTGCCGATGGCGAGAGGATCTCGAAATGAACGAGCGGCTCATCTCCCCATCCAATATACCCAGAGCTCGCGCCACAGGTAGGGTAAATAGTAGGCCATATTCCCCATTTGAGTTTCCTTCGTTCTTTCTTGTCATCCCCATCTTATTCATCTTCACTTCTGTAAGCTTTCCAGGGTTTCTTTAGATTTGGTGTCGCCCACGATGCACACCTCCACACTCGTTTGGCTGTCAGCAGCCCTGCCGCTCGCTTTCTCCCAGGACTCGGTCAGCTATGACATGCAAGACTACTCGGCGCAGAGCGAGTCGCCGTCGCAGAGTTACATGTCCAATGCGAACGTTTCGCCTCCGGAAATGCTTGTCAACAAGAATGGATCCGGATTGATGGACGGATACATCTTCATCGGTGTCGATGGGTCGCCTGACAGTGGGCAGGATTGGCCTACCATATTCGGTACGTCCAAACTTCCCTACCATCAGCATCACAAGAACACCTTGCTAAGTTGATATCCAGAATTCTCCGACGACATCGTCGGCAGCCTCATTTGGACAGGAAACTACTCCAAACCCTTCGACTTCAAAGCCTCGACCTACAAAGGCAACCCCGTCCTGACCTTCTGGTCTGGCGAGCTCCTCGACGGGTACGTCAAACTGACAGACGGACGGTTCTCCAAAGCACTTCCAACGGCTGGAAGATCACCAGCTGCTGCGCTCTGAGACCTTCCATCCTCATATCAACTCATGGAGAGACACCTGCTAACACCTCTGCCCATGACTATAGCTACGGCCGCGGCTCCTTCTACATCCTCGACCAATCCTACACCGAAATCGCGCATTTCCAAGTCGCCAACTTCGGCGACAACATGGGCGACATCCACGAGTTCGAAATCACCGCCGACGACACCGCCTTAGTCGCAATCTACACCGCCATCCCCTACGACCTCTCCCCCTCCGGCGGTCCCGAAGACGGCTGGCTCTTCGAGTGCACCTTCCAAGAACTCAACATCGAGACCGGCGAGCTCGTCTTCCAATGGAACTCCACCACGCACGTGGGCATCGAGGAATCCTACAACCCCCTGCCCTCGGACGTCGGAACGTCCGAAGACGCGCCCTGGGACTACTTCCACATCAACTCCATCGAAAAGGACACCAACGGGGACTACCTCGTCAGCGCAAGAGTGATGGACTGCGTGTACAAGATCTCCGGCGACGACGGCAGCATCATCTGGCGTCTGAACGGCAAGAAATCCGACTTCAAAGTCGACCCCGACGCGGAGTTCGCTTTCCAGCACGACGCGCGCTGGGTCGACGCGAAGCAAACCCGTCTCACGCTCTTCGACAACGGGCCCACGGACACCATCGACTACTCTCGCGGCCTCCTCCTCGACGTAGACCAAGACGCCATGACCGTGAAGCTCAACACCGAATTCACCAACTCCGATCAAACCTTTTCCGAATTCGAAGGCTCCCTGCAACCCATCGACCCGACCAACACTTCCACCAACTTCCTCCTCGGCTTCGGGTCGCAGCCGTACTTCGCCGAGCTCGACCACAACGGCAATTTGTTGCTCGACGTCCAATTCGGCGCCTCCAACGTCGTAAACTCCTACCGCGCCTTCCGTCAGCCCTGGGTCGGCAAACCCACCACCAATCCCGACATCCACTGGGATAAATCCGGCAAGTCGGCGTATTTCTCCTGGAACGGAGCAACGGACATCGTGTCCTGGACCGTCCTCACCGCTCCCTCATCCAACTCCTCGACCTGGACGAACGTCACGTCCGCCGTGCGAACAGGCTTCGAAACCACCATCGACCTCTCCGACGCCAAACTCGACACCTTCGTGCGCGGCAAAGCGGTCGCGAAAGATGGCTCAGCGCTGGGCTGGACGCTCGCCTCGAACGGAAACAGACTCTTCGAGGCGCCGACGAAGGTCAAGGAGACTGGGTCTGTGAAGTCGCCGAAACCGACTACGAGCTCGAGTGGTGGGAGCGGAAATGGGAATGGCAAGGGCGGGTCGGCTACGCGGGTGACGAGCCCGCCGTCCAGGACGCAGGGGGCGGAGAGCAGCTCATCGAGTGGAGCGGCGGCGCGGGCGACGGGGGGTGTGATGGGAGAGGTGTATGTGGCGGCTGTGGTGGTGATGGGTGGGTTGGCGATGGTGTAGGCTCGAGCCTGAGATATGAAGCGGCGAGGACATTTGTACTAATGATTTGTGTCTACGTGTATATCTGTTTAACAGGCGTGTAGCGCTGAAAAGTACAGCCAAAATGGATGAGCGATTAATGTATTCACATTGCCCTCGGCTGGTTACAGTCCAGATAATATATGTTGTATGCTTCTCTTTCACTGATCTCCAACATGTTCCTCTTACGGCATCTGTCCTTGCCCTCATCCTGTGATGCGACGATGAGCGCACCCCTGCTCGGCTCCATTACGCGCGACTCTCGTCCACGCTCAAAGCTCATCCTATGCGTACCGTGCATGTCCTGTCTTTCCCCCTCCTCATCTGCAGTGCAGTGCCGTATACCTGTAGGCGTTCCCATGCCCATCCGTGCCCCATCCCTGTCCCTGGATATAAGCGAGGTCACACCCCATGCGCCTCGCTAGCCCTTCCCTCGTGTGCGTGAAGTTCGTAAAGCAATAAGTCAAATAGTACAATCCCACCCCTCAATGAGCGTGCAGTCACCGTGAATCGAAACTGGGTCGGTAGTCCGGATTGGCGACCCCAAGCGGCCGACTGTAATCTTGTTGATCTTGTATCGATATTCTGCTTCCATTCGCCTCTTGGTTCGCAAACAGCGCCGACGGGTTCAGTCGCTGATCGTACACCATCGGCCTGCTGGATCTTCGTGCAGAGTCGGAGAGGTTGTTCTGGCTGCCGCCGAGCGGGCTACTAGGCTCGACGGTTGCGCCAGCGCCCATCATCGCGGAGTGGCGGATGCTATTGCCACCACCAGTGAAGGGATCCTCATGGATTTCGGCCATGCTCTGTGGGCGACCGCGAGACAGCAGACCGGTGCGGCTGAGAACGCTGGTAGTCCGCTTAGGTCGCGAGGTGGGGTTGGCCTCATTGTCGGTGTTCTTGCGGCGGCGGTAGAGGCAGAAGGCAGCTAGAATGAGTGCGCCCAAGCCGACGAGAGTGCCAATGACAATGCCAGCGATGGCGCCAGACGACAAGCCGGCTTTCTTTTGGAGTTGTTGCGATTGAGCTGGCGAGTCGTCACCCCCGCCGCCAACAACGACAGGAGTAGTGGTGACGGTTTGGGTCACAACAGATCCAGACCTGGTGATGACACTGGTGTGAACGACAGGAGTCATGGTTCGGGTAGATGATGTAGAAGACGATGGGTCCGAGCTCGAAGGAGGATCGCTCGACGAAGATTCGCTCGATGGAGATTCGCTCGATGGAGATTCGCTCGATGGAGATTCGCTCGATGGAGATTCGCTCGATGAAGATTCGCTCGATGAAGAATCGCTAGACGATGAAGAGGCCGGAGGTGGCGGCGACGAGCTGATCGATGGTGGTGTCTGTTGAACATCATTGTTAGTAGATGTTGCAATACAAGGCGCGCGGTGTTGTAGCGAGACGCGATTCGAGGCAGGATCATCCTCCAAGCAGACCGCAAGATGAAACGTGCTGTCATACAGGTGTGACATAAGACGTTACCACTTCAGGCTTCTTCGTCTTGACGCTCGTCACCGTCGTTTGGATACTCACATAGCTCGTCTGGGGTTCGGGGCTCGAAGTCGGTGAGGGCGGTGGTGAGCTCGAGGTTGGCGGACTGGAACTGGGTGGATCAGAGCTCGGTGGATCAGAAGTCTGCGGCTGCGGTCAAATGTCAGCGCGGGCATCGATAAGGTGGTAGGCGCAGTAGCCGACTCACTGCAGACGTGCTCTCCGGCTGCGAGGAGCTCGCGCCGGCCGTCCCAGAAGGTTGCTTGTCCAAGGGGATATATCCAAACATGCCACGGCCGGGGTTGCCGCAGTAGTCGTCAGGATAGCCAGGACAAGTGGAATCACAGTCTCCGGTGTCTGCCTGCTGAGAGGGGGTATAGTCGGAACACCAACAGTCCTTGCCTTTTACAATCGCAAAGGCATATTGGCTCCTACAAGTCTTCGAGCATGACCCCATAGACTGGTAGATGCTGTACACTGTGGAGCTGTCAGCGTCGAGCTCACAAGTAGGGGGTGTAATGGGAATCACCATCAGGGTACTCACCTGGTGAGAACCCTGAACCGGTATTCTGGTTCGAGCAGTACTGCTGCTGTATACCACTCGGGCCTTGGGCGGTAGCCATGTTGAGCAGCATGACCCCTGCGAGGGCCGTCCGGAAGGGCAGCATCCCTCGAGTCTTCATCCTTCCAACGATATTATGATTCTTTCAAACAGCTTAGATGCTCTAAGCACCCCTCGTGACGGTCATGCAAGCTGCACTGTCTCCCGTACCCGCCCAATGGCTGCCGGCGTGATGGTCCCGGAGTCTTGGCGGAGGAAGACTTGATATAGGTACAAGAGCTGTCAAAAGTGGAGGTGGTGGCGGTGGTGGCAGTATTAGTCGGGCGGTACTCCGTAGCGGTGGCGATGTAGTCGATACAGTGTGGTATTCGATCGATGACAAGTACGTTCGGGTAATGCGGCAACACGCTTTCGGCCCTGCGAAGATGCGTGGTTGGTTTAGGTGGAAAGGAAAAAAGAGACAAGCGAGTGGAAGGGCGTGGTGGTCCACGGTCAAGACGACGTCGTGCCCGGGTAATGCACGCGGAGAGGATCAACGAGGGACTCGGTGAGGGAGGGAGGAGAAGGGAAGGGACGAGGTGGTCGGGATGATGGTGGAGAGGAGAAGACCAGAAGATGCACTTCTCGGGACAGATGAAGATCAGCAGCAACAGGTGGAGTCGACGGCCTTGAAGCGGGATGGCTTCGAAGCCAAAGAGCGTCAAAGAGTGCGATTGGCGAACTCTCCGTCAACCACACAACACACAACTCACTCCTCTGCTCGCTGCACGTCGTTTCAGGTTTCTTTCTTCCTGCCAGCGGATGCGGATACCCGCAGTTCAACGACCAGAAAGTTGTGGGGGACGTGGTATCGCCTGCGCGAGCCTTGCAGTAGTCGCAACAAACCTTGTTCCGATGTCACTCGCAATACCTAGCTTCAGCGGAAGATGCATGACGCCAACCTAGATCCAAGACTCATCAAAAAACTCGACGCCACCGTGAAGCCTCTCCTCACCTCCCCCCAGAAACATGTCCAGATACCGCCAACACGGAGCTTGCCTCTCTGTTGCACGACGACTTCACGAACACCCACCCCCGGCCTTCCCGTCCACACTTCCGCAAGGTCAAGCTCACGACGCGCCGCCCTGCAGACACCGCCTCGGGTTCACTGCTCATGCTGTATCTTGAACTGGAAGCTCTCACTTCCAATTCCCTCCCAGCGAGATCGAGCATATTCACGATGTAGCGGCAAGTATGAGGTGAAGCTCGCATCTGCACGCACGCGAGGCGGCCTTACAGCACGTTCGCCACCCTTCGTCGTCATGACTTTCCCCTCCAGCACAAACACCACAGCCCGCATCTCCCGCCTCGCATACCGCTGAGCTCCTCCATTGGAAGGAACACGATCGCGGCTCAACTCGCCCACCGTAGCGCGCTGCAACACCGCTGCACCTGCATGAACGCTAAAGCAGGTGTGGGGTGCAACCCGGACGGAGAAAATACATCGCGAGGCACTTCGTCGGGTACGTCTTCTACGATCTCACGATTCGCGTGGGACATCTGAGCTGTGGCGGCTCATCGGAGGTTTCTGAGGTTGGCACCTTCCTGTTTCGCTCATTGTCTTCAGTGCTGCAGGTTGGGTTACTCCGCACGAGGTGAGCTCCGAGAGTTCAGGACCAGCTTCCAAGGGTGCAAGGCTGGCGGGGGTCGGCCAGCAGCACGAGGAAGAGCTCTCTCGAGGTCTGGGAGGGTGGCAATTGGACTTATCCGGATCGCAACCTTATCTGAGGAGTGCATTCGCCTGGAGATCTACGCCATCTACTCTCTGCCTATCTTAACCCCCTCGTATACGATCGAAGGAGTGCAGGTAGCAAGACGCCAGGACACCATCGGCTACGGCAACATTTATCGCGCCTTGATAAGGACGCTGTCGAGGCAGCATCGCTGCCCTACTCCCCCATCTTTGCCGGCGGTTTCCTTGGACACTCTACACCCCCCGCGCCTTCATGTTGGCGCCAAAGATTGGCACGCGAGAATGCTGTCATTCCTCTACGCCGCACGGTTGCAAACCTCACCAACAGTGCGTTAGGACAGAGGGTCGCCGTCCGCTGCAATACAGGCAAGTTTCGGAGTTTCCTACTTTCTCCTTAACACCTTTCACTCGCGTGCTTGCGCCTTTCGGCCGAACCTCTCTCCTCCGTCTCTTACACCTCTCTCGGACATACGACTTTCGGGAAGAACTCATGTATTCCTGTATTCGTTGGACCCCGTAGATCACGTGAGCTCCTTCGAGCTGCACTCTACACCGAACGCTTATTGAAGATTTTGACTGAACGTCGCAAGAACAGGAGATGTGCGCAAGTCTTGGGCTACTACTGGGACATTGAGAGCATGGAAGATGCAACTCGCACCTAGGGAAGTCCTCGTTCTTGCGCCGAAGGAGATGGGATCAGAAAAACTGCCTGGACAACATAGGTGAGAATGCCGCCGGACAACATATTCGCTAATGGCACCAGGGCCACTATAGTTACTGCATTCAGCTTCCTGATCGCGACCTGCCACGCATGAGAGGCTTTCCGAGACCGCGTGTGCCGCAGTCTCTACCGACGAGATTATGAGTTCTGCGAGGCCATGCGAGAGTCTTTGCTATCTGACGAAAACCTGAGCGGTCATCAAAGGCTACGATGAGAGTGGACTGTGCTTGTTCAGACTCGCAAGATCCCGCTACCGTATACTCGGCATGACATGGAAATGGCGGAAGGCGTATGTGCTTGCGAAGCCTGTGCTGCTGCTAACGAGATGAGTTCAATGGCGTAAATTCCTCCCAGTGTACGGACAAAGAGCATGTTATGATCCATCAGCAATTTCTGATTGTACCACTTTCTATGTAGACCGTCGAACACTCAATTATCCATTACCATACTTCGGGCCGGTTTTTCAAGCACGTGTGAAGTCTGGCAACCACGCGATTGCAACACAGCCAATCAGAAGACGTGCTTTCTATCTCAACGAAGCTTTTTTGACCATTTTGCTATCTCCACAGCTTCACCTTCGTTTCTACCTCTTTCTCCTCACAACAACCACGAACGTCCTCAAAACGACTCGAGTGCTCCCAATGCACACCTAACACTCAGCCCCTCTACCATTGACCTCAGCCCACCCCCAGAGGCTTCATGACTGCTCCCACAATCTTCACTTCGCAAGGTATGACGCACACCGCCTGCCCAATGCACCGGCGAAAGATAGGAGCCATCGCGTTTTACCACACCGAATAACGTGTTCATTTGTGCATACACAATGGCTGACTTCATGTTCCCAACAGACTACATCTCGGACCACCTTTGGAAGGCGTCCGTAAACTGAAACACCGCTCTTGAAAGAAGAAGAGCACATACAAAAACACGCAACCTAAATCTATGGCGACTATGACCTTTTCGCGACTCATGCCGACCATGCCGCTGAAGCCGACCGCGAGCTTTACTGCCCGTACCTTCAAGCCAACTCTACAGGTCCGGTTCAGGGCGAGCGTTGTCAACGGCACTCCACGCTCCCCATCCCCACGAGTCGTCCGAACCACCAAGCCATCCTACGAGCCGGCGACGTTCACGATCAAGGATGGACCGATCTTCCACGGCAAGAGCTTTGGCGCGAAGGCGAACATCAGCGGTGAAGCTGTGTTCACGACCTCTCTTGTGGGATACCCAGAGTCCATGACCGACCCGTCGTACCGCGGACAGATTCTGGTCTTCACGCAGCCATTGATCGGCAACTATGGTGTTCCGTCGATGGCGAGGGACGACTATGGACTGCTGAAGTACTTTGAGAGCCCGAACATTCAGGCCTGCGGTGTGGTGGTGGCAGACGTGGCTTTGCAGTACTCGCACTGGACGGCCGTGGAGAGTCTGTCGGACTGGTGTGCTCGTGAGGGCGTGCCTGCAATTACTGGAGTGGACACTCGCGCCATCGTTACCCACCTTCGAGAGCAGGGTTCTTCGCTCGGCAAGATCACGGTCGGCGAGGAATACGACGCAGACGAAGACGAAGCATACGAAGACCCCGCCAGCATCAATCTCGTCAAGAAGGTATCGACCAAGGCGCCCTTCCACGTTCCGTCACCCAATGGAGACGCCCACATCGCCCTCATCGACTGCGGCGTCAAGGAGAACATCATCCGCAGCATCGTCTCCCGCGGCGCCAGCGTCACCTGCCTCCCCTTCGACTACCCCATCCACAAGTCCGCCCACCACTTCGACGGCGTCTTCATCTCCAACGGCCCGGGCGACCCCACGCACTGCCGCGCCACCTCCGACAACCTCCGCAAGCTCATGGACAGCAGCCAGATCCCCATCATGGGCATCTGCCTCGGCCACCAACTCGTCGCCATCGCCGTCGGCGCTTCAACTACGAAGATGAAGTACGGCAACCGCGCGCACAATATCCCCGCTCTCGATTTAAGTACGGGGAAATGCCACATCACTTCGCAGAACCACGGGTACGCCGTCGACCCCGCCACGCTCCCGAACGATTTCAAGGAGTACTTCACCAACCTCAACGACGGGAGCAATGAAGGCCTGATCCACAAGTCCCGCCCGATCTTCTCTACGCAGTTCCATCCCGAAGCCAAGGGCGGACCGCTGGACTCGAGTTATCTGTTCGATGGGTACTTGAAGAGTGTGAAGGCGTACAAGGAGACGCAGGATACGTTGCGCGGCGGCGGGAGGGATAATAAACCCAGTGGGTTGTTGGTGGATTTGCTTGCGAAGGAGAGGGTGGGGGTTGCGCCGGATGGGGTCAGGGTGGTGATGTGAGGGCTTTTCGTTGACATGGGTTTCTGATGTCCTTTTGTTATCCTACTGCTCTACTGGTTTAGTCGAGAGAAATCTAACGAGTACACGATCGTCATACTACCGCTGTCTCTATGCTGTCTCTTTTCCACGTGACGATAGAGAATTCCTTTCCCAAAAACTCTCTCTTCACGAAACACTAGCGCCAGATTCGGATCTGCGACATTGTGGAGAAGCGAGAAGCGCGCCGCCACCGACGCCAGCCTCGTTGAACCCTGTTCTCTTTGCGCTGACAGGACGTCGGAGGCGCTTGGCAGGAGGGCGCAGTTCGCAGTTAGGTTGTAAGGCGTTGTGTGTGAGTGTTCTAATTGTGGTCGCTGTCGCATGAGCTGTTGAAGAGGCCTGAAGTGAAGACGTTTTGCTTGCTTTGTTCGGATTTGACTTGGACCGCAGGCTTGGTATCAGGCGCGCAAGAGGCGGTGTTTTTTTGGGGCACGCGAGTTTGCGAACAACTTCGAAGCTTACGACGGCTGACTGGAAGAGCTTCGCTGGATACGTATAAGGGCAGCTGAGGCTGTTGCGCAGGCGCCGAGGGCTTGAGTTGTGGTTAAGAGTTTGCCGAGAAGGAGACAAGAGTTGGAAGGGAAGAGGACAAGAGACACAAGGAAGACAAGCATCAATAAGCCGCGCATATCGCATAGGCCAAGAGGAGGAGAATCACATGCGCCGGACGAGGGCGCGACACCTAGCCAACGCAGTCTTGGACCACGAGCGTTCGCAGAAGGTATAGGACATCCGGGCATACGACTGGGCACCCGCTCACCCCACCCCAACTATGCCCGTCTGCAACACCACCCTCACGGACCTCTACATCGAAGAGAAGCCCCTCTGGAAAGGCTTCACCTTCCACCACCTGGGCCTGTTCTTAACAGCAGTCTTCGGCGGCATCGCCACCCTCATCGGCCTCACCCTCATCCTCCTCCACGCGACGCACTATCTCAAACCCTACGAGCAACGGCACATCATCCGCATTCTCCTCCTAATCCCCATCTACTCGGTAGTGTCCTTCCTGAGTTACCTGGAATACCGACACGCGATCTACTTTGACATCCTGGAAGGGTGTTATGAGGCTTTCGCGATTAGTTCGTTTTTCACCCTGCTGTGTCATTATATTGCGCCGAACTTGCATGATCAGAAGGATTACTTCCGCACGCTGGTGCCGGTGAATTGGTTCTGGGGGGTTTTTGGGCTGCAACTTATTAGTGGGGGGCAAAATAAGGGGCCTTTTAGGAAGCCGAGGAGTGGGTTGACTTGGTTTAATGTGCGTATACCACCGTCATCTATCCTTCGAGTGGAGGAATGAGGTGCTAACGCAGTGGTAACAGGTGATTTGGATCGGCGTCTTCCAATACTGCCTCATCCGGGTGCTCTTCACGATCGTCGCGGTCGTCACGCAATTGAACGACGTCTACTGCGAAAGCAGCCTCTCGCCCGCTTTCGCGCACGTCTGGGTGCAGGTGTTTGAAGCGGCATCGGTGACGGTGGCGATGTTCTGTCTGGTGCAGTTCTACATCCAGCTGAAGGCGGATCTGGCGGAGCACAGGCCGTTTCTGAAGGTGTTGTGTATTAAGCTGGTGATTTTCTTTTCGTTTTGGCAGAGTGTGCGTATCCCCTTCCTCACCTCTCAACTATTCTGAAGAGTATGTGCTAATGATGGTGATGCAGATCGTCATCTCCTTCCTCTCCTCCAGCGACGGCCCTCTCCAGCCGACCAAGACTCTGGCCTACCCGGACATCAAAGTCGGCATCCCCAGCGTCCTGCTCTGCATCGAAATGGCCATCTTCTCCGTGATGCACATCTTCGCCTTCCCCTGGAAACCTTACTCGCTCAAACATTCCTACAAAGACCCCATCCACGCCCCCGACTCGGGCTTCAGCGACGGCGGCCCCCCAGACGGCATGAAGTATAAGGGTTTCATATGGGCGCTAGCGGATGCGTTTAATCCGTGGGATATCGTGAAGATGACCGCCCGGGGGCTGAGGTGGCTTTTCGTGGGGTCTAGAAGACGGCACGATGATGTCAGTTATCAGCTCCCGCCCAAGGCGGCGGGGGAGACGAGGTATGCTGGCCCGACGTACGCGGGGACTGGGGAGGCGGCGACGGAATTGCAGAGGGCGCCGCAGGGAAGGGGGAGGAGTGAGACGGTGGCGGAGGACGATCGAGCCGGGTTACTTGGGCATGAGGCGAGGATGGGCCGGGAGCCGAGCGCGAGTCCGTATCGGACGTACAGCGAAGACGACTACGCGCCTGGCTTACCCCCCCGCCCACCTCCCGGGACTGCTGTCGGCGGACGCAGAGGAGGTGGGGCTGGGTACGACTACGACATGAAGCCCACCCACTTCCGCCCGTCCGACTCCTCCGACGACACCGGGCCCTACCACCCCGGCTACGGCCCCGCGAGCTCAGGTCCCGCGGCCGCGGGAGCGGGAGCAGGGGCGCAGGGGATTGGAGGTGGTGTGCATCCGGCTTTTAGGACTAGTGTGGAGCAGCAGCGGCAGCAGCAGGATTGGGATGTTTTTGCCGGGCAGGGGAGGGTGGAGACGGGGTATAGGCCGTATGAGGGGGTGTATCCTGATAGGCGGTTATAATATATCTGAGGCGGTGTTCTGGCGTTTTGGGGGCAAGGTTGGAAAAGGGCGATGCGGAGGCATGATGTTATGTGTGAGTGATGTTTCTGGGAGTGAGCTAGATACCCGCCTCTTTGTGAGGATGAATGGCATTTTTGACGTGAGTGGTTGTGTTTGTGTGTATCATTGGTGGTGGTGTTTAAACTGTAGTCTCTCCGGATGAAATTTGTATATGGATCAGATATAAGTACCTTGTCTTTGTTCAATGCCGACTTGATCTCCTCATTTTTTCTAAGAGTGCATTGGGGCAACGGCCCCTCGTTTGCGGGCCACAAAAACAAAGTAATATAATCTATCGTAGAGTTTGTCCCACCATTAAATTCGCTCGGTAAGCCGTCCAGCTTCCTTGAGCCGCTGAACGTCTGCTGATGACCATCTAGAATGGTTTAGTGGTATAACGTTCGCTTCACATGCATGAGGGCACCAAAGGTGATCTTCTGAGGACGCGAAAGGTCCGGGGTTCGATGTGAGTCCCGCTTTCCCTCTGCTACAGCAGTGGATATGTCCTGATGAGTTACAGCCCCCGTTCGAGTATCAGATATCTATGGATATGTTGATGATGAGACGATTCCTTTTTTTTTCTTTTCCTCTCTGCATTACTCCACGACCATCTCATAGCGCAGATTAGCGGCAGTACACATCACGAATGTAAATACGGACGAATGCGTCTCACTTTTGACGGATATTGGCGTACCCTTGAATTGGAAGGACGAGACCACGACCTCCAACGACCCCCAGAGACGTTTTTTCCTGTCCATCACTCTGTGGAAACATACCGAGCATGTAGCTCGACAGCGACTCTGATCACTGATCACAAGCCTGTGCACTGCGTTTTCAAAAGCACGCCGTCTTTGCCGATCAGGCGAAGTCGGCCGGCACGGCAAGCCGAGATATCTCATATTCGTATCCATCTCACATCATGCTACAAAGTCCTCTCATGATGCCTATGCCTTCTCTATTGACACAAGGACAACGTGGGAGATGTTTCGGGATAGACTCGTTGACTTGAGCATAGGAGAAGATGGCAAACCCAGAGGCGTTGGAGGATGGAGCCCAACGAACGGAAGTCAAGGACTGGGATGGTCCAGATGATCAAGTGAGCCATGCCGACCAGAAGTGTCCTTTCATACGAATACTCACAAGTCTCAGGGCAATCCTAGAAACTGGTCTCCACAAAAGAAGTTCTACCACTGCGCCATCCCGACTGCCATAGCATTTCTATGGTAGGTCAGCCCTTCGCCATGCCATCGACTTCCCACCCTAACATTTCTCCATAGCCCCTTCGGATCTTCAGTCTACACCCCAGGCATATCCCAGGTCGAGACCGAATTTCATGTCACCCGCGAGATCGCCCTTTTACCATTCGTCTCCTACCTCCTCGGCCTATCCTTTGGACCGATCGTAGCTGGCCCTTCCAGCGAGACGTTCGGGCGTAAAGCAGTCTACATCTGTGCCCTGCCCGGTGTTGCAGCGTTCACGCTGGGAGCAGGGTTCTCGCAGAACATTACATCGTTGATCGTCTGCAGGTTCTTTGCCGGTTTGTTTGCGAGTCCGGGTATGAAACCAATGAGCAAAACCCTACCCTGTCTGAGACATTTTCTGACCCTTTTGCCCTTCTGTTTGCAGGTTTGAGCATTGGAACGGCGATGGTGTCGGACTTCTTGCCGCTTGAGAAGAGAGGTGGGCCGGTTGCGGTCTTTATTACGATGGTGCAGATGGTATGTACTTTTCCACGCCAGTACGCCTCATCGAATTACGAGAAAAATCTGACCTAATCCCTTTTCTGTCGACAGGGACCAGTCTTCGGACCGATCATAGGCGGTGCGTGGTTCTTCACCCGCTCATATAACTCTACTAACTTTGGAGTCAGGCTACGTGACCGAGTCGAAGAACTGGCGTTGGACGCAATGGGTAATCCTTTTCGGCATCGTCTTCGCCTTCGCATTGACAGCGCCCATGTCGGAGTCCTACAAAGCCGTTCTACTCAAACGAAGAGCGAAGAAACTGGGCATCGAACCGCCTCCCGAGTTCAACACCTCCGCATTGCAGAGCTTGAAGTACTTTGTCACCAAGACAGTCTCAAGGCCGATCCAGATGATGTTTACTGAGCCGATTGTTGGCTTGTTTGACATCTACAACGCCTTCAACTTTGGCCTATTGAACGCATTCTTTGCTGCGTTCTCTTGGGTGTGAGTGTTTCCACATACCCTCATCGTGCGATCCAGACCCTTACGAGACGATCGCAGATTCGAGAACGTCTACGGCTTTGGCATTGGCTCGACTGGTCTCACATACATCGGCCAGGCCGTCGGCAGCATCATGGGCCTTCTCATAGTACTGTATATCTACAACTCCTATTGGGCAAAGGAGTCCAAGAAGGCAAAAGAAGGCAACAGCAGTGCCAACATGGCACCGGAGAAGAGGCTCATTATTGCCAAAATCGGGGCGCCAATGTTTCCCGTCTCGTAAGCTGCACACGATCACGATTCAGTAATGTGGTGATTGGCTCACTGACGTATGCAGGCTGTTCTGGTTCGCTTGGACAGCTAGACCAGACGTCCATTGGATCTCGCCTGTCATTGCTGAAGGCTTCTTCAGTTGCGGCAATCTGTTGATATTCACGTGTACTGGCCTGTATGCATTTTCAACTCCAACTGGCTGCGAGACATCTGCTAACCTTGTCTAGGTACTTCACCGACTGTTACGGAGCACAGTATGCTGCGGTAAGCATAAACTCGGACACGACTTCTTCTGAAGTTTGACGAGAGAATTGATTTCTTGACAGAGTGCATGGAGCTCTTGTACCTTTCTTCGCTATCTAGCAGCTTTTGCTTTTCCACTGTGAGTATCATTGTCCATCTTCATGACAGCAGGAGCGAGAACAGCCTAACACGTGCGCAGATTCGTCGTACAAATGTACGAAGGCCTTGGAGTGGGCTGGGCCACTTCACTGTTGGGCTTCGTGGCAACATCATTGGTGCCGGTCCCATTCCTTCTGGACAAGTACGGAGAGCGACTGAGGCGGAGAAGTGCTTACAGTACTGCTGATTGAAACATTATACAGCTATATACACATGCTTGCTACACACCCGTCCCTGCATCAACCACTCGCATCCACAGTCTCCGCAAACCACTGCCTTAACGCTCCCGCCAGCACCCCGGGCAAGTCCTGCACGTCTCGCACAATCAGATAATACCGGAACGGGAACGTGTCCAGATACTTCGTCATCTTCAGTTGCATCTCGCCAGAAGCATCCTTGGCAAACTCTGCGGTCTGGAGGTCAAGAATGCTCTGCTTCGCCCCGTTTGCGGCGTTGCTTGATAGCGCTGCTGGGTCCACAACGATGAAGACGACCATGATCCGCTCCTCGTGGGCTTGACGAATGAGTTGACGGATGGCTGGGTGGTCTTCGCAGATTCCGTCGGAGATGATGAGCTGGAGCTGCCAGAGGTCGCTTGCTGATCCTGCAGCTTTCAGCCGTGCTGCGCGGAAATGCTCGATCGACTCTGTAAGCAGGCGCTGTACGTTCGTTCGACTCTGCGAGAAAGTGAACTGCTGAAGGATACGAGAGCCGGCGTCGGTTGTGAAAGGCGTGCTGAAGTCGTGGGCCACGTTGACCTGGTCTCCAAACCCGACAACGCTGAGCTCGCCAACTTCGAGCATTGACATACTCTTAGCGATGAGCGCCAACGTTTCGAAAGCAAGTTCATGAGAGCTGTTCTCTGCCATAGACTTCGAGTCGTCAATCGCCAGCATGACCTGATACGAGCGCTTGGTGGGTACAGATCTCCGCATCCAGATCTTGTCTCGCTTGTACGAAGAGGCGATGTAGGGGATGATTCGCTTGATGTTGAGGCGTTTGCCGGTGCGAAAGTCGCCGCGCATCCTAGTTGCCTGCGTTGGGTGCAGAATCAGACGAAGATGTTCGGTGAGCATCAAGGCGAGGTTTCGGGTGTTGTCTTCATGCTTGGCCCACAGTTGCTGGGCATCGTCAAGAGTCATCTGGGTGTCGACCTCCTCCTGCGAGATGTGGGTATTTGTGAGCTGCTCGTCGACGTCCTCAACCTCATCGTTGTCTTCGACAGGCATATCTTCGGCCATGACCGCATCTGTATCTGCTTGCTTGGGTTCGCCAACCAGAGACGTTGATTGTCCAGCCTCAGAAGCGTGGCCATCTGGTGCCCTGTCCTCGACTGTATCCTGCATGTCTTGGTCTATCTCCTCCTTGGACTCATCGAAGATCTGGTCTATGTCTTGAGCACCAGTCTCTCCCTCGTCCATGGATACTGCGTTGTCCCGATCGATAGGAGCAGACTGATCCATCGGAGCCGAGCCCAGAGCCTGAGCATCAGCTTCAGTACCCTCATCTGGTAGATGCTCGAATCGGGAGCCAGATCCAGCCTTCTGTTCGGTCTCCCTCCGCTCATCTGATGGCCGAGCAGCTTCTATGTCGCGGTGCTGATCATACCACTCTTCTAGAATATCGCCAAGACGTTTGAAACTAGACCGCAGCTGATTTCCAGCAGCGTCTTCTGTGGTGTCGTTGTTGTTGTCTTGGGGGCCTTGTTGCCTGCCAGCTCCGGCGCCAGTGGCTTCTTCGGCGGTCTCTGACGGCTCATCTTGAGCAGTCTCAGAATCTTGTGTAGCTCCGGGCTGTTGCTTCGAGGTTTCGGCCTTCTCACCTCCGGTCCCCTCCTCAGCCCCAGCAACAGTCTCGTCTTGTGGCTCTGTGTTTGGCTGATCCTGATCTTGCATCAAAGTGTCTTGATCGTCGTCTTGACCTTCCGGAGCTTGCTCCTCTGTAGAGTCTTGAGCGAAGTGAGACTCTTCCGCAATGTCGTCTGTCTCACCTTCGAGGGTCTCTTCGTCTTCTTTCGCCTCTTCCACTTGATCCTCAGGTTCGTTGTCAGGTCTTCCATCTTGCCCGTCGTCGGTTCCCACCGATTCAAGATCCGAGTCATCCGGCTCAGCGTTTCTGTTGCCATCCATCGTGAGGTCGTCTGGCAGCTCGAGGTTTTGCTCTTCACCGGCTTGCGGGTCCAATTGATCAGCCGCTTCGTGCTCGGGGATGGCATCTTCCTCTGGCGCGGCTTCAGGCTCGCCAGTCTCTGCCAGGTCGCCATCCTGGTCAGGGGTCTGACGGTCTTGTTCTTGCTCCGTTCCAGCGGTATTTTCCTCATCAGCGGCCTTCCCTTTCCCACTGTCCGCATCCTTCTCATTCCGACCGTCGACGCCACCTTCATCCCACATCTTCTCGTCCACGGCATCCGGACCTATGTCTTCATTGGCAGCTTCTTCATCGATATCAGAGGCCTCCTCGCCGTCCTCTTCTCCTTCACCACCATCACCCTCCGTCTTCTTTGGACCATCTCCAAGCTCGCCTTCGAATTCCTCATCTGCCATGTCGACTGCATCTTTCTCATCTTCAAGTTCAGACTTCGCCTCATCCGCTTTGCTTTGAGCCAACTCCGAGATGTCTTCGTCATCACCGATATCCTTGCTGATGTCCTCCGCGCCCTCGCCTTCACCAAGACCAGTCCCCGCCTCTACGTCACCTTTCTGGTTAGAGGAATCTTGCGACTTCTCTGAGGGAGTACAGAACCCTCGCTCGCAAAGCTGAATGAATGAAGTCGCGAGCACATGGCCTGCTTGACTGAGCTGCCCATACCACTCGCAGCCTGCAGATAGCAGATGAACGATGCGCTGTTGGTAGGCATCGAATATTGGCGTGACTGTGCGTATGATTGAAGCGAGGATTTCGAGCGAAACTTTCTCGTCGTGATCGAGGTGCGCAAGCTCACGAGATAATGTGGCGAGCTCTTCCGCCAGCCTTTTCATCTGGAGAAGTCCTGTGACGTCTTTGTAGAGGCTGTGTTGCTTTGGGAAGTGACTTCGAGCCTCATCTCTCCTGGAATCTGTAGACATCTGCTCTGCGTTCTGCACTGCTACGAGCATAGTGTCGAGGACTCCGAGAGTCTTTTGCACCCAATGACCAGCACTGCTGGTCGCGTATCCGTTTGTTGACCGGGTGCTCATATCATGACGGTCAACCCACGGTTCTACGTGGGACAAGACCGGTTGTACCTCCGGGTGTGCCTTGATAGCCTGACGTACGCTGGCTACAACTTCTCGCAGGGTGCCGTCAATTCGAGAAAAGACGTCCGTGAGGTGATCTGCTTGTAGTCCAGCGGGTAGTCCTGGGGATTCTCGGCCATCTGCAATCAATTGAGAGAGTTGCGACTCACGGTCCTGAATCTCTTGCAAAGTGTCCTGGTAGTCGACGCCTGACAGCGTTCCCTGGTCTTGTAGGATAGTTCGAGTAGCACCAAGCACTGATGTAAACATGGATGCGTGGGGCAGTCCATCATCAAGAGTAGACGCCTCTGCAACGACATTGACTCCCATGGATTGCCCAAAGTTGCGGAGCTCTTTCAACGGCACGGCCATCTGCTCGAAATGGCTTGTTGCTAAGGCCAGAGCGTGGTGCTGCGACATACTGGCCTCGAGAACACTTTCAAGCAAGAAAAGGCACCGAGAGGCTTCGGCTGGTGTGAGATCGTCTGAAGGCTTTCTTGCGCTTTCTCGGGCCGCAGGCACAATGGCGATGAATTGATGGAAAGCATGCTCTACTGATGGTAGGTTCGGAAATGCATCGCTCGCTCGCAATGCAGGCAGCCTTGCTAGAACCACGCTCGTGTTCCTCTGCCGAGCGAGCACGTCGTCACTGACGGTAGATTGGAAGCCCAATGTACGCAAGTCCCGTAGAACATCTGCCAAAACTCTCCGCTTGCGGGTCTTTAGATTCTTGACGACTGCCTTGTTCTCATCTGTGAGAACAGAAGGAGTGGCTTTCTGAAGCTCTTTGATAGATGCTTGCAGGTCGGTAGTAAAGTCAGACAATCGGCTGGCGAAGTCAAAATCCTGGAAAGCATGTTCCAGCTTGTTGTTGATTGTGCGCGCAGTTGCTTCGACGTTACGGAACCGTTGTGGTCGACTGATCCATACCGAAAGCTGAGGTACATCTACCTCAGTGTAGGACACTACTGCACTCTCAATATGCTTTTGGGCTGGGGGTTGGTGAGCTTCAATTTTAGGACCTGCTGGAAGGTCCGCAGTCAGGATCTGAGCAACCGGCTGGGCCAGCAATGTCCGGAACTTGCGAACAAGACGAAGCAGCTTGCGGTGCGACGACTGTGCGCTCTGTCTCAGCGTATCAATGTTGCGATCCTTCCAGCTGGCGACCTGGATGACGTTCTTAACCTCTTTCTCTAGATCTCGTCGCCCGTTTGCAAGAGTTTCTTCGACCTTGGCGGTGAATCGAGAGTAGAACGCATTGAAGTTCCTGAGTGCGCTGTAGCGCTTTCCAAAATGCTCGTCCGACTTACTGCGGGTCCAGAGATGAGCTTCAAAGGCACGCAGTATGTCCAGGCGGGCACTGTACTCGCCCAGTCCGCTCGATGCCATGAAGTCGCCCAAAGCCTGAAGCAGCTCTTGCAGCACTGCTTGTCCATCTGCTGGCCCGTCGGTCTCCGCATTCGAGAGCATGATGTTTTCGTATGCAATGTACCACCAAGAGGCAGCGGCTTCCTGAGACTGGCGCCATTCATTATCAAAGAGGCCAGCCCAGCTGGAAAGCTCAAGCTGCCGCCAACTGACCACTAGGTTGGTAAGACGTTCAAGTATGTCGAGAACATTGTACTGGCGGCTGGCGATTGCCTGCCATTGGTTCACAGCGCCGTGTAACTTCTCGACGCGAGGGAGTAGCTGCGCAAGCGGCGTCGAGTGTGGAATTTGGAGTATCTCGTCGCTCTGCCGGAGAACTTCGACCGGCGTAGCGTGTTCAGCGAAGGTCTCATGAAGGCTGCGGAACCGGCCAACGGCTAAATTGATAACGCCGACCAGCACTTTTGCCTGTGCAGGGTTCGGATCTTTGTAGATGTTGTGTTTGTGTCCGCTTACCTGGCCAGACAGCTGATCATTCTGAACTCGAAGTGAGCGAACGAGGGCAGGTAGCCTGTGCTGATCGAAACCTGAGTTTGAAGGCTCTGGCGCGTCCCTCAACCAGCGAGCAGGAGCATCCAGAATGGATGGGGTAGCGGCAGTGTCGTTAGTTCCAAACAATCTTGAATGCAGCTGCGCAACATCAGGCGCCTCGTCTTGCGCCTTTGGACCTGATGAGTCGGCTGAGGTGGCAGCGGAAGGCGTCGCATCACCAGGGAACAGCTCATCAAGCTCTTCCAACGACGGCTCATCTTGCTGTTCGTCCAGTCCTTTGTATTTGTACAGGCTGGACTTTGCGGCATTCTGTTTTTGCCCCCGCTGAAGCTCGGTCCGCCATTGCACGTACATCTGGTGAAACATCCGCTCCGTGGCGTTCTGAAGCTCAGGTGAGGCATTGCTGGCTGGTAGCAGGGATGAGCGGACCGCTACGAGATTGAGCCAGTACAGTCTATCCCGCAGCGTTCGTACGCCGGAAGCAGCGCTGACGAACATGTCGTCTGAGCTCCAGGTCTTCCATGTGGCACCTGCGAGAGGTACCAAAGACTCTGTGTACGGCGTAAGCGACCCTGCGTCGTCAGACGCCAGTGATTTCGTGGCAAGTGTCTGAGCAACAAGAAGCCAGTCGATGAAGCCAACAGCCGGCCTCGCGAAATCGTCGTACTCTCTGTACTCCGTTGCCAAGCGTGACCTGACACGTACGATGTTCATCATAGTGCTGTCGTCAAGTGGAAATTGATCTGCTAAAGGTCCCACCGACTGGATCAGCGGCCGAATTACGCGCATGAGGGAGTCCAGCTCCGTCTTCATGTCCAGGAAGCGAGAAACCGCCGGTCGGTACGCATCTCCCGACGAAGGACCGTCACCGAGCGTAATAATATCCTCTTCAAGCATCCTCAGCCGTAAGGTGTCGGGCTGCGCTGTCAGAGTATCTCTGAAGGCCTTGAAAGCTTCCAGCTGGCTGACTAGATGCTCTCGGGTCGTGCGATGGGCATTCTGCTCAAAGCGCACGTCAAGAGCGGGATCGAAGGGCGTTGAAGGGGTGTAAAGCTCAAGGCATGACACAGCAAGCGATGCCCAAGCCTCTACCATTTGCTTTATGTTGGCATTGTCGATGTTCGGCAGCTGCGTGAGATAGGAAGAGGCGCGTCCGAGTCTGCTTAGAGCGGCGTGGATCCTGTCGTCCGCCTTGCGGACTCCAAGATTGCTGGTTCCGTCGTGGCTACGGCCTGCTCCATTGGAAGGGACAGAGGGCTGTATGAGGAGCTGATCGACAAGTTGCCTGTGATCCACACTCACAGCGTCGGTAGCGAGCGCAGGCTGGAGTTGGACAGCGAACGCTCTCATGGGAGCGTCGAGCAGGCGGACATCATCTACACTAAGAGTGTGTGCTTGTGAAGATACGAGTCGACCAAGGATCTGCACCTCTTCTCCGAGCAGTCGCATGCGTCCCAGGCTGACGTCTTTCATGCTCCGGAGTTGTTCTGTAAGCGGACGGATGTTGAAGGTACTGTCAGAATGCTGCTGGATGAGCGGATCAACGATGATTTGCAGGAGCTGCAGGTGTGTTTCGATCGGCTGGTCGCTGAGCATGGAGGTTTTGAGAATGCCGCCATTCATCTTCTGTGAAGCGAGTATCTCAAGCTTCGCCAGTTCTGATTCATGCATCCTCCCACCCACCCCGAGGTTGAACAATGCGAGCTTTTCAAGCACATGTCTGAAATTCGAAGCAAAGTGTGCACCATCTTCGGCTTCTGGAGGCAGGGTCTCCTCTGGATACTCTGACATCACCTCCTGGAGTCTTGACGAGAGTTGCGCTATGTTCTGCTGTCCCAGGGCTGCAAGGACAAGTGCCCGAGTGAACGAGATCCGCATATCTGCCATTGTGTCAAGTGAAAGTTCGTATGAGCGGCACCGGCGATCGAACTGGTCAGCAAGGGTCTCGAGGTGCAACAAGCCGTCCAGCTGCGCTCTCGTGGTAGGTATCACAGGGCGAAAGGACCGCCAAAGCGCGGTGCTCATGGATTGCTCAACAGCAGCAGAGTCGCCGAGAATACTCAAGGGCGTTTGGCAGATCTGAGAAAGCATTTCCTGGACGGCGGAGGGTGCGTTGGCCCCTCTTGCATTCAACAGCTTGGCCAAAGACGCCATATAGGAGAAGAGCGTCGTGGTATCGAGAGCACCTGAGCCAAGATATTGCAACAGGGCGAACCATATGCCGAACAAAGCTGTAATGATCCGGCGAACCTGATATTGATTAGCCAACGCTCAATGTCCACTTTGTGGCATCACTCACCGGTAAGACTTCTGGCGGAGCCAAGGCGACGCTTTGAGACCAGTCGACCAAAGATTGCAGAGCATTGGAAAAGGACTCAAGAATGATGCTAGATTTGCCACCACCCGACGTTTGTTTTGCGAGCTTGCCGTAAGAACGCTCAAGTCGTCTTAGAGCGGCGTGTTGAGCGCCGTTCGATCGAATAGACTCGATCATAGCAGACAGGACGCTTGCTTGCGTGAAGACTTCAAACACGAACGCAATCAAATGAGCGCGAGAGAGCGATGCAGGAGAGTTGCGTGCAAGGGCTTGGTTGCTGAGTGGATGAAACGTCTGTAAGGAGAGCTTACCATCAGCTACGGTAATACTTACTGTGGAGGCTGGATGACTGACCTGGATGTTGGCGAGGTCAGCAGACACCTGCGCTTGACCTACGGCAGGTGCGGAGAGCTTGTATACAGCTGCGACGCTTTGCATAGCAGCATGAGATGCTGTCGACCAAATCTGGTCTAACTGGCCAACGGAGCTCCCTGGCAAACCGTACAAACCGGCTTTGAGCTGGTCGATGAACCGCTGTATCAGTGGCACGTCTGGCATTTGACTGTGATCGGTCATCGTTCTGAGGAGCTCAGTTGAAGATGCGTCCGAAGTCTTCTCGAGAGCAATCAACTGGGCACGCCGCGTGCGAGCCATAGCAGACTCTGGGTGCAATGCTTCTGCGAGGCCACCTGTTCGGTCAGTATCATGCTTCGGCAGGTGGAGCTCAACAGCACGATTCCGCATCGCCCGGGAGAGCTCTCCGTAACGCGGATCGTACGTCAGGAATATCCTGAAGTCGGGATGAGGTCGCACTATGCGCGCTGCACCATCTTCCGTGGTGTGTTCGTTGATGATGAGAGAGCCACCTGGCTCGAGAAGGGAGTTGAGTCGATCGAGAACGGAAGGATTGCAGAGATTAGCGTTCTCCAGCACAAGCCACTTGCCTTCCTGCAGAGCGTCGACAAGAAGGCCGTCGATCCACTCGAATCTCGCCTTGTCAATCGTCTGATCGTTGTCCGAGGCGCGCTGCAGCGTGGCTTGCATTTCGGAGACCTGTTCAATGCTGAGCAGACCCTGCGTCTGCAACTCTGGCAAGGCAGCTAGGAGAGCGTTCTCATCGTCGCTCTCAAGCACAGCGACAAGCTCAGGTGAGTGCCGATGGGCAAGGCTGTCTTTCAGGTGCATGCTCAAGGCCGTGCGTATCTGCGTCCGAATGTGCATCAGCTGGCGTTGCGGATCTGCCTGGTCAAAACCACCGATCAAATCCATGGCATCCGAATCAGCGTTCATGGCGATCGTCGTTACTTCCGCGCCGACAGCAGTCGCAAGCTGATCGATCAGCGCCGTCTTGCCGACTCCAGGCGCTCCGGTTAGGATGACAGGCCAGTTCTGCTGCAAGCACAGCATGACCGACTGAATAGTTGCCAGATTGGTGGAAGCTCCAACAGCCGGCGATGGTGAAAGTGGCTTTGGTGGCGCGAAGCTGGCGTTCCTTTGCAATATTCCAAGGCCGATCTGCACAAGCTGCGTGGACATGCCTGGGAATAAGTCTGATGGTGTCTCGGTGCTATCGAAGTGACGAGCAAACAGATCAGCTACGAAAGCTCTATCGGTCTCTGAGCGGAAACGCTGCGAGAAGAGCAGGTCGACAAAGTCCCGAGCGGTGGCAGATCGAAGCAGGCCTTGGTCTGCCGAAGCAAGCGACAGCCAGCGAGACACATCGCGAAGGTTGAATTCCCAAGGGCCGCCGTTTGTGCCGATTCTTCGGCTTTGAACGACCTCGCGGTCAAGTTGCTCGACGAATGAGACTGCATTTCGGATGTCGCCTACATCGATGTCCGGGTAGAGTCGACGTGAGATCAGAACCAGATCCTCGGACCTAAACGCATCAGCAAATACGACAGTGAAGCGATTGACAAAGGATGCTGGAAGTCCTTTGCGACCTCCACCCTGGTGGTGTGGGTTCTGCGCCGCAAACAGGCGGAACTCTGGATGCCGAATAAACGTCTGTCCGAGCTCTGGCACGAACACCTCGCCACGATGGTCCAAGCAGGCGTTGAGGCCCTCGAGCACTGATTGTGAAGCCAGATTCATCTCGTCCAGAAGCACCCACTCGCCATTCTTCATGGCTCGGAGGAATGGAGCGTCCCGCCAGGCGAAGGAGCCCGTGGCAGAGCCCTCAACAGGAACATCAGAGCCGAAGAGGTCAAGCAGATCGGTCTGCTCGGAGAGGTTGATGCGAGTGAGCGGCATCCCCACAGCATTGGCGATGGCGGTGACAAGAGCAGTCTTGCCAACGCCAGGGCTTCCTTCGAGTAGCACAGGCTTCGGAAGTTGCATCGCGCGAACGACTCTCATGGCGTTGACTCTGGTTGTCGGAGGTTCGAAGGAGAACATTGAGCCAGATGCCGCATCCATAGAGTGACTGCGGAGGTTGAAAGGGCCTGTGCGAAGACCATTGCTGTTCACCTCCACATCGATCGGCGCAGAGTAAATGGCGGTTGCGTCACTTCCGAGCAGCTGCCCGGTCTTCTCAATACAGCGAGCGCGCTCGTGATCAAGGCCGGCAGTATTCATGGTCATCAGGCCAGCAGGATTGGCACCAAGCGTATCGACGTAAACCATCGCAGCGCCGTGCACTATAGCTGCTCCCGCGTCCTCGTTCGCAAAAGCATTTATGAAACCGACCCAGGCGAGAGTGTCTCTGATGGAGATTGAAGAGCTGGCTGAAGTGTTGTACTGCTCGTTGAACCACTGAGCGAAAGCGACGATCGCTGCAGTATTTGGCTTTGCACTCTCTGTGAGCTTGTGCTGGACAATCTGCGTGACATCCTCGATGTCGCTAAGCGGAGGTACCCAAATCTCGGTGAAGCGGTTCCGCAGCGCTGGCGAAAGCTCACGCTTGCCGTAGTCGCCACCCGGGTTCATGGTGGCGAAGAACTGGAAGTCTGGAGCCGCGGTGACATACGAGTCGAGGCTGCCCTTCTCCGCTAGGAGTATCGACCTTTGCGACTCCAACACGCTGTTGATACGCTCGAGCACGGAGTCATCAGCCAGTGAGATCTCATCCAGTAGAAAGAATGACCCTTCCTTCATGGCTTGGACCAAACTGCCATCTGCCCATTCGAACAGTGCCTTGAGACGTGTACGTTGAAGCTGGATCTCTGCATGCTCTTGGGTTGGAATGTGACTCTGCTTCTCAGCAGCGCCCAACGAGGCAACAGCGCGACCGTAAGCGTCCAGCAGGGCGTCGGTTGAGTGCGCTGCTGCTGTGTCCAGACTCTGCAGCAAGCTCGAAGACAGCAGCTGATGGCGGAGGCTCGCTTCGATGACGGCTCTGTTACGAACGGGACGCTGCGAGCCGATGATGTCGCCAGTCTCGGTGTTTTGGTGTGCGTTGACTGTGTGCAACGACTTTCCGAAGGCACCGGCCAACATCTGGCAGACAGTTGTCTTGCCACAGCCCGTGTCGCCGACGAGTAGGACGGGCTCATTGTTCTGAATGGCTCTCGAAACAAGACAGTAGAGTCTGCGCATCGCTTTCGTCCAGACCACGCCTTGATCGCTACCGCGCTGATGGTATTGAGTTATCTCCGGAGAGCTCTCCGAGTACAAAGCATCTTCATCAATACGCACGCGAGGCCCGTTTGTGCTCATGACCCTCTCGATGACCTCTTTGAGAGTCTGCCGCTCTTCTGGTTTCCGAACACGCTCGCCAAGAAGCATGAAGCCATTCGCTGCCAGGCTTTCGATGGTATCGTTCGGCCTCAGCGCCCAGCGGAATAGATCTCTCAGAGTGGCAAAGCTGCGCTGCTCGAACATGCGGCTCTCCTGCCGAAGCACCGAAAGCTCTCTATACACTGAAACGACACGCTTGCATCTGCTCTCCGGCAGCTGCGTGCGTTTTTGAAGAATCTCTTGAAGCTCATCAATTGGGATGTCACCGAAGTGCAGCTCGAGGAAGCGGTTGCGGAAGGCTCGCGATAGGGTCTTGCGGCCGCCATATAGTCCTGCAGGGTTCTGAGTAGCGAAAAGCATGAAGTTCTCGTGAGGTCTCACCACTTCCTGCGTCTCTGGCACGAGTAGCTCTCTGTTGTCGTCAAGGAGTCTGTTGAGCGCTTCAAGGACGTCTGTTGGCGCCAGATTCAATTCATCGAGAACGATCCAGTGGCCCTCACGAAGTGCTTTAACCAGAACGCCTTCCTGGAATTGCAGACGCCCATCAGCGCCTGACACGTATGTTCCGAGATATTCTTGAAGATCCGTATGCTCGTGGTTATTGATGCGAACGAACTTGTGACCACTCCGCTTGGCCAGATACTCAATCATGCTCGTCTTGCCGCTCGAGGTTGGGCCTTGGATTAACACCGGGAAGCGTCGTGTGCTGGACGCCCGGACAAGGTTCTCCAAATTTCTTCTGATGAATGGTGTGAGGATGTACTGCGGCTGCTCTTCAACAGCGAAGGCGCCTTGGCGAATCCAGTGCTTGCTGCCCGGGTAGCCTTGAACATATTTGAAGCCATCGCTTGGCGTCCTCAGTGACCTAGACAGTTCGGCGCGGACGTTTGTGCGTTTGCCGAAGATATACTGCTCGAGAAGCGGCTCGACTAAGCGACACGACTCAACGTCGAGGAAGGTCAGAAAGCTCATGTGGAAACCCTCGTAGAGCGCTCGCCGCAAGCTGCACAGCGGCGCAATATAGTTCGCGTAACTCAAAGTTCGGGTGAGCGTACGTAGACTGAAATGAGGCCTTTGTCCAGCGCCATCGACGAGCTGATTGCGTTCTGCGAGGCCGATGATATTCTGGTAAAGAGTGCTAACGTCTGTCGGGATGGCCGAATCACTGCCTGCTTCATGGCGCAGATACGAGCGCACGATGCTCTGCAGACTCTTGATGTCTTTGTCAGGGCTTTCGACGTAGAGCTCAGTGAAGCGCGACCGAACACCGGGTGGTAGATCTTTCTTGCCGACATCAGTGGCGGGATTCATAGCAGCGAAGATGCGGAAGTCGGGGTGTGCAGTGACCCGCTCGACGCTTCCAGACTCCGTGAGGAGAACCGATGGATTGCTGGCATCGAACAGGTCCGCGATCGACTCGAGAGTGTCCGGAGAAGCCAGATTGATCTCGTCTAGCAGCACCCAGTCGCCGTTCCTGACGGCCTTCACGATAGTGCCTTCTACGAAGCTGAAGGCGAAAGCATTGCTTCCAGTAGCGAGACGGCGTTCGAGATCGGATAGCTTTGCAGCAAAAGCGTCCCATCGAGTGAGGTCCAAAGTCTTCTTTGACTCAACCTTTCTCTTTTTGCTCGGACCTGAGCCTTGACGCGCCACGGAATCGGAGCGCTGATCATCGGCCATTTTCAGAGCTTGCCGCCAAAGCTTGCATACAGCTTTCCAGTTGCTCCTCGACATCTGCTTGCCCAGCAGATCTAAGAATTCCTGGTTCTTGCTGCGACTGAAGCCTGCCGAGAACAGCTCGTCGAATTCGTCCTTCAGCGGTATGATGATACTGCGCGGATTTACGGGCTTGAAGCCACCGAGCAAGTCACCTGCCTCGCTCTGCTGAGAAAGATTGAATGGTACCAACTTCTTGCCTAGATGGTTTGCCAGGTGCTGTACAGCTGTCGTCTTTCCCACACCAGTCTCACCAACAAGAAGCAGTGGCTCGCGGTTGAGGACGGCGGCTGCCACTCGTTCCAGCATACGGCACGTGTGTGGGTTGGTCGAGAAGGTGTCTTGGTTGATGTTTGTTTTCCGTGTCGCTTGAAAGCGAGGCAGGCTGTATCTTCCAACGGAAATCGCACTTTTGTTCACATCGTACTTCACGTCTCGGTCGGTGAGCAGATAATCGCGGCGCTGTGGGTCGACTCCAAACTCTTGAGCAATCACAGCCGCCATGTCGTTACGTGCAGAGCTGCCAGGCAGAGCGCCGACAAAGCTGTCGATCGCCTCTAGAAATATGCTGTCCACGTCCTGGCTGGTGAAGGAGGATGCATCATGCAACAGGCTGGCCACACGACCGCACCACTTCAAGAAGTCTCGAGGAGAGATGGCGCGGAGAACGCCAGTTCTGCTTTGACCGACCAGCATTGCACGCTGTCGGAAGGCATGTAGCCGCTCAAAGACTGTGATCATTTGCGGCATCAGCATGGCCAGCGCCGGGTACAGCTGATTGGCGATGTCGCGAAGCTCGTTTGTTTCTGGCGCGTTGATTTCGAGCATCTGCCAGTGCCGGGCGCCTAGCATATGAGCCAGGGGTGACGTTTTCTCGCCTCGATGATTGATGGTGCTTCTTGTTGTGGCCAGAATGCGGAAGCCTGGCGCAGCATGGAGAGTCTGCTTTCTGTTCGCGATCATGAGTTCCCTCTTCTCGATAAGCGGAAGAAGCGTGCCGATAATTTCATTCGGCGCCCGATCTAGATCCTCGATCAACACCCATCGCCCTTCCTGCACAGCTTGTGTCAAAACACCAGGTCTCCAAACGAACGAACCGGGTGTATCGCCAGTCGTGTATATGCCGATTAGAAGCTTTGCATCGCTCTGCTCGTTCAGATGCAATGTGATCATGTTGTCCAGGGCGCCTAGCTTTTGAGCAAGGTGTCTCGCCAAGAGCGTCTTCCCCGATCCAGCAAGACCAGTGAGCATGAGCGGTTGAGGAGACTTCAGAGCGGCCGCGACTGAGCAAAGATTCTTCTGGATGGTCGATGTTTGCACAAGCCTTACGTCTGAGGCGGGGCCAACTCCTTCAGAGCTGGAAGATCTTGGTACAAGAGTGCCGCCAACCAAACTGCACGAAGGGTGAAAGCAGTCGCTCGAAAGGACACGATTTGACCGTCTGTCGCCTTCCACAAAGCCAGAACGTACGTCTTTGACAAGCTGATTGACACTGGATAGACGATCCTCCTCCCAAAGCGTCAAAAAACGGTAGTCGATGATCCTGTCATCCCACCGGCCTTCGATGCGATTCTCAGGACTGTCCTGGCCCAGGTACCGCTTCACCATCTGCTGGAACCAGTGGTCGGCGCCACTCAAATAGATCTGAAGCATTCGAATCGCCAAGTAGACCACAGGCTTGCTTGGACTTTCAAGCAATTGCGAGATCGTCGAGGGCTTGATGAATGACTTGAACGCGCGCCAGTCGGAGCTGAGAAGCCGGAATAGCCCGAGTAGATACAACAGGTCTTCCTCGCTATCTCTGGAAGGGCTGAACGCATACTGCTCGGAAGACAAGAGCTGGTGTGCGTAGGGTTTGAGACAGGGTGCAACTGGAACGATCCGCCCGAGAGTGGCGACTGCTGATGCGAAGCTGCCATGGTATCGCAGGCTAGCGCAGACGTGTGCATAGATGTCCTCACAGTGCGCGAGAATGAGATAGGTGTATCGGGAGTCGAGAGATGCCTTGGTGATGGAGCTCAAGTACTGCTCGTTGCTGCCATGCTGGATCGTCTCCAGAAGTTCAGGTGGCAGCTCTGCAGCGCGCTGCAACAGACCAGCATCCCAGACACACTCCATGGTCGGGAGAGTGTCGTTTTCCAGTGGTCCAGTGGGCGTGAGGTGATGTTGCAAAGCCTTAGCAAAGTGCTGCTCATCTCGATCAATCCACTCAAAACTTCACGATGCCAAGCCGCTAACCGAAAGGAGATGGGCCATTGGCCGCAGTCTCTCGAGACGATGAAGTGCACGCTCGAGACTAAGGTATTGAACATCACTCCAGGGCCATCTACACATCCACCACGATGTCACTCTCCTGCCAATACGCTGCCCGGCAGTGCGTCCGATCTCTCCCTTCATCTCGGCAACCCACACTTCGATGCGCCAACGCAGCAGTCACTAGGAGAAGACGGCAGGAGTCGAGACGATGGCAGTCTACCGAAGCAGCAGCACCTTCAAACCCCAAGATTGCCGGCATCGTGGATCAGATCAGTCAATTGACATTACTGGAGACTGCTGATCTAGTATCTACGCTCAAAGTATGATGCGCAGTGCAAGACGGTATATCCAGAGCTAACCATTGCCCAACAGACCCGTCTGAACATCCCCGACATGCCCATGGGAGGCTTCGCAGCCGCAGGACCAGCTCAAGCACAAGCCGCAGCACCAGTAGAGGAGGAGGAAGCGGCGCCGAAGCAGGAGGAGAAGACCCTCTTCAACCTCAAGCTGGAATCATTCGATGCAGCCGCGAAACCCAAGGTTATCAAGGAGATCAAGAGCATGCTGGGGCTGAGCTTGGTGGACAGCAAGAAGTTTGTGGAAGGCGCGCCTAAGCTGATGAAGGAGGGCGTGCCCAAGGAAGAAGCGGAGAAGACGATTGAGACGCTGAAGGCGCTGGGTGCTGTCGTCAAGATGGAGTAACATCTTTCGAGGGGGGCATGGCCTGGATGTACGGGTAGATGGTCGCATTTTGCCGGCGTTGGAGCGGCTTAGGTCGGCCCATGTGCCATATATGTACAAAACCGACTTCTTCCATTCGCCGTTCACGATTCGACAAACTCGCGCTCGTGACGTCTGAGCCACGGGAACCATACACTCGACTAACTAAAGTCATCCCGCCCGCAGTGTACGACCGATGATGGCAAGCATGGAGGGCAAGATCTTGTCGTATGGTTTACTCGGAGTATAGGCGAACATATGCCAAGGGATATGGTGGCTCAGTGAAAGCTTGAGTCACACCTCTGCTGTATTCACCCGCGCCGCGCAGTCTTCCCCCCAATAAGCATTTCGAGCGGCATGTTACACTGGCATGAGTGAATACGCTGCGCCATAACATTTTGAGGCCAGAACAGTCGTCTCGTGCCACTCGACTGGAGACCCCGGTTCCGCGGCTCCATCGGAATGAACGGAAGAAAAGACGGCACGAGACGATCGATGCTTCTTCCAGCTGCACAGCCAGACCATCCGACCTGCTTCAACCAGCACCGCGGAGTAAGGTAAGGTATAATAACCACAACCGATTCGTACTCTTCCAGTATCGATGTAGGTCAACAGTCTTCGAAATCATGAATCTCCTCATCCTCTTCACCGTGCTCTCCTCCACCCTCTTCCACACCACTGCATCCGCACAATCAAGCCAAAATGCCACAACCTTCGCCCTCCTCTACGGCTACCCCCTCCTCGCATGGCAGAACTACTACGCCCCAATCATAAACGAAGTCGGAGCCAACACCTGGTACCACAACCGTAACCTCCAGACGGCCGCTGATCGCGAGGTCGTCAAACCAAACGTCGACACACTGTACAGCAACTTGGTCTACGATCTCCCCATCCAAAACATCGAAATCACCATCCCTGATATTCCGGCTGATGAGTTCAAGCTTTTCAGCTTCTACGATCCGTACGGCGTCAACTACGCCAACGTAGGGACGAGCGGCTTCTATAAACCAGGCAAATACCTCATCAAACCCTACAATCGCGGCAATGGCAACTCCGCCGTCGGCCTGACGAACTCCACCTCCTCCCGTTACGTGGGAGTAGTCAACACTCCCAACTTCTACGGCACTATCCTGGTCCGCTGGGGCGCCACCTCCTCCAACCTTCCCCAAATCCACAAATACCAAGACGCCTGCTCCGCGTTCCTCGTCCCCACCCCCGACGCAATCGTCGGCCCCGCCGCCCCGCCGCTCCTCCAATCCCTCATACCAGTCTACAACGACTCCGCCCTCCCGGCCCCGAACGTTCTGAACCTCCTTGTGGCGTTCGAACCACCTAACCCCCCGCCTCAACTCGCTGCAGCTGGCATCTCGGCTTGGAACCATTCCTACACGCCACCTCCCAACGTCGACCTCGATCTGGCGAATGCCACCGCGCTCAGGCAGGCTCTAGCCACGACCATCTTACCCTCCACCAACAAAGCGTTAAACAACAACTGGACCCTCCTCGCCCCCTCCACCCTCGGAATCTACGGCGACGACTACGCACTTCGCGCCGCCGTCTCTTTATCCGGCTATCTAGCCCTCCGGGCTCCATTCGCGATATACCCCACCTTCAACAACGTTTCCGCCTCCAACCCTGGGAACGCCGGCGTCATCTTCCTCGAAGCAGACGAAGCAGTCCTCCTGACCTTCTCCGGAAAACCGCCTGTAGATTCCCAAGCAGGCTTCTGGAGCCTCACGGCTTACGGCGGCGACCTAGGAAGTTATCATCTCGTGCCTAACGAGAGAGATGTGTACGCGTTGGGGGACAGGAGTAACCTCACTTATCCTAACGGCGGAAGAGTCTACGGAGGTAACAGCACGGGTGAAGAATTCCAGATCCTGCTCCAACCAGCCGATGTCCCTCCACCAGCGAACTGGACGAGTAACTGGCTCCCCGCGCCCAGCGGAGGGGGGAACGTGGTACCGCAGCTGCGGTTCTATGGGGCGGAAGAGCCGCTGGAGGAGGGGACGTACGTCTATCCCAAGGTTGAGAAGATTGGTGTGATTACTGGACAAGGGGTCACAGTGCCTGCTACGGGGGCTGGGAGTAGTGTTGATGTGGTGGGCGGGTCGGTGGTGGCGGCTGTGGTGTGTGTGTTGGCTTGCGTGGTGCTGCTTGGCTAGACTTCGACTCATGGAGATAGTGAGATAATGCGAAGAATATGTGTACAAGCGCTACCCGACCGCCCAAGGCTACTACCCCTCCCCGTCTCTACTCCCCACACTCTCCCCCAAACTCAGGCCCCTCCTATGCCCACCCAACAACCCCGCCTCGTCCTCCCTGCCCTCGCCCTCCTCCCGCAGAACCCCTGTCCCTCTACCCACCTTCCCATCCTCACCCTCGTTCAACACAAGCCATAAATCCTTCTTCGTCATCAAACCCGCCAATACGCCTCGATCTACGAACAAAATATACCGTAGCCCGAGTTTCTGGAACATATCGTTCGTGATCTGGAGATTCGAGCGCGCGGACAGCGAGATAGGGGTCTGGTCCATCCAGGGGCGGAGGTCGAGGGTGACGCTGGGGTCGGCGAGGGGCGTATGTTGGAAGAAGCATCGCGTTTCTGCGGGGAGGTTGCGGGTGTTAGAGGTAGCGGAGTCGAGAGCGAAGAGCAGCTCCGTGCGGGAGATGTAGCCTAGGAGTGTAGCTTCGTGGGTTGCGGAGATGACTGGGAAGCCGCGGAAGCGGTGCTCGCGAAGCAGGTCTTGGAGGGTGGAGATTGTGTGTCCGGTAGAGGATATGCAGACCAGATCTTCGAAGCGTGTCATGATTCCTGCAACAGGCACATCAGGAACGGGGGCATCGTCTTTGTTATCCAGGAACGGGTAGCCTTGAAAATGAATCCAAGACTCGTAAATGCCGCGTTTGCCAAACGCGTCGCCAACCCATTTGCTCAGCATCACGGCCACCATGATTGGAAGGACGTAGGTTAGAGCGCCGGTGAGCTCGAACATGATGACCACGATCGAGACCGTCATGCGTGTGGCGCCTGCCAGAGCGGAGGCTGCGCCAATGACCGCGTAGGTTCCTGGCGTGACGCAAGGTATGTCTGGTTCAATGGCGCAGGCGCGGAAGACGATGAAGTCCGGGTGGTTCTGCTGCCAGACTTCCATCACGAGCCCGACGACGCGGCCGTAGAGTGCGCCGACTGCCATTGAAGGGAGAAGGATACCAGCTGGGATCTGCAGACCAAAGGTTATGACTGCGAGGCAGAAGCCAATGAAGGCGGAGATGAGGAGAATAAAGATGACGCCGGTGTTTGCAATACCAGCTTTGCAGAGGCCGAGGTAGTCGTCTTCCAGGTCCCGACATTCAGCGAACAAGTACTCGACCAGCTCGCTTGATTGAGCGCGGAGGAAAGTGATCGGGAAGCTGATGAGAGCTGTGAGGAGCGCGACGGCTGCGACTTCGAGAAGTGGGCGGTTGAGGAAGGGATTGCTTTTTGAGCTGCGCCAAGCGGCGACCTTCATATTGAGTTTGATGAACATGGCGCCGTAGAGACCTCCGATAATGCCAATAACGGCGAAGGGCACGAGCTCGAAGGCATGCCATCCGCTGCGGTAGGCGACCTGGAAGAGGACGAGCTTGCCGGTTCTGAACGGGTCGGAAGCGTGTAGTGTTACTGCCGCGACCATTGCGCAGACGAAAGCTGCCCACATGGTTTTGTCCGGGAAGTAGTAACTCAGCTGCTCCAAGCTGAACAACACACCGCCGATGGGAGCGCCAAAGGCGACAGATATACCGCTGGCGGCGGCTGCTGAGAGGGTCTCGCGCTTGCGGGCCTCGTTGCCATTGATTCCATCGAAGAGCTTCATGAAGACGTTGGCGCAGCAGCATGCTACGTGTACGAGCGGTCCCTCTTTGCCGAGCCACATTCCAGAAGCGACAGCCAGGCATAGTCCTAGCGATTTGATAACCAGAGTCCAGGCACCCAAGAAGTGGCGGATCACGAAACCTCCCAGGACAGTTTTGATTTCGGGGATTCCGCTCTGTTTTGCGTAGGGCGAGTACTTGATAACCAGCAGGCTCGCACAAGAGGCGAAGAGGACCTAGACTTGTCAGAGTCACCTCCCTCTGCGCAGCGGTATACACTCACCGAGAAACATGTGAACAACAAATACTCCACCACAAAACTCCCAAACGCACTCCCTATGCCCATGGCATCCGCCCATGTCCTCCAATCCCGACACACCGCAAACGTGTTCGTCTCCCAACAACAAAACGCCCTGTTCAAGTAGAACTTCCCCCCATCCTGCACATTACTGCACACCCCCGTCTTTATATCACCCAACCAATCACTCGCCACATCAATCCCCGCCGCAATACCTCCCACCGCCACCCCCGTCGCGACAAGGATCCACCATATCTGACTGCTATCCGCGAAAACTTTCACCTGCCCCAGCACGCCCGGGTTGTTAGTCGTGAGCTGCCGTAGCCGTGTGCGCTCTTTGCTGTACTCGTAGATCCAGTCAATGGCGGTCAGGTTATCATAGCCGACGCGCCGGCCGGGGCCCTCGACGTACCAGTCCAAATGGCTGCCGTCTTTGGCGTCTTGGAGGCCGGCGCTGGGGTCGGCGGGGGTGTTGAGGTAGGAGAGGATGGTGTTGGGTGTAGCGGCGCGGAAGAGGCTGGCGGGAGATCGAGAGGGGGAGGGTGAGCCCCGGCGGTGGGGTTGGAAGGGGGAGGTGAGGAAGCGGGAGGCGAAGGATTGGGAGGGGGAGGTGGGTTGGCGGTTGAAGGAGGTGCTGCAAGGTATTAGTCCGACTCGTTTTGGTATATCCTAGAGTGCGCGTACGATTCATTCAATCCTCCATCATGCAGTGGATCATCGGCCAACAACTCTTCATTCCCGATATCGAGGCCATCGTCGGAGAAGTCGTCGGCGCCGGGGGAGGGGGTCAGCGGACCGCGACTGGAGGATGCTAAGGCGGGCGCATGTCCGGACTGGTTCGACGACGAGCTGGACATGGAGTCGAAGCCGAGACTATGAACATATGCGCATTCTGTTGTACAAACTATAGAATAGTAGGATGAATAGGGTTGCTTTCACATGCGCCGGCACGCGGTTTCTAAGTCCGGCTGCGCCCTTTTTGGCTGAATCGTCACTGTGGGCTACCGTATACACATATTCTTGACCTCACTCGTTCTAGGAGATCTCAAGTATAGGAGTCCGGGACCGAAACGAACAATCCTTGAATGGGCATTGAAGATCTTGAACCACTGCACATACAAGCTACTCTGCACCAAGCTAGCTTCAGTGACTCCGTTATCCACAAGGTATAATCTTCGGTATCATCTCAGGCCATCGCCAAGAGGAGGTCTTTCGTCTTGTGATCGCACTTCGCACAGTTTGATGCAAGCGCGCATCAAGTAGCCTTCACATCCGTCCATCAGTTATCCTCCACACCCGCCCTTTCATCCTCACTCTCACTCTCACTCTTCACCAACTCCGCCTCATCCTTAACCACCCCCGTCGCCGCATGCCCCATACTCGACACATACAGGAAGAACGGCTCCTTAAAGTTATCCACGTGATTGAAGAACTTCACAAACTCATTCTTCTCTTCCTCCTCGCGGAAGATCCTCTGGTAAATCTCCCGCTGCTTGAATGCCTCCAACTCCTTGTCGAACTTGCCGAAATCCAGCTTGTCCCGTCCGTGCTTGGGCGCTTGAATGTTGTTGTAGGAGTCGAAGACGGGCCGCTCGAGAAGGAGGCCCAGGCCGGGTACTTTGGGGATCGAGTAGCGTGCTTCTGTCATTGACTTGCTGAGCGTGGCGAGATCGGCTCCGCTGCGGACGAGGAGTGTGACCATGCCGACCATCTTGCGGATCTGGTGCATCATGAAGCTCTGTCCGTGGACTTTCAGGCTGAGCCATTCGGTCTTGTCTTCGTCGGGTCCGTCGCCGATGAGGATAGGTTGCGGGTTGATAACGAAGGATTTGATGTGGCGCTTGGCGCTGGGGTCACGGAAAGTCTTCTGGATGGTGTAGTTGTGGAAGTTGGAGGTGCCGACGAAGCGGGTGAGGGCATCTTGAATGCGATTAATACGTTGAGCGGGGATGCGGTATTGGCGTTTTGCGGTGTTGTAGGCGGCACGAAGACGCTTGGTTGCGGCGCGAAGACGAGTCTGACGGTCGTACTCTTCTGGGGTGAGTTGAGGCTTGGTGGATGTGGTGATTGCTGGTGTGGAGTCTGTTCCCGTAGGAGCGGCTTCGTCGGTAGATGGTGGTACGGCCCCAGGCTCCGCTGTGGTAGGTGGCGCTGCAGCTTCCAGGCTCTTCCCAGCTTCTTCTGTCGCCTTAGAATCCGCATTGGCCGCTGGATCGTTGATGATGACCGCCGCCTCCTCGGTCTTCTCTTCTTTCACTTCCATGGCCCCAGCATCTGCATCAGCCGCCGTGCCAACCTTGACCGTCTGATCCATGTCGGCATCCACTTTCCCTCCCTTCGAAAGAGCTTCGTCTTTGCCTTGCAGCGCTTTGATGACATCGTATCGTATGTCGTCGTCGATGCTGTCGAGAATCGGCTTGATCGCTGCTTCCTCCACTGTAGCCCAGAATGCCCTGACCTCCTCCTGCCTGGTGTCGTATCCCTCGCGGTCACCCGCCTCATCGGCAAGCTCCTCCAGCTTCTTCGCCAGCCAGCTGCTCGGATGAGGTGGCAGAAATGCATACGACGGGATCAGGTACTCGTACCAGCGGCTGTCGCACGCCTGATAGCAGCTGAAGCTTCCGATCGTCCGCTCGATACCCCAGACCCTGATCTGTGGGCTTAAGGCAGCATTAATCTTCTCCACGATGTCGTCATCCTCAACAATGAGCTTCAGGCTAATCATGTTGCCTGCGGCATGCACGTTCTTGTCCGTCCTCGCACACCTTACCAGACTCGCTTTCTTCGGATCGTCAGCATTGGCCTTGCTGATCGCGCCTGCCTCGATGAAAGCCTTGAACAGATCGCCCTCGATAGTCTTCTCCTGCGCTGAGATCTGCATGCCCTTATACCCAGTCCCAGAGTAGCCGATCAGCACCGCGACCTTGCGCTTCGGCCGGCGCTCTTCAGCATCGATCTCTTCTTTGGAGAATGCGGTGCCGTACTTTGGTCCATCGCCTTCTTCACGTTTCACACGGGAAGCATCGGTGCGTTGACGCTTGTCTGGGTTCGAGGCGCTGGCGGGTTAGTCAGTGGTTGGGCGCACATGTCATTCAGAGGAACTGAGCTCACTAGTACTCTCCTCGACCCATATCGCCCCTCTTATGTCTCGTATCGTCGTGAGCACCCCCTCCTCGGCCTTTGCGGCTGCCTTGGTTGCGACCGGCATTCTGGAAGTCACCTTTGCGTTTCCGCTGGTTGAAGTTGTTCGAGCGGCCGTCGCGAGCGCTGGTTGTGCTACGGCTGGTTGAAGAGCGTTCTTGGACCGCGTCAGTTGCGGCATCATCAACACGCTTCCCGGCATCCTCCATGATGGCGGCAGAGTGGTCCATGGCGGCAACTGGCATAGACGGTGCATTGGCTGCTGAAAGTTCAGCAAGTGAGCTTCGAGTCGAGTTTGCTTAGATTTCAGCTTATCGTGAAATCTGGGGCTAGCGTCGGATCTACGCGCAGCTAGTATGCTTGTGCTCTCTTTCGCGACTTCACCTGAAAGTTGGACGAGAGAGCAGCAGCGCTTCATTGCGTTTGCCACGACAACACACAAGGCCCGCCGCCTCCACCTCTTCTCCACCACCCATACGCCATCGATACGCCCTCATCACTCTCGATCTGGCCACATCACCACCTCGGAGAACACATTCCGCAACATGGCGGACCTCGCGACCCTCCTCCTGCGCACCACCGCCCGCGCCTTCTACCCAAACGAGCATGTCCTAGTCATCGATGCGCTCATCCTTCACTCGACCCTCTCAGATGCCGACTTGGCCTACGCCCTCGGCATGAACAACAACACCAAAGGCCTCCGCAAACTCTGCGGCCGCCTAAAGGAAGATGGCCTGGTCTCAGTCCAGTCCCGCGCCGAACGACGGACCGATGGCACTCAATCCTTCTTCCCAGGCAGTCAACCAGGGCAAGGCAAAGAACGAGTGACCTACCGCGATTGGTACTACCTCAATTTTCACCATGCAATCGACAGCATCAAGTATCGCATGTATCGCCTGAACAAGCATGTGGAGAGCCTCGGCGCTCCAACCACGGAGAAGAAAGATAAGATCTGCCCGCGCTGCAAATCGCAATATACAGATCTGGAAGCTATGGACAACATCGACTTTGCAACCGGAACCTTCTTGTGCGGAAAATGCGGCCACGAACTCGAGCCTGTGGAGGAAGAGACCCGCACGAACGAGAACGAAAGTATGAAGCGCCTCAACTCCCAGCTTGAGAAATTGCTCCGTCTTATGCAACAAATCGACGCCACCACCGTGCCCGAAAACGACTTTCAGACCGCGCTGAGCAAACAGAAACCCGTCATCCGCTCTGATGCAAATCCAGGCCAACAGCGTACCGAAATCGTCGACATGCCCAATCGCAATCTCCAGAGTACACGAGGTCTGGACATCAAACCGGAGCGCATTGCAGTGCAAGTCCAGGACGACGCGGAAGTTAAGAAGGAATCCGAGGTCGCCGAGGCAGCTGCGAGGCGGGAGAAGGAGGCGCGGCAGAACATGCTGCCAGACTGGATCGCGAAGTCCACCGTTTCTGGAGACATCACTGCAGTAGGCGCTAAGGAGGCGTTGCTGAGGCGAGAGCGGGATGCAAACGCTGGCGTGGGCCTGGGCAGGGAAGAGTCGGAGGAGAAGAAAGCGGTCAAGGATGACGGAGAAGATGCTTTGGCAGAGTATTTCAAGCAGATGGAGGCGATAAAGGCTGAGGAGGCTGTTAAGCGCGCCGAAGAGGATGAGGCGGAGGAGGAGGAAGAAGATGAGGATGAGGATGACTTCGAAGATGTTGGTGGGCTGGGTAACGGGAATGGCGCGCCGACGAATGGCACGGCCAATGGGGTTAAAAGTAGTGCAGTGAGCAGTGTGGTGGCAACGCCGAATATGGAGAGCAGTAATGCCACGGACGATGAGAGGGATGCGAAGAGGATGAGGGTCGATGGGCCGAATGGTGGCGTCAATGGGAACGGGAGGGTGGAGGAAGCGAAATCTCTCGAGGGCACACCTGCGGCGAGTGACGAGGACGACGATCTCGAGTTTGAGAACGTCTAAGTTCGAGAGGAGCCAGACTTGTTGCGATCATTTTTATTGCTTATGCGTTTAGCGTTGGCGCTTGGGACGGTACTGGAGAGCTTGCGATGCTCTCTATTGTTGGGTGCCGGAATACAAGACTTATTTCGTTCTAGCAAAAGCTACTTTTCTGCCCTCTAGGGCCAACTCTCAGGCTTTTTCGGGACCCTTGGCCCAATATCCACCATGCCAGCGAAATGTTGGCTCTGCGTCCACTGCAATACTCGCTTTTCCCCGTTGAACGTCCGGAACTTCCTGTTTGTTCTTCTTTGCTACTGGTCTTCCTATCTGGTCTCTTCTTCTCCGGAGGTGAGTTCTGCCTGTCCTTCCAAGTTCCAGGCTCACACCTTGACGACACAGATGCTCAGCCATCTTGAACCGGTCGCATTTGCACACGGTCGACTAGGTTTAGTTACTTACGTTGACCGATCAGGATGGGCTGAGGCTTGAAGTAGTAAAGCCTCCTTCAATTATCGGGAACCATGATGAAAACAACAGAGTGCGGATGAAAGAACGATTCAACAACACCATACTCCTAAACAACGGGCGCTGGAGAGGTTGGGCCACAGGAACTCTCGGCCCAATCATTGCTCTTTCGTTTCGAAACGCGAAGCCACGGTGCCTCTTGGGAGCGTTTGAGGGGATCAAAACAACCGGATTTGGCGCAGCCGCACCAGGGCCGTTTCATTCGGAGGCGCTTTGCATGTCTGCCGAGACATTGTGCTGTCAATACCTCAGTCAAGGCAAGGCTGGGCGACACTCATGTGCAAGTGCCTAATTGAAGTCATTGCCTCGACTAAGCATAGTTGTTAGGATATGGCCCCTCGGCGAGTGCAGTAACTCGATGACCCACCCTCGTATCCATAGCTTGCGTTGCGGACAGCAGCGCGGCCTGTTCTCACAATTCCAAAGTCTTCAAAACCCGGGGGAGCCGGGTTGCAGACGGGTATCACAATATCACACGACAAGAGTAAGCAGCAAATGTCCCAATAACGAATTGCAGGTATATTAATCACGAGTAATGACGCCAAAGCACATCCCAAAGCAATTAAAGCGAGTGAATGCAACACCACCATCCCGCGCACGTAAATCCAATCTCAAACTCTACCAGGACACTTAGCCTCTGGCAACCCCCATACCACAACTTGCGCCTTGCCACAGCAAACGTACTCCAGCCATCTTTTGCCGTTCACTGTTGGAGGAATATCGCATGCAAGATCATGGTCGCCGGTCCGATAGGGTCTGCGGGTTTTCCGGGTAGAGGTGAAAGTGCTATAGACAAGAAGTTGTTGTTGATTGCTTTCGCGATTGGCAACATCGTTTCAAGCATCGCTATGATAAGCATTTGCCTATGAACACAGTCAGCGACCCACAGAAGATCATGGCGAGCAGGAATGTCGTCATGCTGGCAGGATAACGGAAATGACTTACACATCTGCTCGTGCAAGGGCTTGCACCTTGCCGTCGACCCCTGTGTTGAAGGATACCTGGAACTGTGTAGGCATACTAGGGATGCCGATCGCGAGATCAGCCTCTTTCTGGCCGTTCGTGATAGCTTGGGTGACCGCGTCGATCATTCCTACGACAGTATCGCTGAACCCGGGCGTATCAAAAAAGGGTATCTGCGGCCTGTTGATGTTGCTCAGGATGTCACTGTTGGCGGATGCCACGATGAGTTGGACGCCGCTCGCAAGTGTGAGTACTCTTCCATTGGCTATCGGGGGCCTGTCAACTTGTCTGCGCACAGGGGACGCGGTGGTGGCGTTCGAAGCATCGGGATCCGTGACGAGTGACCCGGTCGTGGTGTTGTCGGTAGTGCTCAGCGTTCCAACCAGGTCTCCAGGAGTGGATGGTACTGTTGGGACGTCGGTGTTGTAATCCTGGACGAAGCACTGGAGGTTGCCGCCAGGTGTCGCAGTGATAGAGCCACCAATCACGTCTTGGAATGTTTGCATGGCACTAATAAAACCTGCCTGAGGTGGGTTCGTGAACAGATCAGTCTCCATGTGGAAGGCAGCCTCCATCTTCCCTGTCTTCACGTCGCAATGGCAGCCGAGTGGGACGCCGCGACCCTTCATATGCTCGAACCAGTTCTTGCAGATTGACTCGCGGGAGTCCTTGTTGACATTGTCCATCTCGACGTTGTATTGGATAGAGAATTGGCCATTGAAAGTCGTTTGAAAGGCCGAGCAGAAAGAGACCTGTGCTCGCACTTCAGATGCAAGTGCGTCGCTGAAGAACGCTGCTAGCCCAAAGGCAAAATGAAAGGTTCTAAGCTGCATCTTGTAAGTCGATTCGGTCGGAGGTTCGATGTCGAGACAATGAATCTGGGGTGTGCTGAAGTACAGACAGCTGCGGCGCGAGCGGCAAAAGCGTCGTAATTGGGGAGTCCTAGATAAGGTAGGTAGGCAGTGGTAGCTTCAGCCTTGGGAACAGGACTTGGAGGCTTTATGTACCGAATCGAAATCGCAGAGCCCCGAAACTGCATGCCGTGAGTTTGTTGTGTCTGTACGCTACAACACTTGTTGCGGTGTCAGTGCCCTGGTATCTAATGCGATGCATGGATCAAAGCTGGTTGCAGGCTCCAGGCTCACGTTATGTGGGTCCTCGTAACTTGGAACATCCTATGGTCGACGGTTGAACAGATCGTCGCTATGTAGGTGCTCGGCAGGTAGAACATATCCACCAGGAGCAGGCCGGATGTTTAAGACCACGCGACTTACAATAATAGCGCCTGTCCATTCTAAACACGTAAGTAGAGGACCTCTAGCGCGCCTGTGCTTATACACGAGTACCTATATCAGTCCATGCAGAGCTTCGATTGCTTCGCAACTCCATTGCACCGATAGAGTCAATGGTAGGAGGTAGAGTCGTGGAATCAGCATGCCTTGGGAATTGTCTTGGCGCTTATGGCAAGGGGCTCCAGTGCTACGTACGTAGGGTCTTGCCAAAACATAGACATAAGCCAATGAAAAACCCGAGCTTCTTTGCGCAAGTCGATAGGAGGCCGACAGCTGCTAAGATCGTCGAAGTGGTGGTGAGTGTATCCGAGGAACAGAATACTGATCACGGTCTGGTACTGTGTTGCTGACAGTCCAAGGTCAACTGTGATATCGGCCAACTTGGCGGCGGCTGCGTTCTGTCTGTCCAAGTAATTCAAAACCTATCGTGGTCGCATGTGATCGTCAGTCAACGTGGGTATAGAGGGATGTCGGTTTTCTGCACGTAGAGAATAGTCATCGCTGGCATAATGATCAGATCCAGCTTGAACGTTGCCTTCCTTCCAAGCCTGGTAAGTCCATCTTGTGGCATTGCTTGTAGCATGTCTTGCAATGCTTCGACATCTTGGACTGGCTTCTCAATGGTCTCGATCTCTTGGTTGGCTGGCTTCTCGACCGACATCGTGGAATTGCTTGAAACGGAACGGATGTGACGTAGTATAGGAAGAACAAGTATGTTGCATCCCAGGACTGGTGGTCAGCACTACTTATCTCTTCCCAACGCACCCACCCCAAAAGCCTAGCCCCAGGATTCCCCTCTTTTCCAGGCTGCGTTTGAGTCAGTAACCTGGTTCATTCGGCTTTTGAGCGACATCTTGGGGGTCCTCGGGAACGGAGAACTATCTATCTCATTGCCGTACGAACTAGCCGTCGAAAACCTGTGGCAGCATTCATCGCGCAGGAAAAGAAGTGCGATCAGTCGATTGTTTAATATGACAAGCACGATGGAGCTGTTCTCATTGAAAGGTCGGACAGCATTAGTGACAGGCGGGACGAGAGGAAGTAGGTCGTCCATCTTGAAAGCCGAGATCAGTACTGATTCAAGATAGTTGGCCAAGCGCTCGCAATTGCACTGGCAGAAGCAGGCTCAGATGTCATACTCATCCAGCGTCCCGGAAGCAACAATAACGAAACGAAAGACTCGATCGAGAAGCTCGGTCGCAAGGCGACAGTGTTCCATGCCGACCTTGCAAGCCCGAGTGACTTGCGAGGCCTTGTACAGCGGATCACAGACGATGGCCACGACATCAACACACTGGTCAACTGTGGTGGAATACAGCGGAGGCACCCAGCTCATGAATTTCCAGACGATGACTGGAACGAGGTACGTCTCAATTGAGCCTTCGGAGGTCTTGACCGCTAACTTCCAGCGCAGGTCCTCCAAGTCAACCTTAACGCTGTGTTTACGGTGTCTCGTGATGTGGGAGCGTATATGCTTACACGAGAACCCAAAGGTAATCCGCCACACCGTGGATCGATCATCAACATAGCTTCGCTGGTCTCCTTCCAGGGTGGCCTCAATGTCCCGGTAATTTCTCCGCCTTGTGGTTTGAAAAGGACACTGATGCGATGTCTACATAGGCTTATGCCGCGGCGAAGGGTGGCGTCGCTCAGCTTACCAAGTCTTTTTCGAACCAGTGGGCATCTTCCGGCATCAATGTTAATGCTGTATGTTCCGAGCGATCAGGTCGGCTCGTTGCGATGCAGTAACTCACCAGCCGAACAGATTGCGCCCGGTTACATCCACACAGACATGAACGAAGCCCTCATCAACGACGAGCAACGAGCCAAGAGCATTCTCGATCGCATACCGGCCGGACGTTGGGGCCTTCCGGACGACTTCAAAGGGTCGATCGTGTACTTGGCAAGTCGGGCCAGCTTGTACGTCAGTGGGGAGATATTGACGGTCGATGGAGGGTAAGTGGTTCCCCTCCAAATGCAGAAGTAGGTCTGGGTGGCTAATGATGAGCAGCTGGATGGGGAGGTGAGGGCGAAGAAGGTTGAGAGTCAGATAAGGCCTGGGGATTATATTCTTACCTCAAGTGACTACGTACAATAAGCGTGTTTCCTGATGCCAGAGTGCTCGTGAGTGCCACCGTAGCCATGCTCGCCACGAGTGTTTCAAGAGCAAAGCACAGCTGGACCGGTGCATGAGGAAACGGGTGCAACGGATATCTCCAGAGTATGGAAGCGCACTTCCGGCTCAATCCACATTCAGCAGCATCGCTTCGCATGTACCGAATACAAGTAAACAGCAACATGTTCGCAAAGAGGAAGAGATGGAACCCCTGAAGTCCTCGTAAATTATACCCGCAGGGATCGTCGGCGACTGACTTGAATCATGCAACAAACGAACAGATGCCGAATTGACGACACTTTCCTTCGTGCCCATTCAATACAACTTCGTTCAAATTTGTAGCATTTTACTATGGCGATCATCAAGACAATTGAACGCTTTCGAGTGAAGCCACGATGGGTGTTCGTTAAGATCACCGATGAAGATGGGAAGGTTGGCTGGGGCGAAGCAACTCTCGAGGGCCATGATCTGGCTGTCGAGGGTGCTCTTGACGAGATCGTTGTACGGATTAAAGGATTGGAAGCGAAGTGAGTCGTCTTGACAATGCTTCGATGATCGAGCGGCATTGACACTGGAAACAGCAATATTGAGCACATCTGGCAGCTGATATGGCGTCTTGGTTTCTACCGAGGTGGTCCGGTATTCATGTCGGCGCTGTCTGGCATTGACATTGCTCTTTGGGATTTGAAAGGTACGTGCGGGAGGTGAACGCGCCGGAGTCGCCGTAATGACAATCGCACTCTAGCACGACGGCTCAATGTACCGCTCTATGAACTCCTTGGCGGCCTGGTGCGAGAACGGTGTCAGGTGTATTGTTGGATAGGCGGAGATCGACCAGCAGATATCGAAGCGGCAGCGTACGAATCCATGACATCTACACAGGAACCATAGCTAATGCCTTACCAGCAAAGCAAGAAAGGAGCAAGGCCTCAAATGCGTCAAGATGAACGCAACCGAAGACGTCAACTGGCTCGATGCGCCCTCTGTTCTCGACTCATCAGTTGAACGACTAAAGACAGTAAAGGCCGTCGGGTTAAACGCTGGTCTCGACTTCCACGGCCGACTGCATCGTCCCATGGCTAAGCAATTGGCGAAAGCACTGGAACCGCATCAACCTCTTTTCATCGAGGAGCCAATTCTTGTCGAGCATCCGGAGGCATTGAAGCAGTTGGCTGGCATGACTTCGATCCCAATTGCTCTTGGAGAGCGGCTGTATCATCGATGGGATGTGAAGAGATTCTTGGAGGATGGATTGATTGATATTCTGCAGCCGGACATCGCTCATGCTGGTATGCGATCCCACCAACGAGACGCACAATCGAATACTGACATTTCTTCCAGGGGGTGTATCGGAGGTCAAACGCCTGGCAAGCATGGCCGAAGCATACGACGTCGCCATAGCCCCCCATTGTCCTCTTGGCCCCATTGCCTTCGCTGCTTCATTGCACGTCGGACTATCGACGCCCAACTTCGTCATCCTGGAGATGTCGCTGGGCATGCACTACAACACCGAAGCTGGTGATATCGATCTCAACACGTATCTCAAAGACCAGTCAGTGTTTGCGATCGATGCCGGACATGTCGCGGCGCCGAACAAACCCGGATTGGGGATTGATATTGACGAGGAGATGATCCGGAAGATTGCTGCTGACACGGAGCCGTGGCAGTGTAAAGAGTTTTATGGGCCAGATGGGTCGATTAGGGAGTGGTAGCCTCCGACAACCAAATTCGCGATCCGTGCATCCTCGTTGAAGTTGTACTGTTTTAATACGTGTTGCTGCCGTTCACACATCATAACACCTATACTCAGACATTATACCTAGGCTGTACAGGCGTCCCCGGCATCCCCAGCACGGCCCTTCCGTGATTGTCCAACGTCAAACATTCCACTGGCGTGTCCGGCACGGGCGTCAAAGGTTCGTCTTGCCAGTAATGACTGTGCTCCGAATCACCTTCCAGCTCCGCACGCACATTCATGCTGTCCATCTCCGGTGGGCGCATGCCGTCGCCCGCTTCTACGATCGTTGCGTATGGGTCGAGCTCTGCTGGTGGTGTTTGCAATTGTGATGATGGCGCGAAGGACATCTCACGGCGGAGATTGTCATCCGAGTCGTTGCCGTCTTCGCTGGCGAGTTTCATCGCGGCGGTTTCTCTTCGTCTTCTTCCACGGAGGCAGACCCAGAGTGCGAGGCCGATACCGAGGATGCCGATTGCTGCGCCGGCTATGGCTATGCCAGCCAGGGCACCGGTAGAGATGCCCGAGCTCTTCGGCGAACTCTTTGGTGTATTGGGTGATCCCGTGGCGGTTGGAGCTGGGTTGGTCTCGGTCATCGTAACCACTCTGGAATGTGCTTTGCCAATGCCCGTACTTGTCGGAGTGCTGATCGAGGAGCTTGAAGCAGATGATGGGGCAGCGTCACCCACGTTGTTGGGTCCTTTCATCGAACCGTCGAGTGCAGTGGCTGCATTCAAGTACCTTGGGGGTGTGATGCCGGTCAGGTTGGGGATACTGAATCGATCGGAGTAGTTGATCACCATTGTGCCGTTATAATCGCTCGTCAGTATGCGGAAGAAGCTGGTCTTCGTCAGTCATCTCGTCAGACCATCGCGACTGCGGGAAAGTGTCTCACAAGCCATTTTTGACATCTTGTGCAATGCCCGTTGGTATTGTGCCTGAAGCTTCATAGCCAGCTTGGAAGTTTCCTTCGGAGACGAATACGGGCAGCGGCAGCTATTCGTCCCGTCTCAGCAGATGCCCAACGTACCCAGCGTTGTAAACCATACCATGTTGTTGTCTTCATTCCCGCCAGTCATCAAAGTCAAGGTATACGCCCCCAGGTTCGTGATTGGAGGCGCTATATCAGACTCCTTCCATTTTACTTGAATCGTTTGTGCTGCGTTCACAGCTGATCCAGCCGCAGGCTCTGTGAACTCGACGTCTGCGAGAACGATCGTAGGCAGCAGGATTGGGAAGACGAGGGCAAGAAGAGAAGTGGGCAGCGCGAACAGCTGCATGGTAGCGAACGACAAGCCTCAAGTAAGAGGCATCTTGCAGAGATGGGAGCCTGGTGGAGGTGTCGACGACGACCTCAAAGGTACATGGTCGCGAACGACCATTCCCGCCATTGTGTACGATTCATCCCGTCGCCCAGGGGCAGCTTGGGTTAACGTGCAGTTGCCGTTCGTCTCGCCATTGGTTGGTGGTTGTTCGGGTGGCCTGTGCACCTCGTGTTGCGATCCTTCTCAAGCCACCCATGATGCGCCCCTGCGGCAGATCACGGCTGAGATACCGTTGGTACCCATTAAGAAATATGTACGATCGTCCCATTAATAACCTAGCTTGATGAGCTTGAATACTTCTTGATGCCTCTTGAACCAGGCGTAGGTATGTGATCGATCGAAAGAGGAGAGCCACCGCGACTTCCCTTGTGTTGGTCGGGACGAGTGATTTGGACCACACTTCATCCCATCGCATCTCACACACCTCTTTATTCACTCCCAGTTTCCCCCTTCCCCTCTCCTCCACCAACCTCCTCTCTGCACATCATCCTACCGACCTACTCATTCGTAAGCTCGTCATCCCATCACCACCGTGCGGACGCCCTCCACCCGCCGTCTCATCGTCTCGAGTCTTAGCGTCGAGAGCTTCACCAGCAGTTCAGACGCCGGCACGACGAGCTTCACCAGCCTTCCAGACGCTGGTCCATCACCTCAGAACGTCGACGGTATCACGTTGGATGATCTGAAAGACTGGATCGTCTACCTTGCTGAGATGGTCATGAGCGATGGCACAGTCGTGTCATACGGGGGCGTCAGCACCGCCAGGTTCGGCTCAACACAGCGCCTCTCCGTTGTGGCTGCAACGTGCAAGTGATGTAGGTTCATTGCCGTAACTACAGGCACTGTACACGACAGCCGACATCGACTCTTCCGGCCACGGCAATGGTCGATCTCGCGGAAGGTCAACGCCTCATTTCAATGCGATTTGTTCATAATTCTTTCCGGTACGTTCTCACGGGTTGGCGAGACAAGCCATATGAAGGAGGACTGCTTGAAGAAGCCACCGTCTTGCCTCTCCGGCAATGAGAGATCATACATTGATGAAGTGAGCAGTTACAGTAAGCCAGCACTAGGTTCGAGACGGAGAACGCCTGGCAGTTACCTGCAGACAGACATCGAGCTCTGAGCGTATACTAAGGCAAGTCTGGCTCTCATGCATACCATGAACATGTAATTCGCTGGATTTCGCAGCCGCACCCCACTTCTGCAGCCTGGCCTCACCGGTGCGGTATTTCCAAATGACAACATCAATATGAACGAGCAGATCTTCCGATTCTTCAACGCTTGTTCTGACAACGAATAGCAAGCATGGGCTTCAGTGAGCGTGTCTGTCAGATCTGCGGTGTCTCCTTCAACGTCGGACGCATTAGGACGAAGGGTAATCAGAGAGTATCAGCTCTCAGCCATATACTGATGGTCAACAGATGAGCCCACCAAAGCCGGGTGGGGTGGCAGACTGCGCGGCAACTCACCTGTCTTCGACCCCGAGTGTGAGGCCGATGGTTGCGCGAACGAAGAACGAATGATCCCAGAGTTTGTTTGCCATGACGGCTCTGTATCTGAGGCGGAGCAGGCTATTGAGCATCTTGCCGGTCCTTCGTGCATCTCTACGAGTGGGTACTCAGGTCATCGTATTACATGGAAGGAGATGAAGGTAATACCCGCTCGAGTCGCAGTATTTCGATGCTAAGGGTGTTGCGACAGGACTGCACACAAGTCCAATGCCTCAAGTACAAGGCTTCTGATTGGGAACCCGAGCCAGGAGACGAAGACTTTGTGCTGCAATCCCGCGATGCCTTTCTCACTGGCATCAGCACCGGGGCTCCTGACGAGTTCGAAGTACACCGGCTCGAGCCAGTGCGTCATGGTGTCCGCGATACACCGATGACGAATGAGCTTTTGGACGATGACGTACGAATGCTCAATGATCCATCCATACAGCAGGCATATAGCTAACGCTTCGTAGTCTGAAGATGGGATGCCAATGCACGCTCAATGCTTTCAGGTGTTTAGAGAGCTGAGCATCAGGAAGTTCGGCCGGACCGACATTGACAGCCTAATCGACCTATGGGCGCAGCAGGGCTCCATGGAGAACAGGTTTGATGATTTCCAGGAGACTCTTGACCTTCAGCTTGTGGTCCACCAACTCCATCGACACGTTCCAGGAACGGAGTACATGGTGGCCCACCCTCATGACGTGGAGGGTCTGAACGATCTCATAGACAGATGTACGATCAATGGAGCAGCCCATACCGATGCAGTCTTCGAGAACAGCGATGACAAGGCACATGTCGCGGACCCGTTCGCCAGTCTACCCCCTGAGCTCAGACTAATGCTCCTACTGCAACTCGAGCGGACAGACGTCACGAACTTACGCCTGGTTTCTCGGAGCTTTCAGCAGCTTCCACAAAAGTATTTCCATAACCTCATTACCACGGAGATGCCACGGGTATGGGAGATCGATAACCAGGAGCCTGGCACCATAAATTGGCATCAACTATGGTGTGCTCTATCAGCAGCAGATGGCGGCGCTGGCGTGGACGAACTAGTGCGGGCTTGGGTAACAGATGGAGAGTACCTCCATGTGTCTGCCGAACTGTAGGAGAGGACTTTCGGACTCGGTCTGGTGGGTGCCGATGCGCATGATGATGAAGGACGGCCAATGAAGTGGTCTCCAGGGCGGCCTTCAAAGGAACAGCAGTCTGCGATGTTGAAGATCATGGAGGAGTACAAGGCGGCTGGGAAGCAATGGCCCAAGCCAACGCAGATTCATGGGTTGCGGAATAGGCGGCGCATTTATCATGATGCCGTGGAAATGCTCGCACGCGTTGATGCGCTTCGGGCAGAGGGTGTGTAACTCTTGGAAATTCAAAATGGCGAACTACAGCCAGATGCAGACAACACATTTCTCGTAACAAAGCTCCAACACAGCTTCTCTTCCAATGCACGTACAGGTGCGGGGACCTCAGAGCCTGGCAATCTTTGCGCCGTATCAATCGGAGCGTCTCCGATGCACCTGCATCAGCATACAAACGATCGTCTGCGGTATTGGACTCTTGATGGTGGTCGCACGTCTCCCAATCATGTCTCTGGTGGCGGAACATCCCAGGCGCCTACCGGGTGACGACATGCCTCATCTGCGTCTTCTTTTTAATCGAGGATCTCCCAGCCGTGCATTTTGGGTGGGAAGATGTGGCCTGGGGTGTAAAAGTCAATCGTACGAGCCGGGAGAGCACTTGTGCTTGCTTGATCCAAGATGGTGTCCTGTTCACTGTCAGCAATGAAGAAGGGATGTTTCATTGAAAAACGGCTCGCTCTTGGGTTGGTACGCAATGACAGTGCAAGGTCACGGTCATGCGCGAGATACTGGTCGTTAGGCCATCTTCCAGCCGCATTTGCGAGCCACGCAATTCTCGTATCCAGCACCTCCTCTTGCCCAAAGTTACCCGTCTTCCTACAATATTGCTCCAGCATGGCGAGGTTGAATGCGTGAAGATGATGATCGAGGAAGCTTGGCCCTGTTGGCGGCTCTCGCTGGTCGTGATTTTCTTGATCTCCTTGGAGAGTCCACTTGTGACCGTGGTATCTACAAATTTTACGATGACCGTGAATGGCCGCTTGCACGAATCGTTGGCCCTGTCGAAACGTTCCACTCTAAGCAGCAGGTTCGTCATCACTGAAGCAGCCCTGATCAGAACATCCCACAATAGTACCAGCGGGACTATTGCTCGGTATGTAGTGTCAGTAGATGTTGCAGAGCGTAGGAGCAGACTGCGCCAGAGCTTGGAAAGTAAACAACAGCTGTATTTGAGGAGAACTTACCCGCAGAATCCGAAACGTAGATGTCCTCGGGACCACTCAATATTATGCCGAAGCGTGCGTTGTGCAATACGGACTGGATGGCCAAGATGGCTCTTGGGTAGTCGTCTTCCAGAATCAATGCGTTTGCAAGGCGTAGCATGGCTCTGGTTCGGTCGAGAGTGTCAAATGCCCACGATTTAATCCAAAGGCGCTCTGGTCCGGCTTCAGATTGAATGTGCGAAAGTAGACCCGGCGGCATAAATGGGCGCTGCTCCTCCTTCTCCTTGAACGATGCGGATACCGATAGTGCCAGGTCTCCGAGCGAAGTTTCGAGCCTGTCTGCTGCGTGAACATTAAGAGACACCTTCAGTGCCGGAATGACGGGATAGAGAAACGGCTTCATGATCCTTTCGATTCGGTTGCCAATGCTAGGAGCTCCGAGTACACGATGAGGCTGGATCGATAGTTCAAATCTCCGGTTCTTCTCGTAACCGGTATATGCTCTTAGTTTGCTGTCTCCGATTCCACTCAAAAGTTTAGTGTCAGCTATGAGTGCAAGAGCGGAGCTGTCAGGAAGAGCATGCAGCAAGAGCCTGAGATCCATTGGCAGGATCAGGATGCCTTGCGCTGGGAAGCTGTCTGGGTAGGTCGGAAAGCGTAAGTAAAGATGGATCGGATCATGGCCCAGACCAGCAAATCGATCGATGCCGGCCTGGCTCTCGGAGACAACCGGTACGTTGTGAGTGTGTATGATTTCGCCGGGGGAGGACCAAGGGTTGGGCCATTGGAAGGAGAAGAAGATAAAATCGCTCGAGCGGAGCTGTAATTTAGCTTCTTCACGAATACTCTTGCTCGCCAAAAGAATGTTCGTGTGAAATTGGTAAGTATGGGCGGTACTTTGCCGTCGAGTGGGTACCAAGTGGATCTGTTGATGCTTGTTAGATACGCAGTCGTGCTTGAATAGGATACTACTCAACAGCCAGTGCAGATGCGAAGTCATGGCTTACCGCAGCACGGTCCTCGACCCAGCGGTCGTAGTGGGATGATTCCTTGACGTTTTCGCCCTTGAGAAGGTAGCCTGATGTTGGAGTTAGTGATTGTTAAAGGACAGCAGTAGGATAGACATACTGTAGACAACGTCGCGAAGCTCATTTGGAAGACGATCCAGCGTTCCAAGCTCGCTCGGTGGTATCTTCTTCTGTGCAGCTGTAATTCACTGGGATCCATGATTTCAGGTGAGTCTGAGAGAAAGTATCAGAACGAGCTCGATATGGTGTGTCGGTGTGTACGAAAGCCTCGCATCCACGGCTACGAGCTCTCTCATATACAAGTCGCCAGTCTTGCAAACAACGAACGATGATAGGCTCACCTATGCACTACTCACTCGTGTGTAACGTAGCTTTAGCAAACATCGATGAGCAAGAGCGTCGACTGCAGTGAATGCTGGTCGATGTCCACTTGGTGGAACGAGAGACCGCCCGTACCCATACGAGTCAAGAAGTAGTTGATGTAGTGAATAACGGTGACCGACAATAACGGATTGGTCTTCGGTCCAGCAGGTGTTGTTGTGCAAAGAGGTACACGGTACGTACGACTGGAAACCATCAAGATTGAGAGGAAATACACAATACTTCAAGCACCCGTAACTCGTTACAACCCGCATCACTTACCGCTTTAAATCCAGGAGAACCATTTGCGCTTGCGAGCATGGATGACAAGGGCTGAATGCGACCACATTCTAGCATGCCAACTCATCAATCGTCGTCCCAGACCTCTACCTCCTCGGGAATATCATCAAGCTGGCTCAGTATAGTCCAGTCCTTTATGTAATGAGGCCTAACCACATGCGTCGGTAGCGGCACATCAATCACTCAGGTCGGCAAGACGACCGCACTCACTCATCTCCTGTAATATGGAGTCCTGCGAGAGTGAGCTTGATAGACTGTAGAGAAGTGCAAGAAAATCATTCACCTTCATGGTGTGACGGAGAGACCGCACGACTTCCAAATTGTACGCGAGATACTCGCAATCAGGTTTTCCAGAAGGCGCTCGAAAGACAGGATCAGGTTGTCCAAGCGGTCAGGCGGATGGGTTTCATCTCTGCAAAACTCCTCAGCGCGGATCAAGGCGGCTAGATGGCTTGCTGGATGGTGGTCGTGCCAGAGCATATCTGCATTGTCGATGCTGGGATGTAACACCTGGCCGTGGATTCTGAAGTCGCTGATATAACCCACTAGGTTCTTCACCAGATCGTAGCAGTACAGTACAGTCTGGTAGCCAACGAACGGTTCCGTTCTCAGCACAAGTAAAGTATACATGGTCGCACTATCTAGCAGGAGGCGCTCCCAAAGTACAAGTGGCTCTGAGAAGATGATGTTAGCATTCATCTGCATCCTCAGAAGCAGGGAGAGGCAACGAGTGCGAAGGTAAGCTTACCACTGGCATCCGACGTGAAAACGCAATGCCGCGCTTAGAGCAAAAGCCTGGAATGCCATGACCCGAGAGTAACTTCGTAGCAGTTCTTCGCCCGTTTAGTCTCACCTTCAACCAGTAGCTTATTTGCTATCCCGAACAAGCCAGTGGTGGTGTCGAATGTATCCCACGCCCAAGCTGTGAGCCAGGTATACTGTGGACCTGTAGAACGTTGTAGGATCTCTAGCACTCTTGGTTCCAGTTGAGGCTTGTTTGGCGTCGTGCCTTCGGTAATGATCAGTTCCGGTATGAGAGCCCATTGAAGGAGCTTCAAAACTCCCAGATTTTGGCCGGTCATGCGGAGTCTTTCTGAGAGGGGCTCAAGTGGAATGTCAAGTTGAAATGGCCTCGTTTGTTCGTGGATTGGATAAGCGCGAAGTCTCTGTTCGTCGAAATCCTTTACCAGAAGCACACCAGCTCCCGTATTCCAAGAACACCCGGTGCTGTACGGATTGCCCGATACAGCAACGTGAAGTCATGTAATAGCATAAGGACAGATCGTGTTGTTTGTGAAGCAGTAGAGCCCCCAGAACACTCCGCATGACGAAGGTGAAGGGTCATGCAGTGATGCTTCAAGGCGTTGACGTCGGCTTAGCGTTCCGAAACAATCGGGACATGATACTCGTGCAAGCTCCCTCTCATTGAGCGGATGTTTTCGTTCGGCTCAAGGAAGGAGAAGACGAAAAAGTTATTGTTCAGCCTCAGCTCATCCAGCGCTTCTTGGTGAATCTGTTTGTTGGCCAGTAAGGTATTGGTCTAGAAGTTGTAGGTATGTGCTTCGCTCCGCTCACGACCGGTGGCCACCGAGTACTATAGAGAATCAGCTTGCAGCAGCACTTTGTGCCACGTCATCGACCGTAGTCAACATGTGCGCGGTGGTGCTATTGCTTACTTTACGACGATCGCCCTCCGGGCGATGTAGCCACGCTGGTCCGCGAACATTCTTCCCCTCGAGCAGGAAATCTGCAATGTCGATCGGCTACCATTAAACAACAAACGTGCAGCAGGCAGATGAGTACCATATATTCTATCTCTCAATTCCGGGGGCAAGCCCAAAAAGCGAAAGGGCTCCTGAACGGAGGACTGAGCGGAAGTCATGATGATGTGGTGCTGTGATTTGGTGTTCGAAGCCTGTAGGGGGTGTTTAAGCACTCCAAACTGTGGCCCGAAAGATATTGGTGCAGAGTCGTGTGTTTGGAATCGAGATTGCAAGATCCTGTTATATAGCCATTCGGTGGTCATACAAGCAAGGAATAACGGCAAGCATACACATTGAATATTCAATCTTGTGGCCCTGATGAGCAATCTCTCGGATAGCACCAAGAATCGTAGCAAACTTGTGGCGAATCCGGTGAACAGGGCTTGCATGCGGTGAGTAAGACCGCCTCCGCCCCCTTGTTAGCCAGCTTCTGGCGTCCTGCAGGGTCATGACGACAGGAGCACTATGAACCATTCAGAAGTGGGACGTGATGGAGTGGTGGTTTTTTAACTTGCCGCTATCCAGAAAGTTGCATGACATACATTCAAGACTGGAGTGTGACTGGTGTTCCCGATCGAGATGATAAAGTAGAAAAGAGTAGAGAATGCATGAACATCGCAAGGAAGAAGCCGAAGAGATCTACCCAACATTGGCGGCCTCAGATCAGCTCCGCCTCTAAAAGACCCCCCAAAATGAAGACAAGCAAGTCTGCACCACCTCTCCTTCATCCCACTTTGCCAGAACACCCATGGCACCGCGGAGAACCATTCGTGGAGCTTGCCGCAAGTTCCTCAGTCGACGTCGTAGAAAGATCCATAGTTGACTGCAACTTCGTCCAGTTGATCCGCCAAGGCCCACCCATCGATGGCGGGACGATCTGTGTCATCATACTTGAAGCCGAGCACACGGGGTGGCAGCTTCGCTGTGCTTGCTTCTGACCAGATGGTGTCCTAGAACCGTCAGTCCTGTACAACGTCATCTTCGTAGTGTTGGTCAATTGACCTACAAGCTTGCGATGACGCAAAGAGCGTACGAGCTCGCAATCGTGAGCAAGATATGGACAGTCCGGGTTCATCGCGAACAGGTGCTCGAAATCTTCGATGATCGCTTCCAGGTCAGATTGTTCGGCCACCGATTCCTTGCAAAAGTCTTGGGCGCGGAGCAAGTATTTCAGGTGCTTGTATGCAGGACTAAGCATCCACCAATCCGCTTCAGACGCCTGAAGAATTGGATTGCAAGCATCGAAATGGCCCAATCTTGAGAAGATGACATCGCCAATGTGCTTTGCAGTCCGACGGACGCTCTGCTCGCCCTCGTCGGGTCATTTTCTTAGCCGGAGCAGTGAGAAAGAGGTCCAGGCGTCGAGCAGGTGCGAAGGTAGAGAACCATAGGCTCTTGCAACCGGTCCATGATTAGCATAGTTTCTCAACGTCTGAGAAGTAGAGCAAAGCAGCGGACCCATAGGGGGTTTAACATACTCTGGGCATCTGAAGCCGCCACACGCTCATACGCGCGATCAAGACTAGAAAAGAGGCCGCTGTGCCCTGGATCGGATATTGATAGGTACTCAAGGCAAGCCCAATAGGTACGATCCTGTAACAGCCAATTATTAGCCCAGCGCGTCCGTGCCATACAGGCGTCGAGCCTGTCATATGCCCAAGCTGCTATCCAAATACGACCTGGACCAGCGGTCTCCTGAAGCCTAATGAGTTCGCTGCTTGGCATTGCCCTGATGCTTTCGATCCTCGACTTGACCTTCTCGGCGTCGTCGCCTTCACGAGGTTGGTATAATCTTGCCTACGTCAAACGAAGCGCAGGGCAGACAGGATGTTGAAGTTGGTAGAGCATGCGCGCGGCTTCAGCATAGACATCCCGCTTGTTCGGTAACTGGCGGAGCTCGATGGTGAGCTCGTGAGCTTTGTCAAGCTCATCGCTTGGGCCTGTAAAGCTCTTCAAAGTTCCGTTGTGGGCGTCTTTCAGCATTACAGTACCGGCCATGAGTCTGTTTACTGCATAGCAGCTGATCACTTGGAAAAGATGTCCAAGATCACAGGCCAGCATGATTAGAGATTCAGCATTGTGGGCCCTACTTTCGTTTTGCGGCCATTCTCGATGGCGAAAATGTAGGCGCATGGATTCATAATCGAAGTTGTCGGTTGCGGAGGAGATTGTCGGGACGTTGTGTTCTATAAGCAGAGCCATGAACGGAACCTCCCCGGAATGGAGGAAAGGGTCCCATTGCCATGAGAATATGACGAAGTCGTTGCGTTTAAGAAGCACTGCCTTTGCTTCTGCGTACACTGCCTTGCTGGTAAGCATGATGTTAGTGCGGAACTTGATCCCATGTGCCAGATTCGAGAGACGGTAATCTTTGTAGTACTAAGGCCCGTTAGCTTGAAGTTTAGTAATGCACTTCCGAGGATCTATCGTCGGCTCCTCCTCGCTCTTTGCACATAACACTGCCAAAGCTTACCTCGACGGCCTTGGTCTCACCATTTTCGGCTTTGTAGAATGCATTTCTGACGAGATTCCCATCAAGCAGATGCCCTGTCATAGCACATCAGCACGGGAACCAACAGCAAGCACCCCTCAATGCTCGATACATACCGTAGATCTGGTTTCGAACCTCTCCTGAGAATTTGTCAAGGAGGCCCAGTGGCGTAGCTGGCCAAGACCACTCAGGAAAGCTCGACTCGGCCAATAGCTCAGGTGATTCTTCGCCGACGGGTGGCTGAGGTGCTTCGGGTTCGCCGGCGGGCGTCTCGGTCAGCTGGAGGTCCGCTACGGCGGATGTCAAATCGTCGGTGCTCATGTTGGTGGACGTCGAGAAAGCTGGTGGTGGGATTTTGATCAATGAAGAGAGAGATTGGTGATGTGGTAGAAGGAGGAAGAAGAGCCGTAGGCGGGAGAAGCCCTATATGACCGCTCCACAGCGAGCAAACACTGCAGAGATCCAAGCAGTGGTGAGTTGCGCCACAGGTCTTTGGTGAAACTGAAGGTCGGGTGATCTGAGCAAGCGTCCAGAGAGCAGCGAGCGGGTCATACGACTCGGCCAACGTGTTTCGTTTATTATCTTCCGAAGCTTGTTTGCAGCAATTGACCGGCACATGAGCACTCCATTTTGCCACTCGATATTGACGCCGGTACTCGTGCTGTTGGGTGTGGGAGCACATGCCTGGGCAGTACGCAAAGAATGAGTCTTGCTGACGTTGAGTCGAGGCACAGACAGGATTGGTGGCAAGCCGTATGCATGCAATAGCGTGCAAAGAGTTCTCCGGTGGCACGAGGAATTACTACATTAGCATAGCAGATTAGGCAGCAAAGAATACCTTCAGAGCAGAAGGTGCGAATGTAGAATGGCGGATTGCCGGCAATGCCTTGTCATACACAAGCTCGTGCACTGTCTAGACCTGTGATTGACTCGCTGCGAGAAGATCAGGAGTCAACAATAGTCATGTTGTACTCACTTGAACACATCCGGCCGATGTCTCCTCCCCCACTCCTCAATCGTCGACAACTTGGCCGGCAACTCCTTCAACACCGGCTCCATATCAATTTTGAACGGCTCCTCCGGTGCGTCATTATACCACCTATACGCCCTGAACATCTGCTCCGAGAGAACCGCTCCATCGATACCCGACCTCGAGCTCATCGCAGCCTCAATCTTCTCACAAAAATCCTCCACCGTCTGAAACTCCACCCCCAACTCCCTCCCCCACGCCTTCCCCAACCTCTGCGCCAAACCCGGCAATCTCACAATCTCCGACCCGCCGACCTGAAAATTCCTCCCCGCGAGCTCCGGGCGCGTCATAGCAGCAATCATCAGCTGCGCGACATCGTCAAGTCCGATCCAGCTGACGTCGAGAGTGGGTTTATGGCAGTAGACGATTTTCTGCTCGTCCCGAATCGGGGGCCAAGCCCAGCCTTCGAGCAGGTTGTCGAGGAAGCAGACAGGTTGGATTGAAATCACCGGTAGACCCATCTCGCGTAGGAGGGTGCGCATTTCGCGACGGTGGTCTTGCGCTTCGATCCCTTTACTTTCATCCGGCACAGGCATGGAAGTATTAAACACAATCAGCGGCTTCTTCTCAGAGCCCTTCGCCGCTTCACCAACCGCTTTAGCAGCGGCGATGGTGGTGTCGGCGGGCTGGAAAGAGGTGGAAGGGAGGTTGAGGAAGATAGCCTCCGCATCCTTGACAGCGCGTTTGAGGCCAGAAGTGTCCGTGAAGTCTGCGGCACAGGTTTCGATCTCTTTGCCGTCGATGCTGGTGGGTTTAGGATTGCGGCTAACGGCTACGGGGTGGTGTCCGGCGAGGGAGAGGGCGGAAACTTGGGCGGCGCCTTGGACGCCCGAGGCGCCGAAGACTGATACTCTCATGTTGGGCTGAAGTTCCAATAGGTGTAAGGAGCTTCATCTTCGCGGTTGGGTTGGGTTATATAGGTTACATGCCGAAGAACAGACGAGGTGAGGTCAATTCAAGCGGCTGAGCTTTTCCGAATCTGGAGAGCCTCGTTCCAAGGCTCCTCCTCATGTACGGAGGTAGGCTATCTACTCAACTCACAACAGATGATACTTTTGAAAGGTCTCAGGCTGGCCAGAGGAGGCGCAAACAAGGCGTTTGGACCGTAATAAAATGTGTGTCAAGGTTCTGGATGTTCAAGCAGCCTCCTAGAATACTGCACAACAGTTACACAATCTCACAGCAGACAATCAACCCTTGGTATCCCCTCCGCTCCAACAAACGCCATTCATCATGCCATTATGCGCAGATACTCAAGCATGCTCAGTCCATTCCAACAGCCATGATAGCGCCGCCGAAAAGTCTCCTGATCTCCATCCAGTCCATCTCACGCGGATAATCAACGCCAGCATGCAGTTTGAGCCAGGAAGACCAGTCAATGTCGGGCTGCTTCCTTGAGTTGGGGCCCGAGTGTCTGTCACCGGAGGGAAGTTAGCGATCTGTGCTTGTGATCTTCAAACTGTGGATGTGAGAACTCACAGTCAGACCCCCATAGTGAAGTCGTGCTCGATCCCGGGCGTCACACTGGCCATGAACTTCAAGAACACCACCAGATACTGGTCCACGCGGATCGCCACCTCCTCCGGCTGCTGCGAATCCGAGGACAGCACCTCCCACTCGCCATCCTTGTCCTTGTCGGAAGCCTTCTGCGGCGAGCCCTGCTGGTTCCCACCAACATCGAGTTTCCCGGTCTGCTCGACCAGCCCCTCCATCCCTTTATCGCTCACGCCCTCTCCCTTGCGAACTTTCTCCATCCGCAGCTTCAAGGCCGCGTCTGCGCGATCGAGGAGTGCCTTCATGACGCTAGCGTGACGGCAGGGATGCACAGAGGCGGTCTTGATGGGTGGGTTGGCGAAGGCGAAGTCTTCGAGCGTGACGGTCTTGTCTTTGTAGTCGCCGATGATGTCGTCCATCATCTTTGTTGGTTCTAGTGGGACGTTGCTGATGGCGTCGTAGCCGAGGAGGTAGAGGCGGGGTGTGCGGTAGTAGGGTGTGTAGGTGATGTAGAGGGTGTAGGTGCGTAGGCCTTCGTCGGCGGCTGATGTTGTCTTGTCGCGGATGATCGCCTCTTCGTCATCTTCCTCGTCCTCCATGTCTGGGATCTCGTCCTCTTCTTCCGCTTTCTCGCCAACCTTACCATCCTCGTCGACAGTTCTCACATCCCGCATCCGTAGCTCGGCACTCTTGCTAATCCCGCCGATGCCTCCGCTCCCTCCACCAGCCTTCAACCACCCATCGTCCTCTCCCGCACCTTCTCCTGGCCCGGCAAGCATATCCCTCACCACCTGATCTCCCTCATCATTGCTCCCAAGAAACTCTCCATCGCCACCCTTCACCCTACGCTTACACGGCACACCCCGCGTCACCAGATACTGCTTGCCGGCCGGGAAGTAGTTCACACGCTGTCCTGGCGACGCGGCATCCGCCCAGCTCCAGGACGGAAACTTGTAGACCAGGAAATCTCCCGCCGCTTGAAACTCCTCAGGCGTCAGCTGGCCGGTGGCACGGAAGTTGGACGTGTGGTTGAGCGGGGCGAAGCGGTCGCGGAGGGGGTCGATGAGGGTGTGGATGAAGTTCTGCATGTTGGATGGTTGTGCGTTTGGAGCAGCGTGTTATTAGTGTAACATCTCAGGTTGTCAGTCTTGTAGGTAGCGGCGAGACGGTACAAGGCTAGGTTGTGGTGTTATTGTGTTGCCTCAGAAGAGTCACGAAGGCAGAGGCAGCTGGGTCGCAAACGTGGGGTAGGCCGATAAGATAAGCTCTGATTAGTCAGCGTTCGAGATATTCCGGGTCAATATCAATATCAGGAGTATTCTATCCGTACCACCATGGTCCAACGCCGGGGAGCTATGCGAATCAATGCATTTTTTATATGACAACCGAAAGAATGAAGAGGACATTGCTCTGCTAGGCGTCTCAAAATCCCCATCGAACGACCTCAAGAAGTGTAATACTCCAACACTTCCCTCCCATACCACTTCTCCGCAACATCTCTATGACTCCTTACCCATTTCCTCAACTGGCTCTCCCCTAAGCTATCCCATCTTGAATCGAGAAAACTCTGCGCTTCACTCTCTACCCCACTCACGCTCCCTCTCATCCTCCTCACATGCTCTGGGATGTATCCTCTCACCTCACTGACCGTCATGTCCAACGGCAGCCCCTGGAAGAATGGTACAGAGTACCTCGTTTCCGCATCCGGACCGGGCGCAATCACGCGGTGGGTGGTCGCTTTTACAGCACCTTCAGTAGCAGCTTCGAAGGCGTTCCCGAAGTTGACGACGAAGGTGTCCGGAATTGGATGTGCAGGGATCCATGTGTTGCTGCTCGAGAGGACTTCAAGGCCTGGCAGGGAGCTGACTTGGTAGAGGAAGGTGAGCCAGCCGGAACTGTCTTTGTGGGCGCCGACGCCTTGCTTGCTTTCCGGAGTGGCGGGTGAAGGTGGGTATTTGAGGAGTTTGATGCGGTGTTGGGGTGGGAGGAAGGTGTGAGCTTGAGGGCTGTTCGAGGTGCCGTTGGTGGACGGGTCTTTTGATGGCAGCAGGTCGCGGCCGAAGAAGTGGTCGAAAGTCCCCACTGGTATACCAAATGCCTCCTCGATTAGATGGACGAATCGATACGACAGATCCTGCACAGCATCATGGTACGCAGTGAAGGCCTCTCGAAACCCTGCGACTGACTCCTCCGAAGGCCACTGGTTCGGCCCTCTCAGACGCCAGTACATCTTCGCAAAGTCCCTTTCACTTCCTACATTACCACTCCCGTCCACATTGTGCCCAACAACATGACTCGGATCCCGCCAAACAACAGATAATTCAGTCCCCATATCAAACTGCTCCCTCAAATCCTGCTTTCCAAGCGTCGTCTCCTCGGCAAAACCAGAGTAGCCCAAGAAATGCGGCGAGTTCAATTTACTCATTGCCGCTCGCTCTTCTTCCCGGAGATTGAACAGCGCGGGTAAGCGATCTGTGAGAGCTGAGATGGTGGAAGAGTCGACGCCATGGTTCTTGATGTAGAGGAATCCTACGTCGAAGAGTGCGGACTGCAGTTGTTGTAGTAGCTTGGGCTTTAGAGTTGGGTCGTCCGCCCAGGAGAGGTCGAGGATGGGGATGGTGTCTGAGGCCATATCCAAAGTCAGTTGGGAGGTGGCAGTCCTCGACTGATCGTTGAAAGCACAAACTCCGGCTCAATGAGCTCGGCACATATCCTAGACTCCGTCGATCAGCGTTGTAGCTATATGCTGGGGGTCCTCATAGCCAACAACAACGCTGAGTTGGGGTCTAACACCTTCTGTCGAGAGTAAAGTTGCTTAGCCGATATCGGCTTCAAGCACGACGTTGATGGAAACGCCGTTCTGCAGCGGACAAACAGGTCGAAACGAATGAGCAGTAGGCACATATAGTTGTTGGTGTATCTGCTGATTGACATGAACGTAGAATTCATTGCCACATTCGACGCTTTTGTCTTTCCGAAGCAGCTCATGAAGTCGGCCGTCTCGTCTCGTTTCATCGACACAACTACAAATGCTCGATCCTTCCCAGCACCCACTGCAAATGCCTATATGCGGAACGAGGTTGAAACTGTGGTTGCATATGGCCCGACAGATACGTCTCCGCAAAGATCAAACCTAGACGCAACTGTCAGATACCGAACACGGACCGGATTGTGCTGTGCTTACCTCGCTCAAAATGCTGCTTCCCCATAATGCCCTGATACCGATCCAGCCCGCCAGCCCCGTTCTCCTCAAACAGCCCCTGATACTGCAGATCCGGAAGCGTGATCACGATATCCTTCCAGCTCTCCGGGCCGCTCTGGAAGCCCATCATGCCGTTCCACGTCATGTTCTGGATCGCAAGAAGCGTGGCGTTGGTGAGGACGTCCATGTCCAAAGCACCGTTCGATACGAGAACTCTGTTGGTTGCCTCGATGACGTGAGGAAGGACATTTTGGATGGGGTCTGGACTAGTGTCCCCGTAGCCTTCGGGGCCGCCGTTGCCTTTGAAGACGGCATGGGGAGCGCACTCGAGCCATTCGACGTCCATCGGGGCGTGCATAGCCTTTTTGACGTCTGTACGATTGAAGTAGACTGGTAAGCCGGGGTAGGATAGTTGTAAATCGGTCGGGTAGCCGAGTGGGTCGGAGAGAAGGGGACATGTGAAGCCGAGCATGTAGACCTGAGAATCACGGACTGTCAGCAAGCGTCTCCAATGTATCCAGAAGAGGGACTCACATTGAAGCAAGGGTTGGGAGCGTAAGCTGCATAATATGCCTCATTCCACAACGCGCACTTCGTCTTACTCTCCGCAAGTGGCGGCTGCATCCCCGAAGGCGGATACTGCATGTACTTGTCACGGAAGTCGCTGAAGCCGCACTCTTCTTCCATCTCCTTCATGTGTGCCAGGAAAGAAGCGTTGTAACCAAGCACGTTGTTGTTTGCTTCGACGAATGGGTAAATGGTCATATCGTTTTGAACGTCGAAGGCGCCGATGACAGGGTCATACATCAGAGCGCCCTGGACGTCGTAGTAGCAAGTGTCGTTCTGTTCGAGCATTGCGTTGGCGATGTATGGGACGTAGCGGCCGGCGTAGCTTGACAAGAAAATGGCCCGTCAGTATGCTTAAGCAGGGTACTTCTTCGGGGGAGATCTCACGATTCGCCTGTGACAAAGGTCTTGTAGTTCTTGATTCCAAAGGTTGTCTGCAGACGGATTAACAAATCTAACGTCCACACCACGCCGTATACCACGTACCTGGAAATTCTTGAAGAACTTGATGAAGTCGCCTGCTATGTCCTCCTCGCTCGTGGCTCTGACCTGTCCCGTGGAGAAGCCAGTGCCTACCGGTTGCTAAAGCAGGGTTAGTCCTTGCTGCAAGTATTGGGAGTAGGATCTAGGTGACTTACCTCTACCCACAGCACATTCGTGAGGTTCACCCAGCTGTAGTCATTTACAGTAGGCGCATACTGGCCCCAAGTCCATCTGATGTAGCCATTTTCCTGCAAAAAGCCCTCAAGTGATGAGCAACCAGGACCACCATTCATCCAGATAGTGATCTCGTCTACCGGCGGGCCGCCAATGCGAGGCTGGAAGATGAAGAAAAGTGCGCGGTCTGGCTCCTCCTCGTCTATTGGGATTAGACCGCTGTACATTTCCGTCATGAAGCTTTGTGGGATGTCCGGCATGGACTCCACGAAGAATTCTGTGGTACGTCAGAGAAGGCTCAGTACCGCCTGGTTAGAACCTACTCTCAGTATTGCCATTGCGGTAACGATAGCTTTTGCTAGCTCTCTCTTCTGTGGCAGCAGCAGCTCGTCCGCTCAGCCCTCGAGCGAGGTTCGGATGGAAACCTTTGTTTCGAGCAATGTCGAGCCGGCTGGCAATGGCAGGTACCAGCAATACCAGTCCCAACAGAACTCTTTTCATGGTTGGCATGACGAGCATTACAGCCGTAGCTCATTCAGGTTTTGAGTGAGGAGAAGAAGAGAAAGACAGCGGTGAAATCCAAACTGGGCACAAGCCTACCTTTTAGCTACACTCATGCCTGTCTAGCTAGCCGTCGCCCTTGCAGCTGAAGTGTAGTAACTTCACCTGACCTCGTGGCAAGCAAGCAACAACCGCCCCACCTCTCTTTCCTCCACTTGTGTCCCGCTTCGGCATGGCCGTCGTTGAGAAGCGGCAACGACAGGCGAAAGCCTTCTGCACAGCTAGTCCTTCTGCACAGCTGCAGCGGCAGAAGCGAAACGACCTATCAAGTCTTCGCGGTGACGGCGGGAGGCGTTGCATGAGCTTCGATAAGAGTCTTGTCAAGCTTGAGCGTAACCAAGACAAGCATGGAGGGGATGCGGGCTGACGTGCGGCCGAGGTCTGGCTTGCGCCAACGGGATAAGAATTCCTGGTCGGACGGTGCAGCAAGGTGCCGGATAAGATGTTGCACTGTAACAGTGGGGTGTGAGGATAGGTTTTGGCGATGGTGACACAGGAAGGGGGACGAGGATAAGGTTTGAGTTTGGAATCAGGCGCTAGCTGTGTTGGGTGATGTGCCTGTCGATCCAACGACAATATCACTTTGCAGAACGATCTTGAGTACAAAGGTCTTGACGAACAGGTGCGTGTACTGAGTAGACATTCACACCACTCGTCTCCTCAACCACTCCTAAACAGCGCGATTGTATCCACGAAACCGTCCAAATTGTCGTCGTACCTCGCCACGTCCTCCCCATCCACCGTGATCATGAAATGCTATTTCCTGCGTCAGCAAAGCGTCGACTCCTCTAAAAGGCTCGCAACACTTACCGTCCCAACGGTGTTCTCGTTGTACAAGGTGATGGCGCGACTATCCCCCTCCACACTGAAGATCCGATCCTGACACCTCTCCCCATTCCCCTGGTCCGAGCAGCTCGTGCTATAGTTATTGAAGAAACTGTACAAGCCGGCGCCGTAGATGTTGATGATACTCGAGTCGACAATCCTCAGCCCCCAGCCATCTGCAGCAGGGATGGTGTAGCCGTCGGCGGTGACAAAGTCCTGTCTGAACTTGGGATCGGAGAAGCGCGCGGCGTAGGGGAAGGGGATTTTGGCGTTGGGGTTGGGCTGGTAGTATGCTGTGACAAAAGTCAGCGACGCAAGACCGAAAGAGCTCTTGTGACCATCGATACTCACCAGTCTCGGTCTGGATCTGTCCCGCGAAGACGTTTTGCGTGTTCGTGAACTGATACTCATACTTGACATGATGCTCCACAGCCGTGCCAACAAGCCAAACGGGCCCCGTTCTACTCTCATCCAACAGTCCTCTCCCGGAGTAAATCGTGATCTGCCTTAATTGCGGATCCTCAACATCGTGGTCAGCAACCCAAATCCAGTTGTTTTCCAGATAAATCCCCGCAGCCGAAGGCGTGATATGCACCGTCAAGAAACCAGAAATACACTCCTCGATAAGATTCTGCGCCGTAACAGTGACATCCGGGGTCGTCGGACATTGCGCCAGCTGCAAGTCCGAGCCAGCGAAACCGCCGATGCGGGCATGGACGTCCCAGACGCCGGTCGGAGTGGTAGAGGGGGAGTTGATGTTGTATTCGAAGAGGATGGCGCCTTGCTGCTGGCCTTTGGTGGACACGATCATGTCGCTCCACTCGATCACTCCCAGATCGCCTGGCTTGCCGATTTGCACGACGGGTTTCGGCTTATTCATGTTGTTGAAGAAATTGCCGGAGGAAAGGATGACGGAGTACGCTTCGCCGACAATGCGGGAGCCGGGAGGGATGTAGATTGTTCTGGTGACCAGGTAGTCGCCGTGGTCAACGAAGAGGATTTTGTTGTTCTTGTGTGCGTTGTTGATCGCCCTTTGCAAAGCCTTGGTGTCGTCGGTCATGCCGTCGCCTTTAGCGCCTTGCTTGCGTGCGCTGACGAACTGGGAGACATCGTATTGCTCGTACTGCGGCTTGGAGCGCTGGTAGTAGGCACCGCTCGTATCGATCAGACCAGCTGTTCTTGGCGCTGGTGCAATGGTGCCCTGGAACATGTTCGGCCCGTTGGGTGTGTAAGAATGTCCTTCGCCCCAAGCCGAGATATAAGTGTTGCGTGGGGTGCCCTTTAGTACAGTAGTGTTGCGGCCGCCTTGGACTGCAATAGGCGTCCTCTTGAGGCTGATGTTTTCGAGGATCAAAGAGTTGGCGGTCGGCGGCTGTGAGTTTGCGGTGTATCCGGTGCGGAACGCAATACCGACATCCGTGAACGAGCTGTCGAAGAAGGTGATGCTGCCAACTGAAAGCGCGGTGGGTCCACCTGAGTACATGTTCAACCCGACCGAGCAGTTGTTGACGGTGATGCCGTAGTACGTCCAGCCCCAGTCCCAGAGCTGGTTGATGGCAGTGACAGCGTTGTTGAATGTGAGGTTGCGCATGGTGAACTGTTGGTTACCAACGTTCAAGCCGTTCAGTCCGCCATTGAACACCAGATCGTTCACGAACCCCCCGGAGCCGGACTCGATAAACAAGCCCACGTGCTGTGTACCATTTGCCTGGCTCATCTCGAAGATGACATTTTGTATGCTCGTCGCTTGTGCAGTAGGCCAATGGATACCGGTGGCGGCACTGCTGGCTGGGATCGCAGTCATGTCAATGATGAAGTTGCGAATCTGCCTCCAGAAGACGTTGGTAGACCCATACTGCAGCCCGTTCGCACCGTACGGATCGCCGTCAATAAGCCCAATATTTCCTGGTGGCGCAGCAAAATCCGCCGTCGCCTTGATTACCGGCATGCAGTTGGGGTTTCCAATCATCATAGTGTAGTAGTAGTCCGTGATCGAAGCACTGATCAAATAAGTCCCAGCCGGAAAGTAGACCACCGCCGGCGTAGTCGTGCTCGAGGCACACGATCCAGGCGCGCATCTTCCACCAGACGAGATGGCAGACTGGATCGCTGCGGTGTCATCCGTAACACCATCTCCTGCTGCACCGAAGTCCTTGACGTTCCTGAACACGGTGTAGTTGCTCGGGTTCGGGTTGAAGGCTGCGTAGCCTTGGTGCTGGATGTTCTCGAGCCAGTAGTCGCATGATGGAGCTGCTGCCTCTGCCACGATTCTGGCCTTGGGGAGTGCGGTCGGCTGGGAGGCGGAGGATGAGATGGCCGCGGTTGGCCCGGTGTAGGCAGTGTACATGTGGTATTCGCTGAGAATAGAATCGGTGTATGAGGCAACTTCTGGGGGTTCGAAATGGACATGCTGGGCGAAGGCGTAAGGAATGGCGGCCAGCAGTGCTGGCAACATAATCCTGGAATGCATGTCTGGAGGAGTGACTGAGAAGAATGGGAAGAACAGAACGAACTAATAGTATGCAACGAAAGCAAGAAAGAACGACCGCAATCAAGCAGCACAAGAAGTGACCAAGAGCCTTGTAAGGAAAGAAGAAACAACCACAAAGCATCACCTACCTATATAACCATCCCCCTCCTCCCACCTCTATACCAACCGATTTCAACCCGACCAATCACCTCATTCAGCCTCCATACCCTCCACTACTCCAAAAGCCACATTCAGCTCCGCAACGCTCAATCGGTGATGGCCTGGGCGGCTGTATGCCGACTTGTTCGATGAGGAAGGTCAGGGTGGCTCGGGTGGTCAGGAGGAGTGTTCAGGAGGTGAGGTGGAAATTAAGAAAACGGGTCTCCGCAAACGCTCGGGCTGTGGGGAAATGCTTGATCCCTGCTGAGGGTCTTGGATGTGGATGTGGATGATGAGACAACCACGAGCATGACTGCTGTTGGTCGATTGTAAGCTGCAACGACATTGATCATGGGACGATTTGATCCACGGGCTAGGTTCAGGCACGCATGTGCTGCTTCTTTTGAAGACCACGAGGCCAGGAAGAAAAGAGTGTATCGATGTGCCTCGGTCATTTCTCACGGAAAGCGGCAGGCCAATAGCGCCACGGGTTTCGAGCACTCCACATCAAAGCAGCAATGCCTCCGCGATACATGCAGGTACAGCATTACAACCCAGTCTACCCGTCATCGAAACAACCCAGCCGTCGGGCGGTTGCCGCCCCTGAGCAATACATGAACAACAAATGAGACAGGAAATAGTACAAAATCTCGGATAGGAAGGTGCCATTCAATGCAACCTTGACGGAGTAATACCTGTATGAATTGATGCTGCGTTCAGCTCAGCCACCTGCGCCTCGCTATGTGCACAATATATCTACCTGTACCCCACTGAGCGGCAACGAGAACCGCGTCAAAAGCGCCGAATCGAAGTTCTCCTTCTCCAACTGCCCACGCATCAAGTATACCACCCTCTTGTCCCCACCCCCTGCGTCTGCCCCTCCTCCCGATGCGGAATCAACGGCTCACCCGCCCCAAAAGCCTCCGTCAACTGCTGCCACACCCCATAATCCAGCGCCAGCACAGCCTGGTGCTTACTGCTCTTATTCCGCCTCTGCTCCTCCAACGTACTCGGCTGCGCGACCTCCAGCGTCGGCAAACCCTGCGAATCCGCTGTGACGCCGATACTCCCCTCTTTGATCAGGAAACTGACATAGAATAGGTTCTCAACCGTCTGGCCGAAGGAGCGCGGATTGAGGACGTAGTCGAAGAGGCTGACGGCGCCGTTGTCTGCCAGGCGGGCGCGGCGGAGGAGTTGCTTGCCGTGGCTGCTTTCGAGGTCGGCGAGGGAGGTGATGCCGTTGTCTTGTAAAGTTTTCTCGCCGGCGCGGACGTGCTGTTCGAGGTGGCTGCGGATGCGGGTGCAGATGGCTTGGAGGCCGTTGGCGTCGGTTTGTGAGAGGTCTTCGCGTGTCAGGTTTTCGGGTCGTGCTTCGCGGCCGGATGTGTCTTTTGATTGGCGTGCGCGTCGTTGCGTTTGTGTGCGTTGTTTCTTTTCGACTGATAGCGGGCCGAGGAGGAATGATGGCACGCAGGGGCGAGCGTTGGAGGGGAAGCAAGCCCTTCGGCCTAGGACATCCCAGTCCAGCGCTTGGCCTACAATGTCGTCAATGTCTTCCTCGTCATCGCTGTCATCTCGGCTTCTCGTCCGGCGTCTGCGATTGTTCCTAGGTGCTGCCGTCGCATCCTCCTCATCGCGCTCCAGCGGCCCACCATTGCGCATGAAGGTAATACATTTTGAGAGGAACTCATCAACGTCCACGCCCGTAGAGTTGTCGCCTAACACAAGCTGCGCAGTCTTCTTGTTCGCGAGATCGGACACGTTCACCAGAAGCCTAGAATCCAGCGTCGCGTCGTTTGTTTGCTTGACCTCCTTGTAGATCTTGTTGGCGGCGCGTACAGTAGTAGTGAGGCCATCGCCGGAGTCGCGAAGAAGGTCGTCCCGTCGTTCTGCTGGTGGTCAGGACATTCAAACGAGCGCAGAGTTGTTGTTGACTCACCTTGGAAGTCCCTCTCCAGAGCGCGACTCTTCCGCTTGACATCTCGCCGAACATGTGGGTCCTGATTGGGGTCGAAGTACTTCTTGAACTGTCTTTCCTCTCTTTCATCCGTGTCCTCATCGTCCTCATCGTGCGTAGGCGCGGCGTTCAGAGAACCTCGCTTCCGCTTCTGCCCCTGCGCGCCGCTACTGCCCTCAGACTGTGGTGTAGGCAGGTTTGATCTCTGCTGAGGTCGCGGCGCATCTGACGCTCGTCCCTTGCCCTTATCACCAGGCCTCATGCTGGGGTCACGGTTCTCTTGGTCGGAAGTACCGCTAGGCGCGGGCGTAGTAGAATTGTAGCGTGACGAGGGAGCGTTGGACGGTCGGTTATTTAACCGGGCCATTTCGCATGTCCCTCTGGGTGGATCGAAATGTAGTGAGGTTGCCGCTGCACTGCTGCGCCGCCAGAGACTTGTCTGAGACGCGCCACAGTGTCTTGCAAACGCGTCGTTGCTCGCTGTGTCGTCGCGCGATGCGTCGTTGTTGAACACACCGACTGGAAGAGACAACGGTGCCGCGCGATGCAGTGCTGTCGGTAGAAAGGCGAGGGGTGGTGCGATGCGGGTTGAGGCTAAGGTGTGAGGTTTGCCGTCGCGACTCGAAAGTGAAACAGACGCGACGTGAGGTCATGAGGCCGAGGTTTAGCCGGCGCAATGCATGTGACACCTCTACTTCCCTTCGATATGGCGAGTGCATCAGCGGTCGTAACACCTGCAGAGTCGCAGTGAAGCTGCAAGAAGACCTCTGCCACGCACATTGTGGTGTGTGGGCAACATGGAGCCCTTCACATTCGCCAGCTCATCAGAGCTGCATCTTGCGGTAGCAGTGAAGGTGTGGGTTCCCTTTCACATGATCGATCGGAAGTGACGCAGAACTGACGAGACTGATAGCAACCGCCTTGAAGGGCAGGAGAAGCCACTGCCATACTCCACCCTCCTCAAGCGCCCCGACCTCCGCCATAGAGGTAGCAACTTGAGCCCAAACTCCGAGCTATACGTGACGGTTCAGCCATTCGCCGACTCGAAGCCGCTTACCGTCCACTCGCAGACGGCATACAAGCACTTCAAGAGTGGCCGAACATGGAACCAGTGGCTCAGTCTGCCACTCGAGTACAGTACGCTGCCAGCTAACACCCAGCTCGCTATCACCGTCTGGGATCTATCGCCTATCAACCCGAAAGGCGGGGACAGGAACCACCACATTCCATTTGGAGGCACGACGATACCATTGTTTGACGATGATGCAACGCTGCGGACGGGACGGCAGAAATGCAAGATCTGGCGGCACAAGGCTGCAGATGGCTTCTCGGTCAGTACTACGCCCTGGCGGGAACCACGGAAGCGTGGCAGGAGAGAACAGCAGGAGGAGATGGTTCTGGTTGATGAGAAGCAGAGTAGGAGAGATGCTGAGCTCGAGCGGCTGGTGGGCCTCATGAAGCAGCATGAAATGGGCGACATTACGGAGAACAAGTGGTTGGATCAGATGGTGTTCCGGCAGATCGAGAAGCTCGAACGACAGCAGGTCAAGGACTCTACGCGGCCGAAGCATACATCTCAGACAAAGCAGAACGGAGAGACCAAGACTGATGGCGAAGCTCCGCTATGCGCTGAAGGCGATCCTGACCACGTCGATGGCAGCTTCTTCCTCTACCTCGAGTTTCCACGGTTTGACCATCCCATAATATTCACTGACCACGAATACCCACCTCCGCCCATCTCAGCCACTCAGACGGCAACTGCGCAGACAACAGGAGCGGTCAACTTCAAGCCACCACCAGAAGTTCAGCTGGGACCGGGCATCCAGTCAGACTCCAACGGCGCGAGTGATACAGATGGCGGTACTCGACTCATCGGCATCTACGATCCGGAGGTTGGCTACGCGGACAATCCAGCAGAAGCCAAGCATCGAAGACTCATCCGTGGCCAGCGAAATGCGCTCGATCGTGACCTAAAGCCTAATCCGAAGATGCGTGACTTCTTGAACAAGGTCATGTCGTATGGCCCAACTGTCGAGCTTAACGATAAGGAGAAGGATGAAGTCTGGCGCTTCCGTCATCATCTGACTCGAGAGAAGAGAGCGTTGACGAAGCTGGTGAAATCGGTCAACTGGAATGAGCCGACTGAGAGTCAACAGGCTATTGCTCTGCTGCCAAAGTGGGCAGAGATAGATGTCGATGATGCTCTGGAGCTTCTTGGACCAGGTGTACGCAACTCAACTGTGAGAGCATACGCTGTCGACCGGCTGCGCAAAGCGGACGACGAGGAGCTACTTCTGTATCTGTTACAGCTGGTGCAGGCGCTGAAGTTCGAGCCACAGCGAGCAAAAGATGAGGTTGAAGACCATATCGATTCATCGCTGGCCTCCTTCCTCATCGTCCGGTCGGCGGCAAATCTCAAGCTTGGCAACTTCCTGCACTGGTACCTTATGGTCGAGCTGGACGACGAAGCCACTACCAAGACCGCCGAAAAGAACAAGAAGCTCTTCGCTCGCGTGAGCTACGACTTCATGAAAGAGCTCGAGGCCACACCAGACGGCCAGGAGCGACGAAAAGTGCTCCTCCGACAAGGCGAGTTCATCACCGTCCTCAGCAAACTAAGCAAAGACATCCGCAACTCCCGCGCCGACCGCATGAAGAAGATCGAGCACTTCAAAAAACTCCTCTCCGATCCGAAGAACGACCTCGTCACCTTCACCCCACCCCTTCCCCTCCCTCTCGACCCCGAAGTCGAAGCCTCCGGCATCCTCACCGACGACAGCTCCGTCTTCAAGTCCTCCCTCTTCCCCCTCTACCTCAACTTCACCACCGCAGCCGGCACCACCTACCCCCTCATGTTCAAGACCGGCGACGACCTCCGCCAAGACCAACTCGTTGTCCAAATCATCGCGCTGATGGACCGCCTCCTCCTAAACGAAAACCTCGACCTCAAACTCACACCCTACCGCATCCTCGCCACCTCCACCCTGGCAGGCGCCATCCAGTTCATCCCCTCCACCCCCTTATCTGCAATCCTCTCCAACACCCCCAAGTACAAAAACTCCATCCTCGGCTTCCTCCGCCACCACAATCCCGCTACCCCCGGCTCATCGTCCGTGCTAGGGGTGAGGAAAGACGCAATGGACAACTACGTCAAATCCGTCGCCGGCTACTGCGTCATCACCTACCTCCTCGGGGTCGGGGACCGCCATCTCGATAACTTGCTGCTCTCGCCCGAAGGAAGGTTCTTCCACATCGATTTCGGATATATTCTCGGCCGGGACCCGAAGCCGATGGCCCCGCTGATGAAGTTGAGTCGGGAGATGATTGAGGGGATGGGCGGGGATACGGGGGAAGGGCAGTTTGCGGTGTTTAAACAGTATTGTTTTACTGCTTTCTCTACACTGCGGCGGTCATCGTCGCTGATACTGAACCTGTTCGCGCTTATGCAAGATGCCAGCATACCAGGTTTGAAAGGTTTCGATGCCGACGGCGGCCCCAGTGGGACAGGGGCTGTGGGTTTGGGACCGGTGAGGAAGGTGGAGGAGCGGTTTAAGTTGGAGATGGGGGAGGAGGAGGCGCTGGGGTTTCTGGGGCAGTTGATTGAGAGGGAGGTGGGGGCTTGGGGGGGTGTTTTGATTGATAAGTTGCATGGGTTTACTCAGGGGTGGCGGACTTGATTGGGTCGGGGGGATGGGTGGGTGGGTGAGGAACTGTTGTGACTTCGTACTTGGCGTGAGTAGTAAATATTTTGCAGAGCTCTGTACTGACAGCTGCTCACCATAATCTCATGGTCGGATGGTTTGGACGATATTGCAGCCCCAGCGTTGCCATGCCAGCCAACAAGTAGCCACGCGCAACTCCCAGCCGTTGGCCCACCGATCAAGATCCCAGCTCAGCCATCAAAAAGATCCACCTGCGGCCTCGATCTCAGCCTTCATCTCCTCCAGAGCTTCCTCGAGCGTCTCAATGTCCCGGTTGATGATCATGGCCTCCATCTTCGCACAGGGCGCAGACATCTGCTCCGCTTGTGCTCGTGCTTCCGCACTATCTGCACCCCCCCGATAGTTCTTAGGCGTGATGTTTACTGAAGCTTTATCCAAGTTCAGAAGAGCGAAGCAGAACAGCTGCACACGAATCAGGGTCCTTACTTGGGGAATCGACAGCACCGACATATCCTCTTCCGCAAAGATCGAGAGGTTCTTCAGCCCTGGCAGCATCTTAACTTCCTCTCCGCATCCGGTAAACTCGTGGAGTGTGATGCTCCGAAGGTTCTTCCGCTGAACGACCATTAGCCTCTTCGCGAAAAGGGCCATGTCTTCATTACGTCCGAAGGCGAAGGTGTTGTCGACGATCGGCATCAGTGCGGCTTCACTGTGTACTTGGCGGCAGACCAACAGCAGAGTGGGGGAGTAGCGCTTTGTCGAGGCGTAATCGAGCGTCGTGGTGTTTGGAACCTGGCGAGGACGGCAAGTGGCGTGGCGTTGTTCATATGAGCCGGATTCCTGTGTGGCGAGATTATTGCGCACCGTTGAGTCGCCTTTCGCTGCCTGGCATATGTAGACACCGTTATGTCTAATACGGCGCCTATGATCAAGATCCGAAAGCTCCTCGTACTCGTACACGTATATCATCTCTTCGCATAGAGCGTAACCCCAGATGCGGTTCCGAATTTCGGCGGGGAGTGACAGCAGACGTGTGCTTGAGTTGGCTTCGGTGCTGGACGATGGTGTCAGTGAAGTCACACAACAACCGCAGACGGTGAACATACATTGAATTGCTCTTCTTCCCGCTGTTCAGCATGCGACCACTCCATTTCTTCTTTCTCGGTGGTGACGTGAGCTCGTTTGGCTCTTTACGCTTCTTGGTACCAGCCATGTTGTTGGTGGTGAGGAGAGGAAGAAAAGTTCCAAGACGAGCTGCGAGGTGTGTTTGTGCTGTGAAAAGTGGAGCTTTCCGCAACATGCGACTTGTGAAACGTGGTAGGTTGACATGTGATTCTTGGCAAGAAAAGGCAGCTTCCCAGATAGGACACCGAGATGAGCCGCAGAGTGAGAGCACTCCATATGCAAGCAAGACCGTCCGCGGATAAGGTGCTTTTGAGAAGGTGAAGTAAGTGACCATCTCTGAAGTCGGATCGGATCTACGACAAGTCAGCATGAGCTCGTGACTACCATTTCTTGACTTCTTACTTGCGGCATCAGACGAGCTTCCAGATAGCGTCGGGTTGATGTGAACATCTGCTGCAAGGCTGGCGGGACGTTTGCCAACATTCAAGTACTAGTCTCATACTTCGTCCTCCCCCTCAGTCTCTCCCCACATCGATAAAACAACAATGGTATCGGCGCCATTGCCAACGTACAGAAAGCCAACAGACTCGTCGCCCAACCCACCCCCAGGCCTCGATACAGCTGCAGCGCAAACAGCGGAAATGCCGCTGAAATGATGTATCGACTCATCATCGACGCCCCCGCCGCTGAGGCACCGTAGAGAGCGCCGTAGGTGTCCATCATGAATAGATTCACGGAGCTGTAGATCATTACCGATGCAAGCATGGTCAGGGTTTGGAAGAGGATTGGCACGATCCAATGGACCTCCGGCCGGACTGACCAAGCGAATCCGAGCAGAGCGGCGGGTTGGACGAATGCTGCAGTCATGGCGCCGAAGAGGCGGTTTTCGCTCGGAAATGGCTCGTCTGGTTCGTGGGAGGCGAGGTGTCGGGCCAGACGGGGTTGGTAGATGTAGTGATCTATCGCTATCAGCGGCAGCGGAGCGATCGCTACGCCTGCGCCGAGACCGAGGAAAGAGAGGTTTATTCCGGTTGGGGTAAAGGCGTAGTAGTGGCGGTAGACCCAGGGTGAGGCGACGATGAAGAGATAGAGGAGTCCAAACAGAAAGCCGGAGTAAAGACACACTAGCGTAACGATCGGTTCCGTGAAGAGCATGTGCAGTGGTCGAATGAGCTGTGTGCGCACGAAGTGCCGCAAAAAGGGTAGAGGAGCCAGGTCTTCCTTCGGAGGCCCAGGGATGTTCAACCGCTTCGCTCGCCGCTGGAGGATAGTCTTCTTGTACGTCTCCCGCGTAAAGATGATTGGGATGTAGAAAGCCACGATGAAGAAGATGATGACCCATTGCGTCCAGCGCCAGTCCTTCCCGTTGGCGGCGAAGCCTCCGACGAGGGGACCGAAGACGGCGCCCAGCTGTGGAATGGAATAGTAGAACGCCATGGTGATTGCTCTGTAGCGACCAGCTGTGTAATCGATGATGGTCGCGGAGGCGTTGCCGACGGCTGGAGCGGCGAAGAGGCCGGCGAAGAAGCGGCAGACGGTCAAGGAAGGGATGGAGGAGCTAAAGCCAGCTCCCAAGGTGAAGAGGGCGAAGATAGGTGTTGTGGTGAGGAAGACGACTTTGCGGCCTAGAGTCTCGCAGAGAGGTGCGCCGATTAATGGTCCCAAGGCCAGGCCGACGGAGAAGAGGGACAGCGGGAGGATAGCGAGTTCTTCGGAGACGTGCAGGTCTTGCGTTACGCCGGTGATTCCTGCGCTGTAGATGGCGGCGGCGAAGGTGCTGACGAACGCCAGGAACATAATGGCGATGGTCGACAGTGTTCGGCGGAGAAGGCTGAAGTTACGAGGGTTGTCCGGGTCATCTGGGCCATTCCAATCGCGGGCGTGCTCGATGGGAGGCACCGCAGCGTCGCCGTCGCCATGTTGTTCCTTGGACATGATTGTACATGTGGGAGGCGGAGGTCAATTGGTTCATAGCGATGAATGATGCAGAGCTGTAGATGTAGTTGATGGCATTCGCCGCCGAGGTCGGATGTTGATGTTGCAGAGCTGGAGTTGACGCCCTGCGAATCCCCTCTTGACGATCTGTCGGGAAGATACGGTACAAATGACCGACGATCTATGGTTGGATATACCGCTCAATCCGACTGCACAATCTACTTCAAGTTGGTTGTAATCCTCTGATCAACAGCAGCAGTCATCGCGTAGATCGCATTCAACACCGGCACCTCCATCTTCAATTCCTTCGCCTTCCTCACAGCAGTACCAAGAATGACATCCACTTCCATCGGCCTACCTGCTTGCGAGTCGACGTACATACTACTAAAGACACCCTTCATCGATAGGATCTTCTCCATCAATCGATCGACCAGCTCGTGCTCCAAGGGAACGTCGCATCTCTTCGCTACATCGATCATCTCGTGCCAGAGTTGTCTCGTCGTTGCCATAGCTTCGGGCGACGAGTGGAGCCAGGTCTGTGTGTCCACTTGCGTGAGGGTCGTTATGGGGTTCCAAGCGGCGTTCCAGACACACTGTTGGCGAAGTTAGTCTCTATCATCGGAGGATAGGGCGGATGAACTCACCTTCTCCCACCGCTTCACCTGAATATTTTCCTCGATACTATACGTCGTCCGACCCTTCTTCATCATTTCAGCGAATCTATCTAGCCTGGCCTTCTCTGTAGTCTGGTCGACATCCGGGTTCTGGTAGAGACCAATTTCCAATCCCTCGTTCTCACCATGGCTGATCACTCCGGAGGTCTTCTGAACGGCCCCGGTCCAGGTTACGCAAGTAATAATGGTAGACTTTGGGAAGACTTCGCGAAAGGGCTCCTCGTTGCCAACGCCATTTTGGATCAGGACGAAGGTTGTTTTCTCGTCTGCAACGTCCTTGAATAGCGGAGGTGTGGCGGAAGGATTGACTGCTTTGTGGGCGCAGACGATGTAGTCAAACCTATGGCCTGCTTCCGAGGGAGTGTGGAGGACTGCCATACAGTCAGTCTTGAGTTCCGTATTCCACAAGTGTGAATGTAGATGCATACCATGATCGATCCTGACCTTGTGGCTGCCATGCCCTTCGCTTTCGATTTTCAAACCCTATACGGACGTCAACCACGTATTTCACAACACCTCCCGAATGTACTTACATTGGCCTTGACAGCCTCATAATTAGATCTCGCAGCAACACTTAAGACTACATCATCGTTTCGTCCGCAGATGAATGCGTAGAAGCCTCCTATTCTATGGCCGTCAGCGGTGGGATGTCACCAACATGCAGAGGGCAACAACGTACGCTCCCAGCCCGAACAGCAGGACTTTAGTCTTCTTGTCCTCACTCATTGTGTTCTAGCCAGTTTGAAGAAGAGGATGGTCAGTGGTATGGAAAGGTAAAGGCTTCTTGCTGTTGGTGAGGCTCAATTGCCGACACTGCCAGCAATTGCCGAAGCTCCTCACTTCACCTCAAGGACAGCTTCTCCTTTAAACCACTTCCTCCACTCGTCGCGCGTCGTAAGAGACACCACCGTGACGCCGTTGTGTTGACAGAGTCTGCCGGTTACATGCCTGTCTTGAGGGGACTAGCAGGGTTGTTGGTAGCCCAACCTCCTTGTCTGAAAGGCTGTATCGCAGCCATGTCCACTATCTCCGCAAGAAGCAACAACCAAACACCAACCTCAATGTATATGCGAGTTTCCAGCGAGTATGCAAGCCTGAGAAGATCCGGCGAGATGTGCACCTGTCTTGATATCAACAACATATGAGCTCTTTCCACCAGTCGGAGAACTGGCCACCGCGAACCAAACCAGACTCCTCTCCGTCGCCCGATGCGGTACCTACGAGCCTGC